CTTTGTTTGGTAGTTATTTTTGAGAGGTATTATTTATTTATAAAAAAGCAATTAAATATGAATACATTAAGCTTGAAATACAGAAAAGCGCGTATACTGAGTTTCAATAATATGAAGGATCTGCCGATTGATGTACTCCGTAAGGTAAAATTAATTAGGAACCCCACCGTAGGACGTCTTCTCATACTACTAACACAACCCTGGTGGTATGTCTCTGTTATTTTGGAAACAGCGTGGTCAATTCGCGGCGTTGACTGCACGTGGTAAATCTTTCGATAATTTTTTTTCCTCCAATAGAGAATAAAGAATGGGTACCATGCTGATGCCGTGTTCCGAGCGACGTAACTGACATTGCTGTAGGATTCCGTTGTAGTTGAACCGTTGCAGTACTATCTGGAGACCAATGTGTATTATTATTATACTTGTACCTGGAGATAACTTAGACCGAGAGACAAGGCAGCTAATAAACTGACTGGGATCAATTGATATTCACCATTAAATACATGAGTAAGCAGAGGAATAGTATTTTATTCTCCGACTCCAAGTGCTATCAGCAGGTGGCCTGTGCGCTTTTTGTCTTGATTCAGGGTAATAACCTAGATTATGACCTGCCAGAATTAGGCAATGCGAATAGTGCGGTTGAAGAAGGAAAAGAGGACATGCCGATAGACTATTGGTAACTAAGCTACATGTGCGGCAAAAGGGCTCAGATAGCAAATATCATGAATAAGGCCATCATCACATGATGTGATGAGTACCAGGCTCTTTCATCTTCGTATTAGGCTATCAGTAGCCCAGCATCACCAGGGGCAGTGACGCAATGTTCGTGCCTGTTTGATAGGCTTCCTGGCCAGGTAGAATTTTCTTCAAGAAAACTCTGATGTCTGATATGGAAGGAGAGCTTGTTTGGCACCATGGCTTATGCGTCAGCACTGAGATACCAGGCTGCAACGTGGTCGATCATTACCCTGAAGTATCAGGAAGCCCCAGTGATGACATGAATAGGATTGTGAGTCTGAAGCCGTTGAGGATACGGAGAAGCTTTTACATTCAAGGCACAGGGGGCGCGCAAAAAGCTGTTCTCCACCCGAAATGATAAACAAACATCCAACTACTCACCAGAAGTAGTAAGATGATAGGTCAAGTATCTATTGGTGCGTGCCTGCGCCCCTTCCCTATCCAAAGCCGTGAGCGCTTATTGATCGCCAGCGGGCATGTAACGCTGGATCTATAATACAATCTTCGATTAGAAAACCCTTTCTTCTTTGCGGGCGCTGAAGAAATGGCACACGCCGGATCACCACTGCCAAGGTATAAAGATTGACAAAGGGCGACTGCGTCCTTATCCACCCTATGTGCTAGGAGTTGCATCCCGCTGTGCCAGTAGGATTCTGTTTCTATTAGCTATATTTGGATAACCTTAAATCTCCGGTGAAAGCAGCCAACCACGTCTGTTGCTCCTAGGGGCCATGTGCCCTGGCTGGCGCTCGTTTGTGGGAGGGGTTTCTGCCCTTGGGAGAAGGAATTTGCACATATGTAAGTCAGCTTATACACAGTAGGGTGTATAATGACACGATGGGGCATGAAATGATAGTCTAGGACATGTATTTATGAAGTGTTTTGCTATGTACAAAACATATTGGATGCGAAATGCTCATTCCTGCTAGCACTCCTATTAGTATTGTCGTCTACTATGGTGCTGCCTCACAGTCGTTTATAGTAGGTACTCGACAACTTTGAGCCTCGCGGAATCTAGGCCTTAACAATGGACGAAGCCGAAGGATCAGACAAGGGGCACGGCAGCTTTTCCGTCAATTAGATTGCATTCTTCTAATCAGGTATCCGTTGGCGTTTTCACGATTGGACGTATGTTTCTGAAACAGGCAGCGTTGTCAGATGGATCCCACTGAATCGCTGGCCCCACTATGCTGTTGATGCATTTGTCGCCGATGCCATGGCCCGAATCGAACTTGATCGTGTGCTCTTTCAACAATGTCTCTTTCCTAAATCTTCCAAAGATCATCCAGTAATATGCCCAACGGCACCGTCATCGTGATACAACGTAGCTTCTAGGCGCTGCAGCTCATATAAAGACGTATAGTGATTTAGAGTCAACTTCGGGCCTATTATGAACGGGGCAGCTGTGCCAATTCAAAACGGTCTACTACGGAAGTTCGGCATCCCTGTGGACGGGTATTTCGGCACCCATTACGGGGAGCAGGCATTGACAGCGCCCCTAAAATAGGAGATCTAAAAGGCAGGTTTGCTTTGCGTAGCTGTGCAGTAGCATACTCTGGAGAAATCGTAAATGGACCGTTTTACTGGGAATTTAGCCTGCCCATTGGCTTGGCAGGTGAGTTGCGGCTCCGCCGTTGCGGATGAACTAACTCATTTGCCCGTGAATACGTAGACGTGGAATATTCATCTTCCTTGTCGATGAACATGCTAGGACAAATGAGGATGGTGATTGTGATTTTCTGGGTCAGGATGATCGCTTCATGGAAGAGATGGGGATGAGCTGGGGGATTGAACTGGTAAAGGGAGTTGAGGGGGGTATCGGCCGAGAGTCTTATAAGAAGACGTTGAAGTTCGAAGAGAAAACTTGGAGATCGGCAGCCCAAGCTCCTCAAAGTTGTGAACTCTAGCTCAAGGCAACTCAAGAATATCCAACAACAGACAAAGAACAATGCGTGCCTCTCTCTTTGCCTCTCTCGCCGGCCAGGTGGCCATCAGCGCTGCTCTTCCAGAGCCTGCCGCTCAGCACAGCCCTCGTGCGGCCGGCGCCACTGCCTATGCCTCCAACTCGGCCGGTAACTACAAGCTTACCTCGATTGCTGCCCCAGTTCAAGGCGCTGGATCTCCTGGCTCAGAGTCTACCTGGAACTTGAGCATTGACGACACAAGCTCCGGTTACAAGCAGAAGATCACCGGCTTCGGTGCTGCTGTTACTGATGCCACCGTCGCTTCCTTCAACGAGCTGTCTGCCAGCACTCTCAGCCAGCTGCTTAACGAGCTCATGACCGGTGCTGGTGCTAGCTTCTCTCTCATGCGACACACCATTGGTGCTTCCGACTTGTCTGCCGACCCGGCCTACACTTACGACGACAATGGAGGCAACGCTGATACCGGCATGACTGGCTTCAACCTCGGTGACCGTGGTACTGCCATGGCTCAGATGCTGGCTCAGATGAAGGGCCTCAACTCCAACTTGAAGATCTTTGGATCTCCCTGGAGCGCTCCCGCTTGGATGAAGCTCAACAACGCCATTGACGGCAACACCAACAACAACAACCTGAACGATGGCTACTTGACCAACAACGGTGCTCAGTACTCCAGTTCCTTTGCTGAGTACTTTGTCAAGTACATCCAGGCTTACGAGTCTCACGGCGCGACCATCGATGCCATCACCATCCAGAACGAGCCCCTGAACAGCCAGGCTGGCTATCCCACTATGTACATGTTCTCGTACGAGCAGGGAGACCTCATCCAGAACTACGTCGGCCCTGCGTTGAAGAATGCTGGCCTCAGCACCGAGGTTTGGGCTTACGACCACAACACCGGTATGTATCTCTTACTGATAAACGTCTCTAATAAAGCAAAAAAACGTTTCTTTTCTCTTAATTGACTAACAAAAAATCTTGTAGACGTGCCCGATTTCCCTGAGCAGGTCTTGGGCATTGCCTCTGACTACGTCTCTGCCGTTGCATGGCACTGCTACGCCAGCAACCTGGACTGGACCGTCTTGACCAACTTCAAGAACCAGTTCCCCAACGTGGAGCAGTACATGACCGAGTGCTGGACTCCCTCCACCGGTGCCTGGAACCAGGCCTCCAGCTTCACCATCGGCCCTCTCCAGAACTGGGCCTCTGGTGTTGCTGCCTGGACCCTCGGCACCACCGCCCAGGACGGCCCTCACCTGTCTGAGGGCGGATGCGCCACCTGCACTGGTCTCGTCACCATCAACAACGGCCAGTACACCTTCCAGACCGCCTACTACATGATGGCCCAGTACAGCAAGTTCATCCCCGTCGGCGCCACCGTCCTCAGCGGCACTGGCAGCTACACCTACTCCGGCAGCGGTGGTATCCAGTCCGTTGCTTCTCTCAACCCTGACGGTACCCGCACGGTCGTCATTGAGAACACCTTCGGCAACGATATCTACATTCACCTCACTACCCAGAGCGGCCAGGAGTGGAGCGGCAATGTTCCCACTGAGTCTGTTACCACTTGGGTTCTCCCCGCTGTTTAAAGCACCTAACTAGGGAAGGAAAAAAAGTGGCGGATGGCCTAATAGTTTTTTGATGTATATAATTTCTCTATGGTGGCAAAGGCCGCAATATATATATATTTACAAGAGTGTCCTGCTATTGATTTAATCGAAATGAATGAATTATAACGTGGCGTCAACCTCTTATTCTGGGCCTGAGAAGAATGCCTGATGTGAACAACTTGTGAAATGTGTAGTTGAAGTGGAAGCGCGCCTCATTGCTGGGATGTCACAACGTGGGAAAAGCGTACAGTTTGAGGTTGTAAAGGAAACTGAACAAGCTGTGGTGAGCATTTCAGATATAAATATGACTTTAATTGCCCAACACTTTTATGGGACAGCTATATGTTCTTCAATACCAAGGCCTCGTATTTATTTCTCCAACACTCACTTAGGCTAGGTATGTATAATCTGATAATAAAATTGTGCGAATGCTCAGAATCTCGAGACTCTCAATTCTATATCAAAGATTTGTACACGTTCATTGACCTGCCATTTAGTATATTTGCAACCTTTTTTCTTGACTGCAGAACTTAGTGTTACTGAAACATATACAAGAAGAAAACAAAAAGATGAGAAATCCTATAACCATACGCATACAACTTTTTTTTATTACACATACAGTATAGTTCGTTAAGATGAAGTCAGACAAGATATTTTACTTGAATATTATTATTATATCTATTACACTATGTCCATATCTATCGTAAGTTCGTTCATTTCTTATCCCCGTTTAGTTAAAAGGATACTGTACTGATGCTTTGGGGTTGTTGCCATAGCAAGAGTACATAGGATCATGGTCTCCAAGATAGCCAACACACTTGTAGCAGTTGAGCACGGTATCCGGATCCCACTTCTTCTTAATGGCGAGAAGCTTGCCATAGTACTCTCCAAAAAACACGTTCTGCCAGTCGGGCTCAGCCGGATCGGCCTCGTTCATATAGGCAGCCTGGACAGACAACGGAGCCTTGATAACATCAATGGCCGCACGGGCGCCCGACATCATCAGGTTGGCGGTGGAATCAGGAGTGCCGGGCTCATAGCTAACGCCGTAAACCAAGTGCCACAGGGTCTTTCGCCAAGCAGGGTTGGTGCTGGTTGCGTTTGCTGAGTCGGGAGTGTTGAATGGGGAAGTCTTGAGCAGGAAAACGTTCACTCCACTTGATAGTGCCTCGCCAACTTGCACGCGAGCAGCTTCCAAGCCGTTAAGAATGCTGGACACAAGAGTATCAATCTTCTCAGGGCTCTCGAAGTTGTCAACGGTGATAAGACGACTTGGGACCGCAGACGACAGACCAACTGCAGTATTCGGGGTGTAGAAAGTGTTTTGGCCGATGAAGAAGTCTGTCTCACTGTCGAATTGTTGGTAAGTGCTCGAAATAACATTGATGCCGGGGTGATTAGATAGTAATGTGTTAAAACTGGCAGTTAACTCCTTAAGAGTTGTCAACGGATCACCGTCAGCAGGCAGAATCTCCAGGAATGTGAGAGACTCGGGCAAAATGTTATTATATCCAGCAACGCCGTTCTTTGTCCAAGTTTCCTGGTCAGTTGACATAGCTGTGAGAACCTCCCTCAGGACAGTGTTCTCTGTAACATTAGAGCTGGGTGAAGTGATAGTGGCGTTGAACAGCCATGTAGCCCACTTCGTTTGCGGGTAGACCTGGAACTTGTAGTTGACAAGAACGGCGTATGACTGGCCACCGCCACCGCGCATTGCCCAGAAGAGGTCGGGTTCGTTACATTCGTTGATCGTTCTCAAGACACCATCGGCTGTAATAACGTCAAATTCAACAGCTTGATCCACCATCAAGCCTTTGGAAGGGCCAAGCGGGCCGTGACCTGCAGATTGACCATATCCACCGGCGATACCAACTGTATGGCAAGCTCCCATAGTGATCATCATGCCATGATTGTTGAAGAATGCAATTGCATCTTCTGCGGTGACACCTGCACCAATAATGCCAATATTCTTTTTTTTAGAAGCGGCAGAGCAGTTCTTGGCCGAAAAGGAAGACGCAAATGTCATGTTCTTCATGTTGTGAGTTCGCAGGCCGAGAGTATTGGCAGCAGCACTACGTCCCAGGTAGTCATGTCCAGTGTTCTTGAGCATAATGCGAATATTGTGCTTCTTGGCAAAAGCAATGGTGGCGCTGATGTCGGAAGGCTCCAAGGCGTCGACATAGAGGGGAGATATTCTTCCGAGAGAACATGTCGACCCCTGGGGCGGCACTAATCCAGGATAACAGTTCTCAGCACCACAAGCTTCCCATTGCGTAAACTGAGTAGATCCAAACGTAGTCTCTCGAAACGTGCCGTTTCCGTACTGCTCTAGGACATCGGTACAGACGTCCTTGTTGTAGTCTGGCGAACTAGGGAAACAGGGACTTCCAAGCATAACTGGAGTCCTGAGACGTCCAGAGACTGTCTTGTTGAAGGCATCCCATTGTTGGAGACTGGGCCAACAAGCTTGGCCCGGCTGGCAGTTGAATGAAAGGCCAACCGCCGGTGCGACAAGACTCGCCAAGGCGAAGAGCCCTTTGCTCTCCCTGATATGCATGCTGAACTCCGAAAGAAAGTCAAAGTATCAGTGGAGAGTGAGGCTTTGAGTGGTGAGCAGTCGTTCTTAGATTCCTACTGGCGCTGGGCTCTTATATATATGTATGCACCTATGTTTCATTCTTAGAAATTCTTTGGGCCGCCATTGTGGAACTAAGTCAACTGAGCAAGTATTCACAGACAAGGGCCGGGAGAGCGCGTCAAGGGAGCCATCCCTAGTCGCCCAAAGCGAACCCCAATCATCCTTTTTTTGTCATGTTAGTGCTTATTTACAAACTTATCCAGCTTCTTAGACCCTTGAAGCACCGACTTATATGAGAACCATAGTCATACGACTATAAGTATGTGGTTAACAGGAGGACTCTGGCGGAAAGCGATTCCGTGCTCGCAACGGTCCAGTGGGGCTATAATACTGTACCCCCGCTATCGCGATGCCATCCCTGTCTGCCGCGTGTCTGTGATTGGAAATGGGTCCAAAGGGAACTGCACAAGCTAGTCTTTCCAAAAGCTACCAGCTGGTCCCTATTTCTTGGTAGGCCGCTTTGTTTATGGCCGTCCCATAGACTTGTAGTGGCCATTAAAGAAGCTTTGAAAATTTAAACTATTATCTTATTCATATATTGACAGCTTGTTTCAATAGAACGCAAGCTCATGACGGAAAATGATGAACTCATACAATCAATACCTTTAGGGCTTACAGCAAGCCCCCCGTTACCCCTGAGTAGGCGTCTGTTCGAACTTACAGAAAAGCGATAAGCTGACTGCAGATCGAGCATCAATGGCGGGGCTGGAGTTGTATCCAGCTCTTGGTTGTAAATAATGGTAGTTATTGCAGTCGTTGACGGCCCGGGCCGGGACAAAGGAAATGTCAAGTGGGGGTTGCGGCTGGGTCGGATCACCTGTTTGGACAAGGGCACTGACACTAGACTCCCAAGACTCAAGATGAGTCAAAAACTAAGTGCTTAGTATTATGCTATTATCCCCCTCCAGTATAAAAGTTGAATAAACACGAATCGACACTTGTGTTATGTGACTTGAACGCCATTCATTTAACAAACGTTACGAGACTTCAGGCTCACAAAGCACTAGATATACTCGGGTTAATAAGCCTTCTCACAAAAGAATGGTCATTCTTCGTAATAATAGGCTCATACTGGCTGGCTATACTTGTTTCTTGAATTTTGAATCTCATATCCCTTGAAAAGGTACACTGTGTAATGATTCTACCAATAAAATACATTTTTTAGTCTTCTTATTCGTCCCTAGTGAGTTATAGGACTGTTGTTTATCGTGCTGTAATATCGAATAAACAATGCAGAATTTAGGCTAATCCTGCATTACCCAAAAGGGCTATTAGATCTTCAATTGAATACCGCATTTATCATTGCATGCATTCATGTATACGAAGGGCATTCATTTTCTGACCATCTTAGGTTATACATCATAAGCTACCTGTGCTTGTGGACTGATCGCATTTGGTACTGAGCAGTTCAAATTGCTTCTGGAAAGTCGCTGATCCGAAAGATCATCCGACTGGCGCCCCTGATCTCAGCTGATGTGTGCATATAGGGCAACGAAATACTAGTTACAAGTGTGCATGGGAAAGGAAAACGAATCAGAGTAGAAAATATTGACCTACACCCGCTGCCTCAGATAATGACAATGGTACGAAGGCTTGAGTATAATGGGATTCAAAGTATATCCATCCTGAATGTATATATAGAAGTAAAGTATTAAGCCTCGCAAATAGGTACTCTATAAATACTCTATAAGCATCCTTTTCTACTTGATGGTTGAGGCTTTCAGCGCTTTTAAGCATGTACTCGGAGGATTACATACTGGTGGCTGACATGGCGATCCTTCGATTAGTGGCACAGGTAGGGGTTGTCCTTGCATTATGCGGGCCGACTAAACCAGCAGCCGGATCTTTACAGAGGCGGAAATATAAGGCCAAATTTGTATTCCCGGGGGCCGGGAATATTACCCGCATCTCTATTACCAGAGAATCGGAAATACTGCTCCGCAATACGACCTGGATTTTTTCTGGCAATGAACTTGAAAATATATGGCTTACGGACAATAGCTGGACTAATAATATCACAACCTTGAAACTTCATTATGTAAGGTCACTACTCTATCATGGCAGTGCTAAATTGAACCGATATTCTACACTTCAAGTGTTAGTAAATCGCTAGAGTAGGCTATATCGGTTAGGCTACTGCCAAAAGGATACTGAAAAATGTCTCATCTTTTCATACAGCGCAATTTAGTATCTAGACAATCACTTGTAGGTAGTTGTTCGGTTAAGACGTTTAGCTGAACACAAGTTCAAAAATGGCACAAACTGACATTACGATGAAATAGGTAATAGTGACGGTACAAATATAGGTATAATGTTACGGGAGTCAACTTACGTTTCCACTTAATTACGAGAGGAATGAGGTTTATGCCGTCTCTTACAAAGGCTTATCAAGTTTGGAGTGCATGCAATATTTGTGTATATAAGCATATAAAGAGTATCGTTATTCGTTCAATGCTGCCACGCACTCTATCTCTACATCTGAACCCATTGGAAGACCGGCGACACTCACACATGTTCGGGCCTAGAACATATTAGCTCTCTTGTGTGCAGCTGATGAACAGTAGCACGGAGAACACTTACAGGAAATGGAGCTGAAAAGAACTTGGCATATCCCTCATTCATCGGACTAAAGTTGTCCATTGTAGTCAAATAGACGTTGACTTTGATGATGCGTTTGAGAGACGAATTAGCCGCTTCCAAAAGCGCAGATATATTACGGATGGTTTGTTCCTATAGATCGTGTGTTAGCGCCCAAAGGTTCTCGATGCTGATGCAGAAGCTTGCTTACGGTACGATCCGTGACTGTGCCTTCGACAAGTTTACCCGTCTTGGGGTCGATGCCAATGTTTCCTGAACAGTATACGAGGCCATTGTAGACTTGAGCCTGCGAGAAGAGTGAAATAGGTGCCGGAGCGGCGTCTGTTTGAACGGGCTGTGGGCTAGGCATTTTGTATTTTTTTGACTAAAGGTTTTGAACGAAGTTTATGAAAGTCGTATCTGGTGAAAGGCAAACATAAAGTTGAAAGTTTGTCCAATGTTCCGTCTTTTATCTTCAGAATACTGTCGAAACAATCTGTGTGCTGTTCTCATATTATCAAATAGAGTTGAAGCTCCTGTTGTCAGCCCCGCCTCAAGGGCGTATTAGTGTCAATGATTCCATACTGCTCCCTATCTCGGACGCCATTCCAGATGCTCTTTTCCATCTTAGGTAACCGATTTGTCATCGGAAATGAACATCCGAGGCATCACCGGTGCCGGTGATAAGGATCTTAGACTCTTTTAATAATCATGCTGAATCAGCAATGCCGAGAATAGCCTTGGTTCCAATCCACCGATGGCGCTGGCCTTTGAACGATGCAGCAACTAGTCATTTTCTAGTTGTCATTCATTGGTGGGAAACCAGTTATGGCGGGGAGTTGATTTGATTAAGCAGTAATTGGATTAACAGTGTGCTGTGAGGCATCTAGAATCGTCAGGTATATTAGCTAAAGTCGCCTACTTGAGGATAATCTCCGACAGAAAGTCAAAGTTTTTTTTTTATTCTATCAATCAATTTTACTCGATATACTAAGACGAGATTAATCACATATCATATATTTATAAAACTAGAGCTTGTTTCACAGCGTCGATGGCCAACTCAATGGATGCTGCCAATTCTCCCAAATTCGGGAAAGCGTTTGGAGAGAAATACTTTATGTTTAGACCAGGTTTCATCCATTTAAACCAAGGTCGTTGAATCTCAGCATGGAGTAAATCGTATTAAATAGCATCACTGACGTTGTTCTTTAGGATCTTATGGCGGATATCCCCATTTAGTGCGAGATGCCTTACGTTCTGTCCAAGACGCAGTACAAGCCGAGCCCGATAATTTTGTCCGATACATATATCCAGCAAAAGTAGATGAAGTTCGCGAACTAATTGCTACTCATATGCATGCTACAAACACAGATGAAATTGTTTTAGTTCCGAACGCAACAACGGCACTAAACACCGTGCTGCGCAATTTGACCTATCAGCCAGGAGACATGATTGCTTATATACAAGGAACTTATGGAGCAATTGAGAAGACGGTGGATTATCTGGTGGAAACTACGCCCGTGGAAAGTATTCGCGTTCCTTTTGATCCAACCGTGGACGATGATAATACGCTTGTCGAGGCGTTTCGCTCGGTTTTGCAAGAGAACCATGGCCGCATTCGTGTGGCCATTTTTGATACCGTTATGAGCATGCCAGGGCTTAGAATGCCATTTGAGCGCCTGGCGCAGATCTGTAGAGACTTTGGAGTGCTAAGCGCTATTGACGGAGCTCATGGTATTGGCTTAATTAATCTAAACATGGAGGAGCTTGGAGCCGATTTTCTCACCACGAACTGTCACAAGTGAGCTTTTTCTTCTTCGATGATTGGTTTTATTTGAGAAGTACAACAGCTAATTCCGACAATATTTAGATGGCTATTTGTGCCACATACCTGTGCAGTCCTGTATGTCGCCTTGAAGAACCAAAATCTCATGCGGTCTTCTATTCCAACGTCGCATGGCTTCCAGCCACTTCCCGAAATTCTACAGAAGAAACAATACATAAGCCCATATGAGCTTCCGGCATCCAAAAACCCATTCGTATTTCAGTTCAGTTATACTGGCACAATTGACAATGGGCCGCCGTTATGCATCCCCGCTGCGCTTCGTTTTAGGCAAGACATCTGTGGCGGGGAACAGGCTATACAGGCTTATTGCCAGGATTTGGCTCGAGAAGGCGAGAAACTCATTGTTGAGATATTACAGAGTCGCCCTATATCCATACCGGAGACAAAGCGAGTTGCCTTTGCCAATGTTCGCCTTCCTTTGGAAATTGTATCATCCGTTGTTGAAGAGAAAGGACATTCAGTTCCCTTGTCGGACGTCGGCAAAGTTATTGACTTTATTCTTGAACGCCTTGCGAAGGATTATAATACGTTTCTGAATATTGCCTTCATCTCGGGATCATTATGGGCAAGATTCTCGGCTCAAGTGTATCTTGAACTAGAGGACTTTGAGCATGGTGCTAAAGCTTTAAAAGAGCTTTGCGAGAAAATTGCCAATAGGGAATACATAAAATTGTAAATATATATATTTCTAAGTATATCACTATATTCAGATGATTTAGGTAGTTGTAACTCTGGCCATCGACCAAAATATGCCAATCAGCTCTTTCCCGTTGAAATGTAACCGATGCGTCACTTATACTGCATGCGTCGTTCTATGACTTCACTGTTCACGATTCCTGATATTAAAATACAGCGAAAGTGCGCCTAGTGTGATTTCAATATATCTTGCGTGACATGCTTCTACATGCATATCAAAGTGGTTATTATTTAGAAGCTGGACTCGTTGCCAGGAACTTCTCTCAGTCTTTACCCACTCGCCGGCAAGTCCGGATGACAGACACCATAGTTGCGCCACTTACTTTGCGCTGTTGGACTTTTCGGTCCATTGGTCTATAGTCGAGACTTCGTCCACAATAGTGGGCCAAATAACTTTCTCAGCAACGTCTCTAAGCTCAACTGAAAATCCAGCGGTCGCATCGCTTCTAAAATGAGAGTTAGCATATCATAGCTCCTTAGAAAGTTACATGTGCTCTGTGAGGATACGCACATGATTGTGACATGATATCCCCTAGGATAGTATACTCGTTAGCCACTATACACTGTAGTTTGGGCTTTGGAGACTTGCAATTCAACTGCATAGCGAGCAGTAGCTTCTAAACAAGTGTTTGCGACCATGCCGGCACAGACGACGTGCGTAATATCTCGTTGGCGAAGTTGATAGTCAAGATCAGTATTGCCGAAAGAGCTGCATCCCTTCGTAAGTCATGGCGTAATTACACAGGAAGATGGTCGATGAATTACCTGCTGTTCCAGTGGCGTGATACAATGGCATCGCCATTACTGCGATCCGGCTCCAGCCCTTTGTAAATTTCCGCTCCGAAGCTCCCTGCTGCGAATGTGTTCGATTGTTGGATTCTGAGTTGGCTCTTTGACATGTGGTGCCAGTCATCAAATTGGCCTTCTTCGTAGAGTTGGTGTTGGCAGTAAAAGATAGGAATATGTCTACTTCTTGCAGCTTCAACAAATTTTTGAAGATTGTCCACTGTGTCGGTAGCCTCAATGCTAGCCTTGAGAGCAGGATATACCTTGCCCTCTGAATGCAAAAAGTCATTAAGTGGATCAATTAACACAAATGCTGTTTTCTCTTGCATTTTTGGCGGTTAAAATGTCTGATGCTTGTACTTGTCAATTGATGAATAGACGATGTGTACGAAATGTGAGTTTGAGAAGAGACTGAGACTGAGCTCAGAGAGTTTATATAGAAACGTGGAGATGAGGCAGATTAACCAAGGTACGCAGAGGAACCATGCTAAAGGGTCATCTAATCCCGTACATAGTCCCAAAATCCCCCAACTCCTTGCTTCGTCATCCAAATTTGTCAGATAATAGAGCTAATTCATTTACTTTCGTTGGCAAGTCGAAACCTGTGGAGCAAGGTGGTTGCTTATCTCCGATTTGTTATTCGTCTGTGGCACTACGTAGCAAAGTTCAAGGACAATCGCTAGTTTTGCGGACTTTTTAAAACACCGCATATGACCAAAGACCGCAAAGGGCCGCAGAAGGCCGTAAAGTAAGTCCGCCAACAAACAAGAGACGAAGTTTTCTTTTCTCCAAAAGGGGATTGCTTTGAAAGCACGGACGACCAAAAGCTGTGGTAGAAGACTGTCGAACCCATAGATTGAAACGACAATTTATCTCTACCAAATCTCTTGGCAGCCAAGACTTGGCCATTTAAGGTGTTGTTTCACTGCGTCGTTTGCGAGAACGTCAATCGTGTCTTGTTTATACACTTTATCTGCCAAGACGGTAAATACTCTTGCATTCTACTGAGCGGACTAACAAAAAGATTGCGACAAAGGATGATCCATTTGTAAAAATGGCTTCTGATGCTTGTATCCTGTTGAACGTAGCATCTCTCCACCAGCTATCATTGCCATCAATTGTAAGGATCAAAGAAGTAATGAGTGCTTTAGATCAGGGTACCACTCATTGAAGTAATTCTCCAGCCTCATAGTCTAAGATTGACGAAGTGTGGTTAAAGATTTGACGCCTAAGTTGCCTACATTCCCGCTGAGCATTTCTACCTATCTAACCTATCTGGGTTTACTTTAGTCATCAACTTTACATGCATCACGCCCTTCATGTCTCCATGTTTCCGACTTGCTTCTCATGTCTCTGCCGGCAATATCCGCGGAGGACCAACAATCTTGCCCCGCAGAGCACGTATCCGTTTCTCCTTTCGGATGGATGACCAATCCTTGAAGTGGATTCCTCGTCCATATCACGAAGATGGTTCCACACTGTCAACTTAAGGAAGACATTTGGACAAGCCGATATCGGTTGCGATTGATATACTTAAGAACTCAGCTGTAAAAATAGAAATAGTTTAGATAATACTAACAGGCATATACTCCTTGAAGCCTTTCGTCACAAAAAATATTACTCGACTATTGCTAAATTCAAGATGCCTATCTATCATTTTGAACTGGCTACCAAGCTCACCCAGACCCAAAAGTTGGCTCTGGTTCGTACCATTACCGACTGGCACGCGACTACGTTCAAGTCGCCTAGGTTCATCGTAAACGTTCGCTTCGTCGATGTTTCTCAAGGCTTTTTAGCCGATTCTTACATTGGTGGTACTCAAAGACACATTAATCGTCTCTTTGTCAGCCTTCGCAGTGGCGCGGGCCGCAGTCAACAAGCCTTGGAAGGCATGGCCGACAAGCTAGAGAGCTTTTGGAATGAGACTGTCGGAAGAGACTCCATTACTAAACAGCTGAGAGGGGTTTTCATTATGGGAGAGTTAGATGTTGCGAAAGAAGCAGGATTCCACCTCCCACTAGTAAGTGTAATGGTACAAACTCTCAAGCTTACGCACTTACTAAAGCAATATAGCCGGGCCATTTTGAGCAATGGGTAAAGGATAACACTGATGAATTTCATCGTTTAGCCGCAGAAGGTGACCCTGACGCGGCACAAGTTGTTGAGGAGATCAAAGTCCGACCGGAGTTTCAGAAGTAACATAGCAGTATTAGATGATACATCTGCCAATAACCATACATTGGTGATTTAGGGCGATACAGAGTCGGACGGCACATCAAAGAAAGCCAGCCTTTTATATCGCGTCATGCAATTTTGTATGGCTGTTGAGATTGAATTGAAGTCGTATTTGAAAGATGTCAGTCTACTTGATTTCAAATGCCATATACTGCATAAGCGTAATTTCCGCTTATAGGGCTCATGACAAAGCGCAACCACTTCGTAACTTGTTCAACCAGGCGCCTTGCTTCATTTGAATATAAGGTTAGGAAGCTCTTGTTATAGAATAAGCCAAGAGGTCATATTAATGCGGGTGGAATCTACTTCAATTAGCAGCCTATTTTAAAGACGGTGCTATACACGAGGTATGCCCGTCATACATGATACAATCCGCAAAATGTTGAGAACTTCTATTAAAAGATAGATCCACCAGTGGCCAAATAAGGTCTTCAAAATGCGCTGAGAGGTGATTTATCACTTCATCTATTGATAACGGCCTCGGCATTAATACCCAATTGACCCCTTCGTCGTTCTGGAGATGGCGTTGACAGCACTAAATAAGGCCCTGCGGATTAGTGGGCCTTTAGTAGTAGTGGGCCAGCAACACATGCCAAAGCATGTGAAAGCGATCAATTGGGATCGATCTGGGGCCTTTTGCTCAAGGGCTCAAGCGCCACTTCTTGCTCTAAAAGGCGATTTATAACAAGGTTCGACATGCTCTACTATTTCTCTGTAATAGAGCCTTTATATCCCACTCGAGATTCCATGCGCTGGTCTTTGCTATATTGACCACTAGGCAGCAATACAATGTAGTACAAGCCTGCTTACCAAACCTCTCACCGAGCCGAGGCACGGACAAGTGGTAACGAATCTGTCAAATTTCGCCGACCAGGCGGGTCATTTCGTGCCCAACAAGGCGAGTCACATCCCAACAAAGTCACATGGAGATCTATTATCATTTTGACAGCCTTTATCAATCCCAAGACGGCGCATGAATGCTCGAGTGTGAACCAAGTGCTAGAAGATTCAACCTCTTCAATAATATTACGCCTCATAACATTCGGCAGTCAGAAATATTGGCGATAAAAAAACTTCAACATGATTGAGAAAAAAGACTTTTTTCCAGGCTTTACCCCCTTATCAGCGCAGGTTTTCATCCGCCACCCAGATGCACAGAGCGATGCTATTGAGCGTCCAACTGATCCCAGAGCCGTTCTCATCTATTCATGGGGCGATGGACAGCCCAAAAACCTGATCAAATATGCAGATGGATACAGAGATCTCTTCCCCTGCTCAACGCAGATCGTCGTGCTGGCTCCCATCTCAACAGCCATGTGGTCAAATCTCGAACAACGCACACAGGCTATGAGACCTGTAATTGATGCCATCTTTCCTAAGGCATCCAACGACGACCAAGAGACTGAAAATAGGGAAGACCGCGTGCTGGCACACATCATGTCCAACACCGGCGGCATAAACTATGCTGCAACACTGAATGCCTATCGTGCTGTTCATGATAGGCCAATGCCGCATCACCTTTTGGTCTTCGACTCCACGCCTGGTAGTGTCATCATGACACGCGAAAACTTGGCTCGCTGGTCGCGTGCAATGGCGTTGGGAACTGCAAACTGGTTCCCTTGGCCATTTGCCGTGACGCAAACTCTTTGGGCCGGTTTTCTCTGCGGAAATCGCTTAATTGAGTGGGTTGTCGGAAAAGAACCCGCTCCAGTGTTCAGTGTGAAGGCGATTATAGATCCGTATTATGAGACTAAGGATACGCGACATCTGTACATCTACAGCGAAGACGACGACTTGATTCCGTACGAAGACATTGAAGAGCATATTGCGGAAGCAAGGAAAAGAGGGTACAAATCTGATAACCACATGTTCAAGGGAAGCGGACACGTACGACATATGCAAATGTTTTCAGAAGAATACTGGGGCGCTATTCGAACATCGTGGAATAGAGCAACGAGTGAACCTTCTGACAGAGCGTAAAAGATTCTGTCGAGGTTGAAAGAGTTTAACACGGGCGTGCGTTGTTTTGTATAGAGTAACTTGCGTTGCAAATACCCCTTCTAGCATGTTACATAATCTCTAGATTGAACTCTGTTCTCAAATGGCATCCGTTACTATAGTTTCTTAGATTGTCCTAACTATTTCTCTAATTATTATCACCGCAACGCTTTCCAGAGTATGAGTAAATAAAGTCGCCTAGTCTCTTACAACGACTGTCTTCAAAACTAACCAGTGATGGAAGGATTGTTTCTTTCTCCTTTCGACAAGCCCCTTTGAAATTATAAATAGTGGTTAAAGGACCTACATTATGTATAGGCATAAGTGGGGAAAAGCCAGAAAGAGGGTCTAAGTCTTTCATATCTGAAAATTTCCTAATAATTCAAATCGTATTTTTTATTTTATTTTCACATTCTCTCAGAATTTCACAAGTAAGAGGTAGCCTCCTTCTTCATCAGCCAATTGCTGTAAATAACGATCTATGTTGAATTGCGTAGCCAATTGGTTTGTAACCCAATGGAAATTGCTGACATCAACTCAGTGAATATTTAATAACAATGCAAGCATCCAGAGTCTATAGCATTGGTGTCTTAATCTTCGCATAGCAGGTAACCTATGAGATCTCATTTCATCTTTTATATGCCCACTTTGCGCTTTCGTGGCTTTCTTATGTCGTTAGTTTAGCGAATCGTATACCCTCGAATTTGTAATAAGAATTCTATAAATACTAGCTATAAGAAAGAGACTCCTATCCCCGAGGGGTAAGTCGACGAGGAAAATTCCCGAAACATGATAAAAAGCCGATATATGGGTCAAATCCATTTGCTTTTTTGAAAGTAGAGTAAATTGTAAAGCAAGACGCGAAGCAAATTCGTGGTACTGGGTCGTACTTGATGCGAGAGCGGGCGAGAATATCTGTCGAGAAGACTGATATAAGCTGCTGCAATGATGATAAATCATAGTTGACTACACTGTAGTCTACTTAATCGCATGACCTAAGTTGGCTTTGAGACAAGGGCGTTTGCTCACTGGCTGTAACTTGTAATGTGTCCCACATTCATTGAGCGCATTATTTTCTCCGGCTCTTTGAGGATACCTATCATATCTGCTGCGTACGCTGATCTAAACTCAGCCCTCTAAAGTCATGTAAGATGTGTATTTACTTACCGTGCAACAACTAACATATTCCGACCATGGGAGAGAAACTCTGATGCATGTCAAACGCTGCTGACCCTAAATCTTTGATGGTGTAGCTAATATCTCATGAAGGATTCGGCCTAGGTGAGGCCCAAGTTAACTTGTTCACCTAAGCTAGTATATTCTGGTGATGAGTTCTCACAAGTTTACGGCAAGATGCGGTAATTATGCGGAAAAGCAACACCAATGCTTTGCCGAAAATGATTCATCGTACTAAGTTACCACCAGCTATTGGATCATGATCCTCTGGAGCTTGTAGCTTCTGCCTGTTTTATGTCTCAGAAGGTAAATGTCTTGAAGAGAAGTATAATACATATAACTAATAATATTATGATGCACATAACGAAGCTAATTCTTCTTGGTATCCTTGACCCACTTACGCCATGCCAAAACGTGTCCCGGTTACCCCATATATACATGGAAAATAGTAAATTATCTTTCTCCGTAAGACAGCTCGTGGAGTTTATCCGCCCAGTAAGTTTTTCAACTTCCCCCTTAGCTCCTCTAATTCTGTCTGCTTACTCTGAGCTTGTGATTTCCAGTACTCCGCATCTTCCTGGTGGAAGCGAGATCGAGATTTTTCATCAGCCAGTAATCGACGCATATCTTCGGCTTCTTTCTTCAGTTTTTCATTCTCAGCTCGCAGGCCCTCTGAATTGCGCGAATTTGATGAAGCCGCATTGCGCTGTGCCAAGATGAGAGCGTTCTCATTGATCTTGACGTCCTGCTGTAATCTCACAATCACGTCTTCGAGCTGTGTGATTTTTTGTCTGGCATCACCAAGATACTCTAGCTCCCTAAGCAATAAGGAGACTGCATCGTCCACCTCGGCTGGTAGGGTAGAAAAGCGTGACCGGGGGCCTCGTGGGCCGGCTACCATCCCTCGGCCTGCGCCTGAAATGTTGATTACACCCGAAAGAGGTGTTGAGGCTCGTGGACTTGAAGTCGTTCCTGAGCGAGTGAGTGGAGTGGTGAACTGATTTTGCGATAGCCAAGTAAAAGACGTCGGTGCCGTAGCCTGAGAATGCTGGTTTGCTGATGCGGGAGTAGGAGCAGAAGCTGGGGTATGGGTGGGAGTGGGAGCGAGAGCTGGTGAGTTTGACGCCGGAGCCGGTGATGTTGAAGGTAGGCGGGGTTCATTATTAGCCTGCACATTCGGCCTGTGACTGGGTAGAGCCACCCTTTGCTTCTCTGGGGGCGGAGATGGTGGTGGGCTGAGTGGCGGTAGATGCTGGTGCCATTGTCGCTTTTGGCAGATACGACAAAAGAAATTGTCATTATGTATGAATTGTTCCACAGGCTGGTCCAAACAGTGCTTGTGATACGACCTAGGACAAGTGTAACAGTCCCTTAGGTCCCCTCCTTCATTACACACAAAGCACAGGCTTTGACGAGGAGATCCTTTCTCTGTAAGACTTAGTCAGTACCCCGAACTATGCCCAGAAGAGCTTGGAGATGCTTAGAGGGAGTTCATATAGGAGAAACTTAACATACTGCGCCAATCTCGATATCTCTTTTCTATAGTGCTGGTTAGGAGCTTCTTCACATCGCTGGGGCACTCGACTCACCTGATACACTTATCGGCTCCGGATTCCCGCTTCCATCTACACTTTCAGATACTGGTCGTTTGATTTCTGCTTTATTGGTCCTTTCTGGTTCCGTGATGGTGCCCTCCGTGTCGGATTCTCCAGTGCGCCTCCTCTTCACTCTCACCGATGAAGATGACATGATCTAGCTAGATATGCTCGTAGAGATTTAGGGATGAGTAGAATTCATGTATAGTAAGTACTGTAGCTCTTTCCAAGGCGCCAGAGACTTGTTGATCGTGAGGGGACGTAGATGTAAAACTCAAAAGGCTGAGAGTTCAACGACGTTTCTTGCTTTACCAGAAACATTTATTATACCACGCGACGATTTGTAGCACGATTATTAATAGATGACTGTGACTACCAGATATCGAATCACGTGACTGCCAAAACCGGCACAAAGAGTGATAACTAATGCCCCGTTTGTGTACCAGACGAAACTCTCGCGACTACCTTTGCGAGCGCTTTGTTCTAATCACGGATGGCTTGCCTTACCTGAGCTTCGTAGTAAGCATAGTATTCCATCCATTTCTTATGAACCGTGTTAGTCCCAGATCAGGGGAGCGAATCTCGTCTCGAGAGAATGAACACGGCAGTTTTACCATCACTAATAGTCCATGTGCTCCATACTCCATGCTAGCACCTGCACCTACCAGGGCAGGGAGAGCAAATATTCCGCATTCTCGCTGTCTGCGCCAATGTATGTAGGTAGGCCCTGGTCGGCATTTAGTGGCCTTTACCGCTTTCGAGATGCGGCCCCTGTCTTCCACGAATGGTTCCATGCACAAACGGTCCGCCCGCAAAATACAACCCATCCGGGTTACATCAGAAGTGCTCTACATGTCCTACCCGCACCAAAAGACTTGGCCAGGCCAGGCAGACCTCGGGGAGCCCTTTATAGCAGGCATCCATTTCTTCTTGCCTTACTTGGTCTGATTACCAATCCGTGGCTGGCAGTCTAACCGGAAAAAGGCATCATAGATTTCTTTTTTTGTTCAAGCGACGGCGGCGATCGAGGAGAGAGAGCAATGAACCGAAAAAGCCAAAACGAAAATACGAACACAGCTGCGAATAGACGATCAAAATTGTGGAAGAATTTCTACGACTATATACATGTACGTTATGCATTGACATATGTATATCGATGCTAATGAGTCTTTATCTAGGCACATTTCACAGGCAAATAGTAAGAGCAAATAGAAGCTGTAGCCCGTCAGAGTGCTCGTAAAAGCACTTGTAAGCGGTAAACTTGTCAATGTACAGAGGGCGCGCCGAATTCCAGACAGAAGCTGCGCTGGCTCGTATAAGTGGATCGGCTTTAACCACTGCTGCTGAGTAATGTCTATTCTGATCAGTAGTCTGACCAAGACTTGCTCTATTTGGTGAAACTAGGCAATACTTCGAATAAGAAGATGTCACTATTCAGAGAAGGCAAATAATGATAGTATCCTTAGTTTTAAAGCTGTATTTATTGGCTATTGAAGTTTCTACTAATTTGCTTATAAACCTAGTGAAATCTTGGGCACTTAGTTATTAGCATTGGGGTAAAAGGTGGATATCGCCTCAGTCAATCATGTACACGGCATGCGGAGGGGAGCTATCGCTTGCTTGGTAATCATACTCTACTAAAACCTTGCTGGAGACTCTGATGATGCGTCCTAAATATCTCCAAATCCTTTGGGGGGAAAAGTGATTAGTATCAATGCTTTTTACCTCGGTAAGTAGCCTAGTTTGGGCAAAAGATTTGTCATGCGAACCGAATGCTTCACGACTGGCGAAGGAAATAAACATGGAAATAATTGGGACATCCCCCTCAAGGCTGAAGATGCCGATTATTGCCCATTGGAGTCGAGTATGAGGTGACTCGAGGCTTGAATCAACAACAGAAATCCGCCAAAACTCCTTACAGGGAAAACACGAACTGGCATTAACCATTGCCCTCTTTAATGTCTTCCGTATTAAATATATAGCCCTTATGGTCTTGGCAAAACTCCTTGAGAAGTTGACTGGTGACTTACGACCTAGTTCCCTTTCGAGCCACGAGTCAACATGGACACTATAGAGGACATCATGGAGGATGCGCCCCCTCGCGAAAAGGAAGAAGATTTCTCTCCCTCAAGCGACCCTGAGAGTGCTCCAGCAAGCAGCCATGCAATGGAATGGGAAGATGATCCTCGCAATCCATACAACTGGAGTGATGGAAAGCGGATGTACCATACGGTCTGCGTTGCCCTTTACGCGTTTACGGTGTAAGTAATAAACAAGACATACACGTATAGTGGTAGTCCAGCTAACTTGCTTCTGTGATAGCACATACATGTCGTCAGCCTACGCACCAGGGGCAAAAGCAACTGGAGAACAGTTTCATGTATCAGAAACGGTTTCATTACTCGGTATCTCACTCTTTTGCCTCGGACTGGCGTTTGGACCAATGATAGGAGCACCTCTTAGCGAATCGGCAGGACGATTGGTTGTCTATCGGTTGGGCTTACCTATCGCTACCCTCTTTCTCATCGGCGCTGCGGTATCTAAAGGCATTGCCTCTGTTGTGATTTGCCGCTTCTTCGCTGGTGTTTTTGGAAGCCCAGCATTGAGCGTAGGTGGTGGAACAATGGCAGATATGTGGCCGCCTGCACGTCGTGGACCTTCGACAGCGCTCTTTGTTATGGCCCCTTTTATGGGACCATGCATTGGTGAGTCTGTATTCAAATTTACCAATTCTCTGAAAGATATATATTACACATATCAAGATGCTAACTCTTAATCAGCCCCAATCATAGGTGGCTTCGTCATAGAACGGTTGAACTGGAGATGGCTCGAATGGGTGTCTGTCTTCTGGTGCGTTGCGACATGTATATTCGCTCTTGGCATGAGTGAAACCTACAAAAAGACCATCCTCGAGCGCGATCTCAAGAGACAAATACCGTCTTCCCGAATCAAGATACCCACCTTGAGTTGGAGCGCTATACACAAATGGGCAAGCGAGTCCTTAGTGAGACCTATGCAGCTTCTATTCACCGAACCCATCGTCCTGTTCCTGAGTCTATATATTGGCTTCGATTTTGCCGTGCTATACGCGTTCTTCGCTTCCGTCCCACTCGTCTTCCAAGAAGCATACCACTTTAATTCTCACCAGAATGGATTGGTTTTCATTGCTCTGGGAATCGGCGCGTTATTGGCAACGCTGACGAACGTTCTTTGCGACCGATTTATCTACACACGAAAATGCGCAGAGGCACGCGAAAAGGGTGAAACAGGCCATATACCCCCAGAAGAGCGTCTCTATCCGGCGCTCATGGGAAGTTTTGGAGTTGCCATTGGCCTTTTTTGGTTTGCTTGGACTGCCCGCCCCAGTATACATTGGATAAGCCCGATTCTAGCCCTGATCCCATTCAACTGGGGCAATCTTTGCATCTTTGTGAGCCTCCCCCCTTCTCTTCCTTCTACATTTGGCTCTGTCTAGACCTAATCAAAATAAACAATTAAAAAAGGCCACCAGTATAACTTATATGATTGACTGCTATGGCGCTCGGTATGGAGCTTCGGCGCTTTCGGCAAATGCCTTTACACGCTATGTCTTTGCTGCCGCTTTTCCGCTTTTCATTATTCAAAGTACGTTTTACTATTGAGGACTGGTCTCAGTGCCTATGGAGATAACAAACTGACATCTAGTCTTAGTGTATGATAAGTTGACGACAAAATGGGCTGCCAGTCTGCTTGGTTTCATAGCCATTGGCTTGGTTCCTATCCCCTGGATACTATTTAGATTCGGTGCGAGGATTAGACAGAAGACCCGCTACGCTCTTTAAAAGTAGGCTTCGTTCCTGTCTATACGGCACTTATAGAACAAAGAAAAGGAGATATTGGTGGTGGTGAGAATTGAGTAGGTATAAGATATGCAAACGTAATCATGCCAGGCGGAACTCAAAGATAGAACGTATAGATATCAATAGATTATCGGATAATTTGCTAGAAACTTTGGAGAATCTTCATTTCGAGAAGCTTGACCACTCCGTAATATTCGGAACGACGGCATCGAACCCCAGGCGTGAATCTACTGGACAACACTGCTCACGGTTCAAAGCCGTCGACTACTAGTCTACACTCTTCTAAAATTACTAATCTTGCTTTGTCATTTTCGCCACGATCGGCCACTTAGCAAATGCTATTACGGCAATGGCGTTTAGAAAGATTTATCGATTACCTAAATTACTTTACTATATGCCGTTACTCCGACTGCTCGAGTCAGGGGCCTCGATTAAGCTCCGAAGACTCTAAAGTTTTAGCACTCAAGATTTTTCGGCTGCAATGACTTACCGATGTAAGCAAGGTTCAAGGAAGTAAAATAATAATGATTCAATAATTCTATCATTGATTATTGAACCCAACCGAGGGAGTTGAGGTGTTTCAGCAACTCTATTAACCCCCACGTTACCAATAAGGTCCATCAAAGCCACTAGCCGAACCGCGGTTCAAATGACACCAAACTCTCGGTGACAAGTCTTAGAAATCACGGATTTTTTACAATTTACTAATATTTTGAGTTATTTACCTAATAAAAAAAACAGTAAAGGGCCAAAAAAAGAATTCATCTCCTCCGGGAAGGCTCGAACTTCCAACCTCCTGATTAACAGTCAGACGCGCTAGCCAATTGCGCCACAGAGGAATGAGCTTTTTGATTGGACGAAGTCGACACAAACTGATTTTTGAGCCTTCTCCTATGAGATGACTTTCGATAGCATAAACCTGAGACTGTAAACTCTTCAGCAGGTAGGAAAATATGAGAGTAAATGAGTCAATGGTTAGTGTTCGCTTCTTAATGGACCATTATACCATCCGTCTATGGCGTTTGTATACGTGTGATTTGAATCGCACGAAGGTCTATAAAATTGCTAGGAAAATTATGAAAAAAACCCTTCTCGCCTGTTGACAGCATCACAGCTTGGCTTTTCCAAACCACCAAAAGACGACTATTACCACACAGCACTGAACCAAGCTCGCCACCACAGCCACAGCCGCAACTACAGGACCACTCAATCTCGTCCCTCCTCCTCCTCTTTCATCTATATTCCTGTCAACCTCCTCTCCATATTCCCCTCCTACGTTCCCCCTCGGCCAATACTCACAAACCACAAACCAGCCCCTAGTCCCGCACAGCTTTCTCCCACAACCCACCGTCGTCGTAGTCTTCCAAACCAGCTGCGTAAAGTGCCCCGTCTCCTCCGAGAAACCAGGGTCGTTGAAGTTATACTTTTCTTCCTCGTTCCCCCACGCCTCCACCGATGCCGTGGCGTTCGCGTACCCTATAGCTAGATTCTCTCCGTAAGGGCCGCCCGAGTGAGCAAAACGACAAGTCGTGTCTGATTGGAGGTATGACGTGGCGAATTTCTCGAGTGTAGTGTTCCAAGAGAGTGAAGAAGCGTTGTATTGGCGCCGGTAGGTGTTTGTTGAATTAAGAATTGCGGATGTAAAAGATGAGGGGATGGAGAAGGAGGGCTCGTTGGAGGGGATCGCCGGCGCGGCAGTAATAGTGACAATGACAGTCGAAGAGGAGAGCGCGGCAGATAAAATGAGTGTGTTTAACAAGAAGAGCAATTTCATGGTGAAGATGGTGTTTGCTTTGTGTTGCGAGATTGCTCTCAAGGGGGGAAATGAATGTCACAAAGAAAACAAGGCCAAAAGTCTATATGCAATCGCCACCCATTGGAAACCAAAGACAACAAAGAAAAAAAAGCAATAAGAATGCCGATAAAGAGAAAATAAAGCATAAAGAATTTACATTAACAGATATTTAAGATTTCTGTCTACTAACAAGGGACGATTTCCCTGGCTCGCCGTATCAATTACCGCCCGCCGCTTGATTTGTCTCCATGCATCCAGTTTAAGCGCCGCTCACGAGATGAAACACCACACAGCGCCAATCAATTGCAGCCGCAGCTGTCAGCAAGGATGCAGCATGTGCCGAAAGAGGCAATGCTGGCAAATACGCAGCATGATTGCTCAAAGGTGTCGTGACTTTATATATAAGCATTCGGTTTATCGCACTACTTTGCTTTCACATCCAAGAAGGCCTAATCTAAGGCATCGCGAACCATGCCAATCAACAAATGTAACTTTATACAAAAGGTAATCTATCATGAGATAATAGTGGCTCTCATTTTAATAATTAATTTTTATACTATTGTGTTATAACCCTATCTTCGAGTTCTACTCTCTTTCCTATAAATTCGGCTCCAAGTCGATGCCATATCGTTCTGCACCCTTCTCATCCCGCCACCACTTCAAGCTATATAGCCCATTATGGAGCAAGTCGTCCATATCCATCCGGTTATCAGCAATTCGAGACACCATCTCCCCCCCTGCTATCAACGTTGCTGTCCCAGCAATCGAGCAAGGATTATGTGGCAACACATCTCGTACTGGCAAAAGCAGTCTTGTTGCAATAGCACACGCCGCCATCACTGCGAGCACTACCTGAAGCGCAATCTTGGACCCGCTAGATTGCTGCAACCTCTGATTGCCAGATATTGTCACCTGGCCATTATACATAGGCAGATTTTTAGCAGTACTGTTGTCGCGCATATTCAGAGAAATGGCCTGAGCCATATATCTCCCGTAGAGTCGCTGAGTGGCGTTTCTGAGATTTTCGACATTCGCAGCTCCAGCGAGCTCATCTGCTGGTCGACCATTCTTCGTCATAACTAGAGCCTCAATAAAATTATCGATATAATTGTTCGACGAGTTAGAATTGTTCGGGCCAGGAATTGTCTGGTTGATCAGCGGATTGCTGAGGCCGTTTAACCAGGCATTCGGCAAAAAGGGAAATCGTTCGCTGCCGCGACTCGTTTTCAAGAGTTCTTTCGTACTCTCATTCGCTTTAGGAAGCTGGGTAGGATCAAATGACAAGTTGGGAAGTTGCCATGTGGCATTGGTCATGACCTGCACAATATTTTGGTAACAAATCAGAGTGGCAAGATCTTGCTCGAAGCCGATAGTTTTGCTCTTGGATCCTTTGCCCGATTTCTTTAATTTCATTTGGCCGAATGTTACGGCAAATGTGGGGCATCCATTGTCAGTTTCTTGGATCCCGTCAGCCGCTTGTCCGTGTGTTGGGTTTGTGTCTACCGCTCCATCACCGTAAACCAGACCGCCACCCCATGTGAGGATGGAGGCCTTACCCACATAAGCCATGCTTGTATCGTTGGGAAGGAGGAAATACTGCATCCATGGTTCTTGACTCTTCATACCCTTGGGAGCAGTCTCACACCATTCAGCATATTTTAGAGTTGTGTTAACGCCAACCCAAACATAGCCATCGGAGGGAGACACCATAGCGTTTTGCCCGGGCATTTGGAACATCATTGTACCACTTTCTTCATTTTCTTGATTGAATATTGTTACTTTGCGAAGATCGTTGGGTATCGAAGTACAGTTTAGTGATGGCCTCACTGCAGGCACGTTAACTGTCAGTGGCACATCTGCGCTTGAATTCGTCGTGAAGGTCACATCTTGCTTGAGTGCATTGAACGCAAGGTTCCCATTTGTCCATTGTGTGCTATTCAAGCCTAGATATTCCACCAAGTTATCAATGGCAGCAGCTTCGTTATCTGTCAGAGAAAGGTCGACATTGTTAAAGTTGAACACATCACCTTGCTGAAGTGCAACTGTTTGGACAATTGGAACTTCAATAACGCTGTAGAGGCCTGATACAATAATAGATAGAAAGCTTCCAATAAAGCTACCAAAGAGTGCAATAGCTACTGCAAAATTCCTCGTTCTCAGCGACAAGAATAAGGAATGAGGAGGTAGCTGGGCAACAAGACTTAGTTCAACTGTCCTTTTTGCATTGGCCTTTCCCCCTTTCAAAGGAGCAAAAGGAGCAAAAATTGCCGTCATCATTTGCATAGCAGAGTAGAGACCAGCCACCCCGAGCGCAACGGCTGAAGGGATGTAAGTAGCAAATGCAAGTGCACTCGATCTGTTGATACTGATGAATCCATTGTTTATATCTGAAAAATGTTGAACAACTTCTAGTGACGCAATAATAGACAGCGGGAGACAAATCGCAAGAACAAGGAACCAGGTGGTGCTGGCCATTGGTCTCCATGAAGGCACTTGACGTTGGCCTTGTTCCGTAACATGGTCGGTATACGTTTGCCCTTCCTTGCGCTGGATTGGCTCAATGTATATACCTGAATCTGTATTTGAGACATGATCCGCTCGAAATCGGTAGTCTCCAAGGCGTTGCTGTAGCTTGTCATTGCTTAAATGTCCCATAGGTGACAGAATTTTGTCAAGTTCAGGGCTCGACGCGAGTATAGTAGCCGTCGAGAAAGCTGCTACCGGCTTGTCAGGCGCTGAAAAGCTAGGGCGGACGAATATCATCAAGAGAGACAATATGACTAGCAGTCCAAGAAAGCTGCACATGAATCCAGTCGAGAGAGCTTTCGCGTGCAATCTCTGCTCTGTGTAGGTAATACTTCCCGTAGTAGTACGGTTCGCTGGTTGAACAAGAACCTCATGTAATACTTGAGCGGCAATCCCCTTGAAGACTTCGGTTCCTGTACTTATGAGAAGTTCTGGATCCATGAAATTTCGAATAGATTGAAATCCAGCTTTTTTTGACATGAGCTGAAAGAATGTAGGCACAGTGGTTGATAGAACATAATCGACTCCTCCGGTACCCAAATCCCAGCGATTAGTAGTGTCTGTGACTGCCATGGCAAGTGATCCTGGAGGGTATGATTGAAGGACTTGCTTCTTGGCTGGCGGTGTCGAGGAGAGAGCTTGAGCAGATCCATTAACATTGCTCGGAACACTGACGTTGAATTGGAGAATCTCATAAGTGGGTTTACAAAGGGCAGTCGTAACGTTATGGAGATACAGGTACCGGTTGGGAGTGCTGGATGGCGCGATGCGGACATCAGCCACGGACATGAACAGGCGCATATCGTTGTTGGGGTTGTATATCTGGTCTTCAAGAGTCGTATTTTCCGGTGGTATATAACCCCGACTAAAATCAAAATCCACGTTGCAGGGATAGAGATCAAACCGAGCCTGGTAGTTCTGTGTCGCGTTCGGGTCGTGATAGTAACTATGATCAGCACCCTCAGCCATGGTGACTCCTTTAATCTCGCAATCTTTGGTGGTAACGTTGGCAACAATGAATGAAGCCATAATGCTACGCCATGGCATGGAGGCTTCTGTACCATTGGTAATCGGAAGGAGTTCACAATCATAGTTGACCTGGAGGCCATCCGTAGACACCGAATACTCGAAACCACTTGCGGCACCCGACGGCACCCGAAACTCGGGTACGACGAAATCCTGGCTGGTTCCGGCTGGGAAACGCAGTCCGTAAAAATTTATTCCATAGTAAGTTTGTGCTGGACCAGGACCGACGTCCCAGGCGTTTTTTGGGTTTACACTTTGGCTAAGCTGAAATTTTGACGATAGCTGGAAAGTTTCGTCGGTTTTGGTCAAAGTAGTTGGTTCCAATATGAGGAAACCAGTTGAAAAAACCGTCTGGCAGAGCATTAGCAAACGGCCAAGAAAGCGGCAGAGTGGATAATATGATATACGGACAGTGCCCAGTATCAACAATTGGCCAACAATAGATATCACGACGGCCCAATGTCTGTTTTTGATGGCCATCCAGAGGCTAACAGGTAGTATAGGAGAGATATAGTCCAGGAGCAGAGTCTTATCAGCCGATGATGGCCCTGTCTTGAGCTCTTCCCAAGGTGTCAGGATCTTGTTTGCGAAATCGACTTGCCGCCACAAAGCTCCTACTACAACCAGAACTAGTTGGATATATAAGAGTCAGCAGCCAAAAGGATTACATCGGATACTCTCTCCTGTGAGAGTGTTTGCGTCTTACCTGCAGTAGGGCCGTACTTCCAGGCATAGTGGTTCGCCTCTCGTTGAGCACTAATGCCGTTGCCTTGCTCAGAAAAATGATACAGTAAAGCTGTGGTCAGTAACATTAGAAAAAAAGTGACAGCAAAGGCAATGAGAGCGGCTGGGCTAAGCCATATTGGCATCCACAAATTCGAGCGAGAACTCTGTGGCGACTTGGCGGGAGGCGCCAGTGAATACTGAGTAGTAGTAGTTGACGCGATTTCTGCAACTACCCCGGCATCAGACCCGTAAGGTGTCGGAACCGACACGGCCTCATCTTCATCCTCAATTTCCGCTTGGTCATCGGTTTGGGCGGCTATAGGCCTGTCAGTCGTTCGTCGTTCGTCGTTCGTAGAAAGTCCCGTATAACGCCCATCGACGCCACAGGAGGCGCACCTTGATGATATGGTCCCGCCCTCGCCTGGATGGGCTTTCTTTTCAGTGACACGATCTGTTGATACGTGCCCAGGCGCGGGGGTCGTGACCCTGGCCCGTCGCGATCGGACATAATATTCGATGCCAAGGAGGCGTCGCGAAAGCCTCACAGAAGCTGTGGAAGCAAAGGAATGAAGAAGAAAGTCTCGACATTGTTTTTCTCTCTCTCTCTTTTGGTTCCTCTTAGGCTTGCTTACAGGCGATAGGTCCTTACTACTGGTCATACAGGCCACTTGATGTTCTGATAAGTCCTCGGATCCAGCTTATGCACCTAGGATATGAATCCTTAGTGTCTCTCTAGCAAGTTGCTGTGTGCGCCAGAACTGGTTTCGCTAGACGAAGCAAGCCTTTCATTGGCACGGGTGGCGCTGTTGTGGGTGCGTGGCTCGACCTAATATCAGCTCTAAGCAGGGAAGTGCCGGAGCGAGCGCGGCATTCTGTGGAATGATGTGGCGGTGCCTTTTTCTTTGTCCTCACTCTTATTTTCTGGGAGGCCTGGGGGAGGCTGTTTCACATGAGGTCGAAATGCGTTTCGCATTGATGACAGATGGGACGAGTTTGGGGTATTGGGGTAAACGTGGTTCCGGCGATTGTCGAGGCCTGCTTTGTTTTGGCGCAACAAAGGCGATTAGAGGGGCTCGTTCCATTCCACGTGCTTCTTCTACGCCGCATTCAGCCAACACAATGTTCCAGATTACCTGCATGTAAATGCCATAGCCTACAGTTCGTGCCGTATGTAGTAGGAGGGTATCAGAAAGCATCGCATTTCTCAATTTTTTCCTCCCACCAAAATGGCTAGTTTTAAGCGCAAGGTCCAACCATCTAATATTCTATAAAAAACTATCAAAACCTTGAGTGTTCATAGCTACATGTGGCTTGTATTTTGTACATTATCCCTGTATCACCATCGCCATTCCCAGCTACTCTCACCAAAGTTCTGACATCCTGTCTGCCACGCGACTACCCGATGAAAAGCCCCTGCTGTAATCGAAACATGTCAAAAAAGCCTAGAGAAACATTATGCTGGTAGATACGGAAGCTGGTTCCGTTGTGCGGCTACAGAAGCGCCAATCGTTCTTGCTATGCCGCCTAGTTGGCGTCATCTTAGGAGGGCCTGAGACAAGCAGTGTTTCGCATCATTAACCCACGGATCCGGCTGCTCCATGACAGCAGGGCCAAGGAAGAGAGACATTTCGTCATTCCAGAGGCCGTCATAAATAGTAAAACTCGTCCAGATTTTTTCGCTGGCCTGTCTGGCTTCTCATCTGCTAAAGCAGCTAATAATACACTCGACGCTCATCCTGGCGGCCACTGCAGTGTAATACCGCGGTCTTGACGCTATCTCAATAATAAGCTTACGAGCAACGACTCATATCTCCATGACGAGATACCGTGCAATGCAGCAGCTTAGTCTCGCCAATCTCGTCTTTCTAGTCGGCACGGCATCAGGAGCTCTCTTGACCTTGTCCAGTTTCGAAGGCCTGGCCTCTCCAGCGCCTCTTTCGTGCATATATGCATACAATGCACCAATTCGAGGATGCACCGCAGGCGATTTCGGTAAAGGCACCACATGCTCAGAGAGCTGCATCGAAGGATTACAAGCGGTGCAGTTTACAGTGCGATCCTTGTGTGCCAAAGTCAGCTCTGCCAACAATCCTCTGCTCAAGCAAATACAAGCCGGCAATCTAGTGGCTGCTATCTGCAGTGCAGGCACGCCAGCTTCAACTCCAACTTCAACGCCGGCTTCAACGCCAGCTTCTCCCCCTGCGACGACGTTACAAACCTCGACGAGACAAACGTCGCCGCCACCACAAGTTCCGCCCACATCTCAAAGCCCATCAGATGTTGCACCCCCTTCAACATCAACGCAAGGACCTGTTTCTACTGAAGCAGCATCAAGTGCGGTAGCATCCACCACACCGGATCACAGCATCACATCAGCAGCCGTTCCCAGCTCGACGATCGAGTCCGTCGCACGAACCTCGCAAACAAGTGTCGATCAGCCCTCTTCATCGAGCGAGGAGCCGTCAAAACCAACACGGCCGATCAATCCTAACGCACAGCCGGGTAGCGGCGGCGGAGATCCATTCGACTTTGTCGCAATCAGCGCGGCAACCAAATTTAATTTTCCCGAAACCCTCATCACAGTGGCCACTGCCATTACCGCCACGCTGGCGACACTAATGCTGATATAATATTGTATTTTTATTTGTTTACTGCCGCAGCTTGGATTCTGAGGAAGTTATCAATCTTTAATATCTATGTAATGGTCGGGAACAAGAGCCTGGAACAGCGCGCCTATAATTGAGCAGGGAAGCGCTAACCGGCGGCATGAATTCCCAGCACGGGGGCACTTTAATGACAATAATGCAAAGGGTGTACATGTATAACAAACGACAGAGAAGGCATTATCTTTTTCATGGAACTGCGACAGGATCGCAGACACGGGATTGGCGAGCAGTACGAATACATGCTTGGCCGGAACAGGCGCAGGTTTCGTTGGATTTGGGGATATGAGCTGAATGCTCTTGAGGGAAAATGTATGATACTTATGAATGAATGAATCAACTTGGCACCACGCCGTAATTAAATGCGACTTGTCGGACCTTTGACGACTGTTCTCCCTTCTGTTTGTGTGTGACGCGAAGATGTAGTAGAGTCAGCGAAATCTGGCAGCTTTCTCTGGGCTTTAATAATGCTGCAGTGAGATTCGATGAATTCAGTCACTGTACTTGGGTAAACAGAGGAACATGCAATAAAAAAAAAGTGTTTTGCTCCCTTCTCTATACTGAGAGAGAAAATGGATCAAAAATTTTCCAAGGTTTGAGAGTGCTGGCTCTGTAAAATCTATGTACATATATCTACTTGTCTAAATGAGTAATTGATTATTAAATAAAAAGAGAGCAAATATCTCTGTCTCTCCCATCTTTATTTGATGATGAACTATAGGAAATTTGTTGAAGAGATTGAAGAAAAGAGCAAAAAAGTAACCGCATCTATCTCAGTTGGCAGATTGAATTATAGGAAAAGCCCAACGCGGGGGTCGAACCCGCAACCTTGAGATTGCAATACAGAACGTGTACCTCATAAGAGTCTCACGCTCTACCGATTGAGCTAGCCGGGCAAATCACATGACTATTAGCCAATCATGAATTGCCAACTGAGCTCGATGCGGCTCGTTGAATGGACACGAATTATTTTATCCTATGAAGGTTTAAGAGCAGCATTACAACTACGAACTTTAGATTAGCTATCTCAGTAGCGTGGTGTTACAATGGGGAAAACGGCCTGTTTGTTCCATGAGAAATATGTATGTAACAAGACAAAGAAGGGCTGCATCTGAGAGCCTTACAGCTGGCTGCTGGCCAGATGTGCACCTTTTCTGCTCATTCGGCTTATCGATCTGCAATTTCTATTAGACACATAGCTGCGACAAGTAAGCTGCTAAACAGGAGATCCGTCCACCAGCCACTGTATCTACTTTGCATACAAACACCATCATCAGTGCTACTAGCACTATAGGTAATCCAGCGTGTTATATATTATGGATTCCGAGCAAAAATATGTAAATATATTTAATCTGATGCCCAAAATTTGGAATAATGTTAAGTAGGCCACCTCAAGCATTACATGTGGCTTCCTTTAAAATGGCCACCTGAGCACAGCGCTATTCTGATTGGAAACTGAAAAAACTTTTGCTTCTGTTGTTTTTATGTAAAATAAAGATTGATATTACAATTTACTCAATATTTTCTTCATATTTTTCCATCCAAGCTACGACACGATATGAAAGTAGAGGCGCAACCATTCGTCATCATCCTTCAGTGCCCCATGCTGCGTCAGCTTCTACACAGTCTGTTAGTTAGAACTCGGATACTATTTGAATGAGTCGCGATAACTGTGATGCCTACCTTTATGGATACTCGGAGAGGGTATGTCTTTCCTCGCCTCCATCTTCAGCTTGTAGTTCGACTGAAATCTTCCATCTCGTTCTTCCACTTTAGCAAAGTCCAGTTGCCCATCGGCGACATAGCTAGTCATGAGTTTCGGCTCCCCAAGAGGCAACTTATCGCCCCGGTCGATCTGCCAGAAATGGTATGTTTTGCCATATAATGCAATCAATTGCTCCATTTCTCTCTTCTCCGCCATTTCCCAAGCTGCTTGCGGAACAATTCGGTTCGGCATTATTAGCATTCCAGATTTGACCTCATAGACGTGGGAGTGCCATAGTCGCCGCTCATCCACGGGTAGCGATTCATATAGCCTCGGCGTGATCATATACTCTATACCTATAATTCGTGCACCGGGCTCCGGCGAGTCGTATATAAGGCATTGGCGAACCTCATCATCTATTCAGTGGTCAGCCTTCTGCGTAGTTTTACTAATTTGCTTTTTTTGTACCCAAGTGGCTGCAATAGTGGTTTGCTTCTACAGCTCGTTTGGGGTCGTCAGCATACGCGTGGAATGCATTTAAATGGGCGCATATGTTTTTGATTGGTTTAAAGTCCTGCTTTGGTTTAGCAAAGGCTTTCTTGGCCAGTACATATTGACAAAGTACTTGTGTGAATGAGGCAGCGCTCGCTAGTATTTGGGTTTCACCGGGTAAAGCCTCCTTAGGCGCTCTATCGCGAGCTGCGTCTGGATCCATGTTTGCAATGCGATACTCAAGATATCGGAACGAAGACTTTTGGTCTTGAGAGTGCTAATTAAATCTGGGAATTATGTGCAATAAATAAATATTCTCTCTAGATCGGCTGCCCGCTCGCCCGAGTAGAAAGCTGAATGAGACATCCATGACGTTGGTGGATCATCACCACGGTCTATGAGTAACGGCTCACGTGGGGCTATTACACAACTCATCGTTCATCGCGTTGAATGTATACTGTATCTCTTTATATCTGCTTTTACATTTTACTATATTATTCAAAATGTCATGCAGACTTTTGTTGGGGGGGGGGGGGGGGGGGTATCTGGCGTAGAGGCAAAACTTCCCTGCGATCGGAAAGTGGCAAACTATCTGGAAATTGTGAGTAGCATCTCTCGCTAGCCGCATCAATCAGTAAAGTCATCCACAACTTCTAACCGGGGTTGCTTGAGTTATCTTCTTCTACAAGTCCTAGCTTCCTAGGATCCGAGTTCTGTAGCTCTCCAAGCACTTGTCTGCAATAACTAGCCATTCCATGCAGGCCATGTACACAAAACGAGACTTTGTAAGATTCTCGCCCGATAAAAATCGTGCATCGACGGCTTCTTGTATGAATAGTTGTAACTTGGCCACGCCAATGCTTCTCTCCTCGATCTCCAGCGGCAAGTTCACTTCGGGCAGTAATATACCCATTGCTAACATCGCTGTCTCATAGTTTGCCAGATACAAGTATATCAAAAAGTCGTTGCAAGCAAATCGGTTTGGTGATCTGGGCATGAGGCGTAGCCAGTTGCGAATAGGGAACATGATTGATAGCTGATCCTCTAGCGAGCGGTACTGCCCAGATAAGGTACGCACGTTGTGAATAAAGTTGAGCAGTTCCCGTGCGGCAGATTCAAGCTCGCCATCTAGCTTGCACTTACAGAAGCTACGAATAGACCTGGCTACAGATTCTAGCAGTGTATAATCTTCCTCCATCAACTGCGAAGGGGGGCTAAATTCGTTCCGTGGCCTCTCAAAGACAGAATGCTGCGCCTGCATTGCGTGAAGTGATGCTTGGCTCTCTTTGGTAGCATTCTCAATGAGCTGCGCGTCGATAGACGTGCTGATTTTAGCCCAAGGCTAGCAGATGTGATTCCCAGGATTTTTAACTTACAGCAAGTTTTCCTTTGAGATAGCTACTGTATTCGCGTCTAATGTTCTGTGATAAGCATATACCCGAATGTCCTTGGTCGTTTGCGTTGCTTACGGATTGGGACTATACCAGGCCATCAAGATCGATGATGCGATGAGGCCCCGTGAGATTTCTTCTCGACACTCGCAGCTCTGACGGCTCAAGTTTTGCATTTTTTTGACCATTCCATGAATCGCAAGTGTTCGGTAATGATTTTCTAACGGAACCATCTGAGATGATTTCGTTGCTGTTCTTAAGTGGGCCGCGCTAATACCACACAAACAGTGCCTCAAATGTTCATATTTGCCAGCCATGGCAAGAAATCTGAAGATTTTATAAACCGTCAGTATTTGTGCGAAGGACTGGACGAAAACTGTCTCAAATACCTTGACAGCTGACTGATGCCCACTGAAAATCCGCGTTCAGTTACTAGGGTTGTGTCTTTCCGAATGGCGCAAAGGTGATATAGTAGAATCCTTTCGTTTGGCGACGTCGGATTTGGCCAGCCAAATTGAGATATTGTTAATGGATCATCTAGAGACAACGGTGCAACGATGGCTGCTGAGGACAGAATGCACGCGCTATCCGTCTCGGGCAATCCATTTTGAGAGGCGGTTTGCAGAGGTATACTGTAGCTGCAGTCGACGGGCTGACCACGTCTGACGATTAATCTTTGACACTGAGTACTACCAACTTAGTGAGATTAATTATCAACTGTGGGGAGACAGAGAATCGAACCATTGAGGCCTAAGTTCATCGCATTTAATCCTTCTCTTCCGGCAGGTAGTACAGCCACTTCGAACTTTCTGGTGCGCCTGCTTCATTGTGTTTCGTGGCCACCGTGAACTTGGGATTCCAAGGGGGGGGAAAGGTTGAAGATTGAGTTTGACTGACCACTCAGGAGAGAGTGAGGTCTTTTCTCTACAAGACTCACCCACCCTGACGCAGCCCGGCTTTTCTACCAATATACGCGTCTTTGAAATCGCATCCATGGCTGCCTCAATGCCGAGGCCGATTAGCCCCATCCCCATTTTTGACACCTGGTGGAACACAGCGGATTCAGTCCACCCTTCGCACACCCCAAACTTCTAACCTATTCTAGCAGGGCGCTCGTTTCGATCCCACCAGAATAGCGCAACGCCACCGCACTACCACAAGACACATTTGTATAGCTTCAACCAGATATTACATCAAGGCCGTTGTTAATACGAATTTTTTTATAAAAAATGACATCTGAATTGTTATAAAATTTGTCATAATTGATAGTTTCTTACTACTTTGGTCCGCGCTTCCTCTAAGATGGCCATCCTTAGCAAGCCAACAAAACCCTAAAGGTCCATATCACCATTCATGGTCCTCCCATCAACTTACATTACAAGAATCAGCCTGGAGAATCCATAGATCTGTATAAAGTGGAGCCGTACATATATAACTAGCTTTTAACATGCTACCATCGTCATGATTAACGAGCTAGGCGGCCTTTCAGAAGCTTAGCTGCCGTTATTTAACTGCTAATTAGTCAATCAATCGCTGTTAAGTAATAAATCTAATATGTACCATACATAAGGGTCTCCAGAATACCCTACCGACATTTTATCTACTCATTGTTCTTTTTCTTCTTGCTCCTTTGTTGCACTAACCCAATTTCTGCACCCATCACGCCTCTACGCGCTCTCAAATTCTATGACCTCGACACCCTCAGCCTTGGCTGCCGCTCGCATGAGGCCAACATCGTAATAGCATCGAAGTCCACGAATCTGCAGGCCATCGGTGCCCTCCCCCTCAGCGGCTGGGCCAATTTCGTATACAAAAACCTGAGGAACTCGCGTAATAGAGGAACCATCGTGGCTGTGCAAACCTCTAACGTATTCCATATGCAGAGTGTGTGTGCCTACAGCATCCGACACAACTGTGAGCGTATAAAACTGCTCTATTGGATTGGCTCGGAAAATCCCGTACAGCTGCTTGTAAAAGGCCCAGAGGCGGTCACGCCCGGTAAAGGACGCCCCGTGGGGCAGATTTATATAGGCGTCGCGTGTGTAGTATGCTTCTGCGGGGGTGTTTGCGAGATCTTGAAAGTCTTTTGCGTACTTGGCGTAGAATGCCAGGACAGGATGCAGAGCAGGCAAGGAGGGGAGTGAGATGGGGGCGGACAGGGAGAGTGTTGTCGTGCTGGCAGCCATGTCTATCGCTTGGCTTTCGGTAGGCTATCTATAGCAGGAATAAAGGAAGGATTACTTAAATTGTAAGCTCAAGTGTTGAAGAGTATGAGAGATTCGTCTGCGTGTATATATACTAGTCTAGGTTTCAGATTTAATCTACATTAACATGTGACGCCAGAAAATTCTATAGCGGCAACTAAATCAGGCGCAAAATAGCCAAGAAGGGTGACAATAATGCTTTACTTACAGATGGTCCCGGTGCGAATATAATATCTCAACAATCTGTTGTTTAGCAGCCATTTCTCTTTACAGCTAGTATTGATGACTTAGTTCCACGCCGATGCTGTCTTTGTAAAAGACCAAATTGAGACTACAACACTTGTTCTCGGAGTTAGTCGACCGAATCGCCACTACATGAACACGGCATATGGAAGCGGCCATGCACGATTGCCAGGTCCGCCACGATTTCTTCTTCGGGCGAGTTAAGATCCACTATTTGTCTGGTGTCGAGCGGCCCGATCCGTTCCCAAGGCAAACCAGTGCCTCGGCGTCGGCTTGTGGGTCCTAAACTGCCGAAGCAAGAGAGTTCGATACGATGACAAACCTGTGTCTCCTACATTTACATATAGACACCCTCCTCAACGTCATCTTCGAGCTTATAATTTGCGGTCACTCCGATCCCTTAATTTTTCCATTTTCAGACAGCAGTTTCGGACCTGTGGGCATTTCATCCTTTTAACGCCGAAAAGGAATCTACTGACCTCTTCATTTATCGCCTCTAGGATGTCATTAAAGGCAAAGCCCGTAAAACTACGTCCATGAGGGCCATCTGGGCGCTAGGTCCGCGAAATCAGGCTGTTTAGCCCGTTGCTGCATATAATCTCAACCCTGCGAGTAATGCGCTATGAACACTCGTCATGCGAATTGCATGACATTCTTACACTCAACGTCAGCACGAGGAGTCGCTTGCACGTCACAGATATTGGTGGGATAGTAGTGTATATCCAGGGGATTGAAGAACTCCCCATCTAAGAAACTTCAGCTCTGTTCACCGTTATTCTTAGCCGCTGCAGAGTGGAACATCTCGGCGGTGGATTGGCGGCACAGCTCACCGAATGATCCGCGTCAGCGGTTCATGTGCCATAAAAACTCCACCCATCGCCAAGTCGTTTATGCGCCCGCGCTAACCAAAAAATCGAGTATGCGTACATACATGCCGCAACTTGCAAATCTTTCGGAAGCGTTCTATTCAGATAGAGACAGATATGGGTAGCACCAAGCCACATAGGGAAAATGGAGGAAAAATAGATAGTTATGATACGTGGAACCCAGTTTGTCACAAACATACACATGTAACACATAATGTAAGCTAGGAGAATAAATCTAATTATCTGAACGGTTTAATAAACTATTTTCTAAAGATACAGACACAAGATCGTGTAGTTCACTCTGCAGAAATCTTATCACTCTTGGATTTTAGTTAAAGACAGCCGTCTCGTTAAAGCAGAACGGCACTGGCGGCGACGTCCAAGCAGGAGTCGACTTCTTATCCATAGGGTTCTTATATTGCACAATGGGCGCCAAGATACGCAAATCCCCGCCGTAGACACTGTCTTTGAAATGGGTGTAAAACTCCTCATTTCTGGTGTACGAGTTGCCGTTGCGCTTAGCATATTTATCCCAGGCTTGGACGATGGCGTAGTACAGCTCGATAACATGGATATCACTTGTCATCGGCTCAAATTGAAACCTGTCTTGTATGCGCTTGACGATGTCTGGCTGGTACAGACCGACCCAAGGCTGCAGTGTCGTCGCATTGTAAGCTGTCAAGCTCGAGCAGCCCCACCAACTGCCACCGTAGCGGGCCCGATCTCTCAGCATGCTCATGACGTTGACTGCAGAGAGGATGCCCGTAGACATGTCGCTGATTGGAAGTGAAGGGAGAACGCCCTGGCCATCAGGGAAGCCGTAGGCCTTGCCAATGACATACGAACTGCCCGCAGCAGCGTCGGCAACCTGCTGCCATCCAGGACGCTCAGCGTAGTACCCGTCGGGGCCATAGCAATTCTCGTCCAAGTAGACAACGCCACGCTTGCGCGCAGCAGCCAGCTTCAGGGCCAGCGACTTGCCAAATCCTCGCCTTTCAAGTGATCCCAGTCTGTAGCCCTGGATGATGACATCAGCATCAGCTATCAAAGCCTCAAGAGTCTCTCGATCCTCGTCTTTTCCGACATCGAGATCGATAGAACGTTTTCCCGCCATAAGTGTGAGTTGAGCCGGCTGCAGATGTTAGTTAGAATAGTTATCCCATGAAAATTGATGTTTCTAGAGGTGTACTTACTGTAAAGTCAGGGAGACGGCTGCTATTCACACGAATAACGCCGGCTCCCATTGCAGCCAAGATTGTGCCGCAGGCTGGTGCGGCAATGACTCTCGCCAACTCCAGCACTTTAATGCCAGCAAGAGGCCTTGCGTCTGGATTTTCCTGTGCCGTGGGAAATGCAACTGGTGGGATTGCCTCAGTAAGATCGACCTTGTTGTAGTTGATGAGTGGATGTCGAGCGAGCGAGCGGCCCATCATGGTGTCCAGCCAGCCCGCGGGCGAGTGCACAATGGATCCCGGGAAACCTCGATTTACCATGAGCTGTTCAAGGTCACTCGCAGTGTATGTCTGGGTTATTTTCTTAATATGCTCATACGCCTCATCTCCTGATGCAAAATTGGCGTTCGCATCAACCCCAATAGATCGAAGAATGGGCTCTGGGCCCAAGCTGCCGTGGAGTTGAAACCAGACTCCAGGAGTGGCCGTTGGATAGATGGCCTGCGATCGCATTTTAATAGGCGTCGCGACAGCACCGTGATCAAACGCTTTTACACCAGGCTTTTTGAGGAGCTGTGGGCCGTCAGACCCATCAATGTGTACCAGAGCAGGTGTCGCAGGGAACATGCCGGCGGCATCAGTGTTGATCGTAGTTTCTCCGGAGGTCGCGAATCCACGCAGCTGCAGGATCTCTTGCCCGATGATGCCCGCTAACCCATGAAGAGCTGCGGTGAAAGCTTGAGACTTGATGGGTCCTGGTATGCAGGGGAGTTCATTGCCAACAAACTTCACTCCATCAATGAGGGACTGATCCGTAGTAAAACCGGGCGTTTTCTTTGCAAGCTCTACAAGTAGCCTCTTGCTCTCCACAGGCACCGGCGTAAAAGCTGTATCAGTGAATGATCCAGGGCCATACACGCCCTCAACTCTGACTTGAGTAGCCATGATGGAGCCCTAGGTGAGATATAAGAAGATGTAAGTGAAGTATGCGACAAGGCAAAGCAAATATTAGAGATCTTGAGCGCTTCTAAAAATTATATCACTAAAAATGTGTCGATAGATGAGATAAAACGGGAAGATAGGGTATCGGAAAAGTGAAGACTATATATATATTTTTCTACTCACAAACCACCCTGAATAATGAGCACCTATCATGTAGAGCATCTGCAGCCAGATTAACGCACACGTAACAGACACGAGCCTCGGCCCAAGCAAGCCTACATGAGCGAGTTGAAAGTGCCGGAGTTCGGACTGTCCTTTGTAAGGGAGACATAATCATCGTGTGGCGGCCAGCGAGAATATGGGTATGGGTATGTACAAATCGAATTCACTAGGAAGACGTCATATGCATGAACGAGCAGATGAGAGAAGCTTTATACCACATTAGGAAATTCATCAGAAGTATTCCATTATTTAGCTAACGCAAAAATAAATATCCTCAGCTAGGGGTCTCATGCTCTTAGACCTTGCAGAAAGGAATTTGTGGCGTGACCGCGTATCGTAGTCTAGTGGAACACCTCGCAGCTATAATCCCATCGTGAAGACGCCTGGTATGCGCGGTGGTGTTAGCCTTATTCCCACTTCTATGCCTAACCCGCCCTTGCAAAGTGAAGCATCTCGGCAAGTGGGGTAGTGGCGCAGAACGATCTGACCGAGGCGGCCTTAAGCCCTCGGCAGGATGATTGACGCTGCGGAACCGCCGAAAGACAGTTAAAAACAAGCTAACCGGGCCGTTGAGTCCATATTTGTCAAACTCATGTCCGTCGGAGAGGCTATTCAGATTCCCCTTTTGACGTTTTAGACAAAATAACCCGTCGGCGTGTGTGGGGTCAAGTGCATAAACGAGTTTACTAGGGAACTGGATTATTCGGATTTAACCGTTGACGTCTTACACGAAGCAAGAGAGGATTTGTAGGATTGCGGCATTTCACTTTACAATGCTATCGACTGATGCTCACCAATCTGCACCCATCTCGGCCAAGGCAAAGGAGAAAGGGTCGGGTATTTTACGCCTGGCCATCGGGCCGGGGCTATATGCCACCCGCAAGGCTGGCTATGGGAATGCCCCTCTTTACAGCGAGCTGTATTGCCGGGTAATTTATGTGCCAAACCCCCCCCAAATGCCGGGATATGCCGTGGCCTGTTTTCTGTATATGTAAAATTTCAGCTATAAATGGTAATGGCTGCTGACGACGGTCTCTTATACTTTGTCGAGCAGTTGAGTAATACATACATTTTCCACTCTGATAGTCTTCCTGTTTCTGTTGGTTTCAACTTCACTTATTTTTATCGCTATCCAAATTTCCGATCATGTCAATCCGAACAGTAGGCGTGCTTGGCACCGGGGTGATTGGAGCATCTTGGACCGGTTTATTTTTGGCCCATGGCTTGAAGGTTATAGTGTCAGACCCCGCGCCGGGTGCCGAACGACAGCTTTCAGATTACCTTCACAGCATCTGGCCCACTCTGGAAAAGCAGAAGAGGTCTTCTCACGCGGCACTGACCAACTATCGCTTTGTGGGAGCCAGTTTCAAAGATCACTTTGCTGATGTCGACTTTGTCCAAGAGGTACAATAACCTCAACTGTTGCTATCGCTGAACAGCGCTAACAAATATGAATAGAATGCGCCAGAACGACCCGAGCTGAAGACTAAGCTTTTTGCAGAACTTGATGCTGCGACCCGTCCAGACGTGATAATTGCCTCTTCTTCGTCTGGAATACCGAGTTCTCATTTCATATCACAATGTGCAGTCAATCCTACGCGTGTGCTTATCGGGCATCCTTTTAACCCGCCACATTTAATGCCTCTTGTCGAAGTGGTCCCTCATCCCACAACAGCAACTTCGGTCACAGAGGCGGCAAAGTCATTCTATAAATCGCTAGGTCGAACTCCGGTGCATATTCGCCAAGAGCTACCGGGGTTTGCGGCCAACCGTCTCCAGATAGCGGTTCTCAATGAAGCTTACAGCCTTGTGAGCCGTGGTATTATCTCTGCCGAAGATCTAGGTGAATCTGACACTCTACGACTAATCTGAGACTGGTTACTAATATTTAAACTAGATACATGTGTTACCAATAGCCTTGGGCCGCGATGGGCTGCCACTGGTCCCCTTCTATCCAACACAATGGGAGGCGGAGGCGGAATCGACGGCTTCAAGCATGCTTTGGAACACTTCGGCCCTGCGTATCGAGTTTGGCTGGATGATATGAAAGCTCATGCGTTCACATGGACGCCTGAGAACGTTGATGCGCTAAGCTCTAGTGTCGCTGAAGAGCTACGTGGAAAAGATGCCAAGGACTTGGAACGAAAGCGGGATGATATGCTTGTTAAAATCCTCAGTCTAAGGGAGTAAATAAATGGCCAGCATTTTGCTTTTATGTTTAAGTTTTTCAGGATTTCGACGGCAGATTACTTTAAAGTGAATAATTGTTAAAATTGCCTTGAGCCAAAGTACACTATATTCTGAATAGTAGCTGCTTCTACTGTGCTAGAATTAATGACCCGAGCTGTAATTCAGCGGAATGTCGATCTCCAGCAGACCAGCTGTGAGACAATGGCGAGGTATCTTTTATTTCTACCAACCTCTGTTACTGGCCTTGTGCCTGATTGCTGCTAACAAGAGATTCTAGCCCTATGAGGATGACATCGTTGAGCAGGTGAATTATGACCCGTTCTAGCCTTCTGCTTCCGTCTTCCGCACAACCGTGCGGTGTTGTTGATGCCTGTGTGGTGTATTTAAATAGCTACATCCAAAACAGAAGACGTCAGTCGATATTGAGTCCAATGCCGAAAGCTGGAAAGAACCCTATATTCTAAGTCTAGGAGGCAAACTAAGACTTGATCCGCCAAGTAGTGGGTTTACAAGTCTTGAGATCTCGAGTTTCTTGTTCTGATAGAAGAGATATGCCGATATTTTGCTGCAATTAACCACTTTGCTGTTTGCTGTGGTTTTACTGATCATAAGATTCACTGTTTATAGCATTTACTTTCAGCGCATAGAAGAAGAGGCGTTTTTGTATAAAAACCTTTATGCACCTTGTTGGAAAGTCAGTACCCGATATCCCGAAACCTTAATTTACCTATGTATATTAGCTACGTCCTAAATGATAGAGAACCTAAAGAGAACAAGTCTCCATGACCTCTTCTGTTGACTATCTTGTTCCATGACGAGAATAACAACAGAAAGACGTCGGTTCATTAATTGTAGGTATTCCCTTGAAATAATATACACATAAAGCAAGGCGCAAACGCAAGAGTAATAGCCACAGAATGTAAATTCATAAGTAACGTGGACATTTAGTTAGTTGACGCACTTAAAATATACATTATAAGAGTAAAAAGAGGTTCTGAGGCTTTGATTTGCAAGATTAGCTCGGTTTCTTGACTTTGAGATGGTTTATCGTTTGGTTGAGCGACTCTGTATACGACCCTGGCCAATTCTCCACTATAATAAGAGCATAGCATAAAGTCAATGGTTATTGCCCAGAAGTTAATCCTAATTGACATCTTATAATGCCCGGATGTCCCAACCTCAATGACTCTAGATTGTCGACCCTTTCATCTTAACCTACCGTCCATATTAGTTATCGTAATCTTCTTGGAATATGACAACCATAACACCCATATATAACGCTATATCTTCGATAAAGACCTTTACCGCTGTCATTAACATCACTGCTAACTACCTGCTTGCCATTCCTGTTGAGCATATGGGCGACCGGAAGCAGGCATCAGTTGAGCCTCAGAACATACTACACAACTACTTCTCCCACGGCCAAGACCAGCACAGCGATGTGATAGTAGCAAGAGACATCAAACGCAAAGCTAGCACTGAAATTTCGAAAAATGATCTGTTGAAGAAGACGGATCATGAAGGCCAAGCGGAGTATTTCCGATCGGCTACATTATCCGGTCTTCCTACAGATATCATCTTGATTATAATGGACTATGTTGAATTCATCGAAGACATTATCGGCTTCAGATTGGTTAACAAGCTTCTTTGCAGCACCGTTCAAAAACTGTGATTCCACTTTCACTAATATTTATTGGCCGAAGAGTTGAAGAGACGGTTTATTCAGCTTTTAATTCGAACGTCAGATACCAGTACTATAAGTGCTAGTTTAAAAGTTTCCTTGTTTTGTCGAATAGCGTTATGGTACTGTATGGTGGCAGCCTTGGCTATTTCTTTGAGTTTGATTACCCGGTGGGCTATAGCTCTAGGGTATATCATTTTGTTTATTTTCCCCTATTTCCAACCAGATCGCACAGTCTGGCTAGGTTCTCGTTTATTTTGTATGGCAGTGAGTCAATTTAATTGTTGTTGCATACAAATTCATTTTCGGAAAGGGAACTGGATCGTGGTCGTCTACTCAAGGGAGTTTCTCATCGCGGTAGCTGTGTAGTGTGTTTGCGAAGCTTCTGATACCTGTTGATGCGTAGCAGGTGAGTGAAGGTTGGCTTGGACGGGCGAGGGGTTAGCTTGGAGCCCCTTCTTCGCGAGGCTGTCAGCTGATTCGTTCCCCTCTACGTTCTTGTGTTCGGGGACTCATAATGTGAAGATACAGCAATCTTTGCGGGGTGCTTCCTTCGCTAGGTGTCTCAACTTCAGGAGCTTGTCCTACGAACGGTCCGGGGGGGACTTTGAGCAAGCCGGATACCACGGCTTGGTTGTCTAGGAAGTAGTGTGCGGCAGCGGGTGTAGACTGCTTTTTGAGGAACCTTGTGGTGAGTTGCGCCGCCACGAGTGCGCCGGTGATCTCGGCGTCGAAAACCTCGGCTTTGTTGAGTGCACCCATGGCGGTTCTGTGGGTGGAGTTGCAGTAATTGATGGCCCCTCTGTTGAGCTGGGACCCGTCAAATTATGAGATAATCTCGGCTTGGGATGCTTGGGAATGGTGTTTAGCGTGGGCGCGGCGGGATTTGGCTGTCATATCTTCTCCCAATGGGCCATCTGCAATCCATATTGCTCTGTGCGATTGCGAGGTTACTATTAATGTTTCGCGGTGCCTGATACTGTACAAGACATGGTTAAAGTTGTTGAATATATCGGTCCTCCTTATTGGTTGTCTAATTCGCGGAGATACCGCGTATATAATTTCTCCCAATCACAGCCCGTCCACCTTGATCATAACTGACTTGGTCTCCATAAACGTTTCCATGCTATGTAAATAGCTCTCTCTCTGTAATCCGCTCCCCTTCTGTCCACCAAAAGCCATATCATCCCCTTTTGTTGGACCCGAGCAGTTTACTCCCACAGTGCCTGATTCGAGCCTCGTGGCAACTCTCATCGCCCGGTCAAGATCCTTTGTAAACACTGACGCATACAGACCGTATTCGCTATCGTTCGCCTTCTTAATAGCTTCCTCTTCCGTATCGAATGAGTTGATAACAACCACGGGCCCGAAAATCTCCTCCTTCATGATCTTCGCATCCTCAGGGACGTCTCTGAAGATTGTAGGATTGATAAACAATCCCGGAGCAGACTGCTCTTCAGTCACCAACTTCCCTGTCTCCTTTCCAAGATTAATATACTGCAGCACAGTAGCATGCTGAATCTTATCTGCCTGCGGCCCATGATTAACATTGGGATCAGCCGGGTCGCCTAACCGAGCAGACGTAAAGGCCGCCTTGAACTTCTCGACAAACGACTCCATGATGCTGCTCTGTACGTAAATGCGCGAATTTGCCATGCAATTCTGCCCGCTAAGGAGCTGGATGCTGAATTGGGTATGTTGAACTGCAGCATCGATGTTGCAGTCGTCGAAAACGATTGCGGGTGACTTGCCGCCTAGTTCGAGGATTAAATTCTTCATGTTTGAATCGGCGGCCATCTTGCGGAGTAATTTCCCCGTGCGCACAGAGCCGGTAAATGTCAGGGCTCGGACGTCCATATGCGATGCAAGCGCTGCTCCTGAGATGGGGCCATGGCCGGAGAGGACGTTGAGGACACCCGGGGGGAAGCCGGCTTCTTTCGCGAGATTGGCGACATATAAAGACTGTGGATGTCTTAGTATAGAATTCATACGTAAAAGGTTTCAGGTGAACTAACTGTTAAAGGCGCTTTCTCGCTGCTTTTGAGAACGACTGTATTGCCTGCCGCCAATGCTGGCGCCAACTTCTTACAAAAGAAGACAAGAGGTGCATTCCAAGGAATAATCGCCGCAACGACACCTACCGGCTGCTTCACAGTAACGTTTACGAATCCCGGAGTATTTAAACTCGAACTTCCTTGAGGGTAAGCTGCCTCAGAGAAGTAGCGGAAATAGTCAGAGCCCATAGTCGCATCAAAGTAGGTTGACACAGGCCTGCCCATAGACTCAGCCTCCAGTCTCGCTAATTCTGCATTAGATTCCGCAATTAAATCGGCAAGTCGCACAAGGTATCTGCCTCTTGCGCGCGGGGAGAGCTGCGCCCATGCTGGGAAGGCGGCTTTGGCTGCCGCTACAGCGTCGTCTACATCCTCCTTGGACGCTTCGTGCACTGTTTTATCATGTTGTTAAAATCTAAGTCAACAGATTATGAGACAGAGCTGGAAAGGAAGAGAATAAGCCCTGATCAGAGAAACTTGCCCTGGGCGAATAATGAGCCGGATCTTGCGGAAAATAGATCAAAGGTCTCATTGTTAGATGATGGGCGGAACTAATGGCGCGCGTGAGCATGTGGGCGCAGCCGATATACAGTCAATTCATACTTCACCATTGATGAACAGCCGCGTTTCAACAGAAGCGGAAACCATCTTCTTTTATCAGTGCTTCTACGCAAGGTCTTGGACTAAGATGTATCGTGAGGATGTGCCGCGAGGATGATTCGTTTTCCCTATCGTAGTGTAACGTGGAATGGATATTAGTCAAGAGCACGGCTGCTGCTAGAAGTCCGACCCGAAGATTGCCCTGCTCGCAGCTCTAATAAGTTAGACCGCACTACACTGCCTCAGCCGTGCTCAATAACACTTCCATCGGAGTAAGAATCTGAATCTGGAGGCTTGAGCAGATTGTTGTGGGCCACATGCATCCTACGGCGCTCAGAGCCAGTAGTAGTATATACTCCGTAGATACATGTAGTAAGTAGTTTCAGGGGCATATGCGCTAGGGACCAACCGCATAAGTGGTCCATTTTTAAATGGGGCCCTAACCTTCTTTTGGCCCCCTGAAGAAAAGTATTATTCTAGGTGTGATGTTGGACGCCGCAATTCCTACCGCAATGCCCATGGGTGGCAAGAATGGCGAATGGCACAATTGCCAGGCAATTTATGGCTCATATCGACGGTATCGTAGCGAGATTTAAATAGATAATCTTGAAATTATATTACATTACAAATAATCCTAAAATGAGAGGGCAACATGTCCATGAAGAGTATCTAAGTAGCTTATGCGTGGAAACTCTATATAGGCACCATCCCGTAAATGACGATACCTAGTATTCAGTTCCGCGAATAGGCCCTTATTATCCATGCGACGAATTATAACACGTATCTAAAGTTATCCTGGTCCTCCACATTCTCACTCTTGTTCTGATTCTCCCGATCAAACTGTCTATTATGCCAAACCAATGCCCACAACACCAAGAGAATACTCACAATCGCGAGCGTCGCGAACCCAACACCCGTGGCAAATCCAGTAGGGTATCTGGGCGCCTGCTTCGTGATGAAGACATTGCTCGCCACGAAATTCGCACAGTTGCCCATACCCAACTGGACAGCGCTCGCAATGGCCTGCTGCGGGCGGCCGCGTAAGTTGCTGTTGAGCCAGCCGATGAGGATGGGGAATTGCATGAATGAGCCGAAAGCGATGATATACAGCGCAAAGTAGCGAACCGCAGGTGGCTGGACCTGGGTATATTGGATACACCAGCCAATAAGGGCAAAGATGGCGCCAATCAGCACGAATGGCCAGCGGAGAGAGAGTTTTCCAGAGGCATAGGAAGTAGACAAAGTAACAAAGATTCCCACCATCCAGATGGGGATACTCATGACCTGGGCTCGCGAGGCAGTCCACCCGAGCTGAGCAAGGATGGTCGGGGTGAAGGACGAGATGGAGGCAGCGCCCATGTCAGCGCAGAAGTAAACGAGGGTAAAGGACCAGATCTTCCAGTCAGTGAGGAGTCTCAGCCAACTGATTCCATTGAAGTCAATCCTCTCTCTCCCGCGGTCGCCACGCAGGCGAGCGAGAAGCATAGCTCGCTCAGCTTCGTCAAGAAATGTAGCATCTTGCGGAAAAGCTGGGATAATGAACCACGCTGCGAATCCAAAAGTAATAGTGAAGAGGCCCTCGAGGATGAAAATCCAGCGCCAAGACTCATAGCCACGGATTCCATCCATGTGCTCGATGGCATATGCGAGAAGCCCACTGAAAGCGCTTCCAAGTAAAGCAAAGCAGATAAAGTATGAGAAGCGGATGTTAAACTCGCTGCGTTTATAGTACTGCCCAATAAGAAGGGCGGCCCCTTGGAAACATCAGTTACAAAACTCTCAAAAGGATACATGTAGAGTGTGATACATACCCGGCGGCAAACCAGCTTCCATAGTACCCATGATGAATCTACAAGCAAGCAGCCCACCATAGCTCCTTGTAAATCCCTGACACATCGACACAACACCTAAATCTCGTTAGAAAATATATTTAGATTTGAACTTTCCATTGTGTAAAATATACCAAGAATTAACATTGCCCCAGCAAGCCACTGATTTGGCTTGATCTTATTTAAGCTCATAAATAAGTTGCTTGGGATCTCTACAATAACGAAAGGAAGGTAAAAAATCCACAGGCAGGTGTTGAACCCCGTTGATGGCATATGAAGCGATTTCTCAAGCCCAAACAATCGCGCGTTGGCAATGTTTGAGCGGTCCAAGAAGGATACAAGGTATAGGCATCCCAAGATCGGAATTAGACGGATGTCGCATTTGGTGAGAAGTCGCCGAGCTGCCTTGGGGTCCTCGTAGGATTCCGCGCTGCCGTCGGGCGCTGGACCGAGATCGTCGAGGACGGCTTCCTCTTTGGTAAAGTCATCGCTAGACTTCTCGGTAGTTGCTAGCACAGGCACATCAGTTATTACTACATTGTCATTTGGTGGCGCCATGATTGCTGGATGTGGAAGATTGAAGGAGCGATAAATGGGAGAGAAGTCCTCTGGTGCTGCTAGAAATAGACAAATGTCTTCGGGGTAAACCCGTTGGCTGGACCTTGAGTGGGGCACAATGTTGCACAACTTACGGATTACGGAGCAGACATTCTGGTGGATTGCCCAAAAGTTACAATGTAGCATTTCGACCTTGTCAAGTGCAAGAACGCACCCCTGCACCGGAAGACTTGAGCCGACCCCAGTGTGTAGCGAGCAGTAAGTACTCCCGCTGCCCTGCGTTGTGACCGTGCCCATGCACAATCCATGCCGATAGTCAGCATGAATCCCACGCCCATATACATCTATGGAGGACAAAAAAATAGTTTAATAGAAGGGGGAGGCTTTAAGACTGTCTTTTCTTCCTCTATCCGCTGGGCGGTAGTTAAGTCAAGATGCCGGAATCTAGAGTCGCTGTCTTTCTCGGTGTTGATATCGGCATCACAATGCTGGCTCTAGGCGTGGTTGTACTGAGAGTCGTGAATCGATGGTCGAGGGGCCGCCTGGCGATTTCAGACTATTTGGTGAGCATAGCTATGGTAAGTAATTTGAGTGATATGGGGAAGATGTTGGAGTATATTTGATGCTTAACTAACTATACCTCAGCTCGCTGCTATTATACATATGATTCTTGATATCATCAGTACGCCGACAGCCACCATTTATAGCCCACATCGAATATCCCAAAACTAATGTCTTCTAGTCACAGCTCGGTTTGGCTATGCTCGCCACCAAAAAGACCTCCCACCCAGCCTCCAAGGATCCTACAAGACCTCTCTCGTACGTCCCATCAAACTCCATCACGATTTTTCCGAGCTGACGACTCAGATGTTTTGGCTCATCCAAATTTTCACCAAACTCCCCTTATTGTTCAGCAAGCTCTCTTTGACATTTGTCTATCACGATCTCATGGACCCCCGCCTCGAATTTACCCTGATCAGAATCTCCCGTGCGGTCAACTACTTTCTCATGGTCGTTATCGCAGGCTTCTTCACCGCCGCCACGCTCGTGAGTATGTTCGCCTGCAACCCGATCTACAAGAGCTGGCTGCCCAAGACTCCGGGCAAATGCATCGATACGACTATCATGTTCAACTATGTCACTAGCGGTATCAACATCTTCACCAGCGCATGCCTCATTTGCATCCCTTTGCCGGTGCTATATCTGTCTAAGAACAAGGGGATCGAGGTTAAACAACTCACAGCCCTGGTCCTTTTTGGGTTGATGTATGTAGAAATTGGACCATTCAGCATACGGACGATTGTTGACTCTTTCCAGCGACACCGCAATCTCCATCATCCGCCTCCGCATGATCGCAGATCTTCAAAACGTTAAAAAAGACTTCACCTGCATGTACCCGCATCCTGGCATATGTAACAATACTAATACTCTCTCTTTCAGGGCTTATCATCCCCACTCACATTATTATCGTCGTTGAAATGAATATTACAATCATCGCCGCCTCCGTTGTCGTCATGCGGCCTGCCTTCAAAGCCATATTCGAGTTCTTCTTGTCTTTACGTGGCAGCCACAAGAAGTCCAGCAATGAGGAGTCCATTAGCAGCAGAGAACAGCCGAATCAGGAGATTCGTGTGGTAAGAGAGTTCGAGTTGGCGAGCGAGAATGACAGTAAGGAGCATATACTTTTAGGTAATCTTTGAGTTGGGATTATATCAGTTGCGCTATTTTAGACGAATGGTAATGCTATAACGTCCGTTTTCAAGTATCAAGTTCAACCGTTGCAGTTATGTATTTTCAGCTATTTTATTAACTATTGTGGTCTTAAAGCAGTCTAGGGTAAATGAATTATATGTACCGATATATAAAATGTAGTTTACATTGCCTGAGATATCCATCAAAGAGCCGAAACCTCGGCACAGTATTTTTATCCCAAAGAACGCGTCCAGAGCGCCAAATTACTACCTGTCAGGAACACGCCAAGCAGGGGGTTCACACCCGGCCGCAGGATCGACCTCTAGACAAGCTGAACTTGTTCAACCTTTAGAGGTCCACAAGCGGTCGGGGTTGCCGAGTCCGTTCTGGAGTTATTGCAGGTTCCAAACTTGGGATCAGTCAGCGCAACGTCGAGATTGACAGGGAGTTTAGGTTTGCTCTAACAGATTTGAGGGCATGACTTTATCTACAGCAGTCCAAACCTTGCATTAGCGGAAGCCTCTAATGCCTCTGAGTGGAGACGTCTGACAGGCGGAAGCACGGAATCACCCTTTTAGAGTAGCGCGAAGGTTACCTAGAATAATGTAGGCACTAGCTATGCGCAACACCCTCGTATGCCCCTCTCACCGGATCGCTGACATGGCTCTAAGTGAAGGCGCTCTCGGTGCTCCTGAAAGTGCTCATTTCATAGCCTCACTTACAGCACTGAGTGTACCCGTACCGTAGTGCAAAATTCGTAACCAGGCCACTTTATGTGCTTCGTATTTAATCTGAAGCTGTTGACTGAGACATGAAAAATGGACACCTAGTTCCTCATGTACTTCTGTCGTGATATATACCTTGCTACCAACATGCAGTAGCCCGTTGTTGGTTCACTGCGGACTGCGGCCAAAAACCTCGCATCCTACCTTGCAATGTGGGGCTTCAGTGGTACTTTTGGCATGAAATTTTTCCTGTACGACCAACATACATTTAAGGTAAACTCTTTATAGCTGAGTTGTGACTCTGCCTAACCGAGGCTGTAACAAGCCCATATTACAACCCATTCAAACAGGGTGGGGGTGAGCTGCGGGTGCATCGACGTGAAATGGCTCACCTGTTTTTGATTCTTTGCTTGTTGGAGATTAAGTGCAGTGGCATGGCTAATATCCTCTTATGGGGCCGGATAGTCACCCGGAGCCAACTTCTTTCTACTTAAATGTCATAAATACCTAGTACCTGACGGTTCATCATTCGCGACACGGGGCCGACAAAGGAAAATACAGTGCGTGGGAAATATCAGCGGGAGGAGCTATAACAGCGGCAGGGATATGCGCCGCGCTTGCTCACTTGCGTATAGAAGTAGCCTAAAGCTGTAAATCAGAACACTTTGCAATCACGTCGTGGTAGTTATAGTTGTTTATGTTCGTTACACCGAACTCGTAGACTGGCAGCAGAGCTTGAGAAGTAGTCAGGGATGGCAGGAAGCGAAAGTCATTGTTGCGTTGTTGTTATCGGATGGTTATATCTCCCCATCCCCAGAACGCGCGTTTGCAACGGATAATGTAGCCAGCGGTCAAGGTACGGAGCTCTCAGATGACTTAAAAAGCAAGGAAAATTTAAAGGAGAGACTTGATGGCCCATCTCAACAAGGGAATACAGAGTAGACAAGACAAGGGCTAGATTAAACAAATTGATCTAATAGTGTAGCTGCTGGATTATTAGATATGTTAGTGTTTTCTTCTTCTTGAACGTTACACTCGTCGATTTAGGTGGTTATTCATTGGATTTCTATTTAAAGTGCTGCTTTAGGTGCTGGTCAGTGACTGATTCCATAATTCACGCAAATTATTGGCTTATAGTGAATAAGTCTGTTATAGTAAGCGGCAAAGCTTGGTCGTAGGAAGCGAAGCCATGCGTTTCTCGAGTTAAAACGATGATGTTTGCGCCCGCATAAAGGGAAAGTGAAGATGGGAGAAATGACGTGGTCAAAGGTAGTAGTTGACATTGAATAACATATTAAAGCTCATTGCTGTATCTATATCATAGACTTAATTGGGCCGACGACTGCAAGGTGGGTAAATTTACCAGCGTTGTCGGAACGTTCGTGGGAACAAGCTTACGTTTCTTGAAGCGAAGATGACTTCGTTTAAGCTGCTGAGCTATAATGCATCGCGTACAATTTTCAACTGAAGGGTTAACTTTAAATTATATAGCCTAGAAGTCGTCTCTCCAAGAAAGCTTTCTTGGCATAGCTTAGAAGATGTACAGCGCACAAAGCGGCAGTAGCCAAAGCAAAAAGTGCACTCCTGCCTTATGTATCATGAACGAAGTACCAAACACTTTATGTTAGCAATTATTATTATGAGCGATTGTTATGGTATAATTTCTGCTGTCGCTGCTATAATCTTTACTACATACCTATGTTGTTGCTACTGCTGGTACCATTTCTACTGCTTCTACTGCTTCTACTACAACAAAGGGTTAATTATTTTAGTGTTTTCCATTAACGAGCCATTCCCAGGCCTCTATCTCTTGGCTGCCTAAAGATACGCTTTTGGAAGAACTCAAAATGCGATAGAGTTGGATATCGTGGCTACAGCTATTGCCAGGCTAGATGAAGTTTCATGAATACACTTGACTTGCCTCCGATATTACATACCTAGGTACCTGGGTATTTACAAGATCACTTGGCCGATAAGATAACTTAAAGGTTACTGTCTGAAGTATAGCTCGTCATCAGACGCGTGTATGTTTTGTTTTGCCACAGGCGTTTCTTTTGCGTATTCATTTATTCATTACTCACCCCTCGATGTTCTATATTTATTTCTCCTTGCTCGCAATTGATCAGTCTTCATCCTGCATTCCGTCATTTTGATACATGGCAACATTTTTGCTCGCTTAGCGCTGATACTGTAATATTTATGACATAAATGCAAAAAGATAACATATATCTTGATATGAACATCGTTAGCTGGATATCCAGCATTATCTCTGCCATCGCCCGTCTCTTCAGCATCGCCGGCTTCGTCCTCGCCCTCGCCCTCGCCGTATTTATCCTAAATAGGCGCCTGGCCCGACGACAGGCACCCGCCCCGCCAATAACCGAGTCCAAGAAGAAGGAGATGCAGGCGAAGTTGGCGATGTTGATGGAGGACAGGCGAGGGCAGCAGGCGCAGGTAGGTGTGGGCAGAGGAGCTGGATTGGGGGATCAGTTGCCCCTATTCCCAACTTTCTCCCTATGGCCATCGCGACTTTCACTCTCGCAGAGTCGGTTTGAACATGGTTTGGCTGATAAAGTCTTGGACTATTATTTTTGGTGCGTTGGGGGTCTTCTCCAGGTATCTGAGGTTGGTCATGACTTGACTTGTCCATACTTTGGGATACAAGTGACCGCATCGGCCAGAGATTCCTCCGGTTCGAAGACATCGAAGACATCGAAGACCGATTCTTCAAGCCGGTGGACAGTACTGTAAGGGGGCCCTAGTCTACTGCCAGATTCGGTCCAGGACCCCCTCCGGCTCCACGACCTCGACGGCTGCCCCCCAACGGACGGACATGCGGAGGGACGAACAGACTAGGACTGGTTCGTTCGGCATGAAGTCGACCGTCTAACTAGTTGAAGGCCGTCATCACACGGTTGATGCACAGATTCCTTTGGCCCAGGTGTTAGAATCGTTTGCAAATCGTATAGCAATATACAATTTTCTTCATCATATCGGCCGCTGCGTGGTATTCGTCTGCAGTCGCCGCTGTAGTTATGATTAAAGCTATAAATATTGTGGGGGCCATCAAACGATGGTCCCATGGGGAGCCTCTCTTTGGGGAGAGCGAGGAGGTGAAGAAGGTGAAGGAGCTGGAGATTGTGGTGGAGGTGCTGCGGGGGAGGATGAGGAAGGGAGTAGAGAAGCTGGAGAGGCAGGTGATGGAACGGGATAGGGTGCTGGTGATTTTTGAAAATGGCAGATTAGGAGGTTGCTTTCGGCGCTTTGGGGGTCGTTTGCGGGTATCTGGGGTTGTGCATCACCCTCAGACAACGCTGCAAGCTCATCCTGGATGGCTTAGTATTCAGGATGAGGGCTAGCGCATCTTCCAGAGACTCGACCAGCTTAAAGACCATGTCTTCAAGCCGGTCAGAAATCCAACAAGCGCTCACCAGGATCCCTCAAAGATAACCAAACAAGAGATTGAGTCAGCTTGCGCCGCAGTCCTAACCAACGTGATCTATGGTCGGAACCGCACTGGAGGCATACAAAGTCTGCTTTGATGCTACCCTCAAAAAAGAAACCTCAATCAAAATGCTGGAAGCCAAGGATTGGTCCTTTTGGAGCGGATACAAAGATTTCAACATCAAGATGAATCTGGCCGCCAAGTACGGCAAGAACCGGAAACTCTACCATTCCCCCTACTGCCACCCAAATCCTTGTATCCCTGACACTTGTCAAGATGAGGACGACTGGCTTGAAGACCGGTCGACAGTAGAGTAGGGGGGGCCTACTCTGCCGCTGCATTCGGCCTAAGACCCCCNTATATATATATATATATATATATATATATTACCCTCTTCTTTTATTACACACTTTTTTATTATTATTATTTTTATACTCTATCACTCTTTTCGTTTGGCAATTCTTATAACTATATCATTCTTAACATCATAACACCCTCTCAGAGAGTTCACACTTGGTCCCGGGGTGTTTTCTCCGAGACGGCCAAAGTATTATAGTAAACAGTGCATACGTTCCGACCAGGTGTTTTTGACAGGGGCTTCAAAGTACCTCAAAACACGCGTTATTTATCTTTTCTTGCTCACTTTCTTCCTTGCTTGTTTTCTTAGGCCGGGCTTTTTGCGAAAATGCAAAGTAATACTACGCGCGATCAGCGTCGCGATATCAAGCTAATATACCGGGTTAGCTATACACAACACGTAATTAGTCTATCACGCAATCAAGTACAATATACTGTGTTACAGAGATTCCAGCTAAGCGCCCCGGACGGCCCAGCTCAAGGAGCTTAAGGTTTCACATTCCCTTTTCTCCCGGTGCTAGCAGATACTATCACATCCGTTCTGTATAGTCGTCAGGCTAACTATCACCATTTGTTCTCCTCTAAGCCAACTTTTTTCTTTTTTGAACTAGGTTGCCATCGCTGGTGGCGGATCCACTTATAGTTGCGGCGGTTCTATATCTCGAGAGCGGTGCATCTAGAGCATCACTAAGCGGCTTATTATCCATTAGCGAAAGTGGTATCAGTAGCAACTATCCATACAGATAGATGACCAGATTGGCTGCAATGACTTTGTTATGATGAATTGAGGGATCGAATCAGACGGATACGCCCGCTGCACATTGAGATTCCACCTTCAGTCGTCTTAAAGACGGCAATGGTATAAGAAGAACGATATGCGCAAAAGTGACCTGAATACTCAGGTCACTTTAATGGCTTTAGCTTTCCTATTTATGGTTTGAACTATAACCTCGACTCTCGACAGCCTTTGCCTATAAACAATAACAGTCAATTTTATTTAACAACAGGGCCGAAAATGCATCTCAGGACGGATTTCGCCTTGAAGGAGAAGTACATATACTATGAAGAATTTGGAAGTCATTTTCGGTGGGTTTCGTACTAGTTTAGTAGCAAAAAAAATGAAGTCTAACCCTTCTATCATAGATCCGAAGCAGTTGCCGGTGCTGTTCCAGTATCAAATGCCCATGAACAATGTCCCCCTCTAGGATTGCGCAAAGAGAAAATGTCGGGCACATAATTTGTATACATACATGTAGAGTCCAGCCCTCTTATATCTACCAGGAATTTCTCGAATTGAATCAAAATTTCGAATACGGCAATCCACCGCCAGAGACAACTCTTGACCCAAACTCTATCACATGGTCATCCTTCCCGTGGCAGACCAAGGGAGACTGGTTGGCCCAGCGTCTGGTTGGACGCAATGGCGATCCATAGCAGAAAACAGGCCTCGTTATCTGGCTATTTAACGTACAAAGAGATATAGATGATCAATCAGCCTTTCGTAGCCGAGATTGTGAAGTCCTTATTGTTCCACAGTTCGGAGCCCTCGATATCACGACAGAACTTGGCAAGATCTTGGCGAGGCAGAACGAGATAGCAGTATTTCTGCGTGGTATTAAATACCGTGTGATGCTGCCAGAAGGGAAGCCGTGCCGAAGGTATATTTGCGAGCTCTATCAGGGACATTTCAGGCTCCCTGAGCTCGGTATAATTGGAACGACTGGCCTGGCCAGCTCTTTTGACTTTCAGATCCCAAAGGCATATTTTCAAGATGGTGTTGAACAAGGGCCAAACAGTCAGCAGATTGCCGTCACTAACAACGGATCTGGCGATTGGACCCTCATCTCACGTCTAAACACCAAACTATGGGGCTGTTCCCAGCCTACAACTCCTTTCAATGTCGTCGGCTGGCAAGGCACACTGTATCCCTATAAGTACGATTTGGCTCATGTGGATACCATAGCCAACATTCGTTATGGTCACGCCGATCCCTCAGTGTTTGTTGTGTTGACGGCTCCTCCATTCGGAAAACCCCTGGCATTGCTGTGGTTGACTTTGCCTGCGTTGAGCCTCGTTGGCAAATGGTAGAAAATACGTATCTACTGCCCTGGTGCCATTGCAACACCCTACAAGAGTTCGTTTTTGGCATCATCAACGACAAACGTGAAGATTCCCCGTTTTACCATCTTAAGCTCGAGTCTGACCCGGTGGCGGCCTTCTTGAACGGGCCAATGGCTACACACGCCCCGGGGAAGAGCTTTATCAGGCCATGAAGCATCAGACACGACTAAACGGGTGATGGTGCAAGATGAAGGCTTCTCATTTGGACTTTTGGAGTTTGAGTGCCCTCTTTATTTGACTGATTGGGCTGCTGAGTCAAGGAAACAGAACTCCAAGCGCCATTTGGAGGGTATCTTCAAGGAGTAGAAGAGTGAACAAAGCTAGTAATTCATTTGCTCATTTCAAGACTGTATGGACAACTAAGAATTCTTCGATCGCATTCGAAATACAACTCTAAATGGACATGTCTACGAATCAGTTATACAATTAACGGCTTCATGCCGTAGATAAGATCGATAACTTGAGTTTCAATTTACATAGATCATAAATTCAAGCTTACCCGTTCAATAGCTGACATCATCTACAATCTAGCATGAAAGGCAGCAAAGTCGCACATATCGGTTCGAGTTATATAACAGGTAGCCGATTCGATGGATATTTAACATTTATATGGGCTGAAAAGTAATGTCAGCTTATTTGACGCTACTTGTAAGCTAATCTTCGCTACATTGATGCGCATGGCAATCGTGTTGCATGCAGAGTTGTTGCACAGACGCTCAGCTTACTTTCTATTCTCATATATCGCGAAAGTAACTCTATTGAAGCCTTGCAGCCTTTATTATTGCTTTTCTTTGGCATCCTTTAGCTTTTCCAAGCCTTCAAACCCATTCAAATCTTTTTCAAAGTCCGGGCGCTTCAGTTCGATAACTTGTGTAGTTCTGCCGTACATATTACCTCCTAGTCTACTCATCGGACGTAGTACCTAATTAATAAGTCAGTCAAATAGTCTTCTTGAGATGTATAAGTCAAGAAATGATTTCATTTCATGGATGGACTGGATGGAAGAATTGCAGGTGAGAGACAGACAAGCAGGCAAGGAGGCAAGGAGGGCAAACAGGTGAGACAAACCGCAAGGTCCAGATGATTCTTATCCTCATTGAGAGCGTCTTCTCTCGCCCAAAAATACGTAACCTCAAGTAAAACAAGGCATCCCGATTTCTTTCCAGGGTTGCTGCGACTAGTAAACTCTCGAACACTTTCAAGATGAGCCTCGATACTAAAGATTGATTCCTTGACGCGTGCGCACGACACAGTTTGGCAATCACGCACAGGCGTCAAGCCAGCTATATCCCACTCAGAAACTCCGTAGGGGGCATTAATGCTTGTGGCATTCACAGCCTCGATGAATCCTTCGCTAACGACATTTATGACGCACTCCCTCGCCTGGATGAGGTTGAGCAATGTATCTTTGGCTTCTTTCAATGAGCTCGTTAATCCGACTGCCAAGATAGGTGGGTCTATGTTCACCATCTGGAAGAAGCTCATCGGCGCCAAGTTCTCGACTGTGCCATCGGGAGACCGCGTTGAAATGAGTGCAATGGGCCGTGGAACGACTCCGCTCACGAGCAGTCTGTAATTGTCCAATGCTTTACGGTCTGGAGCAAAAGGGTCGATGGCGACATGCTTAGCAGCCGTCGCAGCGGCCGAAGCTGGTGCGTGCGTGTGGTTGGCACCAGAGCCGAAGGTCCAGCCAGGCTCAGGAGGTTGGACAAAAGTTGATTTGGCTTCGTCCCATGGTGGTCGTGATGCTTCCTCTTTCGTTGGATCCGACTTTTGCGTCTTGTGTCCATTTACGGCCTCGGTAGGCCGAGACTCGGTACTCATGGCGCACCTAGAGATAGTCGGGTGAATAAGCAGATATAATCGAGTCTCACGATATCACTCTTCTCGAGGTATTGAAGAAAACAAAATGTCAATAGCGGATTTGAAATAATTCGAAGTATGGCATCGAGCTTCTTTTGACCGTCGTCGGCAATAACACGCAAAGGTTCAGAGTGGCAATCAATTGGCCCGTAGCCGCAGCAAGAGTGGGAATATCCTCTGATTAGAAATGCCCCGCCTGAAGAGTTTGCCCGCCCCTCCGCCCTTAAACGGCCGCTGCATATGGCTTTACTCGACGATCGGAGTCGTGCACACCCATTGGACATGATACCAGGATTGGCAATCAGCAAACGGCAATTTGTTATCATTTCAATGCCGACTGATCCCGGATAAAGGTATCCGCTCTGGCATTCCCCACACGTTACATCATGATCTATGGATGTCGTCTCAATCCCTCCTTCAATATGTTTGATACAAGGCCCTGGTCGTGCGTATCCGCAACCATCAGTTCTCTAGATAATGTTCTTCTCAGAGACTTTAACTTAAATATTTTTCGAAACCAGGCCGGGGCGGTGTCGACAGTAAATATGTAGTAAAGCCCTCCGACCACATCCAGTTTGCATCTTGGATGATGTAGTCAAAACTATCTATGTCATCCTGTAGAAGATAGTCCCCTTCTGTGCTTAATTTCACACCGGATGATGTAGCCAAGTAAGTACAATGATGTTCCACCGTCTGATGAAAAGCAGGTGTTTCATCCATTCGAGTTTCTGCACGACTGAGCGATGTCGCTTCTTTCAGAAAAGAGGCGTCAACATGGCTTGGAAAGCACAAGATTCGTGTCGCGATCCAATGGCCATCATCGCCCAGTTTGTCATTTGCTGCCTTGACATCTGTTAATTTCTGTTCATACCGCCGAAACGAAACCATACACTGCTAATTAGTCCATGACTTCATTGAATAGCCCAAAACCGCGATGGAAAGCCGGCTGCAACATACTCAGAACCAATTGGCCAAGGCCTGAAGATTCTGCAAATATTTCTAGAGTCATGGTAAAAATTTTCAAGGAAAGCGACGCTTTCTCTGCCAGCTCCGGATCGGCCCGAGTGAATAGTTTGACAAGCTGCTGGAGGCACGAAGGCACCCACCGAGAGTAGGCGAGATAAGGGTTGCAACGTGCTACATCTTCAGTAGATAAATCGCGAATACCAGAACTGATTTTGTCGGAGGAAGACAAGGCCAGAGAATACACTTTGGATCCGAGGATGTGGCGGGAACGAATTCGTTCTTCCGTCGCTGCTGAGAGACATCCCAGCATTATGTGAAAATGCCGGACGGCGTTGATCCCGAAAAAAGAGCGAATTTTGTTCATGATCAAATATATGATAAGTTTTCTGATCAGTAGCAAACAGCGGAGGCGGGACTGTAGAACTTGCCATTCAAGAATTATTCGTAGATGGAAATGGTCGGCCAAGTCGTCGAACCGTCGGGAGTCTGCTTGCAGCGATAACCCTGTTCTTGAGTCCGTAGGTATGATCTGTTTACAAGACGCAGCGCACTCTTCAATTATAGAGAAAAGATTCTCCGACAGTAACATGCTGTCGTCATTAATCGCCACCTCGAACATCTGAGCACCTAGATGCATAGTAATGATTCGATATGCCAAAACGGAGAGGTGGCGCGATATTTTGGAAGAGATGCTAGTAACTCTTAGACGTTTGCTGGCAAGAAAATTGACGATCGTTGGCGTCCTTCAATTCAGTCGTTATCGTCGCAAGGAAGCTTTGTCTTACATTTACCCCAATCAATGCCAATGACCCTTTTTCATTATGGCTATTTACGTTGCCTAGCAATATTATTTGTTTTGGTGGTAGAGGCAGTAGAGGCGGTAGAGGCGGTAGAGGCAGCAGAAGCGTAAAATAATAGTATATATAATAGTATAATAGAGAGCTGTGTGCTTACAAGTAGGCCTATAAATCCCATCCATCCCACATTCGCCTTTACATACAGAAACCTTATCCACAGCACTTAGTTTGCCTTATTGCCGACGACCCCTCATATTTATGAATAATTAAGTGGCCAAGAATAATACTTAATCTCCCTCAGTATTTAAGCAGCTGCCTAGTAGTGAAACAGTCATCCGATTAGCTCAGTAATTTGATCAAACGCTGCCTCTACTTCAAAGTTAATTATTCATACAATGTGTAGCACTTATTTCAAGTAAAAGGGTCATAATAGAGCTCTTCATTCTTCAAGTACTTGCATACAATAAATCAGTACTCCGTACATTTAGTTTCAAGCGAAGTTCAGCGTCGTCTTAGTTTCATACCAGCTCATTCGAAGGCATTCATCATCTAAATGACCGAAAGGTTATACTAACTGATAGTACATAAATAAAAACTCGCTCAAAAAAAAATTCATGTCTCGTAATTCATGTTGCACGACTGTGTTGATAAACACTAGGTAAAGCTTCAGCAGTTTGGCCTCGTCAAAGTATCAATTCCTTGCAATGCTTAACGTAGATTAACGTCGCTTGGTAGAGTGACCAGATGCAAGTTGTTGTAATAAGTGGGTGAAAGATGCCGAATGCAGCAGAACGGGGGGGGGGACACCGCGCATATGTTGGTGTGCATCTGCCGCATAGATATATAGTTTCAGCCAACTTTAAATGCTGGAAAGTGTCGTACGACGTTACGATCCAGGACCTTAACGGGAGCCGGTTTTACTAAGAACTCATCAGCACCAACTTCCTCCGCAGTTGTTCTATCCGATTGGCTATCCTGGCCGGTCACAATGAAGAGAATGCTTTCTCCCCACTTATTCTCCTTTTCCAGCTGTCGTATCTGCTGGGTCGCCTTAAAACCATCGCATACCGGCATTTGGAGGTCCATGAAGATCAGCTGAATCCATGTTCCTTCGCCATTGGCAGCCAATGACTGCTGCTTTGCAAATGCTTCCACAGCTTGTAGTCCATCAGTCGCGGAGCAGTATGGAAGACCTCGTTTGGTGCAATACATCTGCAGAATTCGGAGGTTGATATTATTATCGTCAACAAGCAGTGCCATGGGCTTGGAGATGGTGATAGATGAGGGAATTGAAGCAACAGAGCTTGCTTTCGCAGACGTTTCCGTGTTGGGATCAAATGGCGGCGTTAACAAACCATCGTTACCACCGGGTGGGTTGGTTATCTGTCTATCGAAGAAAGATGAAATCCTGTCTTCTTTATCCGTGCTCTGGCCTTTGTGTGTTTCTGGTGGAGTGAGCAGGGCTAGTTGAGACATGTATTCACGTGAGGCTTTAGCCTCTGAAAGATAATTATCTGCGTCTTTGAGTACCGAGATCATTGTCGAGGTTAAAAATGGCGCGGTGACATAAAATATGTTCCTAGGGTGTTGTTCCAAGCAAATGTTCACTTCAGAAGCTGGGACGAGGCAGATGGCAACATTTCCTGTTGGGATTTGAGATAGGTGTGAACGGTGCTTCTCCAGTCCGGACACATAGTCGAAAACTACAAAGCAGCCATCCAAACTCTCCGAGGATGTAAAACCATTCCTAGCCAAAAAACGAGTGAAGTTGCTGCATAATGATGTATTATCCGAGCCGCACGTCATATTGCAAAACTTGGAAGGCAAAGCCTTGACTTTTTGAACAAGCGGCTGCGATGGTGGTAAAGAAACACACTCCATCTCCCGGAAGGTAGCCCTAAAATGTGACCCGCGGTCGATTTCTGACCATACTAGACTGACAGATCCGTGGAGCAGTGTTGCAAAATTGGAAGCGAGAGTTAAGCCCAAGCCGGCACCCGTCGAGTGCATTCCAACCTTTTCATAAGGCTCGAATATACGTTTTTGGTCGTCTGAGTGAATGCCACGACCAGTATCCTCAATATCAACAACAAGTTGTTGTTGACCTGGCTGTACAGTTATGGTCACCGTTATGATGCCTTCTGAAGTGTTCTGTATGGCATTGATGATAAGCTGAAGTAAGCTATCACGAAGTAGACCGAGATCAGTTTTGAAGCTGACACAGTCTAATTGGGAGTCATGGTTAAAGAAAACAGAGGCCCTGTAGCGAGTATCATCTGATATAGCTTTGCGCATCTCGTTGGATAACTCTGTCTCAAGCTCGTAGACGGTGTGTAAAGCATACTGTCTGTCTTTCATGGCGATGTCAGCCCATCTGTTTAGCGTAATCATGTTGTTGACTATGGAAATCAAATCTCGTCCTGATGACTTGATGGTATCCAGATAAATGATCGATTCTTCAGGCTCACCCGCCGGCTTAATCTCTGGCAATGGCTCCATATTTCTGCTTTCACGGTGTTTTTGTGACACAAGCTCTTCTGTTAGTAGGTCTGCAGAACCGAGGATCCCATGGATTGGGGTTCGAAGCTGGTGAGAAAACCCTCGAAGGAACTTTTCTTTTGCTTTCATTGCTTCTTTTAGAAGTCTCTTGTGCCATATCTGAGAGAGCATGGTTGCGCACGACTTGACAAACCAAGAGTCTACATCGTCAAACACTAGTCGAAAATCTTTGGACGCCACAACAAGCAGGGAAGATCCCGATAAGGTTTCGCAAGGAGCAACAATTGCGCGCACTACCTTGTTTGATGGGAAAGGCTTTTGATTTGAAGTTTGGATAAAATCATCCAGATAGTCAGTATCTTCCCACAGCCCATCTTCCAAGTCAGACAAGGGTATTGGGTCATGATTTTCAATCTCGACATGAGCGTCTTTGCATGATTGCACGGTAATTGTCGCATCCGGGTACGTAGTTCTCAATATCCCCAAAACCGGTTCCTCTGACCCCGTATTGTCTGCCTCGCTCTGTGCTGCAGAGAGAAGTTCTGAAATTCGGCGGCGCTCTCGCTGGCGCTTTGCTCTCGCCGATTGAACGATATCGGCGGCGACCCAGTCAGCCAGCCGAGCAAGCGTCTGCTGCTGAAGCTTGGTCAAAGGTTCTTGGACTGTTTTCGAGATCACCGTAAGACTTCCTATGTTGACGCGCTCCCCAGCCTCCATTTGTAGGCGAATTGGAGCTCCAGCATATGCACGGATTCCAGCAGCCTTGGCATACGGACAGTCTCTAAATCTCCAGTCCTCCATCATATTAGGCAGATGGAAAATATCCTAGATACGATTAGCAGGAATCTACGCATCAAGCATCATCAACATACATGAGGCTGAGCAATTGTGTGTGCACAAAGAGACTCTCCGCGTGGATGCATGGCCAAGGGAAGCCCAACAGTTGCCAGACGAATATAGTAATTGAGATCTTGAATGCCGATTACGACAAAGTCCCAGCCACTGGATTCTTGAGCTAGGTTTGCCTTCTGCTGAAGCCCAGATAGGAACTCGGGCTCATTGAGGATATCCCGAGTATAGTACCACAGCATGGACGTCCTGAGCCTCTCATTCTCCGTTAGAAAGCTGCGCAGATATTGCCCGGCATTGCCCAGTGGCGCATTGGGGGCCGTGGACGGCGCATATTCGTCGTCCTGAGAAGGATAATAATTCTTTTCTACTTCAGGATTCCAGGGCTCAATTGGCTTATCGGCATTGTCTGGATCGTAGATGGGCCAGACGCTCTGCGGGAGAGCTGGCTGGGGCTCATGTTTCGACGACAAGATGACCGCATCTGTCTTGGGGAAGAAAGGCTTCGGCCGCCCGCTGCTGGAAGCTGTTGCTGTGGGCATGCTGCAGAACTGACGCGATCCCAACTAAGGGGCCAGTAGCTACGATCAATGCATCGCAGGTGAGAAGTATTTGCGAGTACGGAGTAGTAGCCAGACATTGGAGGAGATTCCTAATCCGTTGTATGTCCGTCTGCACGTGATGGCTTCGCTTCGGCCAGCTCCCGGCAACCCCGGCCAGCCCGGGCGTTTAGTTCCTGAGCATCAGGTGGGTCAGCAGCGAAGCTACCCCGAGTATAGAGTAGTATTGGCATATCTCGGACCGGGGGTGCTAAGCTTTGGCGAATGGGCTCTCGACACTTGCGTGAAAGAAGTATTTCAGATTGAGTTTTGGCAAACGTTCGTGAAAGGAGATGCCCTAGAATGCTTCTGCCCCGCCTGTGAAGACGGGTATCTTGATGTGATGGAAATTCCCGATCCATCCAGTGATCGAGAAAGAAATGCCATAGCCATTTTCAGGGACCTCCCAAGTGGAGAAGAGCTCTTGTGGAGATGCGGAGCGTACTGCTAGCCTTGAAATAGAAGTTACTGTAAGGCTATCAGCGAAACGGAAGTAGACCTAAATATTATAGAACACCTATTGTGATAATTGCCACACGTTGTGTACCTGGACTGTCAACATCCAATATAGCTCTTATGGACTTTAAACTATGCCTTCAAGCATATCACTTCTTCAAACTCTACCAAGAACGATGCTAAAATATTCAACATTATGAGTTGGGCTCTAAAACGCATGTTTCTTTGCCTTCTCCACCATTCCGCCATCCCCACGCTTCCCTAGATCCATTTACGAGTCGCGGTAGCGCAAATGTATGATCCGTGCAGCCTGCCATATATCATGCCAAGACACGTTAAGTGACATTTTCTGCCGAGATCTTGCTATGTGGAGTTCCCGGCGCGGATCGAACCCAGGACCCAGTCGCTTGAAGAGATACATTCGCCGCGGGTTTACTGGTTTTCTATTGGACGAAAAGAAAGAATTTGTATTATGGGTGTCTAGTGTTTGCTAGCAGAAAGAAAGGCTAAGGGCTTCATTGCCTCCATACAACTCAAATGACATATAGGTAGTGGATAAATATTTACGGCAGTTCCAATGTCTTGCGCAAGACAAGCTAAAGGAAGCGTTGAGGTAGGACGTCTTTGCTTCTTTTAAGAATTTCCAAATTTCTGCTTGACGATTACAAATGCTATATAAAAACGGAGATAGTCGCAGTCACAAAGATCCACCTATACATTCATGTACGTGTTCCTATTCGCTTCATGCCCATGTTAGAAGTTATAGATTAATATAAGGGTTCAAGAATGAAGCTATAAAGAGGTAAGAAAAAGTAATACCATTCATCTCGTAGCGCCTGTGTACAAACCCAGAAAAAAAACGCTAGTAAGTAAGTAATTGGTAGTTTTCTCACTATTTGCCCCGGTGAAATGCTTTTGGTAGAGGCGTGCATACAAATACAGTTCGCCTTGCAGAATAGGTGAATCCTAAGATATAATGCGTCAAGTAGCAGTAAGGTAGAGTTTGACTATCAAATATATGCAACTCGTGTTCTTTATCCTAAATGAAGAACCTACTCTAAGACTATGATCTCTCCGTAAACATCCACGGTGCAACAGCGTCAGTCTTTGCCCATACTCCCTTCAAAATATTAATTCTTTTAGAATGCATCTACGTCTAAGCCATCATTCAATGAATCCAAACCATTTCATGAAGCAATCAAAATACCTAGTTACATAATACGCCAGGTCTTCTGCAGTAACCTCAATAGAACGAAACAAGACAATTAATTGAGCAGATAGCAATCTTCTTATCCATGACATGGACTCTGAGCCAGAGATTTACAATTCTTGCATGAATACTGCCGCTGGCGGTTTGGTGCAGGCTGCGGAGTTACTGCGAAAGAAGGTTTTGCAGCCGCAAGATTTGCAATCTTGGAACGACACAGTGATTATAGGGGCATTCTAAAAAGCTGTAACTTATCCAGGTACTACCTGTAATGTGTCTATTTGCATTTAAGAAGTCAGCTGGCATCGAAATCCGGGTAGGTGGTATTATTAAACAAAGATGTATCCATACTTGCCCACAAGCTGACTTTTACGTTCCCAGACTGGAAACCATCTTTTCCCCACAGCTTCAGAACTCGTGCAAACGTTGGACTTGCCACGTTTAATCTAGGCTGCCGGAACTTATAATCGAATGAACACACCACAAATTCCCGGAATAGATCACTTTATAGGCGATGTGCGGGATGCCTCAGAATGGCCAGCAAAGTATGACTTCATCGACAAGTCTATGGTATATGGTATATGGTATGTGGTATATGTGGGCACTGGCCCAACATCTGTTCAGGTACTGCCATACATCCAAGCGCAAGCCATGTCGGTCAGTGCATTCTATCAAAGCATGATTTATTGCCAACCGTTCAACAACTTCAAATATCCGGCTTGTGTTAAATGGGCATTCTGTTGAGTCCCTGGATTTCTTGCACCGTACGCCCATATGGTTGGGAATCTCTTTGGTATATGGGCGTATTTCGCTTTTCGACCTGACTCGGATGGCAAAGAATACAGAACGCTATTTTCGTCGACATTTTAATAACAAGTGCCTGATGCTATTCTCCGTCAAAAATTAACACCAAACGGCCGATTTGGGTCCAAGAGGCCACTAATGTCTCTCTCGGGAGTTTTTAAGACTCTTCAAAAAGATAATGTTTAGGTAGTTAGCAACCCATTATTACGATGGGTGGATATTGTGTTGTTGCAAAGCGACCGCACATACAAACGATGTTGTTTCATAAATTCATGATCCGGTTGCAGTCAGTCATTGGCGTTCAGAATCCCAATCAAAAACCCAGACGACGCATTATAATCTGACAGAGAAACGCTAATCGAATATTAAAATTAAGGACGATGATATCAAATTTCCTAATCTCATCTTCCTGAACGGCCCCGATACCGCCATGGCTTGGTCAAAACTGGTCAAAGGATTGGAGATACAAGCAGCTCTCAAATTTTAGATTATCTGACGTATTTATCAACATTCTATAAGACTTTCCTGCTATACCCTAGAAACACGCAGAGAAGCAGAAGCTTGGACAACATCTATAAAGCCAGAGCTCAATAAGCTAACCAGCTGCACGATTCAGTTATATATCAATATCGCTACTCTAATCCTTTACTGTAAATAATCGTCTTATGCAAATACTTATCCTGGCCTTTTCACCTTATTTTATAGTCGAATTTGGCATTCCTAAATTCTACACTTTGTTCATGAATGAAAGCAGCCCGTAAGCTTAGTGCACTCTACCTGGACATATAGCGTTGAGTACGAGATCACATATGCCACAAATATCCCTTCACCTACATGGATGCAGCTTGTTTTACCTGACGGTCCTCTTTCCTAAAACTAAGGCCGCCTAAAGTCGGGCTAACAATCTGTTGTCAATCATGGGCCGTAATAGAACATTTGTTTCTTTTGAGTCGTGAGGATACGAGAGAAGGGTCCACAACTCTCCTTTTATTTAAAGTGTCTCTTAGCCCTTGCAGCACCCTGTCAATATGCCTCTAAGAAAGGAGATACAATAATTTACCTATACCTCACATTGAAAATCCTCTCAACGGCTCAGGGGCACTGGTGAGTCATACGAAACGCCTGCTGCGAGATCGCTCAACCCCCTGGAAGTACAAACGCCTTATCATTGCACAGATCATGGTGGTATTTTGGAAAGTACCTATCTTCTAATTTATTTTCATTCAATTTTCGCCAACATTGGCTTCAAAACGAGAAGAGATGCTGTTACATCTAATCTGACGGCAGCTCGCCCACGCGTCGTCTGTATAAGAAGATCATGTTCAATATGAGTAACTTCACAGCCTATTCCATTTCAAGCTTGTGTCAAGATGAGTAATGGGAGCAGTCAAAATTTGGAAAGAATAGCTCGTCGCGTCTAGTTTCCGATGACCGGTTGGTCCCTAGTCACTCAAATATACGCAAAGCACTATCACATGTAAGCTGCGCACCTGATCAGGCACCGCGCGCTTGGGTCATGCAACCAACTGGCCCAAGCACTTGGTAACCGATCAAGCTGATTGCCTATTTAGGAAAACGACGAAAAGGAAGACTCACCAGCGCTGGTACGTACCTCCATCTCCGTATAAGTCGTATTCCTTAGGCCTGGCGCGGGTAAATCGGCTTGTTTTCAGCTACGCCAATCGGACGCCGTATTAGTTAGCGTAGCGCTCCGATTGGTAGAACCACAAATTGATAAATCTATGGAGTACCCCGTAGATGGCAACAAAGTAACGCCGAGCTTTCTAGTCATGTCTTTGCTAAACGTTTAGACGTGCGTTACTCTCTGGGGAAGCCCATCTAGTAGTACTCGCTTGAATCGTGGATCGCTCAACTTTTACCCGTATTACTCCGAATCACACAAGAGCTGGAGTACAAGTGAAATTTCCACATCAACGGAATGCCGTAATGCAGGAGCGATAATGCTCCGAGTATTACGACCCATTATCAGAGTCATCTACTCCATGCGGCGTACCAGGCAGCAAAAGGCTAACGATAGGAGGAACAAGGCTCACAAAAGTCCCTTCCCTATTCAGCTAGATTGACCCATTTGACTCACACACCGACGGCGAACTCTTTAAGGGCGCGTGGCACCGGGTCCCGCTATTATTTCCGACTTATCAATTCGTTCTTTGGTTTAAAGATCTCAATGCCAAGCAATTCCTGTTGTCAACTCGAGTTGATAGTCTTTGCAAATCGCAAGGCTGTGAGGCGGACAAGGTGCGCGCGATGGGATCGCTCAACCAGCCAGATTATGTGGCCTCGGGCTTGGCGATTTTGATCGCACTGCTCTCGATTCCGTTTATTCGAAAGCTTGTCACGAGCCGCCGAAACACCAAGAATCTATACCAAGATGGTATTACATACGAAGACATTGATGGAGTCGCGAGCGAAGACTCAGCGGCTCAATTTTCGAACAAGCGCCAGTTTATCGCGATTTTCACCATCAGTCTGTTAGCAATCGCAATTTCTCTTGCAAATGCAATTTTCACGGCTGTCCAGCAAGGACTCGACATTTCGCGTTCAGCGGTGCCCCTTTTGGGGATATTCTTACTGGTGCCTGCCTGGGTAAGTTGCAGCGGTTTGCACATTCTGAGCTTGAAGCTGATACTCTGTAGATACTTCTGCTTTTGCAATTCACAGTCGCTTCTAGAGAAGTGGCACCAGTGGCGAGATTCAACACTGCTGCCTCAAGCCTCTATACGTGCGTCTCGATTACTGCGATAGCTTCAGTGGATCTTCATGGAATCAATGGCCTCGACTACAGTTACGGTGACGGACTTTTCGTTACTGCAATTTTAACGGAAATTCAAATTGTCGCATCACTGGCTTTGTTTGCGACGGTCTGGTTAATCCGAAGACGTCCAGACGTCTACCGCCCAAATGGAAAAGTAGTCGATTCGCTATTCACAGGCACTCTGTGGGAGAGATATAGCTTTAGTTGGAGCTTGGGAATGCTTAACGCCGCTGGCACAGAGAAATTTGAGAATTCAGACATGCCGTCAATGGACCATGCTACGAGATCGGAAAATTCGACAGCAGACTTTAAGCGAATGATCTTCAGGGAAGATAAGCTCCCTCTGTGGGCGCACATTACCTGGAAATATCGATGGATGTTCCTTTATCAGTGGTCCATGATTCTTTTCACAAACTTTTTCGACGTCGCCCCCGCCTTTGCAAACTTACAGCTGCTTCGATACCTTGAGAATCGTAGCGACAGTGGTATTATTGACCCCGTTGCGTGGAAATGGGTGGCTGCAATTGTCGTGGCTACAATTAGTTCGCGCTTAGTTGACTCCAGAGTCATGTGGTCAGAGATGGCTGGTATGAGATCTCCTTCGTCTTTGTGCCTTCCATTGACTTTTTCGGGCTGCTAATATTCTTTGCTTAGATATTGTTATTCCTCTGAGATCAACTTTGACCGGGCTGATGTATGAGAAATTGATGAGAATTGAGGATTCACTTCATGTTCCCAAGAAGGTAAGATACAATTCCGTAATCTAAAAAAAGCATGACAATCCTATTTCCAAAGCACAGCGCATAATGGAATGAATCACTTTCCTCAGCATTCAAGCCAAGCTAATCATCTGACTCAGGAGTCTTCGGATTCAAGTGCTGAAAATTCCGATGATGCAAAGGAACAAGACGGGCAGCCAGCTTCAAAATCCCAGCAGGATATTGTCAACATGTTTTCGGTCGACTGTGATGCAATCGCCAGATTTGGATCGCAAAGCGCACAATACGTAAACTGTGCAGGACAATTCATAGTTATCGTTGCATTTTTGCTCCATCTTGTTGGTTGGCAAAGTTTGTGTGCAGGAATGCTGGGACTCTTAATCCTTTTCCCTATCAACAGAGCTCTCGCAGCGGTATACGGCAAAAACCAGAAAGTTTTGATGAAACTTCGTGATGAGAGAGCTGCTGTTACCACAGAAGCCCTAAGCGGAATCCGACAGATCAAATTTTCTGCTATTGAAACCCAGTGGACGGAGAAAATCGAGAATGTACGTGAAGGAGAGCTTTCGATGCTTTGGAAGACACGACTCGACAACATTTACATGGCCTTCGCTTCAGAGCTTACTCCTATCGTCATCACGGCACTTTCTTTGGCGACATACTCCTACATCAATGGGAACCTGTTGCCTTCGGTTGCTTTTACGGCGATTACGCTATTCAGATTCCTTGAAGGCATCGTGGAGCATATCCCACTGTTGTTGGTTACAGCTATCAACGCCAAAGTCAGCTGCGACAGAATCGACAAGTTCTTCCGCATGCCTGATAAGGCCGATAATGTCCACCCAGGCGCTGCGATATCGTTCAGCAACGCCACCATCACCTTTCCTTTCGGCGCCGATGGTCCAACGGAAGACCAATTTGCTCTGCGAAAGCTCAACCTTAACTTCCCTAGCAGTGGGCTGAGCGTTATTTCAGGACCTACTGGATCTGGAAAATCACTGCTCCTGGCTGCGATTCTCGGCGAAGCTGAAGTTCTCGGTGGCTATATACAAGTTCCCAAAGCTCCTCCTCCAGAGCAACGATTTGACAGCAAAGCAACTCCCGCCAATTGGATAATTCCAGACGCAATCTGTTTCATCTCCCAAACTCCATGGATTGAGAATGCCACCATCAAGAATAATGTGCTCTTTGGCCTTCCATTTGACCCTGTTAGATACCAATCGGTTCTTGAGGCTTGCGCCCTTGCGCAGGATCTCTCCCTATTTGAAGACGGCGATGAAACTGAGGTTGGAGCTCAAGGAATCACGCTAAGTGGTGGACAGAAGTGGCGATTGACTCTTGCACGGGCTTTATACTCGAGGGCAGGCATCATGGTCATCGATGATGTGTTCAGTGCTCTCGATGCGCATGTTGGAAAGGACGTCTTTGCGAATGCGCTTTTGGGCGATCTTGCGAAAGGAAGGACTCGAATTCTAGTCACTCATCACACATCACTCTGCCTGCCGCGAGCAGATTACGCTGTGCATCTCTCAGCCACTGGAATTGTCGAACATGCAGGCTCAGTGGAGGAATTACGACGCACTAAAGTCTTGAATCAAATTATTGAGGCCGACGACGCCGCGGAGCCCGAAGAAGGGCAGGGAGATATCGATTCAGCTATTGTGAAAACGAATGGTCAAGCGTCAAACACATCGCAGACTCCTGCGCCAAAGGCCAAGAAAGCGCCCAAGAAGCTTGTGGAAGATGAGAAACGAGAGACTGGAAGAGTCAAAACTGCCGTCTATGTTGGATACCTCAAATCGTTCAGCGGATATACTCTTGGTGCTTTTCTCGTGCTTTTATATGCTTTGGCTCAGGGTTTCACGCTTGGCCGCACGTATTGGATCAAAACCTGGTCTGGTGCATACGGAGAAGCTGATGCTTCTTTCTCACCGCGCGTGACGTACCATTATCAAGAGAAACTGCAGACACAGCTTTTTTCTCAACCAGCAAGCTACTTCAACTCAACAGGTGTGACCGCAAGTACTCAATCAGAGGCCCAAATCAGAAGCCTTTGGTTCTATCTCGGAATCTACTGCGCTATATCGCTCGTATCGGTGGTTGTTTCTGTCAGCCGTCTGTACTGCGTTTATCTCGGCTCACTCCGTGCTTCCCGAAGGATTTTCCAGGGTATATTGCGCAGTGTACTCCGAGCACCACTTCGATGGCTAGATACTGTGCCTACGGGAAGAATCCTGAACAGGTTCACGGGAGACTTCACCAGCATGGACTCTTCATTGGGTACTAATTTCTACTACTTTGCTAATGTAGTCTGGGACATCCTTGGTGTTTTGGTGGCAGGTGTTTTTGTCTCGCCATACATGATCTTCATTGCCATTATTCTTCTGGCGATCTGCACTCTCTACGCTCAAAAGTACATGGCTGCAGCACGGACTATCAAGAGACTCGAGTCCACCAACAAGTCCCCAGTCATTTCTCATTTCGCATCTTCCCTCAGCGGTCTGTCAACCATTAGGGCATTCTCCAAGTCATCTGAATTCACCGGTAGAATGTTTACTCTTATCGACGATTGGGCAGCTTGCACCTGGTATATCTCAGCTTTCCGAATGTGGCTCATGATTCGCATCGGTATTACAGCTTCCATGTTTTCTGCCGTCGTTGGTATTCTTGTTATTACCACCCCAAAAATCGATGCCAGTTTAGCCGGCTTTGTCCTCTCTTTTGCACTGAGCTTTGGCCACTATATCAACTGGGGTATTTCTGTTTCCACTCAGACTGAACTCGATATGAACGCGACAGAGCGTATTTTTGAGTACACAAATTTGGAAATTGAAGACCAGGGCGGAGAGGACGTACGTGCAAGTTGGCCCGAAGAAGGAAGGATAGAGGTCGAAAAGTTGGAGGTCGGATATGCCGAAGGCTTGCCCTCTGTCCTCAAAGGGTTGAGTTTTACTGCCGAAAAGAACCAAAGGATTGGAATTGTTGGTAGAACAGGAGGAGGTATGTCTTTGTTTATAATGCATTTCTTGAAGCTGAAAGTAACCCACGCTGACATGAACTAGGAAAATCCACCTTGTCGCTCGCCCTTTTCCGCTTCCTTCAAACTCGATCAGGCAGCATTACGATTGACGGCGTTGATATTTCCAAGATCAAACTCTCCGACTTGCGTACTCGTCTGGCCATTATCCCACAAGATCCTTTCCTATTTTCGGGCACCATTCGCTCAAATCTCGACCCTTTCAACCAATTCACCGATTATGATCTCCAGAAGGCCTTGGAACGATCCCACCTCGTTCATTCGAGCCCTGGCACACCGGCTAGCGAATCAAATGCTGAGGACACAATTCCGTCTTCTAGTGCCACCATCAGTTCAGACACGAATTCTTCTCTGACACTGTCATCTCCCGTGGCATCCGGCGGCTCCAACCTGTCACATGGCCAGAAGCAGCTGCTTTGCATCGCACGTGCAATCCTATCACGTCCGAAGGTCTTGCTGCTGGATGAGGCGACCTCGGCTGTCGATATGGAGACTGATAGACTGATCCAGCAGTCGATACGTGAAGAGTTTTCCGACTCTACGCTATTAGTCATTGCGCATCGCTTGAGTACGGTGGTGGACTTTGACCGGATATTGGTGATCAAGGATGGTGTCGATGCGGAATTCGGCAGTCCAAGAGAGCTACTGGAAATAGAGGGTGGATTATTCAAGGAGATGGTTTCTCACAGTGGTGAGAAAGATGAATTAGTAAGATTAATTATGGAAAAATAGACATTTGGAATACTTAGGACACAGATTGGGAAATAATTGTTACTGGTAAGGGATGAGACGGGAAAAGTTGTTGGGGTAGGAATATACAATATAATAATAATGGAATTGAATGAGTTAATAATTACCAGAGCTCCTCGGTATAGATAAGCATAGAAAAGGGGGTAGAGATTATGATATGTCGCTCGCTAAGGATTGGCGTATTCATGATGGCGAGCCGATTCGACGAATTTCCAGTCAATATAAAAGCAGTAGAAGCAAAGTAAGTTGTTCGCTTACAGAGAATATTTTGATTTGCCTCCTTTGATAAGAGTAGTAGATATAGTAGAAGTAGTAAACTTACATTAAGCTCTGGTACCTCCGCACTAGCTTGGAAAGAGACCATCTCGACGACATGTATGTCATAACGTTTAATGGTAATTTACGACCCTCCAATTCATCAACCTTTGCTCATTATAGAACGATGGCAATTTACCGACATCTTTAACAAACCAGTTCCAACTTATATCCTTGACGGCCACCTGCAACCTGCTTGTATACTTCCCAACTTTACATACCGCCGATAGTTTAGGCCTTATCGGAGTGACATTGAACACAGACAGTTCATTACCAAACTCATTGAACCAAGGGGCACAGATCTACCTATACCGGCCGCAATACAAAGCATCATGTCCCTTTTAGAGCCATCTATGCAAATGCCAATGACAGCCGTCAAAATTATGCAGCAGCGATTGCTTCAAGCGAAAAAGGTCATTATGGTCTTAACAAGGATCCTCACAATTAAGTCCTTCAACCGCTATTACAATCTCTTCTCATATTTGCTTACCCATGACATTGGAACGGCAAAGATTCAAGTTTAATGGGAAGGCTTCCCGTTATCATTGTGCGCACCGGATCCGAAAGTATCGCTGATAAGATTGCAGTTAAGGCAACATTAGAGACAGCTATTGACTTTTTTTAATAGGATTAAAAGGTCGCGAAACCAAGCAACAAGAGCTTCGGCGGTATATTCAATGGCATTCCCAACAACAACAACTATCCTAATAGTAATACCAGTTGGTCTATTTTTTATACCCCCAATATTCCAATTCCACCGCATAATAGCGCTACTGTAGTGCCCGAACCGCTCGTCTGGTAACCTCGATGACTAATCATTCGCTTAATTTCCCGCGTCGGGTAGTAGAAGCAGACACTTGCCGAATTTGGCAAATTGCTCGAAACAGAAGACAGCCATTAGCCAACGCTCCCGCACGGGATGATGTGTACGTATATGATACCTCCCTTACGGCATGCAGGTCTAAAAAAAAAAAAAAAACAGTAGTCCTAACCCGATATATTGTACAGTGAGAAATCTTAAAGCTCATCATAATGAATGCCACGCGTATGCCTTGCGGCAGGCCTATCCGAACTGGCAACCTGGAGCCATTACATCGCACATTATGACCGTACCCCCTATCTCTCTCCACATAACAAAAACAATACAAAATTAAAAAAAAAACCAAGGCAACAACAACACGCCGAAGAAACTATCTTGTCTGGTATTAGATAGATGAATAGTATAAAAAATAAATCCCCATTTAACATTCCCTTTATATATAAACTCAGGTGATATCATTCTCAAAAACAAAAAAAAAATTATTTCCAATTTCTCACGCCCTTTGTTTATGATACCGCAACAACCATCATCACGCGATGTTTACCAAAAGAAGAAAAGATTTCCCAAACAGAAAGGGGTCAAGTAAAAAAGAAATAAAAAGAAATAAAAAGAGAAACAAGATCTTTTTTTTTTTTTTAAGCTTTATTGCCTTGACCTTGTCCGTATGCCCGTCATCGATGACGAGCTTCTAATAGAGCTTGTGGCGGTAAGCATCGCCGGCGTACCGCCCTCCAGCCTCTGCCGATTGTCAAAGTCCTTCAAGAAGGCGTATACGCTGCCCAGCGGCAGATACTCCAGCAGCGGTCGAAGTTCGTCGGGAAACATTTCGGCCCCATTGTCTCTAATCTCTTCGTTGGCGCGATTGAGCCGCAGGATCTGCATCCAAGACACGATGTCGTCGCCCAGCAAAAAGGCTGGGAACCGCGCCTTGGACATGTCGTCGAGGATCCAAGAGTTGCGAAAGTATGGTCGGTTGAGGAATCCAGAGATGGCCACGTAGGCCGGCACGTCCCGAGGGTCTTTGATGCCTTCGGGAATGTCGCTTAGGTGCGCCACCGGGGCCATCCACTTCATAATAGGGGCATAGTTCTCGGGATGGGCCTCGCGGTCGCCCGGCTCGCCAAACGTGCGAGGCATCGCCTTGTCCCACGCTTTGATGATCTCAATAGCGAGGTCAGACGTCGAGTCCTTGAGCCCCAGCCAGCCAACCACCATCTTGGCGTGGTGGTACGCCTTCGCCATGTGTGACCGCCTTTCGGCCTCCTCACGCGCGTCTCGTTGGTTGATACATAGGAGATCGAGCCATATCCGTAGAGGCGGTGTGCCTCCTTTCGGCGCGCCTGGCTCAGCGAGCATCTGTCGAACGCCCTTCAGGAGAGACCGCAGCCAGCCAGGGGCCTTCTTTGGCGGCGTGGGCAGCGGCGGTGGCATCGACGCCGGGCCCGGGAGATCAGTGGTCGAAGCATCAGGAGTTGGGAGCGAAGCCGCCAGGAACACGACTCGCATGTACTGCAGCGCCTGGGCGAGGTGGACTGGAATAGTTATGCTGGCGCCGTTTAGGAGGATCGTCTCGGTGGCGTTGATATCGCCGTATAGTGCCGAGAGGCCGATGAAGTTGGACGCATCGCTTAGCTTCTCGTGCACCAGACGGCACACGACGCGTTCGCTGATGTCGTTGGTCGTCGGCGGCTGCAGCTCGAGCAAGCGCACCTCGTTTCCGGACCGGTCCAGTGGGCGGTACCGAATCGTCGTTGCAACTTCGGGCGGGGCCATGATTGACATGCGAAGGATGCTTGAGAACTTTCAAAAAGGTTACCTTCGCACGGGATGGAAGGTCAGCAACCCAATTTTTTTTGGTAATCTCGATTGCGGCGGCACTTATAATAGCCATGAAGGGGTCGTGTCATTTCCGCGGTAACATTGGGCTTGAAGATGAGCCCTTGTGGCGCTTCCCCATGCCGGGGTCAGCTGTGTGTCGCTGCATTGACAACACCAAGCAACGCCGTCGAAACAGACCAATGGCACGGTCCGCCGCTAGCTTGGGAGACCGTGCCATCTACCAGATCAGCCACTGGCCAGAGCGTACGGCCCGTCTATCTACTCGACATCTTGAAGATTGCGAGATGAGGCTTTCGAGACGAGCACTTGGCACGTCGGTGTTGCGGCACCATACTATACTCCATACGCGTAGTCGTTCTTCGACAGCGAATACGGGTCGTTGCAACGGAGTCTTTTTGCACTCTATCCACATTTAGCTTTTAGTCCCCAGCAAAGGATTGTCCAATTGCCGCGAAGCGCGGCAGGCTGCGGTATTGCCTCTGCGCCTTTGGCTCGATTCAGCCTCGGCACGTCCGTATTGGGCTCGCGTCGGGGTTGACTACCCACCTCAGGTAGGCCGGGTGTGTAGTACGGCTGATTAACATCCAATCAGATCCCGGCGTCGACAAGAACGACCCTGCTACTCGTCCGGCCAAGTGCATATGGCAGGGGAGATGGTACTCAAATCATGTCATTGGACGGGGGTTATCATTACACATATCGCAGTGTTACCTAAGTTTTATAGAGCAAAGCTCTCAGAAATGACCCCGTATTGTCATACTACATACTAGGTATAGTAATACGACTGCGGAGTACAGTCCTTTTTCTCATATGTGATAACTACCAGGTAGTACCATTTTGTGCAAGGCTCTGATCTTTGAATCCTGGCAGCCAGCAAGGCTTAGCATTGATGCAGCTGCTGCTGCCCGTTCAAGTCCTACGAACCGTAAGCATCAGCCCCGGCTTCAATCGCTCAATCTAGAAATAAAAAACAATCATGCAATGGCGACGGATCCGATGTATCGTGCAGGTGATCTTCCAGCATAACGAACCTGCCACGCGGCTGATGATCCATCACCAATGTTACATCTCGCTTGTCAGCGGACATGGAAGATATCCAGCCCCGCCTCCAGAGCCTCTCAGTGTTGCTACTAATATCGCCATCACCGCCCGGTGCTGTTTTCCAAGCTCGAGATAGCACGATAGCACTTGGAGTGCAAAGCAATCAAAACTAATTTTTCACCGCTTCGTCGCCGTAGACAACACATGCATGCGACTATCCCAAAGTCAGAAAGTGGCGACATCGAAAACATGGATTGACCAACAGAACCTGATATCATTGTGGAGAGAGCCTGCATAATCGGACCTGCAGGGGGCCCCTCAGGTTCCTGTGCTGCGTTAAATGTGCGAATGGGTAAAGTTCTTCATGCTCAAACCGGGAAGTGGTGCCAAGGCATGTGCGGACTGCCGCCTGTCATGATCCAACAGTGGCACTGCCGTTGTTCTCTGCTAGTGGTTGCGCCAATCGACAGCGGCAAGGACCGAGACGTTAACCGAGCGATTCTCCCGTTGTGGTCTTTGTCAACCTGGCTTTTCTCGTTGCTGTCCCCCCTCCTACCTTGTAGGCTTTCGTAATGCGATAACGCCCGTACGGCCCAAAGAGTCTGTATAACCATCAGCTGACTCGGGCCTCCTCTTCAGCTGGCCAGGTTAAAAGTTCGCTTTGTTACTCGTGGTCTGAATCTATCCCAGCAACTCCCGAGTGGAATATGACATGTAGTGCTGTTGGTTCCCCCCAGACCGAAAGAGTCTCCATCGCGGTGCATACGGCCTTGGAACTGCATGCGGGTTTTTCAAATGCGCAGCTAGGCCGCGAAAAAACGCCCATTGGAAGTGCCCGCTTTGAGTGCCCGCATACTTCGTAGAGTGCCCGCAAGTTGAAAGCCCATATGCTATATAAGAGGGTGGAGGAAGCCAATGATTGAGTTCATAATGCTCCTTGTATACCACCAGTCTAAGCTGATCTGATTTCCCGGCATTAATCATCATGGTGTTCTCTTTGTGTCGGTTTGAGCCCCGTCAGGGCTACTGGAGCGACTTTGATCTCAAAGGAATCAAGATCAAGGTCAAGTCACTAAAGAAAGGCACTTTCCAGGACGGCTCAGATCAAATTCCTCCGTATTTCTGGGCCAAGGGTTTCAGAAATCGAGTAAGAAGAATACTAGGCCGTAAGCCGAGAAAGCATTCTTTCCCCATCCATACCGGCTATTCCGAAGCAAGAGCCTTGGTCGGCGATGGAACTGTGCCAGAATTAGCAGCCCTCTCTGACCAAGCCCGGGGCATCATCGCTGAGATCTTCGGGGACATTGGAGATGTGCCAGAAAGTTCATCTCTAAACGAAAAACAATCATTATCCTCTATCGAGTCAGGACCCCGGATAGTTCAATTGAAACTATCCGCCGACCTCCAGAGCTGGAAAGATAGTCAGCATGCAGCTGGCAACATCTTGCCACCCAAGGGCACCGGACTGAAGCCGGCTTCAGACATTGCTCTCAAGAACCTCGGAGCATCAGACTGGCCGGAGGCAATGAAGACGAACAATGCCATATTCGGCTGCGGCATTGCCAGTCTGCTAATGGGCGCTGCTGACGCGCGAACTATGTTCTCCAACTATGTCACTGACATGGCCTTTTACTACGAGCACGGTTACAACTACGTCTTTCCGACGTTAGAACCGCTTCTGCAGAGAGGCTTGGAAGATCCACATGCGCTACGCACTCCTGGAGGGCGCGAGCGTCGAGACGCCGTCTCTCTCGGCAAGCAATACATCCAAGGCAAGATTGCACTGGAGAAGCGGCACGTGAAGAATTTGACGTATCGGTCAGCACGACTAGATCGGCGTTCTGCACAAATTGTTTCTCTGTCAGAGAGCAGCTTGCTCGGCATGGCAGCCGAGGCGATAGCACGAGGCTTCGATCCAGCTGGCGTTATGGCTGATCTTGTCTTCAGCTCCCCAGGCACTGACGTTGTCGATGTTGGATGCGACCTGGTGAATTCAGAGGTCATGAACTCCTTCCTGAATGTGACAGACATCACAGACACAGGTGTCGTAAGCGAAGAGGTTCTGCACAAGATATATGATGCCTACGCTGCAGCAAGCGCCAGGATGCTGACCCAGAGGTGGCATGAGCCAGTCGCCAGAATGTGTGCTGCTTTGTATACATGGCATATCCAGAATGACCGGCACTTGTTCTTCCGTCGCGCCCTTCTGGGCTGGTCCAAAGCCCGAAAGACACCCGCTCAGCCTCAGTTTGAGGCGGACTTCGACGAGGTATTTGACAAGCAGTACCGCACAACTGGCTTCAGCAGGCCGCTTGATCCCAAATACGCATGCAACGGCAAAGACACATGCGACCACGTCGACCATTTCCTTGATCGCAACCAAGATAAGCCAGTACTACGGGAACTCTGGGAGTTTCTCGTCACGGGTCCACTGGAGTATATTAGAGCGGGCCAGATCGATGAGCAGCGTGAATACGAACTTGTTGAAGGCTCAAGAGTGCGAATGGCCGAGCTTTTCTCTCGCGGTCAGATCCTCGAGATGGTTTGGATTATCGCTCACGCGAATCACCACGCCTGGCAGGTCAACTATTTGTTTGAAGCCGCCATGTTTGGCAGCATCCTTGACGGAGGCAAATTGGCCGGCAAGCTGGACAGGGCAGACGAGAAGTAGGATTTGAGGTTGAAGTTGGTATCTTGACGATACAAACTAAAGAATGAAGTCCAAAGATACAAAGTACCAACCGGGGTCTGTGTCATGCGTCGGGTTTGGTATACAGGTAACTTGAACTTGTATACTGTACCTGTATACATGTACCTTACTAGTAGTTGCGGGGCAACACCACAGAGGCGCTTTTCAATTTGCTATTAGAAATGAAGCATCGATGCGTATGCTATATGAGATACGAATTAAGCTAGAATGATTTTATGTTAATGGGATAATATACGAATATTTTCTGTCAAAGTTGCCTTGAGCTTGTAAAACTTATCCAGAAACCAGCCAGCGAGAAATGTTACCAACCGAGGAAGCTCCATATTGACCCTAGATGTGTGAGTGAGTGCATAAGTACTGAGTACACTGAATACTAACATATAGACAAAGTAATTAAACGATAGGATGCATAAAGTATGCTGTGTTGGTTTGCAATGTAGTATCTCGGACAATTCCCCCGCTCGAGAGCCTGATAACGTGCCGCTCGCTTATCAGACAATGCAAGGGATTCAGCAGCCTTGCGGAGCCCTCTCGCTTGCATCTTGCATATCACGAAATCCTAATCCTCGCCCAAACAGTTTTACAGGACTGTGGCCGCGGCTAGTGCAATCGCAATGTCAGTATTCACCCACCCAAGGCCTACTCCTACTGGGAGACAGATGGGTATATGGGATCAGCATATCAAATCTCGGGGAGGCTATGAGCGTAGACATGAACTCGAAGATCCCTTATCCGAATTAAGAGCTATTTAGTGGGCTTATTGAGAGCAATTTAAGACGGTCTAAAATTCTGTCTTCCCAGGGGATTAGTTCTTGAAATCGCAATATATATAGCTAAATAGGCAAAAATATTAAAGAGGGGTGTAAAGGTTCTTTGAGGAAAGAAATAATCAGCGGCTGGCAGAGCGAGAAACCATTTTCCAGCAGCCGAAGATCAAATTATATATAGCGATAAAGGTTTTCCGTGTCATGATGCATACAGTAATCCCACTAAAGCCTGCCGAACCCCTAATGTTATTTTCTTAATCGGCTTCTGAAAGGAAATACACTTCGCTGGGAAGCACATATGATATGGCATGAAGAACCATTTGATCCTAAAGACGATTGTCAAAATAAAATAATGGAGATGCAGTATATTATTTATTAGAATGAAGAACACGAAGGGCATATGGAACCTGGGAGGTATTTACCGGATGAAGCTTTTATTCTAACAAAGGTTGCGACCAACAGATCTCACGGTTCTGGTATTGAAAAAATATCTACCATGTAGCCACATTCGGCAATTCTACCAGCCGATCATATCAACCACACGCAATGTATACAGTGGAAGCAGTTAGTGCAATACTCGGTTTATCTGACCTGTCAAAGAAGAAGGGCGAGACATATATAGGAAGATAGTGCAATTTAACGATGATGCCATTTACTTTGATGAACAGCAGCACCGGATTAGACAACTCAGCATCCATCCTACGTTGCATGATTCTTCTTCTATCTTGCAAGTGGCAGACGAAAGTACCACCAAGCCTCATGGTGTAAAGGAATGGGGACATAGACGTCGACCACTAGAGCAGTCTCCTGCGCAGGCTTCTTCTCCATAGCCATCTACCGGACTTTAAGATAAGAACAATCATGGGCGCGGAAGTCGAGAAAGTAAGGCTTCTATCGGTCTATGTCACGGAAAGGATCTCCGCCATCTAATACTTCAAATGGGCCTGCTACATTTCTGGAAGATAGATGATTCAGACAAGGCAAAGCTACGACAATCTCATAAATAAGGGCTCAAATGCAGGAATATGCTGCCATTAATTTTTTTTTTTTTTTTCAGTGTATATTTCCAGGTGTGCTGTAATAACACGCTTCGTATGTGTGTAGACAAAGGCGCGGTTATCGTACGTTGGAGGCATCTCAAAACTTGCTTCAGGACCGTCATGTGTTGTAAATTAGAGTCCACGCTGTATCACAACAACAACAATGATATAGGAAAAGGCCAGGTCAGGAGGTGAACCAATGACGGGAAAGTTGTCTAATCTAAACGTCTATTGGTATTCTATGATGTCAACCCATTCGTCATCGGCCAACGAAGAATGTGCCGGCGTCAAGTGGTGTATCACGACCTTTAGAGTTAAGTTACTTCAGAAATAAACAAGGCACATTTCAAGTTAAAACTCACAAACACCCTCGACGAACATGCCATATCCGTTCTGCCGATGCATCAAAAGGAGTAATTGCAACTATAGTGAAACATGACAAATAACACTGACATTAAAAAATGTATCCAGAAGCCTAGTGAAGACGAATTTGAGTCCACATAGACGGAAGTTGTTACTAAACCAGGACCAGAAATATAGTATTGCAATCCAGCAGACACACTGCTGGATGAATTAATCATGGTCACAAATAAAGCAGAGCTCGCAGGCGCATTTAGAAGAGTCTCATACACAACAGAATCCCACCACGAGCATACAACTTAACTTGCCTTACAAAAACTTATTTTTCTATACAAATAGAAAGTTCAAATACTCATAAAAAATCCTGGAATTCAATATCTTATATATCTTCTTCTAGAGCAATAATACGGCCTTGGAAAAGCTCGCGATTGTCTACAGGGTATGTCAGCATCTGAAATTATACGTGGCCGTAATCCAGATTATGCACGAATACTAAAGCGATACCGAGGTATGCCGTTGTTTTGTTAATATGTGTAAACTGTAGATGCGGATATAAGCCCCCGCCGAGTTTTATGTAGCGACCTGGCCGCCAAAATAATGCAGCCAAATAGCTAAATTCAAGCAACAATTTCACTCATACTTTATTATACAGCCCAGAATGTTTTGCAGCTGCTGGGAGCCATGTTCCAAAAGGTTTTACATAAGCTGTTTGACTTGGCCGGCTATCCGATGGAGGAATGCTGTGCCACCACCATCCCGTCAGCTCACGGCTTCTCAAACGGAAATAGAAGGTTTAAAGAAGAATGTCAATGGCAGAAGCCCATTCCGCAATCGCCGTCAGAGCCGGCCTGACGAACCGCGTGCGTGCATGATTTGCGCAGCCTCCGCCACGGCAGCAACATGGGCGGTGGTTGGAACGAGACACAGACACAGCAGACACGAGAATGCGTAGATCCCGCCTGTTTTGAACACGGCAACGCATACCGTGTTCTTGTTTTATCTTACATCTTACATGCAAACGCATGCAGATGCGGGGGGGGACAGCAAGCGATAAAGGTGCGCCGCTAGATGATATGGCGAATCATCCAAGGCTGTCAGATTTGACAGATTCAAAGGAAGTGCCTCCAAGCAGCTGGATGGTAATTCGATCTGCAAGGAAAGATTTTCGCATGTAGCTCTATTCCATGGCATGGCACCATCCATGGCTCCTCACATGATGGATCGCTGGGCGGGGAAAGAAAAGGCCAAGACAGACGGATCAGCCCCTTTGTTTCGCTGGGCAATGGATAGCTCTGGCTTGAGAGAGTCATTGCGCAGCCAACATTTGAGCTTGGTTTTGTATTCCTCAATAGCCGGGCCATTTTGGGAATTCAAATTAACCTAAGCAAACAACGCTCAGCTGCAGTTCATGGCTGGCTGATAGTGATAGGGGCTTCGGGTACGTACGGCCAGCGGTTGGGGGCTGCTTCCCGCGCTGGTCAGCAATCAATCTAGATGAGCCGTCCGGGTTACAGTGCTGTTAAGTGCTGTTAGGCGCCCAAAGATAAGCATAAAACCGGACGGCAAGAAAAGAAAAAAAGGGGGGGCCACAGTGGCAAAATGCGGTTGGCTCTCGTTCTTCTGGAGTCCAAATCCTCGCCAATGCCAGCGGGTGGAAAACGCCAGGAAAGCAATAATTCACGGGGTATCCCGGGACAGCATCCTTGAACTTCGGGGTGGCTGAAACTAGCTGAAAGAATAAAACGGCAAATATTTGCCAAACGGCATAAAAAGGGAAGAAGAGAACGTCGCGGGAGTAACACGCGGGCATTTAGCCCCCAATGGCAACTTAAAAAAAAAAAAAAAAAAAAAAGGTTAATTTACGAACAAGATTAAAATAGCAACTATAAAAAAAGAAAAGAAAAAGAAGAAAGGAAAAGAAAAAAAGAAAGGAAAAAGAAAAGCAAAGGAATCAGATACCCAACTAACTCTCCTACAACGAAGGCAGAGCCGTACCGAGACCGTCGCTGGCTTAGGCGAAGCTTTGTCTCACTTCCAGCTTCGCGTAAGTACCTATTGANAAAAAAAAAAAAAAAAAAAAAAGACCCCAAAACAGTGTCTGGGCAATCACTTGCAGTCGGCGCATCTGAGTCATCACGAGGCGGGTGAGACATGGGAAAAAAAGGGAAGAAACGAAAATGAGCGGGAAAGGCGCAGCGATCCCGGCAACCCGGATCGGCCTGTCTCACAGCTGGTTGCAGCGGAGGGAAAACAAAAAATCAAACCCGCTGGAATTCTCGCAACGGTTACTCTACCTATATGCATACGAAGACATGAAACAAAATAAAATGAAATAATAAAAGTGATGAATTCGTCATCAACGATTCCCTGATCCCCAACCCGCCCCAGCCAAGAAGTGCTAAAAAAATTTCAGAGCATGATCAATGCAAGAGCATGATGCGCCTGGGGCACTGGGCACAGCATTGAAGCGCCCTGGAGGCTGCTAGTGGCTCTTTGGCGGTCGCCGCAGTGGATGCAAGGCCCCTGTAGCGAGGCCGCAGTGTCCCCACGCACAGCGCCTGCAGTGCGTCAGTGCGGCCAATGCATCAGCGCCGGTGTGCAAACCTTGCAGCGATAGCTCCTTGGCGGTCCCTCATCGTCCCCAGCTTGGCTCGTTTCTTGGGGTCTTCTTTGCAAAGTTCTCTGCATCAATCAATCGACCGCACGGATTTGACGACAGGCACACGCTCACACTCTCTCACGCTCACAATCACTCACACTCACAATCACTCACACACACTGCACGCAACTTTTATCGATTGCCGCAACCCATCCTCGCAGCAGCAGCAGCACCACCACCACCGACGATTAGACACGGCAGCAGATACGGCGTCACCACTTTTATACCGCCCAGCTACTACTACCTAATACTTAGTCGTATACTGTAGCATAGCATAGCACCCATCACAGCATAGCAATACCACGACACACCACAGCACAGCTGCATCAGCCGTAGCGCCCCAATCCAGCCTCAGCTTTCCCCAGAACTGGCCGCCGGGACCCCCATTTTCTGCTTCCGGCCCACGAGCTTCTTCCGGGCCCATCGGCAGTTCCTCTGGTCGCGGCCTCGGAACCGAACGCCCCGACCCCAGCAGTGACGACACGACACAGCCCCAATTCTGCTCAGCAGCTCGACAGTCGCCGTCTCCACGGGTCCACTGTGTGTCGTCCATCAAACTTCGCGCTACTGCGATACCAAGCCAACTCAGTCCACTTTATCTTATATTCCATCGCTGCTTCTACGGCGTTGCCTCTTTCCAAGCCTCTTGGCGCGGCGTTCGGCCTCTCTCCATCCCTTTCTCTCTTCTTCGCCCCTACTAGCGTGGCAATCTTGCCCGTTGAATCCTTATCGTCCTCGCCTCGTCCGGCCATACACATACACGTGCTAACCCACTTCTTGCTCAACCCCGTCCACCTACCTTGTCCTCTCCCAATTCCTGTCTGCCCATTCGTATCGCGGTCTCCAAAACTTATTTTGCTTTCTTTTTTTTTCTCCTCTCTCTCTCTTTCATCTGCATGTCTCGCCATCACGACATCCCTGGCTCGGCTACCATTGACTGGGGCGTAAGACCAAGACCGCAGTGCCAGCCCGTAGGCCGCTGCTTCTCCCGGCGCAAGCTTCCGTCAGGGCCTCGACCGGTGCCGTGAGCCGGAAACCGCAAAAGTCCCTGTGATTCGTTTGAGCACACGAGGCCGGATCTTGAAACGAAGCTAGAAAGAAAAAAAGAAAAGAAGGGAAGGGACGGGAAAACGAAAGAGAAAAGGGCTGGGACGCCAGGAAGTATTGCCCTCTCAAAATTCGTTTGGCGAGTACAGCTTTACATACTCTGTTGGGAGCAACGCCACGAGGGCTGCGCGGGAAACAGCTGTTGGGAAAGAAAAGGAAAGAGAAGGAGGAAAAAGGGGAACCAAGCGAGCCTACTGTGCCATAGAGGAGGAACAAGAGGAGGAGGAGGCGAATATAAGAATATAATAACGAAGTGGAAATAAAAATTACAGGCGCCGACACACACACAGACAACTCGGCCAGAATCGAGTCCATCGCACACCCACAAGCCTCGATCCCGTTGTCCTCAACAAGTCGCCCGCCATGGCGTGGGACAACCTCGACATCACCAAGCCGCACTTGGTGTACATCATCCTGGGCGGCTTCACCTCGCTCTTCATGCTGTGCTCGTCCATCATCAAGGAGCGCATGTACATTGGCGAGGCCACCGTCGCCACGCTCTGCGGCGTCATCTTCGGGCCCCATGCCGCCAATCTGATCAACCCCCAGTCCTGGGGCAATGTCGACACCATCACCGTCGAGTTCTCGCGCATCGTCCTGGTCGTCCAGTGTTTCGCCGTCGGCGTCGAGTTGCCCAAGTTCTACATGGAAAAGCATTGGCGCTCCGTCGTCTTCCTGCTGGTGCCCGTCATGGCCGTGGGCTGGCTGCTGGTCAGCCTCTTCGTCTGGTGGATGATGCCCTCGCTCAACTGGCTTGATTCGCTCGTCGTGGCCGCCTGCGTTACTGCTACCGACCCCGTCCTGGCCTCGTCCGTCGTCGGAAAGGGCAAATTCGCCAAGCGCGTGCCCAAGCACTTGCGAGATCTGCTGTCCGCCGAGTCTGGCTGCAACGACGGCATGGCCTTTCCATTCATCTACCTCTCACTCTACCTGATCCAGTATAACCGCGACGCCGGCGAGGTTAGCTTCCACTTCATCGTCTACGTTATTCTGTACGAGTGCATCTTTGGTGCCTTCTACGGCTTCATGATTGGCTACATTGCACGCCGCGGAATTCGCTTCGCCGAAGAGCACGACTTCATCGATCGCGAGAGCTTCCTCGTCTTTTACTTTGCCCTCTCTCTCTTCTGCGCCGGTTCGGGTAGTATCCTCGGCGTGGACGATCTGCTTGTGGGCTTTGCCGCCGGAGTCGGTTTCTCTAACGACGGCTGGTTCGGCGAAAAGACGGAGGAGTCACACGTTTCCAACGTCATCGACTTGCTTCTCAACTTGGCCTATTTCGTCTACTTTGGCACAATCATCCCCTGGGAGCAGTACAACAATGGCTTCCTGGGCATGGAGGTGTGGCGTCTCGTGGTCATTGCCATCTTTGTCATCCTGTTCCGCCGCATCCCCATCATGATGATGCTCAAGCCCTTTATACCAGACATAAAAAACTGGCGAGAGGCCCTCTTCGCAGGCCACTTTGGCCCAATCGGCGTCGGAGCCATCTTCGTCGCCATTCTCGCCCGGTCTGAGCTGGAGCACGACGAGCCCGTGCCGCTATCGGAGCTGCCGTCACCCAATGCGGCGCATTTCAACCTCATCTACCTTGTCTGGCCAATCGTCACCTTCCTGGTTATCTCATCCATTCTGGTCCATGGTTCTTCGGTTGCCGTCTTTACGCTCGGCAAGCGTATCAATACTTTGACGCTAACCATGTCCTACACCGCCGCCCCTGACGATGGGCCGTCATGGATGAATCGACTGCCAAGGATCTCATCCCAGTCTAGATCCCAGGCGCGCACCATGTCAGATGCGTCCTTGGATGATTACAAGGTGCCCGACTTCCCCCCCGGCACTATACCCCCACCCGGACAATTCCTCCGTCGACAGCGAGAGAAAGAAGACGACACCAATGGCCGCTCAAGCAGCCGTCCCTCGTCATTGTCGGGCAGGAGAAGAAAGCACAAAAAGTGGGACGACGGCCTTGGGCCTGGTGGCCCCATCAGCCAGTCAGCCATCTTCCCCAACCGTCCTGCTGTGGCATCACCTCCACCCGACAGAGAGACGCCGCCTGCGGAGGCCAGAGACTCCAACTTCTCTGGTGACAGCCCTACAGAGGTTGATATTGAGAAATCGGATGATGTAGAGGAAGAGCGCGGCCGCCGCAGGACAAGCGAGCACAGCACCCGGGCGCCGCACGTTAATGTTTATGAGGAAGGAGAACATCTTGTCTTTGAAAATGAGGATGGTGAAGTTATCGATACTCGGGTGGCCCCTCATGGAGCTGGTGATGGAGAAGAAGGGACACAACTCCCGGCGCTCGCCGGTCGGCAGCAACCCAAGCCTGAGGCAGAGCCGTTCCATTGGACGATGAGTGGCATCCGACGCAAAGTGACGGATCTGTATAGCTCCGAGTTGGAGAAGCGAAAAGAAAAGGATAAGTCCCACCGACGACATGAACCTGCCCGAGCCTATCAGTTTGGCAACACGGTACGAATCTCTTTTCCCTCTGCGCGTGCGCGCGTTGTACTAACTAGAATGTTACATAGATTATCGTCGAAGATGAGGACGGAGAGGTCGTCAAGACTTATGAACTTCCCCCGCAAAAACCTTCTGGCCAGGATGGTACCCGGATTAACAACAGTCTCAAGTACTTTGGCCTCGGCGCTCTTGCGCGCCAACCCGACAAGTCTGCTGAGTCTGCCGCCGAAGAAGGCAAGGCAGGGGAATCATCTGCTGCTGGTGCGGCCGCTGCCGCTGCCGCATCTGCCGCATCTGCGGCCACGACTGCTGCCACGTCTGCAGCTGCGTCATTAGCCAAACCCGTATTCAAGCCTGGTTGGACCACTGGCTTTGGTGTCCTCGGCGGTGGTGAGGGCCGTAGGAAGAGCGTGGCGCAACAGGAAGACTCGGACGACGACAGACAGATTCGCTTCACAATCGGAGGAGTGGGACGACGCATGACCAAGGACGACTTCATCCGAGAGGTGCAGAAGCTGGACGTTGGCACGCGCAAGGAAGTTGTAGACCAGTCGACCGCTTCCAACGCGCTCAAAGAGGTGGCTCGCCAGGATTTATCACACAGAAGAACCAACCGGCCATCGAACATACCCGAGATTGTCGAGCCCGAACCCAGTACCGCTTCTGGGTCAACCTCAGCTTCCACTTCAGTCTCTCCTACTCCTCAACATAGCGCCCGAAACTCTGAATCTTTGTCCCCTAGACGGCAAAGCGACGCTCCCCGAGGCCGTCGCAACAACGCTTTGCATCCTTCCGAGCTTCAGGGCGAAACTGCCGTTGAACGGAGTCGCCGTCTCGCAGCGCTGGGAGGCCAGCAGAGTGAGATGGAAGGCAGCGGCAGCAGAACAAGCCAGTCGCAAAGGCGTGAAATTGCAGGCGAAACACCGGCTGAGCGAAGGCGACGTGAAGCAGCCCTGGGAATGGGTGGCGCGGCAGCTGCTGAGGATAGCGACTCGGATGACGAGGGCACGCCTCGAGTGCCACCAGCCCGAAGGGGTATTCGCTTTGCGGAGCAGCCGAGCAGACAAAAATAATCTGCCCGACATTTCACTTTTTTTTTCTTATTAACTTTACATTTTTCTTGGAGCATGATGAGCATCTGAGCTGTCTATTTCGTGTTAATTACTGCGCTGCATGAAGAAAAAACCTGATACCACTATCCACATAGACAGGTTTGCTATTTTTTTTATTTCTTTTATTATTATTATTATTATTATTATTACCCGCGGAAGAAGAGGAAGTACGGTGAGGAGGATGGGAAAGCTGAAAAGAAGATGGAGGAGTGAGAAGAAGAGAGCAAAAAAAAGGAGTGATGTGATTTCTTGATATCATGTTGCATAGCGTAATCTACATGAAGATGTATGACCGAATGACCGGGAACCAAAATGGGGTGTTGTTTCTTCTTCTTTTCTTTCTTTTTCCTATTTGTTTTACTCATTTCCTTTAACTTGGTCGCATCTTGCTTCTTTACGTGTTCAGATATCGTTGGAACGAAAAGGGGCTATTTGACGTTGTGAGGTTGCAGAGATTTCACGTGTTGCTAGTTTAAGAGAAGGTGTATGATATGAAATATACCAGCGAAGGAAACTTAGTTACTTTGTGGTTTGCTTGCTTCTACTGCTTGCAATGTGATTTTAAAGTTGTACCACAGCAGTGGCTCTCCCGCAGACAATAGGCTTATGGCGTACCGTATACGGAGTTAGTGGTTGATGCATTGTCAACTGCCATGCTCCGTCTCGGGCAAAAGTGGTTCTACCCCTGACTAGCGCCCAGCTATGGAAACCGGCCCAAGCTCAGCTGTATGTAAATATCAATCTATCCATTGACTACAAAAAAACAACGTCGTAAAGTAAGATATTTTTAATGCTCTAATAACCACGTCTAAAAACGACACGGTCGATCCAATCCCCCCATACATTGAACGGGAGGGACAATGGACATAATGGACTCCACCAACAACCAAGACTCGCCGCTCTCCACGTCCGCCAACATCATCGGCATCCTCACCTTTGTCGTGGCCATTGCCGCCGCGGCATACGCCCGCATCGCCTTCCTGCGCAACAGCGACGACGAGTACCTGCGCGTCAAGACGTCCCCGTCGTGGTACAAGACGGAATCGACCTGGCTGGCGGAACTGCTGCGCGCGCTGGACGACGCGCAGGAGGAGGATGAGAAGAAGAAGACGACGACGACGACGCCAAGGGGGCGGCAGTCGCGGCGGCAGAGGCAGCAGCAGATGTACAAGTTTGTGATGGACGACTTGCTGAATCTGGAGCAGAGGCTGCTGGATCTCGTTACCGATATAGAGGTCAAGTCTGCGCTGAGGGGCACTGCGGAATGGGGGCTTCTGCCGAGGCGGTGGGCGGCGGGGGGGAGGCCTTCGGTGGCGGTGTCGTGGTTGGGCGTGAGGACGAAGGCGCTGGAATTGGTGAGGCAGCGGGAGGCGTTGACGGCGAGGGTGCAGTTTTTGCAGATTAGCATGATTGCGTCGAGGATGGGCGATTTGGAGGCGCGGATGAAGCTGTTTGAGGAGAAGGGGGGCTCGTCGGTGAGGACGGACGATGATACGGTTGAGGAGGACGAGGGGTGGCAGTCGGACTATGGAGAATAAAATGTCGAGGACAGGAAAAAAAAAAAAAAAAAAACTTTCTATTGTCGTTTTCGAAGAAAATGCGCGCGCCAAGTTTATTTAATCGAATAGCCATTCACCCACAAGTACATGCCCGTGACGGCCAGGCTCGGCACCGCCCACAGCAGGTCCAGCTCGACGACGGCCCACAGCCAGATGCACCCCAGCGGCGGCGCGCGCTTCATGTTGGCCAGGTAGCCCTTTGAGTTTGTGGTGTAGACGAGGGCGCAGCCGGCGACGCAGCTCATGGCGAAGAAGAGCAGCTGGCGGAGGGGCCGCTGGAAGCGTCGCGGCAGGCCGGGGATGAGGGTGGCGTTGGGCTCGGAGGGGTGGAGGGCGTAGAAGAGGAAGAAGAAGGCTTTTTTTTTTAAAAAAAAAAAAAAATAAGAATTAGCAATTTATTTATTTATTTTTTTAACGAGTTCAAGGGGTGATCAAAGTTGGCTGGCTTACCGATGAATGCTCTGCCGGCGTTCTTCACCACCCTGTCCCACTTGATCGCCGTGCCGTACTGATTCATCACCAAGACGTCAAACGTCAGGTGCAGCGTCGCCAGCGTCGACGTGTACAGCAGCGCCTCGAGGAACCGCTCCGCGCCGGGCGACATCTGGCCCTCTTCATCATCGTCTTCGTTTTCGTCGTCATCGCCGTCGCCTCCAGCAAGCTGTTTTTCTCTCTTGGCGGCCTTTTTGAAGAGCTGCTGCTCGTCGGCGAGCTGCAGCAGCGTCTGTTCGGTTGGACCCGAGCGGTCGGGCTGGCGGAGCTTGATGGGTTTTTCCTTGCGATTCTTGACCATGGCTGCGTGCTGAAGCGGTTCTGTGTATGTAGCGTGTATCCTGTGGGGGAATTGAAATACTGCTAGTAACCATGAACGAGCGAAAAGTATTCGTGTGCGTGGTGTTTGCGGCAGTGGTGAGATACGTGTCTCGTGTTTGTGGGAAAATTGGCGAATGACATCAAATCGGTCGGTCGGTTGACATCAGCCGAACGAGGCGTGCGGCGCCGCCAATCAGCGGCCATGGCAAACACTCCGCAGACCTGTCCGTGGGGGGGAGGGCGTTATCGATAATGCTGCCGGGTGCTGGGGATTTGGTGTGCCTGACAGTGGCGCCATCGACAGCAGCTGTAAGTCGCATGCTATTTACAGTTGCACAAGATCAGATGCATTATAGCACTGCCAAGGTGCCTTATATACCTGGCACCTAACCTAGAGATGACCGCACAGATGTTGATACCTACATGTACCAATGCAGTCTTATAATCGAACAAGCAGCGCCGTGTATGCGCACTTCTGTCCTCCATTCCATTCCAATCCAAGCCTTGCATCTGCCTCTCCCCTTCGGCCTCCAGCTGCCACCCAATGCCGCGTCCTGCCCTCCGCGTGATCCCTCGCCTCGGCCTGCTACTCGTCCGCTGCAGACGTCAGGCCTCTCCAAGGCCGATCCCTTGCAGCACATCTGGCGCGTTTCGCCCTGCTGTCCAATCGCCAGCAGCCCGCTAAGCCAGGCCCTGGAGCCACTGCAAGAGCCTTCCGGGTCTCTCCCCACTTGCCCATCCCGCCTTTTCAATTTTAAAGCCCGCCCGTCGCAGAAAAGGGCACTCGGCCTGTTACTTTGTACTGCTCCCCCAACAAAACCAAAACACCACCACCACAGTCGCCAGCAAAACATCGTCGACTCGCATCGCGGCTCCCCCTTTTCTTCGAGGCAGTCAGTCCCAGCGGCCACACACGCGCGCTCCTCCCGCAGCTTCAGCCTCCGCCCCAACCGCAGCTTGATCCGTCTCTCTCCGCCATCACCGCCGCCATGCCCACCAGCCTCAGCCTGCCCTTCAACCTCCCCTTCGACCTCGGCCTCAAGCTGCCCGTCGGCCTGCCCGTCGACTCCAACGCCCTGCTAGTGCTGGCCGCCTCGGTTGCCGCCGCCGTGCCGTGCATCTACATCTGCACCGCAAACGCCGTGCGCAACCGCTTCCCGGAGCTGCTGGAGAAGCGCGTGTGTCTGCTGATTGCCCACCCGGACGATGAGGCCATGTTCTTTGCGCCCACCGTGCTGGCGCTGGCACGGCCCGAGACGGGCAACCACGTCAAGATTCTCTGCTTGAGCTCAGGTACGGCGAGTCTGTTTGTTTCTTTGCGATCCCTCAATTGCCGGCATCTCTATGGCTATCTGGTGTGGAGGAGGAGGGGGGTGAATATCCGGATGATCATGTCATGTGGGGTTGTTTTACTTGTGGAGTATTAGCACGTTGTCAGCCACGCGACGATGACGAGGAGCGAAAAGCCCGGTGGAATGGAATGGAAATACTGAGAGGAAGAGGAATTTGCGCGCATATGGAAACTGGGGCTGACTTGAGCTTTTCTAGGCAACGCGGATGGACTTGGCGAGACGAGGAAGAAGGAGCTTGTCCAGAGCGGCCTGGCCCTGGGTCTGCGAGACGAGTCCGATGTCTTTGTGGTTGACAATCCGTAAGTGCCGCCAAACTTTTTTACGAGCGCAACTCAAAGACGAGACTGACACAATTGGCATCTACAGCAAGGACTTCCCCGACTCCATGGCCACGCACTGGGACGAGACCAAGATCGCAAACCTCCTCACAAAGGCCTTTGCGCCGCAACTGGCGCGCCAGCGAGCCGAAAACGCCTCCGAGCCCACGGCCAACATCGACGCCCTCATCACTTTTGACGGCAACGGTGTGTCGTCCCACCCCAACCACATCTCTCTCTACCACGGCGCACGAGGTTTTGCCAAGGCTCTGACCGAGGGCAAGCCCGAATGGAAGAGCCCCGTCGACGTCTACACCCTCAACACCGTCAGCCTGCTGCGCAAATACTCTGGCGGCCTAGATCTCTTCACCACCATCGCCTCATCTCTATTCACACCCAACAAGGACCCCGAGCGTCCTGAGAAGCTGATTTATGCCAACAACCTCATCGGCTCAGAGCCTAGCCTGGGTACTGCGCTGAGCGCCATGACCACTGCGCATAAGAGCCAGATGGTCTGGTTCCGCTACCTGTGGCTCGGATTCAGCCGATACATGCTCGTCAACGACCTGAGACTGGAGAAGGTCGACGAGGAGAACTAAAGCAGAAAAAGATTAAATATGGAAATAAGCAGAAGCAAAAAAAAATTGAAAACATTCTGACATCAATTCGAACAATACAAAGCAAGCTTTACGAGATTGACGTGTAGAGGAGCCAACAAGGTAGGGAATTTGGGTCACATAAATGGGTCATTGGAGACGGAAAGGGGGGGGGGGGGGGGGGGAGGCGTTGCATGAGCGGCGTTTTTTTATAATGAGAGCCGGCTTACTTGCTCTTATGGGGGATGTGTGAAATGACTTGCCTAGATCTATTTCGAGTTTTACGTTTATGATGATGACATGCATCTATCTCTTTAGCTTTTTACATACATTGTGATGCTAGCCTTTTTTTTTTCTTTGTTAGGAAACGGGCGAATTTCAGAATGCTGTTGTCGACGAAGATGGATTCTATCTTGCAGAAGATGCTGAGATGTCGTCTGTTTCCGTCGCGAGGGATATTTGGAGACTCATCTCAACATTTTCTCCTTTCTCTTGGTCCAATATCGCTTGACTGGCCCCTGTCGTGTTTAAAACCACTGGGCAGCAAAGGAGTATTATTGCTGTGGACAACTCCACGCTGCCTCGAGTTCCCGGCGGCAAAGAACGGCCAAAGATTGCCCCGAGGCCTCCAGGATAGAGCGAGTTTCAACAGCCGTCTTCATTTGAGAGCATCTTGTTCCTGCAGTCCATATTCTACGGACTTGTTTGATCGATCGCTTAGCGCTACGCTCCTCTTCAACGTGATGCTAGAGCAGAGTTAGGAGAGTCCGTTATAGATGACTAGCGCGGAAGGTCAAGCGGGAGCGAGTGGATCTCCGTTGAGAAGAGACTGACTGGTGTTGAAGGTATCCATTATGTCCATTATATCCATTTTTGCCAGCGGCTACGTGTGGGATTCCAATGTCACTTAGTAGGTATTAGGCTGTTGATACCAACCGTTTCTCTATGTGGTCTTGACTACACAATCCAGTAGAAGGAGTGCCCAAAGATGCCCAGCTATCCAGCTCTCGCGCGCAATTCATCTCGCCTTTCCACATTATTAAGATGAAAGCAATCATTCCCACCAGAAAACACTGTACGGTCGCAATCCAACAGCAAAGCAAGCGGCTATCGTCGGGGAGCGCAAAACAATAATATCAACACCATGCCCTCATGACAATCATGTGTTTTACCACCAGCTTCATCATTCGACGCAAACACGAGCGTTCATGCGCCCCCCCTTTACTTTGCTTTACCTACAACAAACACACAAGACAAATCGTATCCACATCAACAGCATCATCACGACGAAACGTTCAATCCACGTGGGTACATTGTATCCAGCAAAGCGCATCCATCGCCCCTCCCCTTTAGTTAACTGAAGCTTCCCGCAGCCCTGAAATTTTCATGCATCACTTGAAGCTCAATATACATACAAGTTAGCGAATCCCATCGTACTTTCACCGCTGGTGGGACAAAAATTATACAATAAATCACAAGGCTAGCAGGCCTAGGTAGTAATTATTACGGCAAAGAACCACAACAATCCCAGCCCTGCCCAGCTCCATGTCTCGCCACAGAGTCCACTTACACGCCACCCCTTCGCCAACTCTTGCTCTTTCTTACAGTCTTTTTGCCCTTTTAATACTATACTATGTAGAAAATTGCAAAAATTGTTTCTGTGATGCTCCACTGCGGCAGCCACAGCAGAGAAAAAGAGTGGGCAGGTATAGCTATTGCGGATCCCGGCTAGGCGGGTCCCACGGCAGAGAGGAGGGTTCGTGACTCTAAGAAAAAAATAAAATATCCATAGGGCTGCCATGCATTGGAGGGGCGGGAGCGAAAGAAAAAAGGGGAAAGGGGGCAATTTTTTTTGAAGAAGAAGAGAAAAATTGCTGTGTGATGCTGTGGAGATGCTACTTTGTCATGAATACGTGTATGAGGAGTTGATGATTCCACCAAAGGGTTATCCACAGCTACATACCGTGCTGAAGTAAAGTGAAGCTATCCACGAATACTACAAAGCTGTGATAGCTTTGATGTCATACACAAAACACAGTCACAACGCCTAGAATCAGTGAGTAATCCGTAGAAGCCGCCAGCACCGCCTGCAGTCATCCCGAACCGTCGCCCAGTCATCGCCGCCACGGCCGATGGCCCGATTCAATTCAGGTACCAGCAGCCGCCCGGCTTCCAGCTTTCCATCCACTTCCTCAGCTTTCAGCTTCAAATCAGGCTGCTATACACGTAAAACACGGCCCTCTGACTGGCCAATCGCCAGCTCAGCCCTCGTCACACGCCTGAAAAAACCAACGTCTCATCAAGCCACACATCAGTTACAAATTACAGACAGACCCCTGTCTTTCGGCCCGAGCGAGCTTAACCCGCGGTTTACCGTGCTTGCAAAAACAGGAACGTACCACACAATGTTGGTACCTGAAAAAAAAAAAAAAAAAAAAAATCTTTCCAACCAATATTCTCCGGCTGAGTCAGGAACCCACATGCTGAGCCACACCCATAGCAAAGCCCACTTATTTCGAATCACGATGGTACTACTACGAAGAAAAAAACCTGCAATAGTGTCATGGGCCTTTTCTAAAAAAGGAGTTTTTCTCGTGGTGGCTACGATCGGGTTGTGGATCCCCGGCACTCAGAAGGCTGTGGAACCTCGTTTTACGGACGGATCCGCCGTGTTTACAGGCCTGTAGTAGTAACAAGAGGAAAACATGTTTTTGTAAGAGAAAATTTGCAGTGTAGGCATCCTCCAAGGGGGCTAAGGATGGAGCCCGCTATGGATTCGTAAGGGGGGATGAGGATGGAAAGTCGCGGCATCGTGAAGAGTACGTACTCACGGAGTCGTGGATGGGATTTTATATATAAAGAGCTGGTGGGAGGTGCCATTCGAGGAGGAAATTATTAGCATCATCAGCATCAACAAGCTTTCACTCACACACAAGTCTCACACACACACAAACAAAAGAGCTTCACTTACAAGCACATCAATCAATCAATCATCTACTACTACTTTCTTCTCTCAAAACAAACCACCATCAAAATGTTCATCGACGATCTCCTCTACATCCGCGCCCACCTCAGCGGCAAGAACCAGCCCAAGATCTTCTCCCCCTCCGGCTCGGCAGCCTCCTCCGCCGCGCCCACCCCAGACAACCGCTCCATCGCCTCCAACGAGAAGAAGCAGAAGAAGAGGCTCAGCATCTTCTCCTCCTCCTCAGGCTCCAAGCCCTCCGTCAAGGCTGCCAACTGCGGCGCCGGCATGAAGCTGCCCTCCAACATCACCCAGACAAAGGATCACTCTCTGCACTACCAGCAGATTCGCCCTATTATCCACTAAGAAAGTTGCCAAGATTTTTCAACTTCAACTTCAACTTTTTTTATACGATGATGACGACGACAAAACATACACATAAAAGTTTTTTGAGATTCTGATTGTTGGCTTTTTGCTTGGGGGGGGCATGGGAAGGAAAAATAAAAGTTTTTTGATTATATCAAGAGTATTACAACATATACCCATTTGATTCGATTCGCAAGGATACATTTTATTATACACGGGAGAAGGGATATCAAAAGATGCTTATGTGCATCGGGAAGGAGGATTAGGAGAAGGGAGAGAGGGGGAAGACGGTTTAGATATCTACTTCAAACCATTTAATAACCACATAATTCTCACTCCTTAACATTTTGTCTTATTCTGATGCTTATAAAAAGTGAAATGATATAAATCCTCAATTCATTGAACACACAGACTCGATGGTGAATAATGCTCTCCCCAAAAAACATTCTATCCATAAACAAATGCTCAGTATATAACAAGCAACCTGTATGCTTTCTTTCCCCCTATCCCAGCGCCATTTAATAAAAAGAAAAGAAAAAAAAAAATTCCAATACACCTAGAAATGCACGCTCTGCTTCTTCTTCATCTTCTTCCTCTTCTCCTCATCACTCTTCCCCCCTCCAAAGAAACTCAGCGCACTCACCCGCGCGCCAGACGGCCCAGCATAAGGCCCTGAGGACCCCCCTGGCACTGGCGGAGAAAGCTTGTTGCGGCCATTCTTCTGCTGCTGCTGGGTGGATGGTCCCGGCCCTACACTGTTCGGCCGCGGAGGGGGTGGAGGCTGGAGATTGTTGACGACAGGCGGGCCATACCAGCGAGTGCCCAACGCTCCAGACATTGTCGCCGCCGCGTTCGTCGATTCAAAAGGTCGCTGCGGAAGAGGAGGGGAGGAAGAAGACTGCGGTGGTGGCCATTGGCCTTGCACGCCGTACTCTCGGCGTAGACGCTCGGTCTCGGCATCGACCTCGGCTTGCCTCCGGCGCCGTTGCGCCGCTTCTTCTTCTTCCCGCTGCAGCATCCTCCTCGTTTTTTCCTCCTCTTCTCGCGCCAGGCGCTCTCGACGCTGCCGCTCTTCTTCGGCCACCATTGCCTGCAGCCTCCGCGTCTCTGCCTCAATCTCGGCCTGCTTCGCCGCATTGCTGTTCATCGCCGCCGGCGGAGTATTGCCCAATGCGCCCGACACAAGCGTTGGGTCGTTGGGCGACGGTGCCAAGGGGGGCCGTGAGCCTCTTCTTGCACCACCCGCCGGAGCCATGCCGGCGCTGGAGACGTTGAAGGGATCATGCCGAGGCGCAAAGTGCAAGTCTCTGACAACAACTGCGCTCAGTAGCAGCACAACTTCAAGTCCTTTTCTATCCTCGACTTCCACGCGGGCCATGTTGGGCTCATATATGCTCAGGGCATCGCCTTGCTTCTCGCTCCGATACATGGCCACCGTAATGTCCGGCTCCTTGCTCTTCTTGCCGCCCACGCTCTTCCCAGACATGTAGCACGTCATATCCTTGTTCAGCCGCCCATCCCGCTTCCAGTGAAACATAATCTTGGGCGACAGGTCCGACACCTCATTGCTGCCCGTCTCTTGATCCAGTTTGCTCGCGCTGGGCAGCTTAAAGGAGCGCTCGGGAATCTCAAAGCCCCACGAGTCAGCCCGATTCCAGCCCCCGGCGTTCCGCTTGACGGCGATGCTCTGGTCCGGGTTGTACAGCAGCACCGCGAAGGAATCCGGCGTGATGGGCACGTTGGACGGAGAGCCGTTTTGGTTGCGGAGCTCGGCGGCCGAGAGGCTGGGCTGCTGAAACTCGGGCTTTACCAGCACCTCGCCGTAGATGACGGACTGATGCTGGGCGTCGAAGAGGGCGACGGCATACTGATTTGCCGAGGACGAGGGCGCCGGTCTCTGTAGGGTGTAGGCACGTGCAGGATCCGAGCCGTTGTAGGTGTAGAAGAGAGTGGTCTGGAGCGGATCTTCCTTGGTAGAGGCCAAGCGGTACGTCGGGAAGCTGTCGTCGAGCATGGCAGTTCAAGGCACAGGATGAGAGACCAGACAAGATGACGGGGTTGAGAATAAGCAGAGGTGGAGAGTCTGCTGGAGATGGGAATCGAAAAGAGTCGTCCGCCGGCGCCAAAAAAAAAATCAGCTGGTCATGTCGCTCCAATCCCAGTCCTGGCTTCGACGAGGGCGCCTATAGAAACGAGGCTGCGTCAAGCTGGAACGCGGTACTTTCTAAGGAGGGGCCTGGAAGGATGATGAGGATTTCAGGCTGCAGCAGCGTCAAGCTCAGTCGTTGTTCAAAGCGTCTATCCCCAAGAAATGAAATGTGCAATATATGGAATCAGCAAATAAATAACTATCGTGATATATTACAGTGAGAAAATGCAGCAAAGGATTCAAGTCCATCGCAGCTTTACGCAACGACTGTGGCTCCCCGCCAACGTCATGGCTCGTCTGCGCCACAGCCGCGCGACGCTCTCCTGCGCTGCCCATTGGCTGAGCCGCTGCCGTTCTGACACGCCCCAGTTGCGGGTGGCTGTGCTGCGCCTGGAACAGCTAGAGCCGGTACGTACCTGGCCTGGATGGTGGAGTCTGCCTCTTACCTTATTTCATGCACGCATCTCGGCATTGGCTACTATCATTAGAAAGGCACACAGCTTTAAGGCTTGCTTATTTTATTTACAGCCTTTTTGTTAAATAAATCACAATGTTTTCATTATTTGCGCATTAATAGTATTCTTGTGTGCTTCTTCTCTTTGTAAGCGATTCAGCCCGCGTGCATATCGTCATTAAAACTCGTCAGCTCTTACAACTTCATCCTCGTAAAGTCAAGACCAAGAAGAAACCCATGTCAATTCCAAAATCCCAAAAGCCAAAACGCCTCAAAACTCCATCCCATAACACGTAATATCCCGATTCGCTTTCCCTGTCAGACAAATCCCCCTGGGTGGCTGAATATCCTGTATCATAATCCGACGCCGTATAACTGTGCCCGCTTTCCAAATATGTATAGTAAAAAAGATGAATAGCAAAAATGCATCCTAAAACAGCAACAACACTAGGCCCATCCTTTATGCCTCCTCGTGGCTCATGGGTTCATGACTCTCATAACTTCCTCTCTCGTCCTGACCAACTTCCCACGGTCTCCTCTGTGGCCAGTTCTGGTTCACCCAGGCCTCGTCCTCGAGAATCACGAGTCTGCGCCGGATATTATCGTTCCTCCTCTGCAACCGCGTCCTTCTGCTTTTCCTGAGACACGGCAGCCAGCAGCACAGCATGAAGCTCAGTATGATGCCAAGGGCCATGCCGATGAAGAATCCTCGCAGTATCCTCTCTCCGCTGTTGCCCCCCTCGGCAATGCCAACAATTCCTTGGCTCTTGCTGGTAGGTGTTGGAGAGGATGTTGATGATGTCGCCATGGTTCTTGTGATACTTGATATGATGTCGGTAGCCGTGGGAGTAGCACTAGAAACTAAGCTCGGACTTGGACGTGGAGGACCCTTTGGAAGGTCTGGATTAGGTTCGAGATTCATGCGTGCTATAATACCCATCTATACAAGTATGCGTCAGCACAGGCCAAATAGTAATGGTTGATGCCGTTACAAGAGATTAGGGTGAACCATACCTTGACGAGTGTATAAGTGTATCAACCAGTATGGTGTATACTCTCCTCCATTCTAGTCACTCAATGCAGTACAGACGGTGTAAGGCAGTATCCGAACAAAGCAGCAGGATATAATAGTATATTATGAGTGAGTCTTGATATTTGCTTTCAAACAAGAATAATAGTAATGTATTTTCCTTAGTATAAATGGATTGTACGTGTATGCCAAGAAAAAACCCCCCCCCCCAAAAAACAAGGCGACAACCACCTCTTAATAAAAGAAAAGACCCAGTCGCCATACTCTTCGAACCCGAGGAAAACGAGCCCCCCGAACGAAGCAAAGGAATTCGCTCGCACGCACCAGAACGACTAACACAGCACACAACAGTCAGGCCCCAAAAACGCCCATCCCAAAAGGCATAAGCACGTCACAAACTTTCATCCGCGCGTGTCCAGGTCACCAGCCAGCGCAAACCAGCTCTACGCCCGCCGCCCTGCGATTGGACGCCTCCCCTTCTATTCACGCTCAGTGGGGACCTTGAAAGCCCCCCCGGCGGTGATATGACTCAACCGGTAGTGCAAACGTCGTTTGAAAATGTGGCTTGCTGCTGTGGAGAAGCGGGATAGGCAAACGTTTCTTTTCTTTTCCTGCCAATGTAGACGAGCTAATACGGAGTACGTCTTGTTGCTGTGTTGGTGCTAGTATGTAGTAGCAGAATGAGAAAAAATTGTGGGTGAGCCGAAGCCGAAGCCGCGCTGCAGCACCGATCCCACATACATACATACTGCTGGGTGCGGCAGCCGTCAAGGTGACAGCGGCAATCGATGACGGCAAAGCCGATCAAAAACAGTTGATGATACAATCCTCTTCGGCTTCCATTTGTAATAGACCCAAGTGCCGTGAGCCGCCGCCAACTACGTGACTCAAAGCCGCATTTTGTGCCTATAACTCGGAATAACTACTACATACATGTACTGCATAAGGCGTGGAAGAATGACCAAGCAACGCTTCTTCAAGCGCAGCATCAGATTAAAAAAAGCCCATCTGCCTGACGCAAGCCACACATTTTACTTTGACCGACTGATATCTATTTCCAGCAAAAAGCTGCCATGGACTGATCAGGAAAAAAGAAGAAAAAAGACAGCTCCCCTTCTCACATAAGCACCTCGCGACTCAGGGGGACCTAGCTCGCCCGCACCCAAATTATAAAGCGTCGCACACCTTGAGAGAAAAGCTATCCTACTGATCAATCCACATGCCAGCTAAGCTACCAAAGCCATATCCTTCGTGTTTACGCAAGACGGTGTACGCACAACGGTGTACGCAATCTGCTCTGCGGGTATCATAGCCTAGCCAGCCCAGCCCATTCAAACTTACGACTTTCTCCAGCCCAGGGTTCCTGTCAGCCCGTATTCCTCGTTTCCGCCCCACCAGTCAAAGCCCAAGACAACACACGCATATACATATACATATACAACAGGGCAGCTTTTGCCTATGTAGGTATATCCCAATTTATTCCAGCATATCAAAATCCCCCCAATCCACGCGTGAATCTCCGCAAAGCAACGCCCGCCAAGAAATCATTCAAGCTATGAGCAATTAGTCTCGGTGTCCCACCCAAACTATATACGTACATACACATAACTTCCATCCATCCATCTAGTACTAACTTCACCATCGCTAGTTAGTAGCTCGACACCAGCTAAAACATCGCTCAACTCTAAATCCTAGCTCTCCTCCTCTCCATTTCCTACCCCATGTGGCCATCCAGCCCCCCCAAGCTTTTACCAAGACAGAGATCCGATTACGGCACAGCATCCCGTAACTCAATCAACATCCCCCTCCCCTCCTTTCATACGGAGATCATCATTCGGTCTAGATAAGGAATATGTCATTCACGGCTTATAAAGCAACGCCTCGAACTAGTAATTAAAGCCATTACCAGCTGAGATGCTCTCACGAGGCAGCTTAGCAAGTGATGCTCCTTGATTCAATAATCTCCACCATCCAATAACCACGCTACAGCTACATGGAGCCTCGAATCCTGCAAATATACGGATACGCCCTAAGCCAATACATTCTCCGTCAACTATCAGCATCTTTGGGTAATATCCTACCACTGCTATGTCATTACTCGCAGCCGGTCAAATCCACTTACATCTCCAAACTAACATTGCACAACAATAATGACACTTTTTCATAATAAATAAATATTCTGAATCTATAAAAAAAATATATAAAACTACGGCTACTCCTAGTCCATTATAGATTCCTTTACGCAAAAAGATTTGATCCTACTATAACTCCTATTTCTTTCTTTTCACAGCCTATTTTAAACCTTTACAAAAGTATAGAACCTATAGTTGTTCCTTTTTTTTTTTTTCCCCTTTTTGTTATTTGTTATTAGTAACCTCCTCTTATCCCCATCATCATCAATAGCAGCTTCGCGCCCATCTTCCTCCTCTCCTCATCTCACCATTCACATCAACCCCCTTTAAAGAACAAATTTTCCATTCCTACGCTCCCCTCGCTCAAACAATAAGCACTGCTCAAGAAGTACAATAAAACCAAAAGCAAATTCGAATAGGTGCAAAGAAAAAAAAAATGACAATACATAGTATTAACATAATCACGCTACTAATACATGCTCCCCAAATGCTCATTCACACATTCACACCCCCATTCACATTCGCATTTCACATCTTCATCCACAATCCACACACTCATAAGAGGGAAAGAAATAATTAAAAAAGACACATCCACATCCCCCTTAGCCCTTCCATATTTTTTCCCAAATCTGCTATTGTACACCAAAATAAAGTATTCCACCATGTTTGTTTGTTTCCCCCCCCTTATCCCTCCTTTCCTCCGAATGTGTATATCTGTGCGTAAGTGCCCAGTATATTCAAAAACAAAAACACAAAATTCTCGCCCAAATACACTTGTGTCAACATGACCCTGTAGAATGAAGAGTTCCAGACTAGGAACTCTGTCGGCCGAATCCTCCATTATAGCCCATTCACCTGGTTTCAAGTCTCCGCATTACCTTCAATGTCACAGGCCCATTATGCTGAAGCATCATGATGTCACCCCTTTGACCCTTGGGCGCTTGCCGGTGCAACAGTCGTCAACCACGCCGGGCGAGTAATGGGCAGAAGCACGTCTTTTGACTTCATTCATCAACCACCCAAGCGTAGACCAGCCGCCCTTACACGGGCTTGCAGCCTACCCAAGTAGGCTGCAGAGAATGACTAGGCAAATCCTCTCTATTCCTTCCTCGCTTTCGCCGCGGCCAGATTTTCTCCCATTTTCCGACCAACTCCATAATGCGCCCCGAATATATATATATATATATCGCCTAATCATCCAGGTTCCAAAAAGGAGGCCCTGTTGGCGGATATTAAAAGAAAAAAAAAGTGTGTGAGTAGTAGTCGAGTGTTTGTCTTCTCTTCAGATGATGCCTCCCGGCGGATCATATGGCGTAGCTCCTCTGGCCGGATCCATCCCCATACCACCATCTATCTGGGCGCTATTTATCTTGCGCAGCATAAACATGGGCTTCTTGCCCTCCTTATCCAGCTGCTTAAACAGGATCAGGGGCTTCTCATCCATGCCGAGACAACGCTCCTGGTCGCCGTAGACAATATAAAGGGCATACTGGTCCCAAGGCGCATTGATTTGATACTTCTTCAGCGCGGCCGGTAGCACCTTGTGACACGGGTCGTCCATTTCCACCCTGAACGACTTGAAGATTTCGACAGAGCTATTTGAGCCTGGCGTCTCGGGAACGGGCGTTTCGCGACGTCGAATCGACCCGGAGCCCGCGATCTTGTTATCTCGTGAGTTGTAGTTGAGGTCTGAATCGACAAATGTCGTCCTTACGGAAGGGGTGGTAGTCGAGTTGTAAGACCGAGATCCCAGAGTGGTTCCGCTCAGGTGATTCTGCGGCGATGTAGGCGATGGTACGGCTGGCCAAGGGTAGCTTGACGCCGAAGCATAATTTGTAGCCGAGGCAGATTGGCTGCCACCATTCATGGCCGCCAGGTGCGACGACGACATGACCGCTCTCTCCGCTGCGCTGGACGGATCCAGCGTCTGTTCCGACATCATTCGCTGATCGTGTGTGGCTTGCGTCGGTGAGTTGTTCTTGGGCGTCGCCCCAATCAAGATTCGTCGCTGGGAATACTGTCGCTTGATTCCTTTGTCGCCAGGCTGGGCTCCGGGCGGTGTCGGCGCGGGCGGAGAGAGGGTGGATTCGTATGCGTATCCTTGACCGGGGCCGCTGACATTTGGTAGTGGGTGCTGGGCATCTTTGACGAGCCGCAGTGCCGGCAGCATATCTTCTCTAAGACGCTTGAAATCTTCGTTCATCCGCCGCAAGTCTTGCTCTAGCAGGCTCATCCGTTCGTCTCGCAACCGGAGCTGGTCCACTAGACGCTTGATATCTTTGAGTGTTGCAGTAGCATATTGAGCTTCGGCATCGGCGGCTACAAATTTCATCAAAGGAAAAAAAGCAAAAGTCAGCCAACCAGTCCTGGTATATGCGGAAAAGCAGGAATTCGGGGAGGGCTTACAGAGCGGCAGATATTGGTCGCTCTCAATTGGGATATCCTGAGCCTTTTTGACGTCGTAGACGCTCTTGAGGATCGTCAGACGGTGACCAACACTAGCGATGCCCATGCTCTTGAGATCGTCATGCAGCAGGGCAACCAGGGCCTCGCCAACAATATCATTTTCTGTAAATACACGCCCACGATCAGCGAAATGTCCTCCCAGCCTTGCATCCTGTTGCCGTCAAAAACATACCTAGAAATGTGTCGGCATACTGCGGCAGCCCGATGGCGCTGATAAAGTCGGCGCACTCCTCCGCCGTCCAATCCGTGACGATGGTCTCGGGCAGACGGTCCATGCTGCTTCGGTGGCCGTATGTCGTGGGCGTGTGCTCTGCAGACGTCGACAGCTCAGAGCCTATGGGAGATGTCTCGGAGTCGCCTACGGGCGAGTGGTCGCCCAGATGCTCATACTCATCGTCAGCATCCGACTCGGCGTAGCCCGTGCCTCCTTCAAAGCTCATCATCTTGGGGAGACGCCGCGGCAGCGGGAGGTCCGTGGCCAGCGCCTCTTTCTCGCTCGCTCGTTTGTTTCCCTCTTGCAGGCGCAGTGTCCTCCCCTATTTCCTTGCTCTTTCTGTCTCTCTCTCTCTCTCTCTCTCTCTCTCTCTCTTCTCCCGTCAACCGCCTTTTTTTTTCCCCTTGGCCGACACAGTATCCGATAGCAAACGCGATTTGATTGGAGACGGATGGTTGTTTTCGCGGCGTCGAGCTTCGCTTCAGGGGAATGCGGGCTGTGTAGGCAGGAATTGAGGCACCACGAGAGGCGAGCAGGGCGTGCGGAGGCGACCAGAAGCGCCAGCGGGCGGCTAATTAATTGATCGATGGGTGTGGACAGGGTCAGCAGCGGCTGGGCCAGGAAGAAGGCAGAAGAGGACGACGAAAATCCGCTCGGCCAAGCCAGCAGCGATGTGCGAAGAGAAGAAGCACGCAAAACCAGAAACAAGCCTCGTCTGGCTCTCGGTCGATCGTCGCTTGGAAGCTGCGAGGAGGGGCAGCAAGGCAAGGAACGAGACGAAACCTCGCGTTGGACTTTCGCAACAAGCCCGAGTGTCAAATCTCGGCCAATAAATGCCAGCCGACAGGCACAGGTGCGGGCGCCGACACAGGCACAGCAGGGCCGCAGGTACCGGTACCAGCGCGGCTGGCGCACAGGCAGCAGCAGGCCAGCGGCGGGCACGCGGCGGCGCTGCAGAAACAGGCGCTCGTCCGCCGTCTCCGCCGCCGGGCCTCGCCCAGGGCCTTGTACAGGTACGCGGCGCCAGCGGCCACCGCGCGAGGGAAAAGGGCCCTGGGGCTGCTGCTAGCCGCCTGGAGTCCACTATAAGGCAGAGCTTGTAACTGCCCATAACGCCGCCGCGGCCTGGCACCTGCAACGCCGTTTCTATTCCAAGCAGCCGTTTTTAATGAGCCAGGGCAATGCGCGCCGCTAGCCGCACGAGGCCTAGTCCCCCACATCAACAACCTCCTGTTTTCTGTGGCTGAGCAGAAGGGGAAAGAAGAAAAGGGCATGAATGATTTGATGCACTGTAGATAACACGGCCGGTCTGCGGCAACGATGCGCGGATGCAGAGAAAGGCACAGCTGAGCGTCGCAGTGCTACCGTCATGCCACGGGACCTGACTCACCCGAGCGCCAAGGTCGCATTGCGATGATTCCAGTCAGGCCACTGTATTTTGGCCCAGAGGTGGACTGCAAAGTAGGTGCAGGCAGGATCAAGGAGAAGGTGAGCTGTGCTGTGGCTACATAAACGTCGATATTCTCAACAGCATACTGCAGCTCAGCACTCGCTCTGTTGTATCAATTGAGCCTCCTGTCTGCATATAAAGACAGCTACCAGCACATCCAGCCACTACGCAGTAGAGCTATCAGCCTCAGCATCGACAGCTAACTCGCCACCATCTCGATACAGCCTCACTCCCTCTCCCTTGCCTCGGCGCATCTCCCCTGTCTACACTGAACAGCAAGCGAATCACGATTGATGGATAGTAGCAAAGAAAGCAACAAAATTCACATTTGCCTTTCCCTTGCATGTGCCGTATGCAAGGGAGAAAAGAAGCCAGCTCTCACCACCACCACCACCACCACCACCCCCTTGCAGCGCCCTCTCCTCCTATCCTATCCTGTCCTATCCTACCCATCGTCTAGACGTGTTTTACATATTGGTGAGAAACCTCGTATTATACTTCGTACATGACTAAACGACATCCACCTTGCCTCTTTTCCGACACCCAACATAAGCATAAACATTCGTAGTTCAGTGCTGAATTCCGAGCCCCCAGAAGAACAAGCCAGAAACAACATCTCATACCTCAAACACGTTTCACCCCCAACCACCCCTCATCATGAAACACCAAAAATAAGAAGAAAAAAGCTCGTATATACCAAGAAAAAGCTAAAACCCCTCTTGCGTTTCAGTTTTACATACCTCCCGTCCTGTTCTCTTTCCCTTGTTATTTTCGTCCTAGGGGGGAGCAGGCGGTTTACTCGCTAATACGGAGTACTACTGCTATTAATAAAGCTGCAGAAATCGCATTAGGACAATTTCTCGATGCTGCGCCGTACTAAGCCCATTGGATACTAGAAATACGAACATGGGTTCATGCTATGTATGGCCAAGAGCAAATTCGCTAACCCAAATCCATCCCCCATCCCCCATCCCCCATCCCCCATCCCCCATCCCGTGGGACGGACCTGATAAGAAGCAAAGGGAATGTCGCTTCAAGGCACATCACAAATCACAAAATGACAGATTACCCTTCTCTCTTTTTTTTTTCCCGGCTTCTTCCCAACCCGCAACCTGACACATCAAAGAGTACAGGAGAACAAAAAGAGCAGCGATATTAAAATGAAAAGGATTAGCCAAGTCGTTTCTTCTTCCAACGTTCCAGCTTCATTACATAGTCTTTAAAAGAGAAACATTGTCTGAACGGAGCTTACAACTCTCTCTCACTCTCTCTCTTTCTCTCTTATTTACATTTACCTAGTCAAGTTTCCTCTCGTCCCATTTAATACCTAATCCGCCGTATATATCCTGTGATTCCACCCGAACTATGCCCAACCTAATTCGAACTGTCCGAAGCAGCAAATTCAAAAAAAGGCATTGGCACCCGAGCCCCATCCCAGCGTCAAGCAAAAGAGGTAATCAACCTCGCCCTGCACTCATGGCCATCTGTAATTCTCACATTCATGGCGCTTTCTGTCAGGCATTGATCACATTAATTAATTATATAGTAGTAGAAGTATGGCTGACATCAAATCAGAGATAATCGTAATACTCTGGATGACCGTGAAGCCCCATTAGTCGAACATTATTATAAGTTTTGCGTTTTTTTCTTTCTTGTTTAAACAAGGTGTTGTGTGTAAATCTCTCATGAATAGCTCAACACTTTACGCCTCAAACACCGGGCCATAGTTTGGTTTTTTACCCGTTCTATGCGATATCTTCTTTTATCAAGAGAAGAGACAACATGAGCTGCTCACTAATAAAAAGAAAAGTTGACAGTATTAAAAAAAAAAACAATGTGGCGTTTATCGCAGAGGAAGCTTGCAATCGGCGGCGCCTCGTCGAATGACCTCCTCAACATCCCATCGAGGAGGCTTGATGGGGACGTTGTTGGCCTTCCTCCACTCAGCCTCATTTTCTGGTGCCACACCAGCAGGCAGTGGCTCCAAGCCGCCGGCAATGCCTGATGAGAACTTGAGCTGAAGCATGTCGCCAACCTCATCACAGGCCCTGATCATTCGGTCAAGATCATCCTTGTTGTGAGCGGCAGAGATGCAGAAGCGGGCACGCGAGCTGATGAGCGGGGTAGCCGGGTAACCAACAATGACGACGGAGATTTTGCGCTTGAGCATTTCGCGGCTGAAGGCAGGCATCTTTCCGGGGTTGTACAGGAGGACGGGGATAATGGGAGAGTCATCAGAGCCAGCAACGATCAAGCCAAGACGCTTGAGTCCAAGACGAAGATAGCGGGAGTTGAAGGCGATTCGCTGGAGGCGCTCCTCGCCCTCTCCAGGGCAAATCTCGCCGTTAATCAGCTTGATCGAAGTAAGAATCTGCATGAGGACAAAAGGAGAAGGAGCTTCGCCGTAGATTGAGCAGACATTAGTGGCACGGAGCTTGTCAATGATGTGCTTCTCAGCCGCAATGTAGCCTCCATTGGCGCCAAACGACTTGGTCAGAGTACCCATAAGGATGTCAACCTCCGAGGTGTCAATGCCAAAGTAATCACAGACACCACGGCCACGGGGTCCTAGGGCACCGATGGAGTGGGCTTCGTCAACGTACAAGTAGAACTTGTACTTGTGCTTGAGGGCCACAATTGCGGGTAGATTAACCATGGTACCTTCCATAGAGTAGAGACCTTCGACAACGACAAGAATCTTCTTCCAGGGGCGGTGAGTCCTTGGCTGGCCCTGAGAGATGGCTTCACGAAGAACACGCTCCAGAGCGGTCATATCGTTATGCTTGAACGACTGGATGACGGCGCCACTGAGACGAGCACCGACACGGATGGAGGCGTGGTTCAGTTCGTCAGAGATGATCAGGCAGCCTTTGGACACGAGAGCAGGGAAAGTACTGGAGTTGGTAACATAACCCATAGAGAAGACCATGGCATCTGGCTTTCCAACAAAGGCCGCAACTTCGCGCTCGACTTCAAGGGCCAAGTCGGAAGTGCCGCTGTCACCACGGGGGCTTGCAGCGGTAACGCCGTACTTCTTGACACATTCATCGACAGCGTCGGCACAGGGACCCTCGGATTGAGCAAAGCCGAGATAGTTGTACGAACTCACGTTGAGCGTCTCAATGTGGTTACCAGTGTAGTGATAGTGGCGGTTAAGCCTGTCTGCCGTACGTTCCTTGAGAGTGATGAAGCGGCCGGGAACACCAAAAGTAGGTCGAGCAAAGCAGTCATCCAGACGGCCTTTCAAGCGTCGGGTGTAGAAGCTGTCGAAATCATCAGTGAGAGGCGCAAGCCCGTTTCGCACTTTGAGGGCATTGTAGCGCTTTTTATCGCCAAAACGTTTGCCAAAGTAATCGCGACAATGGCCAAAGATGATCAAGAGGAGATAGCTTATGTAGGTGGTCAAGAGAAAGAAGTAGGGGGGCATGTCCTCAATCGGCTCCTTGAACTCTTCGCCATTCGACTTGCTAACATAGCGGTGGGATGGGTCAAGCAGAGGTCCAAACTGGGCCTCGGTGCGTCGTCGATGCTCCTGCTCCTCGGCCGATTGAGGCTTGAACAGCATCTTGGCTGGCTCGACGTTGTTGGGCTCCCCAGTCGCGGTGGACAGGGAAATGGTGGGCAGCGACACCGTCGACGGCGAGATGGTGTTGTTCATCTGGCTTTGATGCATGGCGGCGAGAGGCGACTGGTCCTTGGACTTTGGGCTGGATGAGAACAGCTGGCTCAGTCGGTTGGTCTTGGAGGACGAGAGACGTCTTTCGCCAGTCTTCTCGGATGCTGACATAGCAGACTGGGTAGAGGAGAAGGGGTTTGCAAGCCGTCGCGGCATGGTCTCCGCGAGGTTTTAACCAGACAGATCCAACTCGCGTGGTTGGATGGAAAGGTCGGCAGGCCCAGAACAAGGCTTTCTGGGGCTAGGCGTCTGGCAGAGGAAAAAATCGAGACGGGTTAGCTTGAGCGGCCAATGGGAACGAAACAAGATCTCGGCGATGATGCAAGCGTATTGCGGGTGTGGAAATGGGGGTGGTGGAAGCTTTTGGCTCGTTGTTTTAATTTTATTTTATCTTTCCCTTGCCATCCACTGCTTCGGCAGCGACCGCGACGAGCACCAAAGTTACGGCGCGATGCGGTGTGGCCACATACGCTTTTAAGCCTTGCTTAGCAGCGCCACCAGCATTAGACATCCGCAGCAGGAAAGGCGTCTGATGAAGCCCCAAACAAGCTTTCAGCTGGAGACAGTTGCAGGTATATTGCACGTCCGCATGAGGGGAGCTGTGGGAAGAGAGGTGCAAGTGGCCCAAAGCCCGATATCACGAGGGTTTTTGGCTGGGGCTGGGGTTGAAGGGCACACACGCAGAACATCAACGCAATGGAGACTTACCAGTCCGTAATTGACGCCGGCAGCGAACGATGCTGCTGCTGAGCTGCTCGCCTGTGATGGCGATTTAACTCTGTTTTGCCTCGACTCGGCTCGATCGATCGACGCTTGGGGTCCAGCACAGCCCCGGATGTCGACGCAGCGATGTCGTGGCAGGCCAATCCTCCAGTGGAGATCCGACTCTGAGAGCACAAGGACACCACGCGAGGGGGGAGACTGCGAGATAAAAGGTCCACGATGGCAGCCGGGAAGAGCAAAGCAAAGCAGGTTGAAGAAGGCAGGTTTTGGCTCTGGGGGGATGTTTCGGCTGGGCTGGACGATAAGGTAAGATGAATTGGCGAAAGGGGGTCTCTGGCAGAGGGCCACTGAGACCAATGAGACGGCGGCAGCGCAGTGCTCGGCCACGGCCAGCAGAGGGAGGGCTCAAAAACAGGCGCTCATAAGCCACGCCGTCGGGGCTGCGACACCGTCCGGGTTTTTTCTGCGTGCGCCGTCAACACCTTTTTTTTCTCGCTTCTGCTCCGTTTTCCTCGTTTGTCTGCTGCCAAAACACTGGGGCTACGGAACTGCGGCGCGCTGCGGCCAAGAGCGTAGCGTCGTCGGGTCGGTCAAAATCAGCCAAGTCGGAATTCAGGAGCGGCCAGACAGGGGCCTCTGGCCAGCAAAAGTGGGCGCCTAGCCTGGGCCATGGGGCTGTTAATTTGGGCCTGTTCCGCTGTCTACAGGCCCTTCAGGTCGATTTCTGGGCGCCTGATGGGCCGGACGTAACGCGGCGACGCCCGCTGCAAGCACCAGTGCAAGTACCGGCGCACCAGTGGTTCTGCCAGCGAGTACCAGACTCACGCAGCTCATGCTCTCGGCAGACATGGGCCAGCAGGCTATCGGTTAGCAGGTTGTCGGTTATGGCATCGGATCCCCCGGGGCTGACAAGACAATCGAATCGCGAGCCTTCTCCGGCATTGCTTCGTGCATTGAGATGAGGTCATTCGAGCGAAATACTGCTCGACAAAACGCTGCAATTGCAGTCCTGTGAACCCGGAAGTTGCCATTAATCGGCATCACGGCAAGAAAATACATCATTGTTCGTCCCGCGTCTGCTCGGGTTCACGTTGCGAGTCAATACTGTACATGGTACTGAGTGCCAACAATGATGCAGCGCTGTATACACAGGCATGCAACTGCTGTAGCACTGAGGTGCAAAATCCTACACGCACTGGAGAGCTCTTGGCAGCTCTCGTCGCACGACGTCGAGATCTGCAAGGGGGTACCCGCGTGATGACATTTCGCAGCCCTCTCTATCGCTCGGAAAGGGGGCGGCGTGGTGGCGGGAAAGAAAAAGGGCTGATAGCTCTGCGAGCTGCGAGCTGTTGGCAGCCACTACAAACTATTGCCAGCTGGGCGGGTTTGCGGTCGCTGAAACTCTCCGAGGAAGCCGGGCGTGTGTTATTACTACTGGCTGCAGCCTTTCTCTATGTGTGCGTATTGTATATGTGCCTCTAAACTGTTGCTCTCCATTTCTCTTGCTGCCGTAGAACGGACAAACGAGATACAGCATAGAAGGGGCCCTCTCTTTCTTCTGTCTCTCTCTCTCTCTCTCTCTCTTTTTGCCTCTTCATTTTAAACTTTTTTGGGTTGGCACTGACATCGACGATCCTTTCTTCATTTTAAATAAGACGCAAGGACCCTGTGTAAACGAACAGTGCCTATCCCACTCCAGACAGTGGGGGCAGGTGTCTCACTGTTATCTCGTGCCAACGGAATACACGGAATTGCTCCTCCGCAACTACAGCTCTTGTACTGTACGCGTACCCGTACGGGTTACCCTGCAGCCATGGAGTTGGGGTGGAGAGTTATTGTTGTTGCGAGCTAGTATTCACAATGTACTTCGGCGCACTTGGATGATGCATCATCATCTCACCTGAGCAGTATTTGCCAAGCGACCACCTACAGTAGTGCGAAGTAGTAGAGTCCATACTTTGTAGCTACGGCAATAAAAGAAAAAGTCTGTCTTCGTGCAAACTTCTAGCCTCGCTCCAAAAAAAACGACAGAAAAAGAAAAGATTGGACATGAGCCACTTTTTTTGGTCCTCGGCACTTCTGCATTCCGCTAGATCAAAGCTTACAAGCACATGGGGTGATTCCATCTCTAAAGCCATCACATGCTCCACGCCTTCGCTTCGCTCGTCAACAAAGTCAATCGGGCTGCACCAGCCACACACTCTCCATCTCTCTTCTTGCACAGCCACATGGACGTGCTCGGTTAGCCACACTGCTTCCTGCCTCGGTCTCCAGCCACACCCTCCAGCCACAGCCCTCCTCACCTTCTCAACAGCCGCAGCCTCTCCCTCTAGCCATCTCGTCCATGCCAGATTTAGACCCGAGGGCTGCCCGCGGGTTGTAACGGCTAAGATGGAGGTGCGCAATCGAAGCCGATTCGGCATTGGGCCAAGTGCCATCCGCGATAAACCCCAACCGATTTTTGGTCCCTGAATCCGGATAGACTATTTGTTCAGATTGAATTTCTGTTGTGGGAGAGGAAGAGATCGAGAAAAGGACCCCAATCAACTTCCCTCTTTCCCCTTCTTTCGCTTGACTCTCTCTTCTTCATCTTCATACTCGACTTCGCGGGCTATTCACGGCATATACACCATGGGGGAGTCCATCGATCGCAACGACACCATTCCAGGCGTCGCGCCGGCAAAGGAGCTCTGGAGACATCCAGACCCTGCCTCCACGCCCATGTGGAAGTTTCTGCAGACTGTGAACGAGAAGCACAATCTGCGTCTTAATGGCTACCCAGACCTGTACAAGTGGTCCGTCGACAACGTTGCCCAGTTCTGGGACGAAGTGTGGCAGTTTGTCGGCATCGTCAGCTCCAAGCCGCATTCTTCGGTGTGTTACAACTCCAGATAGCAACTTCTACTATTAGCCATGATGGGATTTGCGTACTAACCAACGCTTCTTCTTCATTGGAACAGGTTCTACCTCCTAATGCGCCCATGTTTCCTCGCCCCGACTTCTTCTCCGACTCTCTTCTCAACTTTGCCGAAAACCTCCTATTTCCTCCCACCCCAGAGCCTCTCGACCCCAACTCCACCGCCGTCATCACCACCACCGAGCTCCCAGGCGATTTGCGCTCAACTACCTGGGGTGAACTGCGTGAGGCTGTCCGCCGATGCGCCAATGGCTTGCGCGCCGCAGGGCTGAAGCCCCATGACATCGTTGCCGGTTATGTGTCTAACCATGTGGAGGCCGTGATTGCAATGCTGGCTGCCGCTTCTATAGGCGCGATATGGACGGGCATTAGCCCTGATAGCGGCGTCTCTGCCGTGCTGGATCGACTGAGCCAGATTGGACCTCGTGTCCTGTTCGCCGACAACGGTACCGTTTACAATGGCAAGGAGTGGTCAAGCACATCCAAGACAAAGGACATTGTCGCGGCGCTTAGCAAGATGGGCTTGCAACAGGTCGTTGTCATCAACAACATCAAGGGCGAGCTTGGCATTGAGGACCTTGAGGCTCACGGGGTCAAAGCTGTTGAATACCAGGCATTTCTCGCCAGCGCATCTTCAGAGAATCTCAGATTCGAGCAGCTGCCGCCATCACACCCACTCTACATCCTCTACTCCAGCGGAACCACTGGCCTTCCCAAGGCCATTGTTCACACAGCCTTGGGAACACTCATCCAGCACAAGAAGGAGCACGTGCTGCACTGCTCACTGACCCCTGCGTCGAGCATGCTCTACTACACAACTACTTCCTGGATGATGTGGCATTGGAGCATCGGAGCGCTTGCTGCTGGAGCCAAGTTGATCCTGTACTCGGGATCGCCCTTCCGACCCAACTCATACATGTCTATCCCCCGCGTGCTATCAGATCTCAAAGTTACCCACTTCGGCACCTCAGCGGCCTACCTCACGGCCTTGGAGGCCAACGGCGTCTATCCTGTTCGCGATCCTAGCATTGACTTGTCCCATCTTGAAGCCATCTACTCCACTGCATCACCACTGCCTCCATCCACCTTCTCATTCGTCTACGAAGCCTTCCCCAAGAACATTAATCTCGGCTCCATCACCGGCGGCACCGACATCATCTCCCTGTTCGGCGCCTCTTGCCCTCTGCTTCCCGTGCGCGTTGGCGAGATCCAGTGTGCCGGCCTCGGCATGGCCATCAGAGTTGTCGACTCTGTCACCGGAGAAGAAGTGCCCTCAGGAGAACCCGGCGACCTGGTTTGCGTCAAGCCTTTCCCCTGCCAGCCCCTGACATTCTTTGGCGCCAGCGGCAACGACAAGTACAAGGCTGCCTACTTTGAGCGCTTCGAGGACGTCTGCGGCGTCAAGGGCGCGGTATGGCACCATGGCGACTTTGTCAAGATCCCCGACGCCAAGACGGGCGGTCTCCTGATGCTGGGACGGTCCGACGGCGTCCTGAAGCCTGCTGGCGTGCGATTCGGCTCGGCCGAGATCTACAACATCCTGATTCGGTTCTTCGCGGCCGAGGTGGAAGATGCCGTTTGTGTGGGGCGCCGACGAGCCACGGACACTGACGAGACGGTGTGCCTCTTTGTGGTCACTACGCCGGATCACAAGTTCGACGATGACTTGAGAAACAGGATCAAGCAGAAGATTAAGAGCGAGCTCAGCCCCCGTCACGTCCCGGGCGTGGTGGAGGAATGTGGCGGCGGTGTTCCCAAGACGGGCAATGGTAAAAAGTTTGTAGTCCTCCTGTCCCTTCCTTCCCTCTCAGAAAAGCGAAGAAAAGTAATGCTAATCCATTTTGTCCGTTATAGAATCGAAGTTGCTGTGAAGCAGATCCTTTCAGGCATGACGGTCAAGACGAACGCCAGCGTGGCCAACCCAGAGGCTCTGGAATGGTTCAAGCAATGGGCAGAGGCCAATTAATGAGATATAGAAAAAAAGCGTAATGTTGGATAAACAGATATATTCAAAAAGAGGAGGGATGAAATATTAAAAAGCAAGATATGGATCGTGGAAATCCCTCTCGGGATAGCGCTTGGGCAGTATTATGCCATGATGAAGAAATCGAACTACAAGCATTATATATGAAGTTTTGATTAATGTGTTCCTTGGGTGTTGAGCTAGCTCAATGTAGAAGCTAGTTAATAATTGCTCGGTCGAATCGCTTTGCTAAAGGATACACGTTAAACGCAGCTAGATCTCAAGTGGATCGTGATATCATATATGAGATGCATCTACTAGTATTTTCTCTACTGCAGCACCCACACCATCCATAGCCTGTTGACACAAGATAAAAAAGGGCTAGCATATCCCCAAGCCGGATGTGTGTGCAAAGCAGCAGTAGTATGCCGCTATCACTTTTCATCTCGTCGTTCTAATCAGAACATCACTTGTGGATATCCCCCCCCCAAAAAAGCCTCACGCAGGTACAGGATGCTGCCGATTCGGGGAGCCATCCCCGGCCAGTGTGTACATTAGTAATTTGGTTAGTAGTAGCTACGCTTCAATTAAATGTAACGCTTTGTTGCTTTATTCGCCTTCGCCTTTCCCAATAGGAGAACAAAGTAGTATCGAGCACGGAGCTTGGTAACTGGCCATGGGAAGGCGTCTAGACAAATATTTGGCGGTACTGCTGCTAGCAGTATTAACTGCTATTTTACAGATAACTTCCCCTACCAAGCAACATGCCATGCAAAAAATGGTACGACAGCACGGCAAACTTTGCAGGGAAATACGCATATATATACCTAGTACGCGGCTCGCAAATGAAATTTGGCCCATACAAGGCAAACCACGCTTATAATAAGTTCCCGTCTTATACGACTAACGTTGCAGGGTTATTTGGCTAGACATCGAGATCATCTGCTGCGAACTGCTCCATTGGGATAGAGGGATAAATACGAAGAGTGAGGAAATGTGCCGAGAGGCGTACCCTGGAAGGAAGCCATGCCGGCTTTGTGCAGATACAGCTACAGGTACTCCGTAGGTAGAAGTAGAAATGCAAGTAAGACATATATGAGTAGGTAAATTGTCAGATCCAAGAGCTTATAAAGCGGCAGTTTGTAGTACTGTCATCTATAACAGTGGATAGATTGCGGGAGCATGTTTAATGTGTAAATCATGTCTCGGCAAGCTCTCTTAGTAGAAAAGCTAGTCAAGTAGATCTGCTCGCCTGCGTATGTACAGTATATTATTTGGTGAACGGAATAGGAGTGGATTTTCCGCGTACACGTATAAAATAGCACGGCCTCTGGGTCTTATGGATAGCTCAAAGCTCTTCTCCCAAGTACGTAAGTAACCGCCCAAGCACCCTCGTCCGCAATCACAAACGCAAGTTCCCGACAAGCTGCCTCCCGTTGTTGGAGCACAGCATGATCGTGGCACTGGTACTGTAGCGTCCGCACGGCATTCGGCCGGGGGGCAGCAGAGCAGGCCACGGATGCCTCGCTCACATTGCGTGCTCCATCCTCTGCCCTGGCAATATCCGGCGCTCTGGATTTTCAAGGCGGAGCTAATTTAGAAGCACCAGATCTCCGTTTTCCGTCTTTCTCTGCTACGAGTATGGCGCGAGCGCAGCATCGAATAGTTTCCAGCTTGGCAGAATCCATTTCATCCTGCTAGGTATCAGTGCGTGCGCCTCTCGCCGTCAACACGAGACCAGCTACATCCAGCTTTGCTTGAAGAGCACTGCAAATTACTCGCAGCAAGAGCTAAGGCGGGTCCATCCAAGTCGAATGATTGATTGCCCAAGGCCGGGATCGAGTGCAGAGCAAACCGTCTTGGTAATAGGCCGGGGCTAAACTTGCTCTTAGAAGGTGGGCTCGGAGGAAGAAGCGGGTCGGCGTGCAGGCATGGTAAATTGCGTCCTTGGCTTGGGCCCGCGGCGTGATTCTGGCCGTTCCTTATTCCTCGCTCAGGCAGCCAAGCCAGAAAGACGCAGCAGCAGTGAGTGGGAGGCATCTGCTCTGCTGGTTGGAAGGATGGAGGCGTCGCGGGTAGAGTCAGTTTGGGGGTTCTGCCTTGTGCGCCTCGCAGGAGAGGCGCCTGCGTAGATGGATTCGAAGCCTTGCTCGTCGCTGCACGCACGCGTAGCTGGTGCTACATACAAGCTCTGTGTGAGGTAGACTGACCACCACTTGCTGCCCAGGAGAAAGGCAATCAGTCTGCGCTGCTGGCAATATTACTCGAACCCGTATCAAAAGCACTCGACGGAGCCCGTCTTCCGCCCAGCGACTAATCTCATCAGGGGTTAAAGCTGCAGGGCTACCGGCCAGTGGCGTCAACGGGCGTCAGTGGAGTTTGTCCTTTGGCCAGGAACCAGGCGATTTGCATTCACGCAGAGACTTGGGAATTGGCCGGGCTGTTGGCCGATTGACTGAAGGTGCAGCAGCATCGGTTGGCCGCAGATCGTGTGGCAGATGGTGAGAGAAAAAGGAATGAGGCAGAAATGGCGCGTAAACGCAACATCCCAGAATGGACGGCAAGATTTGAATCTGGCCCCAAAGGTCTTTCGTGCACGGAACTAGCGAATCATCCCCTGCTCGTACCTGCTACTGCCCGGGAGGTACCCAGTACATGCCGGAGGAGGTAATTCAAAGCGCACCCTGGTCGCAATGCAGAAACCAAAAGAGAAGAAGAAAATGTTCTTTGGCGAAGAGCGAGACTCCACCGGCCTCCTCTCCTTGCCCCTGATGCAATAACCATATTGGGAGTACTTTTTGTAGTCTTGCATATACAGAGAGTACTCTCGCCGTGCCGTTGTTCTCATGTGCATCTACTCTCATACAGCTGGCAGCCTGCAAACCTTGGGCAGAATCACCGGCATTCATGATAGAGCACAGGCATTGAATAGCAATACCAGAGCGTAAACGTGCCAATTAATCCAGCAGCATGCCCATATAAATTCAGGTACTATCTACTAGTAGTATTTATTTCATCGCTGAGCTTATATACGAGTGCAAATACTCCGTAAACTGTCTGGATATATGTAGGTACCTACTAGGTATAGTAAAGCACTTGGATTTCTACAACTCGTATAAGGCTGGGTACTTGGTGGTCTACAAGCATAACGCCCTGTGCCCGAAATCCCGGATACCAGAACGGCGGGCCGTGAGGCGATGAGAAATGCGAAGAGGCTGACGGCGAGGGCTGAGCTGGTACAAAGAAACACGGAACAGAGGCAGTAAAACGCGGATGATGCAGAGGAAGAGCGCATCTCTGCGTTGCGTCCTGTTACAAAGCTGCGCCCGGAGGCGGTACCTCGACCCGCGAGCGAGGACGGACGCAGGTACAGGTACCTCCGCGACGGTAGCAGAAGGCAGTTGTTCCGCACGTACTTTGCCTGTTGCAGCGTAAGCGCAGCGCAGCCGTTAGCCGTAGCGCAGCCTGCACTGTTGCAGCAGTGCTCCGTAGCGCCCATCAGTTGCGATATGCAGCAGCTGCAAACTGCGAAAAAGGGGACCGCCAGTGGATGCTGACAGTAGTGGGTAGAGTGCGTACATACACACATACATACATACATACATACACGCAGGCAGATAGTTGCACGCCGAGCCAACATGGCTGCAGCTAGCTTATCAGGTGTGCTTTTGGCTAAATTGCCTGTCCGGCGTCCAGTTGCACGTAGTATCTGTAGCGCAGACGTAGCGCAGACGTAGCGCCAGCTCGACCCGGCCCTAGAAGAGGCCGATTCCAGCGCCTCAGAGGCCACGGCGCGTTTGCCTCGCTAGCGAGCTCCTCCAGCGTTGTTCCCCTACCTCTGCTCAGGGCCTTGCAGCCCACCGTCAATTTCCCAAATCCGCCCCCAGACAGCCGGGCCCCAGCCAAGCTAGCCCAACCCCCCTGGGATAGGAGCTAACGTTGCTGTAGCTCAGTTCAGTTCTCGCTCCCCCCCAAAGCCAGCGCATTCTTTCTTCTCCTCTCCCTCCGCTCTCCACAATCCCAAGTTCGTCAATTCAATTCCCCCCCGACGAGCGAATCCGCCATCAACCCGTGCAGAGAGAATCGCCATCGCCTGCTGCTCGACTGCCCTTTCGCCCGCCCACGCTCGAACCCGCCGCCATGAATTCGCAGCCCAACGATGTGTCGCCCGAGGCGATGCAGGCGCGCATCCAGCAAGCGCGTCGCGAGGCCGAGACTCTGAAGGACAGGATCAAGCGGAAGAAGGATGAGCTGGCCGATACCACACGTATGTTTTGTCCTTTTCTCTCTCTCTCTCTCTTTCTTCTTCTCTGCGTCGTCTCTCTGGATTTTTCGCTGGCTGCTCAATCGCCATGGCGAGTGGCTGCGAATTTGTCTCACTCTGCGCAAAAGCCAAAGAAATACAGTTGCCGCAGTTGCTAATGCTCTCGAGTTTCCAGTCCGGGCTGTCGCTCAGCAGGCTCACGAGTCCATCCCCAAGAACCAGCTCATGCGGTCGAAGCGAACGCTCAAGGGCCATCTGGCCAAGATCTACGCCATGCACTGGTCCACCGACCGACGACACCTCGTTTCCGCCTCGCAGGACGGAAAGCTCATCATCTGGGACGCCTACACCACCAACAAAGTCCACGCCATCCCCCTGCGATCATCATGGGTCATGACCTGCGCCTACGCCCCCAGCGGCAACTTTGTTGCCTGCGGTGGTCTCGACAACATCTGCTCCATCTACAACTTGAACCAGCAGCGCGACGGCCCTACGCGGGTGGCCAGGGAACTATCCGGCCACGCCGGCTATCTTTCTTGCTGTCGATTCATCAACGACCGCAGCATCCTCACCTCGTCAGGTGACATGACCTGCATGAAATGGGACATTGAGACGGGCCAGAAGGTCACCGAGTTTGCCGACCATCTCGGCGATGTCATGAGCATCAGCCTGAATCCCACCAACCAGAACACCTTCATCTCCGGTGCCTGCGACGCGTTCGCCAAGCTCTGGGATATCCGTGCCGGAAAGGCGGTCCAGACTTTTGCCGGCCACGAGTCTGACATCAACGCCATCCAGTTCTTCCCTGATGGCCACTCTTTCGTCACCGGATCCGACGACGCTACCTGCCGACTCTTCGATATCCGTGCCGATCGTGAATTGAACCTCTATGGAGTACGTCTAGTTGTTTTGTTTTTAACTTTGTAGAGAGAGTTGTCAGGAAAAAGTATGATCAGAGATGCTAACGTGTCAACCTAGTCTGAATCCATTCTCTGCGGTATCACATCCGTCGCCACATCCGTCTCTGGACGTCTGCTCTTCGCTGGTTATGACGACTTTGAGTGCAAGGTAAGCCACGCTCCCAGATTAATATTGATGCATCTGATGCTGACTCTTTGCAATTAGGTCTGGGATATTACACGAGGCGAAAAGGTTGGCTCACTGGTGGGCCACGAGAACCGTGTGAGCTGCTTGGGCGTGAGCAACGATGGCATCAGCTTGTGCACAGGTTCATGGGACTCTCTGGTATGTTTCAACAAGACGTAAACTGAGCTTCTATTTGAGATTGACCGCTAACTCCATCTACAGCTCAAGGTTTGGGCTTACTAAAATGCCTAATCTATGACACAGACGGGCTTTTCACGCATATGCCGATTCAAGTCTACCCCATGACTTCTTCAACCATCCGCATTCAACGACTATATTACCCGCCAATTTCGGACACCCGACCACACGCATATCAGGCTTGCGAATACTGGCGTACGCAGGACGAAGTGACGAAACGTGCCCTACTTACACCATTACCCCCTTTTTTTTTTTTACCATTATTTATTTATTTATTTTGGCCGATGCATGAGCAACACTTCCATGTTTCGTGGAGGCATCTCAACCCACTTCTTTCGGCAGCAGTCGGGAAAAAGGAAAACCGGCCGACTTGATACCTTTTGCTTCCCCAAGTTCCCTTTATCTCTCATTTTTTTCTTTTTCCTTTTTTACTCTTTTTTCGTTTCCCGCCTCTGATCCCCCAAAAATTATTTGCACAAGTTTCTGCGTTTTTCATTTTCCCGATAAGCTCTGGGTTGTTGGCGACGGGCGGGGTGTATTACTTGATGGTTATTTGTTTTTTTTCTTCTACTGTCCTCCAGCTTTTTTTTTTGTGTCTATGTGTTCTCTAGCTCTGCTTCTGCGGTGTTTTTCCCATCTTTTTAATATGCCGCGGTCGAGCGAGTTTAGTTGTTTGTTTTGTTTTGTTTTCTTTTTCTTAGAAGGACAACGCATATAACAGAGCTCATGAGAACCAAAAAAAAATTCTGGAGAGTAAAGAGGGGAGAGAGAAGGGGAAGGATTTGTTTGGAAGAGGGGAAGGGGGGTGGGGGGATTAGCGATGGGAAATGGGATGTGGTGGATTTAGTTGGTTGACTTATAACAAAGGAGGAGCAAAGTTCAAAAAGCTTCCAGATAATACAGTACGATGATTCAACAAGACCGGGCCGCATTTTTTTCTTTGTCTTCTTTTTTTCTCTTGAGCTCCTCTGTTTTTGGGATATATATTATGACTAGGTATATGCAAAGAAAGAGGATGCAAAGGCACATAAAACGAGGAGAGACGCGAAGAGCAAGGCGGAGAGAGACGTTGTGTGCTGATGGCTGTTTAGAACGAGTTTGTTGAATGTGACACAATACCATGGAGGAGGTTTCGTTTGGCTTTCTTTTCTATTCTGTTCTCTTTTCTTTTTCTTTTCTTTTCCTTTCCTTTGTTTTGCATTCTGTTATCGGAAAAATTGCGTTTATACTCTTTTTTAGTTGCTCTTTTTGATACAATATGTTATTTTATTAACTCTGAATGAGTGAGATCAATATATATTTCCTATCTTTAACGAGTGTACAGCATATGGGATGAGTTTATCCTAACAATACAGTGGAGAGTAAAGGCCAAGCAATACAGTACAATAATTCAACGAGACTATGTCGCAAATTTTTTTTCTTTTACTTTCTCGCTCAATTTCGAGACATATAATTATATGTAAAAGAGGAAAAGATGCAGAGCACTTAAATCAAGATAGTTGCGTTAGGATGGAGCGCCTCCAACCAAGAACTAAAAAATGCGTTTTCCGCGATGGTTTCCAGATGTTGGAAAGTATGGTATACCAATGGGGAGGATTGCGTCTGGTTTTTCTTTCTTTTTTTTTTTTTTTTTTTTTTTTTTTTTTTTTTTTTAATCAAACTGTGGTTTTCTTTCATCTATCTGGGTTGTATACTCTTATTTTGTCTTGCGTACGATTGGTTACGGTGCGTTGTCCTTTATAGTTAATATTTTCTGCAAAATAAGTTTCTTCAACTGTGTGAGACTGATGGATTTCTTGCATCTTCATTTAGTGAAAAATATGTTAGACGAGATTATATTTCGTTTCATTTTCGGCAACAAGGTAAAATAAGAAGCGAAAAATGAGGTTAAAAATAAAAATAACAAAAAGACGGTATTGAGTACTTACTATTAATAATTTTGTCCTGCTTACGAATTGTCGCGTTTGGGGGGAGGATACAGAAAAGCCAGGTTCCTGATCCCCAAGGAGTGCAAAAAAAGGAAGAGAAGGGTGTGTGGCTGGTTGAAAGGATTCGACGAACCTTTTTATCCTTTTCAAATAGTATTTTTCCTATATATAAGACTTGATGACTGCAGAGCAAATCCGTCATCTGACAATAGGAACAACGCTATAAATAAGAAAGAATCAAAGTCTCTGCCGAGGAAGAGCGTAAAGTCGGCCTAAATTCCTCCATGTCAAGTATGTCGACGCTGCCCGTCATCAGCAACAATTTGTCACTAGACGAATAGGCGAAGGAGACCTATTTATATCATCGGGTTGCTTGCGGATAGGAAATCGCCCAATTTAAATTGAAAGATGCAAACACGCTGAATATTCTTCTTGGTCCATTGATGCTCGCAGTGAAGAGGGTATCTTGCATGTCTGAACATGGCTGTAGGTTAGCTTGCTGACGATGTCTAACGTGACGCCTCTTGTTGAACGAGGAGGAAGGGTCCAGTGACAGCTAGAGCTTAATGAATGAATTAAACTTGTTAAGCTTATTCGTCTTCCGTGAAAGTATGACGATAAAATTGTGGGCGTGACATTGAAGTGCTGCATGTCATGTTGATCGGCGTGTGGATGCTATTCTCGTCAGCAGATGCCCTCTACGCTGCTTAGAACGTGACGATGATGTAGCAACACAAAATATCATCAGAAACAAACCCAACAGCTTTCTATAAACGGTAGCGTCATCTATGACAGCACCATCCGTCATTAAAGAGAGAAAAAAAAAAAAAGACAGCCTCTAACAGCAGTAACGGTGGAGAGACACGGAGGGCCCGTATATGGCCCGTGTAAGTTTCGACTCGAGACGTCGTTCTAGAAACGGTGGCACGGCGGCCCCGGCAGTGGGAATGAATCAAGCAAATCGGTCATGCCATGTGTCATTTCTTAATCTGCTTCTATTTCGTTGTTTCTAGAAAAGGAAAGGAATATTCGAGAAGCAGCACTTGCATATCATGCTTGTTTGTTTTTGTGGTGCTGGTGGTGTCATGATGGAAGAGCTGGTGTGGGATTGCGGAGAGGCCTAGAACCACAAGGACCTTCGAGAAGGAAGAAACCAAGTGCTGATGAGCGTAGCAATATCATGGCAAGTACAAGAGGTCGCCGGGGAATAAAATGATTGCATACAGGTAGGGTGGCAGCAGCCAACAGGATGTAACGCAAACGGGTGTTTGCAGCTACACTACGGTAATTGCCGATATGCGAGCCCAAGTTATGAGAGAGAAAATTCGCAAGAATAGCACGAGCATGGTACGATGGGTAAAAACTTGCCCGACGAGTTAGTATCTCTGATGCTTGCGAGTATTCAGCTGCGCTCCCAACAGGTCCTCATATTGGCAGCATCATCAGCCGCAAAGCATCTCGTATCCGGCTCCCTCATTTACACAATCTCACCACTCGATAATCACACATTGCCGTTGGCCCCCAAACGCCCATCTCTTTGGATAACGCAGGACTTGGCAAATCTGCGCCACATCGCTTTGGGTATTTTGGTTTACTATTCCTCTGCTAATTTGCTGAAAGACAAGGCCATTATCCGAAAAGCGCCAATGGCAGGGCCGCAAAGAATTGCCGTGCGTACCCAGCAGACAAGGAACAATACGACAAGGGTGGTTGAATATTTGAGTGGGCTGGCTTTCTTCTTTTTTCCATTTTCCCGATCTGCGCTTGAAGGATGAAACAGCTCCTGAAACAAGCAGCATAACCTGGCCATGCCTGATATGGGATAGTCTGTGCACACCATGGATTAAGCATGTCAGATGAGACGCAGTGATCCTTGTTCACCTCGTCGTCTCGCCTTTTTGGCTCTCTTGGCCGCTGGCACGGCACTATTACTGAGAACTGCTAATGCCTCTGCTAGGGCTGTGACTGGAACCGGGCTCGGCAGTGGGATGAACGGGCTGAATGCCGGCTTTGGCTTGGGAGATGGCGGTGAAGACGAGACTGAGACGGACACTGAGACGCGAGTACGGAGTACAGAGCACGAATATGTGTTCTTGGAGACTGTTTTGCCGTTGATTCTGCAGCAAAGGTAGCGCGGAGAAGAATGACCAGGTACTCGGCATCTTGGAATCGATATGCACGAGCAGCGTGGCCATCAGCTTACTATTCCACAAGGGAAAAGTCACCGTGCGCTGCTCATGACGCTCTCGTCCAGACTCGTCCACGTCAGCCGCATTGCCATGTGTCGTCGTGTAAAGTTCCGAGCCAAGGGCTGGGGGGTGTCCTTTCTTCACCGTCTTGTTTGCGAGATAGGGCTGGCCGGCCATTGAAACATACCGCCAGTCTTCCTCTCTTTCATTCTTCTCGTCTAGCCGACCAAAACACGCCCGTTGCCGTAATTGGATACGAACGATTCGTCCTGGGCAATGCGCATGAAATGTCGGCCCAGCCCGACGCCCTGCAGACATGATAGCCTGGCAATGCTTCTCATCCTGCCCTAAGAATAGAAAATGATGGAATTAACAAAGCTCGCCATTGCGGGGGAGAGGGCCAAGCGCGTTCAAACGGCGTGTCCAGCCAGCCGCACCTGGGTTGCATGAATCGAGCGGAGAATTGTCATCTCCTTGTGTGTATAATGCTGGTTCACTTCCATTGCGGGTGGAGCAGGCTTGTCACAGATCCGGCTTCTCACCACGTGTGAGACCTGGTGGGCGTTGGGAAGAGCCTTTCTCTTCTTGTCCAAATGACATATTACTCGTGTGCTCTGTTAGCCGTGGAAAAGAGCTGAGCCGTGTGATGCAAGGGCTCAGCCGTCAGTCGTTCGTTCTTCTTAGCGCCGGAGGAACCACACATCACCCCAGCTTTCTTTCTGTCGTTGGGCAGCTTGAGATGATGAAATTGAGAAATTGAGCAGTCAGTTCCTGGGGTCCGCACAGGACCGTTGGATTCATTGCCGTCCATGCTGTTGTCTTGCTTTGCTGGCGCCACTGGCACACTGGCATGACCGCATTGCGGCCCAAGACAAAGAACAAGGCCACGACCCCTGGGCTCAAATTATCGGTGTTTGAACCGGGCTTCAGCCTCGCCAATGTCGTATCGATGTTTCCACGCGAAGCGTACGTAAGAGTCCAGCAGCGGCAGCATTGATTGCCCGGGACTTCTTAGGAATATGGACGCTGTGCTAGGACGAATACTGCTGGTGCAAGTAGCGATGTAGCATCAGGCAATGCGGCTGGACAACCCATGCTTCATAGATATTAATTGCTCTTCAGCTGATCAGCAGAGATTGGCATCAGCTCCATACCGAAATACGCTGATCTGATCTGATCTGGCGTTGCAGAACACAGCAAAGCCACAATAAACTCATTTGCAATTGCAGAATATGGAGTGCTTGGACGACGTACCGCATCTTGCGCCACAGCCCCGCGGCGCCACTTTTGGCCGGCCCATCTTTTCGCCCACTCTGCGCCGGCCTCGGCCAATCACGAGCTTGCATCCTCTTCAGCCCGTCATCATTATTCTTCACTCTTGAAACTACCGCCTGTTCTCAAGCCTCCCCCTGGCAATTGACATGCTCTGATCTGCCTGCTGAAACAGCTTGACGCATCAAAAAAAGGGGGGCGTGCGACTTCTCCGGGGGGCCCCCATTTGCCATCTCGCCAACTCTCTCTCGCTCTCGCCGACGATTCTACCCTCTTCAGTCTCTCGATCCGAGCGTTGCTTGTGTCAATCGCGCGCGAAACCTATTGCAGCCTAATCGACGCTCAAATCAACAGAGGCTTCACCAGCTCAGTCGTCTCACACCCTTGCTGCCCTGCTCCGCTTCTTCTAGAAACGCGTTGTCCGAGAGCCAGTCGACGGCATAAACGACAGCCCACACGCCCCCTCCCTCACACATCTTCGGCTCTCACTTGACAGGTTATCTCTTCCTGCACACCTCGCATTGTCTGCTGGCTGGAGCTTGCAACTACAATTACACCACAACACCACTTTTCTACCCATCTATATAACTACCCTCAGCCTCCCGCTCGTGAGACGAGCCCTTCTAGCCCAGCATGACTACTGAAGCCCAAGACGAATTCGACAAGCTTGTCGCTAACAACGCCCACCGTGAAACTGTCCATCCTGAAGATCGCGACGACGCCGACTCCCAACACGGATCTGATCTCTCTGAAGAAGAACAATACCGCAACGCTAGGATCGAAGAGGCAATGAGAATGCCTACCGCCGCTACAGAGTTTAAGCTGCCCCCCGTGTCTTTTGACAGCGGCCGCTCTACCGGTGTCAAGGGCGTCATTGCCGACGCCAGAAGCTATGAATCTGCCCGCAAGACAAAGTGGAGAGCGCGAGCAGCGTCCGTCCGCAAGAGCGTCTTTGGCTCCCCACGCAGCAACAAGAGCGAGAGCGAGAGCGAAGAGGCCATCTTCAGCGGCGGCGATGACGAAGACGAAGAGGAGTTCCTGAGCATGTGGCGGGAAGCGCGGAGGCAAGAGCTCGAGAAGGAGTCCGGACAGTCCATCCGGACCAGACGGACAAGCCCAAGCACCCGGATTTACGGCCGCATGGACGAGGTGGATGCGCTAGGCTATCTGGACGCCATTGAGAAGGTGAACAGAGATACTACTGTTGTTGTCTTTGTGTACGATCACGAGGTAAGAGCCCTTTCTACTCAACGTTTTACGCAAGCTGTATTCTAACATTACCTGTCCAGAGCGAAGTCTCATCAGCAATCGAATCGGTACTGGTGCCTTTGGTCAAGGCAAATCCGTCAGTTCATTTCGTCAAGGTCCACTACGAGGACATTGAATTCGACAATGCTGCGGTGCCTGCCATCCTGGCTTACCGAAACCAGGGCGATCTATTTGCCAACCTCACTGGCATTATTGAGATGATGCCAGATGATGAGCACTTTGGCCCTGAGTCCCTGCAAAAGGTGCTCAAGAAGCACGGCGTGCTATCATGAAAAAAAAAAAAACATTAAAAAATTCTGCGCTCAATAATTTGCTCTCTCTATAAATCACTTGCACCTCGCTTCCTCTTCTTCCTCTGTACACCTTGTTAATACATGGCTTTGCTTGGGTTTAACAAACTAGATGCCATTTTCTACCGGATAGCATCATCCTTTGGAAGATCCCTTGGAAAATCACTATCTGTCATCTCGGTCTCCCTGGAACCGGCAGCAACATCCGTGCTACAACATTTTTTTGTGAAGATACCCCACTTCTTCGAATTCTCTCTTCTTGGCTACTGGGATTACGGACTTGAGGTGGGATTTTCCCCCTTAACCCTTGGTGTTTTTTGGCTCGAGCTTGTTTTATACAACCCCCCTCGTCCAACGCATGACCTAATCCTTGTACCTGGAGTGTCTGCTGCCTGGTCTGCATTTCGGCTTTATTTTTGCTTTCTTTGTTATCATTCTTACGGAGTTTGTGGAGATTCGGGGAAGGGGATATACAAAAGTATTACTACTAGGCGGGAAGCGACACGCGTATAATGTCGGAATGTCGGAACGTTTTCTCTTTTTTTGACGTTCCTGTATTGTTTATTATGTTTAGGATACATGACGGGATGGTGTTTATTATGACAGATTTCTATTTGTGACAGGGTAGCTGCCTAGGGCTGGGTGCGTATAAATGCCGAGCGATATCGGCTCCAATATGAAACATTTTCTACCCAATGATTTTTTTTTTTTTTTTTCCCGATGAATGCTGTGATTTAACGTTGCATGAGTTAAATTGTCTTGTGATGGCATCGTTATGGCTTGTGGTTCAACCTTTCTTCCTGGTCTACAGACTCGTTTTGCCGTTTAAGCATGTACTCGAAAATTGCCTTTATAAAGTCATGGGATGTATATCTTTACATATGTACACATACAGCTAGCGTTTACTGATTTACACCAGCATATGCTAATTTTCGCCAGTTAATACGGCTATAGGGTAACGGATGGAGTTCACTTCGTCGGACCTCACTAGTGATTCCCTAAGATTATAGACCTAGACACCTATACAAGCCATCTAGTACTACTGTACGGTGCGGAAATCTCAAGCCTCTGCGACCATAGTTTATAGCATGGCAAACAGTATATAGTTCCGCCGATGTTAGACCAGGGTTTTGCTACGTTCAGCAATTTCAAAACTCTATTTTCTTGTATATAAAGACATCTACGCCCGAGAAGATGTTGGAAGAATTCTGCCTCAACCCATCTAACAATTTCTCATGTTGGCCGATTATATCCAATTCGACGCCGATCTGCCATCATTGCTTGTTGTGGACTTACTCTCATTCCGCCTTTCTAGCCACCACTGACATCAAACAAGCCAATATGCTAAAAGAAATCGATAAATATTGTGTTTATGAGAGCATGACTATCCCTGGGAAGCCAACCACTTGGCATGTAATGGACTGGGATCGGAGGCGGGTGATTTCCCTCGTCACCCCAACCGACTGTCAAGGGGATCCAGACATACCTGGGAAATATTTTGAAAGGCACATTGATTCTCTCCCACTTGATACTTATAAGATTTACGTGTCAGAGACCGGCGACCTTCGAGTTTCTACAGACCCAAAAGACAACGCCTGGATCTCTATCATACGACCTAAGGTGGAGGATCTCCAGCTTCAGAAGCCTCTTAGCATTGAAACCGTTAAGCGAACCGAATTGTGCGAAATATCTCGCTTGGGCCGAGGTCTTGACCTCGTTTCGTACGGCACTAGAGAAGAGAGGAGAGTCGTCTTCAAGTATGTGCTCATCCTTCAGGGTTCTGATCGATTCTGGACAGAGTTGAATGTTTGGATCCGGCTTTCCCACCATCTGAATATCGTTCCAATTGATAAAATTGTACTGGACGAGATACATGGCCAGATTGTTGGCTTTACAACTCCCTATATACCAGGTGGCTCGCTGGAAGATAATCCGTCACGAGGATTCAAGCTCAAGTGGCTCAAGCAGCTCATTCAGGCCGTGGATGATTTGAACCTCAAACATGGAATCGTCCATGACAATATCATGGCCCGGCATCTTCTTATCGATCCAGAGATGGACGACTTACTACTAATTAACTTTAATTTCGCTCGCCGCATAGCTGGTCCTGTTCGCTTTAGTTTCGACATCTCCGGACATGTACGGAGTACCTGGTATGGGGTATTGCGCTGGGGACCCACTATGGAAGCTCGGGATGGCGGGAATGGGAGGATCCACTTGGGTTAATGGAGAAGGATACTATCGAGAAGAGAAGCGTACGCATAGCATTACATGGCGCTGAGTTCAGACATGTTTATTATATATGTAGATGCGTATTAAATATGCTCGTCTGTCATATACATATCCGTCTTTAACGCAGACTGCATACCTTACCGACGGATATCTCTTTGCATGGCTGTGCCTGTACTACTAGGTAGTGCTATTGTCCGAAGTATTCCACTCAGCGTCTATCTAGATTTGGATCCTAGACTCAGAGCAAAATTCGGCTGGCATAAAGTTCTACAAGAGTCCATAATAATTTGATTGGCCGTATTCGGAGAGGGAAAGCCTCGCTTTATTGACTTTCTTCCGGTTCGCTCTCATTAAAGCTGGCCACTCCTCCTACTAGCCGAGAGAATGGCCTCAAACTGACTGCATAATCTTCACGTGAGACTGCTTCGTATCTACAAGTATTTGATCTTCTTTCCATCCTATCAAACCGTTCGAGCCTCGCAAGATCCTCCCACTCCATCAACTTCTCCACCCCGAACCGCGCCAGCTTCGCCATCTTGGCCATTTCTCTCCATCCTTTCCGTGGTGATAACGAAGTGATAATACCTCAGGTCGAGGTCACGCGCAGCTGCCGTCAGTAGTCGTTTCAACTTCGCATAGCGTCCGTGCTGGGTACCTCTAGCTAAAACCCCACTGCACCGTCCCGCCTTCAGCGGCTAACCCGCATGCTTTATAGGCGCTCGACAGCTAAACTTCCAGCGGTCCACCAGCCATCAGGCAGCCTCGGGTGCCCGCAGGCAGCAACTCAGCCTCAAAAGAAGAAGCTCCAAATCCTTGTATGTCACTGGCACGGCTTTGCCTCATCAAGCTTCACCTGGCCGATTCTTGCTGCGACCAGGGCTGGATGAGTCTCGTTTTCGCTTTATAAACTCGTCTTTGATTCTTTTTTTTGCGTCCTTGTTCTATTCTACCTTGTTCCGTCTGGACTGCGGTTAGTTCTTTCGTCTTGCACGCTGCTGTTGGCTCTGACCTCACTTCCGTATCATCCATCATCCCTCAAAGCATCCGAGCCAAAAGCCCCTCCCCGCCGCTTTTCTTCCCCTCCTTCATATTCACGTCTGCGTTCACGTCCACCCCGCTGCCACTGCAGAAAAGAATTACATACCTGCCGCCTGTTTGATTCATGGGCCTGCCGCCGAGTCATCGCTTTGGTGCGTGAGATGGTCCTTCGACTGACCGCAGTCACCTCGTGATGGAACAGCTTGAAACGTCGCCATCCCCGCCGCCACTGCAGCCCCGTCGTCGCGATACTCTGCTTCCTCGACTTAGCAAACCATCGGCTTCTTACCCAGCACCAACTTCGATTCCTTCGCCATCGGCGACAACCGCTTCTCCCACGAGCCTCGCTTCCTCAGAGCCTACTCTCCGATTTCCTAGACCGCAGGGGAATAAGCAGCTTGCAAATTGGATATCGAGCAGCAACCCCAACATCATGGATCTGGCCCCGCCCACCGAGGACAACAGCCTGTCCGAGTCAACCTACGAGCTCGTCTCGGGCCCGAGCACCGATACCGAAGAGTCTCAAGACGACAACTACACCGGGTCCATGAGCGAATCCGTCGGCTCGCTCGACATTCATCGCCCAGACGACGTGCAAAGCTTGGCGGGCACAGAAGACTCGTACGAGACCGAGTCTGCGGTTGATGAAGCAGATGTACCCAGTACAGCGGCGTCTGACCGCGATGAGACCGAAGACGAAGAGGATGACGAAGACTCTGTTCACGAAGACAGTGTGCTGGCCGAGTCGCACTTTACAAATGAGACTGCCAAGCTTGAGCCTTTCCCGCCCTTCGAGCATGAGGCTTACTCTCAATCATCGCTTGAATACACACAGCAGAGCTTAGGGACTCCTTCTTTCCCTACTCCAGAGGCCAGTCGGGTCATCGAGAGACCAGGGCCAGCTGAGCCTGAGAAGAAGAAATCTTGGAAACAGAAGGTGTCTCCGTTTTGGCTATTCGAATCCGAAGCTAGAGAGTATCTAGTAGAGGCAACATGGGGAGCTTTTCCCGGCTTCGCATTCGTTCTCGTTGTGCTCGTGGCGCTCCCCATCTTCATCCGATCGCCATCCGACCCAGGTCTATCAAACGTCCAAGCGCCACCGCCCATCACCGCAACCATTACCACCACTACATATCTCACCACTTCATCCTTACCAACCTCTAGTAGTCAACCGACTCCATCTTCCACTAACAGCGTGGCTTTAGTGCCCATTGGCGAGCCACAATCTGATGATTGGATATTTGGCGCCAAGAAGCCTGCTGTTTCTTTTACGGCCGAAGCGCACAATGATGTTTTGATACACATCCCTAAGAGTATTAAGAAGACGTGGTTGGCTAAGGATTGTCTATCTGTATCTGTCAAGAGGGGAGATGACATTGTCGATACCACCATGTCCATGGTAGACGACGGCCTTCGCCTAAAGTTTGCCAAGAGGGAGGTCCACGGCGTTGTCAGCCTTGTTCTCGAAGCCAAGTGCCGTCCCAAGATTCACAAAGTGGTCAAGGTCCACTTTGGTAAAGGGTTGATGGAAGAGGCCTTGGAACGCACCAAACATCTTGCTCATGATCTGTCCGGACTTGTGCCTGCTGCTGCTCAGGAGGCAGAGCGGTGTATTGAGAATGCAAAGCAGTCGATCAATTCAGCATGCCAAAATGTCTGCCAGACCGTCACTGAGACTGTATCAAAGACATTTGGCGTCACCTTTGCAGATGCCAAGCAGAATCTGGACAACCTCGTATCGACAGCCAAGGCCCAGCTTGAAGAAGCCACCCAAGAGTTTACCACGATATTTGACAACTTTGCACAGCAGGCTGTCGAAAACCTGCCATCGGTTGAAGATGTACAAAACCAACTGCAACTCCAGCTTCTCGACGCCCAGATCTCAGCTAAGCTCTGGTGGCTGCAAACCTTTGGCAGCGCAGAGGAACATGACGAATATCTGCGCAAGGCAAAGACTTATTCGGCCAGGAAGCACGCAGCCGCTGAAGAGATGAAGCATGCCAAAAAGGAAGTCTCTGAAAAGCCAATAGAAGCAGCTTCACGGCTCTGGTCCAAGTTGATAGGCAAATCAGCGTGTCGAGAGAAGAATTCATGCAAGGACGCGGCATAAAGGGCATGGGATATATATCTTTGTTTTGTGCCAATATCTTTCTTCTTCTTCTTTATCTCCCTTCTCCCTCTCTCTTTTTTTTTCTTTTTTTTCTTGTGAGTTATGAGAATCCGCGAGGATTAGGTTTTGTATGTATTTAATGAAACTTTTGAAATGAGGCAGGAAATATGGATTGGAGGAAACGGAATGGGTGGAGTTATAGGGCTTTCCTTTGTTGTTGTTTATTTGTTCTTTGTTAGCTTGGCCACTGCTTTGCTCAACAAGGCGGAAGGGAGACTATGGTTTTTACTAGGTGTGATGTGTATGACAGACGCAAATATACACGCTGCTTTATTTGCCTAGGCATCGATTGAGTGTCTAGCCTTGATTTACAGTGATTGTGGCAGCTTTTATATATTAATACTTAAATGGGTATTTGTATAACCCTTGAATATGGCATGTTGTTTGTGCGATAAGTATATACACAGTTCTGTTAGAGTACCCTATCAGGTGCATATGGAGTGTAAGCTCTTATATAGATGGATGTCTTATTTGGTCGCGCCATATTACGGTCACTTGATCCATCTGGACCATCTCCCGTGATTTCCCACGTTACTCACTCGATGGGCCATTAAATGGCTCAGAGAAGCACGTGCTAGTCAGCCATTCACGGGGGTATCATCTGGATTTGATTCTGCTCGTATTAAATGGTAGACAACACCGCGCTGTGGCAAGCAGAGATAAAGAGGACAGGATATAGACTAATATGGAGTAGCAGCCCAGGCACCTATGAGTTGCATGCAAGCGCAAGTGCATAAAAAGGGGCCCTACAGCCTAGCCGCCCAGATCTTTACAGTTGCAAAAAAGAAAAAAAGGCAAGTCAAAGGCAAGTACCTCTCCTGCAGAAAATACGTGCAAAGCTACAAAATTCGTAGTACAAAAATTAGGGAACCCAATAGAAGCAAGGAAAAAAAATCAACAGGCCCCCGCCACTGGAGGGGCAGCGCCAAAAAAAGGAAACTCCCACTTTCCAGCCCAAACACAGCCCCTCCTTTGTCTTGGGACTCACCAAACCAAAACCAACCACCACTCACCCTTTTTAACCATAAACTCCGTCCCGCTAGGCAGACCCGAGGGAAGAAAAAAAAGTTGCGACTCTCTCTTTGTCTCTAGAAATCAGCGATATTTCCCATTCTTCGGTGAGTCCGTCCACGAAAGTGCGCGCAGAGGTTTTGTGGAGAAGACTGCTTTGTTCTCCCTCTTTTTGCCCCGCTGCCAGCTCTTCAACATTAAAAAAATCCGTCGCGTATTCTTGTTTTTTTTTCTTTCCTCTTTTGCTACAACTGCAGGCGACTAATATCTGCTCTTTGCTTCTATCGACTAGACTTTTCGATACACACACACATTCAAAATGTCTTCCGCCGATGCCACCGAGCCCAAGGTCGAGCAGACCAACACTGAGGTACGACTTTCCATGCGGTTCTCTATCTGTCCCTCCCAGGTTTTCGATCGATCGGTGTCGGTTTCTGCGCGACATTCTCCGCTGTCTGACGATATATCGATGCTGGAGGGGGCAACCCCGCCACGTTTTATCCATGTAATATATACTGACCCGCCGCCTTTTTGTCTAGGCCCCTGCTGCCTCCGTGACCGCCTCCTCTGTGTTCTCCATGTTCGGCGGTGGTGAGAAGAAGGAGAAGAAGGAGGATGAGGACCGTGGCGACAACTCTGGAAGCGCAAAGGCCCAGCGCGAGGCCAAGGCCGAGGAGGTAAGCTCTGCCGAGAGGAGAGTAAGGCAAGGAGGAGACAAAGCTAACGAACATATCTGTCGTATAGGAGGAGGCCCCCGAGAGCGAGGATGTCCACTTCGAGCCCGTCGTCAAGCTGACCGAGAAGGTCGAGGTCAAGACCAACGAGGAGTCTGAGGAGCAGCTCTTCAAGATGCGCGCCAAGCTGTTCAAGTTCGTCAAGGCCGTCAAGAAGGATGGCGAGGATGCACCCGCCGCCGCCGGCGAGTGGAAGGAGCGAGGAACTGGTGATGTCAGACTTCTCAAGCACAAGGAGAACGACAAGGTCCGCCTGGTTATGCGACGAGAGAAGACGCTCAAGGTCTGCGCCAACCACTACAGTATGTTATACTTCCCCACATGTTCCCCCCAAACCCTTGTTCGTAATGAAGCTAGCTTTACTGACACATATTTGCGCGCAGTTGTCCCCGAGATCACCCTGTCCCCCAACGTTGGCTCTGACCGCAGCTGGGTGTGGAACGCTGCCGCTGATGTCAGCGAGGGCGAGCCCGAGGCTGTTACCCTTGCCATTCGATTCGCCAACTCTGACAGTATGTGAAGACCTTTGAGCACGTCTGCATTTTACAATCACTAACATGAGTCTTTCTTTTTTTTCTGCAGATGCCAACCAGTTCAGAGATGCCTTCCTGAAGGCCCAGAAGGACAGCGAGCACCTCTTCAAGGCCGCCGCCGCCGAGGAGGAGTCCAAGGAGGAGGAGAAGACTGCTTAAGCTGAAGTTTTTCTCGACCGACTAGTAACCCGAAACCAGTGCTTGCCGCTTCTCGAACCATAATCCCCCCTTCCCCGCGCATCAGCTGTTGATCAAACAGAAAAGATGCTAGCACCACGACACCATCCCACGCCCCATCACGCCACAGCACACAACACAACGCAACACAACACAACACACCGCACACTACGCAATACAGCACATCGATATATAAGAAGCCCCTGTACGAAGTCGATGTAGTCAGAGGCAGTCGATCTGGATTCATGAAGACTGGAGAGGTCCCCCCGATGAAAGTAAGCACCAAGTGGCGCACGGCTTGGGGGGGATAGCAGATAATGGCATTTGATAGTAAAGCACCCTGCAGCAAAGAATAAAAAAGTTGATACCAGAATAGAAGCGCGCTATATGATGTAAAGAGTGATTTTGTTATGTATATTTGAGAGAGAAAAATAATGAACACTGGGCGTTGTATGTGCCTACTAGTTAAACATGTAAGAAGGGTGTATACGGCCATGTTGCTGTGATGATGACAGCACGCTAGATGGCTATAATTTACGTTGACTTGTCAACTCCATATTATAGGTACTAAGGTAGACATGGTACATGTTGTCAAGAGCAAAACAAAATGGCAGCATCTGATATGTAGCTCCTGATATGTAGTGCCTATTAGGTACTTGGTCGTAATAGTACTATCTACTACAACAACAGCTGTCGACGATGCGTGCATTTCCAGCTCAGCGATAGGGTTAGCGCGAAATGAGGCTCAGAGATTCCATCCGATCTGGCGTCCATCAGGCTATGACGTGGTACCTCGGACCCGGCCCTGACCGCCTCAAGGGCGCAGCGCAGGCAAAGTACAGAATCATAGCAGCCGAGACGGAGGTATTCAAAGGGGACAGCGTTAGCCCCGAATGGCGGCGGATAGCCGGGCCCCTACCGGCATGAAGCAGGAAAAAGGTTTTTTCTTTGCTTGTCTGCCGTTGCTTGTCTGCCTGTGTCTCTGCCCATCTACTGTACTGTTCTAACGGAGAGTGGAACCCGGTTTTTTTCTGAGCTGAAGTGGAAGACGGCAGAAGCGCACAGTGAGAACTAGCCGCGACTCTTACGTGACCCCCCAGCCCTTTTTCCTTGTACACGGCGCTTTCTCCCTTCACCAGCTCTGCTTATTGCAACGGAAAGCGTCTATTGCGCTGCTGCGACAATTTGCTGCCGGCCAGATCAGATACCGTTTCCATCCCTCATTGCCGTGTGAACCAATTCGCTGCACAACGTTCCTCTTGCTCGAAAAGCCCCCCCTTTTCAACTCCCTCTTTTCGCGGTCCCGGCTCGGTTGGCTCTGCCTGTGTGTTTGCCTTTTGTGTTGAGCGCCGTGTAGGACCGGACAAGGGCCGCCTAAGCCAGCAGCAGCAACAGCGGCGAGCTTGTTTTTTTTTCCTCGTCAAAATTAATTCCCTTTTCCTTGTATTGAAATCCTTCCCATTTTTTTCTCCCGCCCGGTTTTTTGCCACCATTTTTCCAATTCCCTGTTACTCGGTATAGAACGGTTTTTTTTTTCCTTTTTATTTTTGACGGAGGAGAGAAACTTTAGGACACATTTTCATCATGTTGGTCGAGGTGAGTTTATGAAACGCACGTATTTCCCCTTCTTGCCTGCAATTCGGCTTTTCCTATTCTTTTACGCCTTGTTGGGACACGTTTATATAATTCCTCGGAGCAACTGGATATCTTTTTACTTTTACTTTTTCTCTTACTTTCTTTCTTTTTTCCTTTAATAAAGGAAGAGGTATCTATATCCATGCCGGCTGGATGGCACTGGCAGACACGCAGAGGGAAACGGGCGAATGGACGCTTTTACATCGCGACAGGTGGAGGGAGGGCTGCGGAAAAAAAATCCAGACGACGGACGATGGGAGCTGCCAGCTGGCCGGGAGGTTCTCGCCAAATGTCTGCCAGCCGGCTGGATTTTATTTGCCTATTCGCTTTGGAAGGATGATGGAAGCCTCTTTTCTTGTTTTCGCGATGCTGCTGTTTTCTTCCTCTTCATCCTCACCCTTGCTTCACTTTTCGCTGTGTCGAGTCACATCACGCACAAAACGCAGAAAAAGGACCTCACAAAAGCGCGTTGCCCGATCCTGAACGGCCCTGATATTTTCACGCATTGGTTCTTCACCATTCACGTCTGGATTTCGAATGCCCCATTGCTCCCTCTATATTTGTTCTTTCTTTTTTTTTTTTTCCACAATGGCGCCGATTCGCAGGGGAGCGCCGCGCGCTGCCAAGAAGCTGGCGATCCATGCGAGGCTTGGGACTAACGATGAGCAGAGGAAAGTCAAGGTCGTTACGGACCAACACGTCATGTGAGTATTTTTTTTTGTGCAGCCTTTTGCCCGGTATCTCGCTTTTCCACCAACAGCCCGTCAAAACACAGCCCCTTCTTTGTGTTTGCTACTCGAACAAGAGACGAATTCTCATTAAACCCCACGTCCTTTTATTCCGTGGCTCCTTACTGACCTGATGCTGCAGCGACAAGCCTTCGCCCGTGGCCGAGTTTCCTATGCGGCAATGGAGCCTGCGGCTCTTTCTGCTAGATGAGGATGGCAATGAGCGGCCTGGCGATGTCTTCACCAAGGTTGTCTACAACCTGCATCCTACATTCGAGAACCCCACCCAGAGTGAGTCTAATTTTCTTTCTCCTTCTGTAATTCATGATTGCTTCCCATGTCTCCCGGCTCCCAATTCTGAGACGTTTCTGACACCGTTTACGTTCTGCAGCCTTCACCAAGCCCCCCTTCATCTGCTCTAACGAGGGTTGGGGTGAGTTTGAGATTGGCATCGATCTCTACACCACGGAAAAAACCAAGCTGGCTCCCATCATCCATGACCTGAACTTTCAGCAGGAAAAGTACGAGGTGACACACACGGTGGTCTTCAAGAACCCTTCCCAGGCACTCCAGGAGCGGCTGCGCGAGACGGGTCCTCTGCCCTCTGATGAAGACAGACCTAAGAAAAAGGGCCTCGTCAGCAAGAAGGGAGCCCAAAAGTATGACTACGAGAAGATCGCCGAGGCCCTCGAGAAGCTCGAGGAAGAGGATCTTCTGCGCGTCATTCAGCTGATCAACGAGAACAAGGGGCCGGATACCTACATCCGGAGTGATGTTGAAGGTAAGTCCCCCCTTTCTCTCCCATTGAAAAAAAATATCAACATGCGTGTATCTTCTTTCCAATTTTGAACATCTCTCTTCTTCTTCTTTGGACAAGTCCACACCCCGTGTTGATGCTTTTCTTTCGGAATTGTAGTGAGTAACTTGTCTGAAGCTGGCGAATTTTCCATCGATTTATATACCATGCCGGATGCGTTGACGACGAAGCTCTGGGAGCACCTGGTGAGTAACCCCCTTGATGAGACCCCATTTTTTAATGCTAGCAATGGAGCCGGGACTCTGACAGCGTTACAACGTATATAGTCTAAGAAGGGTCTTGTTGCCTAAAGAAGTTGTGCGTTGCGCCTCCGAGTTGTAGTAACCTGTGTCTTGGGGGTAGACGACCCAAATGCTGGTCAACGGAACTTGGTCGATTGAGTTTTAAGAGAGAGAGGGGAGAGAGAGAGAGAGAGAGAGAGAGAGAGAGAGCTACACATTGTCCTTTTTTGGTCTTTTAATGTTTTTACTTATCACGGCAAGGAGCAATTATGAGAATACGCACAAAGGAAACTATCGATACGACGGAAGTAATTGTGGTTTTATTTGTAACGCAAAGGGTACCCCGGAGAGAGAGAGAGAGAGAAAACGGCTACAAGCCTGGCATTTTTTTTTTTTTTTTTTTTTAAGAAAAAAGGAAAGATTTGCTTCAAAAACAAGAAGTCGCGAAATCGGTTCTTGTCTTTTGGTTGTCACAAAAGAACTTCCCACTCAATAATCTGCTACTCCGTTTTTTTTTTACTTTTCTTGGTTTCTGAGAGGGGGGAAATGCATTTGGGTGTTTTTTTAAGGCTCCTTCACTGCGAGGCTATCTGTTTGATGAAACAGACAATTTCCTTGAAGCTGCGGCAGAAGCAATGTTTTCTCTCTCGATCTCCTTGACCCTGGACAGATTCTCCCCTCTCTTCTTTATTCTACTTCGACCTTTCCTTCTTCTTTGCTCTTATCTTGCGTCCAAGTGTTACAGTGTGGATAGCAGGTAGGAGGAACATCAAAGAGGATCACTATCTGGCTTTAGTGAAATGAGGCTGTCAGAAGGATCCATCCATATGGGTCCTTTTTATAATGAGGCGTGCTGGGCTCTATTTGTATCGTTGGAGGAGGAAAAAAGAAGGGGGGCGTATATAGGTGCTTTTTTCTTTTTACTACCTATTAGTTTACAAGAGATAAGTGCTAGTTGGAAGAGAATAATGTTGTATCGGTGCGGATAATTTATTTGACTTTTTGCAATGAGTATTTGTGATAGATGATGACTTGTGCAGATGTGGAGTTCCACCCGGAACAGACAAGCCGGCATGTGAACGTGCCCGTTAGGCGGTCCCCTTGCAGGAGGGACTCTCTCTCTCTTTTTTTTTTTTTATCAGACCGCCGTTTATTGGACATGGGGGCTGATTGATGGGTTCCTTGGGTGCATTTTACGAGCAGCTCCTGTAAGCGTGTGCCGTGCTTGGATATGTATACTAGGCGGATGTTGTAAGCGGGCCCCCTCTGTTTGGTCATGGTTCCTGCACTAGGTAGATACTCTTTTTATGGATGGAATAGTCTAGGCGTGGCATATAGGAGGGTTACATAAGTCGACTTGCTTGGCAAGTGGACTACTGTGCCTATTTGCTACGGTAGATAAGGTAGTACTTTTGTACCAGCATCAATTTGAGCTGCAGATTGGTATGGAGAGAGCTCCGTATATATGTAGCAGTGTGTACTATGTAGCAGTTGATTCTAGCTTTTGACCCAGGTATCAGAAATAGAGAGTGGGTGTAAACGCGCTTTTGACTTTTGACTTTCTGTTTCACCTCTCTTATTTTCGGTGAGACGCATAATTCGCTTCACATGACGCTACCGATGCTGATGCTGGTGCTGATGCTGATTGCTGATGCCTGGGCGGGCAACACGTAACTCGCCCATCCCTTGCATCCAACAATTGCCAGCTCACACGCCACATGCCTGCGAATCAGTACCTGGGCTTTCTGAGACTCTCGGTGTGCAGCCGGTAGCCAGTGGCGCGCTGGCGATCGATCCTTGAGCACGGCACCGTCTCTTTCACTACGCTCGTGACACTCGTGCTAATGACAAACAAGTACCAGTTTGGTGCAAGTACACAGTACCGCGCGATGGGGGACGAGTCAATGAGTTTTCATTTCCGTCAACGTGACCTCCCAGGATGCAGCGGCTGGCGGCTTGCGATTGGTCGGACGGGGCCTCTTATTGGCTAATAGCCACGTTGATTGGCGGCCATTATTGGCTGCTGCACTGGGGCGGATCCGGGGTGGAAAGAGGGGCTAACGCGGCGGGAAAGAGCTGCTGCGTCGCTGCGTGCTGCGTGCTGCGGCTTCCACTAATCATTTCCACTAACGTGCCTTTTCCCGCCTGGCCTTATCGCTATTTTGGCTTTTCTGGGGCGGGCAAGAGCGAAGGCGCAGCCGCCTGGGAACCATTGGCAAGAGAAAAAAAGAGAGGGGAAGGGGACGACGGCCCCCATGAGGGAGGGTTCTGGCCTTTTTGGATCGAGCATGTACCTACTTCTGGAACAGAGAGAAAAAAAAAGTACCCGTAGTGCTTGCTGCTAAAAGTTTTCCGGGGGAAGGAACGAAGCACAGGAGAGAGCAAGAAGACGAAAAAAAAATTGTTACTGTTACGTCTTCTTTTTGTCTGCGCTTGACTTCAATTGGCCGTCTCCTCTTCTCTTCTTACAAACCACCTACTTTCCTTCTCTGCTTCATTCCTCTCCTCTATTCTGCTTTCTCTTTCTTCAGCCAGAGATTGGGAGATACATCAGAAAAGAGGAAAACAAGGTAAAAGAAGGGAAAAAAGGCTATTGACGGATTCGCTTCCTTTTAACCTGCAGAGGGTGGTTCGATTTTTCCTTTTTTCTTACCTTCTTTTATACTGGATTCGATTTGCCATCCAAGCGTGCACCGAGACAGCGACCCCCGCCAGCGTTTGATTTTCGCTTGACTTCGGCCTACGCTCTGCCTCTGGCGCCCATCCCGCTGCAAACCGACCAACATCTCACCACCACCTTGGTGGTTTTTGGGCAGCCCTGCCTGCGGCCCCCCGGAAAAGAGAGGAAATGGCCCAATACACGAACAACGCGAGTCCCGCCCAGTCGACTGCGACGGCAGCTTCAGCGCAATCTTCGGCTCAGCAGCAGCCCGCCGCCGCGGCGTCCTCGGGGCAGTCGCAGAACTCCCAGCATAAGCGCGTCTACCAGGCGTGCATTCCATGTCGCCGCCGCAAGGTGCGATGCGACCTCGGCAGCGTTGATAACCCCCATGACCCGCCATGCGTGCGCTGCCGTCGCGAGAGCAAGGACTGCTACTTCAGTGCCACCAGGCGCAAGAGAAAGACCGACGAGGAGGACAGCGACGCCGACGAGTATGTCATCCGCAATGGCCGCAAGAAGCTTCACGCCGCCGACAGCCCGCCGTTTTCACGATTCGATAAGCGACATTACAGCGACACGCCGCTGACGCCCGGAGGATCGACTGGCCGGTCCCAACCGCTGCGGCGACCGGATGGCTCCAAGGAGAACGGCCGCAAGCGCGATGGCGAGTTTGGCGACGGCGATTCCAACCAGACGCTGGAGAACCTGGAGGCTCAGACGGTCATGAGACAGGGCGTCTTTGGTCCTCACGATGCTCTCGATCTTCTCTACAAGGCCGCGACGGATAGGTTTGTCATGCCATCCTCGGTTGCTTTGGGTACTGCTAACGGCCAGTCCAGCCCGGCTGCGGATGCACACAGGCGCCAGCCAAGCATGGCATCGGTTGCAGGGCCACCTCAACAAGCCCAGGCAGTAGACGAGCGTAACAATCGTGCCAGGTCAAGAGGACCGTCCATGTCCGTCCGGCCAGAGCAGCCCGTCGACCCTAATCTGGATCGACCAACTCTGAGCGCTCAGCCCGGCTATGAAGATGCCCTGAGAGCTTGGTCAAGATTCCGTTTCGTACGTGCAGGATGGTTCACTGCGCAGGAAGCCATCGAGTACATTGACTAGTAAGTCGAAAGCGTATCATCAAGTTATCGGTTGCAAAACCTATGAGACTGACTCCTGGTTCTTTCTGCTAGCTACTATAAATACCTTTCTCCACTTACACCGATATCTCCTCCCACCTTTAGCAATCCTTCATCTCACTTGACACTCTTGACCGAGGAGCCTATTCTTACAGTTACCTTGCTTACGATTTCCTCGAGATATTGCCAACTACCTGGCGCTGGTGGTATTTGTCGATCGCACGCCGTGCCAGAACAGCTATGGACATATTTGCGCGGCATGATTGAGAGATGTCTGTGGGGTCAAGAAGCTTTTGGAGGTGGCTTCTGCGGCTCAGGATCTGCATCCACTTCAATGATCACCGATGAGTCCCAGACGAGCAGCACGGCCCCGTGGCGGGGACTTCGCAAGGGCAGCTTGAGGACATTGGGTACGATTGAGTCGCTATTGATCCTAACCGAGTGGCACCCTCGTGCGCTGCACTTTCCCCCCAACGAGGCTACCGATGAGCTGGTCCTCCCCATAGCCGAAGCCTCTCCGCTGATGGCATCTGAGGATGAGCTGCACAGAACAGTCGGACCCGGCATCGGCGGTAAGAGGATCGAGAGCTGGCTGGAGCCTGCGTGGAGAAGTGATCGCATGTGCTGGATGCTTCTTAGTACTGCCATGGGACTGGCTTATGAGCTTGGCGTATTTGATGACATTGATGAGCTTCTCAAGGATGATGCCATCACCCGGCCAGAGTATAAAGATGAGGTCTATCGTCAACGCGCCAATCGCATCAAACGGCTTCTGCTCATCTACACGAGCCAGCTTGCCGGACGCCTGGGCTGGACCAGCATGACGCCGGAGCACCTTAGAAAGGCGGATCCCGCCGTCGCTCGTCAGAGGCCCCTGACCACCGACAGCAGCAGCACCCCGGCGACGAATCCGTCTTCTTTGGCAAACGGATTCAACTATGTACCCGATCTCGAGCTTGATGACCAAATCATCCACTGCTGGGCAGGTATCAGCAACGCCATGCATCTCGGCAACGAGAAGCTGTTTAAAACCCGCAAGCACACCACGGAGATTATTCAATCGGGCAAGTACGTTGATTTGCTGAGGGATTTCACGCCACTTCTGAAAGACTGGTACCGAGAGTTTGAGCTGTTCCGCCTGCCGCAGTATATCAGGCATATTCTTACCATTGAGTATGAATATGTGCGAATTTACATCAATTCCCTGTCATTACAGGCAGTAGTTGAGCGGTGTACTAATAACGCGGGTAACACTGCCAACTCCAGCAACGGAGTGCAGCCGACGCATCTATCCCCCCAGACCATGATCAACTACGGAAAGCTGCCTCTCGGCCAGCTGGGAGGTTTCACCGTCCATGACCAGGAGTATGTGCGTGAGGTCGTGGAGGGAAGCCGGAATCTTCTTCGAACGGTCGTTGAGGGGCTGCTTCCCGGTGGCTATCTCAAGCACGCTCCTGTGCGAACGTACTTTCGCATCATCAGCGGCGCCATGTTTTTGCTCAAGACCTTTGCCCTCGGCGCTCCGCGTTCCGATGTCAAGATGAGCATTGATCTGATGGATGCTACCGTGGAGGCTCTGCGCAACTGTATTGTTGATGATGTCCACTTGGGCATTCGCTTTGCCGATTTGTTGGAGTCTTTGACGAGCCGTCTGCGGAACCGCTTCATCCAAGCACCGATGCCACAGGCATCTGCGAAAGCACAGAGTCCTGTTCCAGACACAGGCAGTGCGGGTGGTGCAGCGCCGGTGCAGAATGGAGAGAATGGAGAGAATGCAAACTGGGTGGGCAGCCACGCGCAGAGGCTTAGGGATGGCCTCAACGGACAGTGTAAGTTGAAGAAGTTGCTTATAATTTTGAGATTTTTAGAGACTAATTTGGAGCAATCTTAGACCGAGTGCCAACTCCCACTGCTGAGGCGAACAATATTTCTGCTACGCCTTTTGATATCACCGGTGGCAACTTTCCGTACCATGGGGCGTCGTCAATTGGTCCATCAACTCCAGCGGCTGACAACAACACATCGGCCAACATGGACGTCAACTTGTTTGACGAATGGAACAATGCTGGGAGCGAGATGTGGTATCTGCCTCCTGGTCCAGCCTTTTTCCAGAACATGGAGAATAGCTCTGTTGCCATGACGGCTGAGGGTGTCAACGTTGGCGGCTTGGATCTCCTAGAGTATATGGCCATGGATCCCGTGCACTTTCCCGGCTTAGATGGTACGGGGAATAGCGGGGCGGCGAGTTAAATGAGGGCGGTGACCTATATACAATGAGCGACGAATCTGATTGTCTTTTGGAGTGCATGGATTTTAAAAGTTATGGGTGTGGTATCGACATACGGGAAACAAGTTGTCGTGGGCATTTAATCAAATTTCATTAGTATCGTGTTTAGTTAAGCTACCATCGAAGAAGATGGATATAGTTCAGATTTCCGAGTTTCAAAAATTCATCAACAATTCTAGCTCATGAGAAGCGTTTTGCTTCATGCTCGAATAGTCGGTCTTATCGCAGGTGGATTATGAAGTGGGGTAAAAGCCCCATTATTATTTTGTTGTTTAACAGCCTTTCTGGTGTAAGTCAAGTGCCACTTTATATCTTGGTGCTGTAATGGTATATATACTATCCCTGGTTATATAAACTCATGTTTACATACTGCTAGTTTATTTATCTATACTGGGCAAAGTATGATTTGGTAAAAAGTAAAAGGTAGAGAACCTGTGATTGCCTTTCTCAAGACTTTGCCGTGAGGGTTAACGCCTTAATACTCAATACTCTATCTACTTATGGTTTTTTTAGATGAATAGCATGCCCCAGAACGGGGATTGTTCAATGGTTTAGATACAGCACGCATTCTGTCTCGTGCGCTTAATATACATATTGCGCAGGGGTGCGTTCTTCCCTTTGGGATGTAAACAGCCAACTGTGGTTTTGATTGTGAAGAGGGTGGATGTGGAGTGGTTCTTGCAAAGCTGGAGTTTCATGCTCTCATTTACACACGCACATACACACACACACACACACACACACACCCTGTTTTAGATGGGTAGTACTTCTGGATACATGGATTCCCAGGTTCGGGGGAAATAGTTGTTTGTGCTCGAATGATTCAACACATCACTTGGCGGGAAGAGACTGTCGCTCGTTACTTCTTCTCTCATCTGGCCTTGAAAGCCGCAAAGGGCCCTATGGTAGCTACGAATGCAGGCATGGATATATTCGGCTTGCGCCATATTACTTTGTAGGGGTGTTAATTTTTCGTGTCCCGAAGATGCAATCGATCTATGTACGTATGGCTGGCTGTATAAATTGAATAAGCTTTGAGAGGGCATCGTCAACAGCATAGTTTTCCATGCTGGTGTGCCCCGATCCTAGTGAATACACCCCAATTATTTAAAAGCAGTGGTTCACGAAAGCTTAGTAACACCTCTGGGCGCCTATATAGAACTCTTTTCTGCAATATTGTGGGTATACTGAGAAAGCCACTTTATTTACTAGTATTAGCTGTATTACCCAAGCTTTATGCTCTACACATATCCGCTTAATACCGTTGCCGTTCGATACCAAAATGGTGTTTGAATGATAATATGGAAATAATAAAGAAAGTTTGAGCCATATATGGGGAGAAATGTAGTGTCTGTTCTATATAACGGCCGAGGGGCCAAGCACGAAGATGGGGCCTAGCCGACGAAAACTTCATTTTACAAAGAGCTTCTGCACCCCGGATAAATTCTCTCTCTTTTCTAAATTTTTACGACTAAGAGTAATATACATGATGGAAAAGAAAGGAGATTTTGTCATGAACACCGTCAAATCCCTCATCCGCGTCGTAAAGCGCGCCAGATTGAGTCTTCGATCTCAGACTCGCAGCCATATCCTTCAACTGCCAATTGAAGTACTTTTACGAATATTCGAATATCTCCCTCCTTACAGCCAACTACTAGTCTACCAGACCTGTCGACCTCTACGCACAATTATTCATCAATATTTCCTTTCTGGCAAGGGAGATATCCTGGCCGCACCGAAAGACAGACTGTGCTATCTCACCCATCTCGCTAGGTCTCTGCCCGATCGATGGGTTTGCGCCAAATGCTGCAAACTTCATCAAACCTGCGAGTGGGATACGCCGAAACCCCAAAATTATACTCCAAAATGTCGAGACGGACTGTCGTTTGTTGATGAACGCAGCGAATGTCGAAAACTTCCCAACACTGAATATGCGCCATGCCATAGGCACCTTGAACTTACGCTCAAGTACGCGCGGCTAAAGAGCCCCAAAAAGAAGCATCAGAAACATCTTCAAAGGCTTCTTGCATCATATCACGTCGACAGTCAAATCTCTGGCGGAATGTCTGTAGCCAATGGTGTTCGAGCGCAAAGTTCATTTTACCCCAAGGTTGTGGATGGAAGATACTTGCTTTTTAGTGCCCATGCCTATCTTGCATCTAGGGGCACAATTTTACAACAATCTATAGAGTTTTTAATAATATGCCCTCATGTATATTCCTTTGGTGCGTTTTGCGGGCGGAATACTCTGACAAGAGATTTGGATATGATTTTATACACGTGTTTCTCAGCACCACCAAACACTATAATCTCTACCTCCTGTCTTGCTTGTAAAACAGATATTACTATAGAGGCCTCACTAGAGCGCCTTATTATATGCACTTGGCAAGACTTGGGGCCGGAAGCAACGGTGTATGATCCGGATTGGGAGGCGATTGTGCGGAACACTACAAGTGTCTATCACGAGACTGGAAGCATTGAAGAGCTGTACGGTCAAAATGAGCACAAGTGTGATTGCTACATTGGTTAGAGGAGAATTTCTATCTTGATGTGTGACTAGTTAGAGTAGTAATAAAGGGAGCATCATTATTTATCGTCAATCTCCTCCAAGTCAGACAGTCTCGTCAAATGTGCACAGGACTCCAGTGACTAATGAGCAGATGAAGAAATTTTGAGTATAACACAAGACACATATCGTGAGAAAACATTGAGTTAAAGGAAACCCACTTCCGCCTCCGGAGAGGGGAGGCGTAAAACCAAATATTGTTTATTACTACCTACGCTGTCTATGCTACCTACGCTATGAGAAACCCCCATGACGAAAAAGAGAGAGAGAAAAAAAAAAAGAAGATGCAAAAAAGCTATTTACAAGAAATAAAATCAGCGGTAACGACGGTGGGAGCAACGGTAACGAGGGAGGGCGCAACGGTGATGACCATTCAGGAGGGGACGTTTCAAGCTGGGAATGGGGGCACCCGATCCCCCCAATCCAACTCTGCCGCCCACACCTACCTGATCCTCCATCAACCACTCCGTCGACTTCAACATCGCCAGTACCTTTCGAATCTGCCTCTTCTCATCCTCCTTTGGCGGTTCGGAGTCGGCCGCCTGCCGTCGGGCCAGGCGCCTGTTTTGGCGGAACACGAGAAAGGAGACGACGAGGCCGGCGAAGGTGAGGAGGGTGTTGAAGATGGCGGTGACGCCGGTAATCTAGGCAAGAGTGCTCATTTCGAAATATATTCAACTTATTAATTTATTAGCGAGAGTACTCCTACTCTTACTTACCTTAGCAAAGGAAAAAAAAAAAGGGGGGNGTGAATTAGGGGTGTCGAGGGATCTATATTCTACCACATGAAGTCAATTTTTCTCTTATCTAACGGAGAAACAAGCATACGTAGTGACCAACCATGTTAGACTTTTCTTACTCATGACGTGTCTTTGTTCGTTGTGTTGAAAATTTACTTTGACGCAATTGATTTCTCGCAAGTTTATTCTTTATTATAGTATAGGCGCAAAAGTGTAAAGCGTCCTGGTAGTTAAGCGCTGCGATGTTTTGCTTTTATGTCTGATAAATCAGAGTTTTAGTTTATTTAATGAGTGTAACTTAAAGCCCTGCGTAACTCAAAACACCCTGGCGTTTTCCTGTGGCGGCATTTCTGAATAGCTTGAAGTCGTAAGCTAAACATTTTTTTCTGAACCCAGGATTGTAGCAATCATGGCTTTCTAATTCTTATGCTGAATTGTGTCCTCTCTAAGCCTCGCGAGCCGTGTTAGATTGTAAAAGTTACAGATGTGGTGGTATCGACATACGGAAACAAGCTCTCGTGGGCATCTTATTAAACTTGATCAGTATTGTTTTTAAGTTAAACTACTATCGAAGATGGATATAGTTTAGACTTCCTAGTTCAAAAATATTCATCGACAATTTTGGCTCTTGAGAAGTGTTTTATTGATGCCCAATCGGCCTTACTAAATGTGGAATATGGAGTGGGATTTTCCGTAGAAGCCTCAGTATTATGTTGTTGAATAGTCAGTCCATTTGGCAAAAGTAAAGTGACGACCGCATCCATTTCGGTTGTGTGCTGGCACTTATGCCATGCCATGCCATGCCATGCCTACAAAGTGGTTTCCCTAAGAGTAGAAACCTGTATAGGCCAAGTCTAAAAATAAAACGGGGAACAGAAATCACTTCTTCGGTGAAGAAACGGACCACTGGCTAGGTGCCATATACAAATACGAGCCAAAAAAGGGACACAAACGTGGCAAAAGCCCCCCCGCATGGGCAGATAACTGAGATGCCGCCCGCTTTGTATGTGAGATTCCTATTATATTTAGATTTCGCTGCAATTTATATAGGGAATCTGGTGTTTTGGCAGAAAAATAGACACGCATTATTTGTTTAGACCACTATGGGATATTATAGAGTTGGGAAGTTACGGCTTCATATTCCCTTTGTATAAGATGTAGGTCTAGGTGGTGCTTTGCTTGGACCTACTAGGTAGGCACCTAAGTAGTTGAGCAGGTCGGTATAACCATATACGTACGCATAATCTGGCACCCTGCACTTAATTCGTCGTACATACATACAAGATGCTGTGTGTCGATCGTTTGCTGATCCCTTGGGCTAGATCGGGCTATTGTTCTATTCTGCTGTCAGACACGTGCCGACCTATGTCATCTGTTTCAACATACAAGGAAGAAGAGCAAAGATTACCTTCATCCTCGGATGCGTGCATTTACATCCAGCAAAAATCTGGGAAGTTACCCTTGTGAGCCGTATTAGAGCTAGAAAGTCGAGAAGGGTCTCGACCGCGATCCTCTCATATGATATCACTGGTGATCTGCGGTGGCCAATCCGGCTTGGTTGCAGCATTGTCGATCTATGCAAGGAGACTTTGGGGAGAGGGGGGTTGTTTCTCGTATTAGTGCGGCTCTTAAGATGATGTCTCACTTCATCGTTCAGCCGCTCCCGTCTCTTTGTTACGGAACCGTCACTTTCGCCATTCTTTGCATTCAAACGCATTTTTTTTAGATGCAAGTACAGATACACGCATTCATAGCATATAAGAAAATCATCATGTCTCATTGCTTGGATCAGACCTACCTTGTAAATTACAACTCCGCTTCTCCTGAAATTAGGTACTATACATACAGGCTTGATGAAATGCCGTAATTATATCATTGTACAGAAGATTACGCAGAGTAAAAGTCTCAGCTTTGGGTACTATTTTTCTATAAAAGCAATAGAATCACTTGTATCAATCTTAGAAGTGCTTGCTTGAATCCAAATTATGGTTGGATCCTCTAGATCCTCCATGATCCCGCGAGTTGTGCCTTATCAAACCTAAAGTCGGTCAACATAGCTACACACTAATTATTTCCCCGCGTCTATCATCGACTTTAATCAATGGGGGGATTCTGCCATGAGCTGCAGGGAATCAACAGGGAAACGGACGAGAGAATATCAAATCATAATTCTACCGAACAGAATCACAGAACGCAATCCAATCGAGTGGAAGGCTGCATACTTCGACACTCGTCTGCTAATAACTGGGGTGCTGGCTCTCAGTTCAATAATGAAGGCGGTAGCCAGAATGTCGTTACCGGAGGCGTATCAATCGCGGGGTCTATTTTCAATGGAAATGTAAATATCAGTATAGAGAAGGATGAATGCCGAGGTAAGATCTTTGCCTTGGCGAATATCTCTAGTATTGGCGTTTAACTCAAATCCTCCGCAGCCGAAATCCTTCAAAAGCTCTGTGCTTGGCTTCAGAGTAATCACATAGCCGACGAGTGCTACGACAATTCTATTCACAGAAAAATAAACGACACTTGTGATTGGATTCTCGATAAACCGGAATTTACCACTTGGCGAACAGAATCCTCCCCATCCCCAAAATGGTTGTGGATACACGGACTCTCAGCCTTTGGGCAAACAGTTCTTTGCGCTCGAATCATTGAATTCATAAAGAATGTGAAAGAGGAGGCCATTGCATACTACTTCTTCTCACCTGACTTGGAAAACCACAGAGACCCTATGATAGCTATGCGGTCGTGGTTATACCATATGGCTTTGATGAATGCGTCGGTACTCGATGTCGTCAACAAAAAACGGAAGCAAGATGCGAGAGCTTCACAAGCTATCATTACGGGATTGTTCCGAGAAGCGATCAAGATGGTACCAACCTGCACACTCGTCGTCAATGGTCTTGATGAATGCGAACCAGGCAGGTTTTGTCTATCCGTGACCGACTTTGTTAAAGAAATTGACGAAGCAGTGCTTGGCACAAATGCTAGGATCCTCGTGATGAGTCGATCTGAATCCTCTATCCACCAGGCTTTAATGAAAGCGAAAGGCGCAGAGTTTTTACAATACAAAGTGTGTGAAAAAGACATTGGCGCAGATATAGATGGGTTACCTAGAATGATGGAGATGGAGACGTTCCTCGATGAAAAGAAACCCCCGCGGGCCATGCGGAGGAAATGGTTTGATTCGACGAATGACGATTGGGCTCATTCCAAGGGCAAACCGCCAATTCACTTTCTTTATGCAATAGAACTTGGGTTTGTCAATTTGGCTACGGCAATATTCAAGAAGGGCAAGGTATGTGTAAATTGCAGCTCGAGTATTTGTTCAACTCTGAGAGTCGCATGCTCCAAGGGGTGCGGGAATCTTGCTCGCGAACTTATTGCAATCGGCGCCAAGGTTGGAATCAAAGAGGCCCAGGGTCGGACCGCAATAAGGTATGCGGCTCTAGATGGCTATACGGAGCTTGTCGAACCTTTAATCGACCATGGTGCTGATATCACAATCTGAGATGACGATGGCGTCTCTCCCTCTCTTGTTGCCAGTATCAATTGCTATTTAACTACGGTAAAGAGACTGATCCAAAAGGTGCCAGCATTCATCAGCTAGACGAGAAATGGCGATGGTTCACTCTTTAAAGCAGGTTTTGATGGCCATAATTTTGATATACTTGAACTGCCTCTTAAACATTAGATACTAGGTAAACACTGTTCTTTGCGGCATGTTGTAATGGATATATAGTAAAGGATATAGTGTAATATATATATATTAATGAATATATAGTAATTGGTATGTTGCAATGGATGTGATTAAATTGTGAAGATGCTTATCAAAAGTGAATCTAATATAATGGTATCAGATGAGGCGAGGGAAAACAGCTGTATGCAGCATGTTGTGGTGGTCAAATCGAGATTACCAACTCACTGATCGAGAAGGGAGTTAACATCACGCCAGCCGGGGGAAAAAACATCATATTGAGGGGAACTTATGAGTAGTCATGTCGACCTTGTTAGTTTCTTGGTCCGAAAAAAGGTGCTGATATCAATTTCCTGAATGTTGACGGATGGATGTGGATGCGGCAGCCTGCACTGACCAGGCAGAGGTGTCTCAGCTGCTCCTTTCACTGCCCTGCGTGATGACGTCTGTAGTATTCAGTGTCAGATAGCGGCTATGCTAAAAAAAGTTGATCTTCTGACCGGGAATGGGCTCTGATGTCTCGGCAGGCAATGAGAATGACAATACGCCACTCGTGTTAGGAACTGCCAACCACCATGCTGATGTGGCCGACGATCTCCTCAAGCAATGGAGTGTATATGGCGTCTACTAATGGGCGGCAAACACCGGCTTATATAGCATCATCTTATGGCCACCTCAATGTTCTTGGGCTCTTGATCAAGCTGGGAGCAGATGTTACCGCCTCAGGTAATCTGGGACGTGCACTCCTCCTTGCAGCATGTTTTTTTTAGCCACATCAAACCGACATATATATTGCTCAAGAGGGGGTTGGATGTCGATCTGTCTTATAACGAAGGCTTGTGACTGTTATATTCAGCGTCTAAAAAAGGCTATGTGACCATTGGCCAAACTTATCATTTGGAAAGGCGCTGATCCCTTCGACACGGTAATGACGACCAAATCCGATTGTTACAGCTACTTCGAAGGACCACACCAAGATGGTCAAGCTATCTGGTTCACTACCCCTCTCTGATCTGCGTGTCTCAGCAGGTGATGGAGGTTTATACAAGTGGATTTTGCACTTTTCCTCATCTTATAGCTGGGTATAAATATTCCGCCCAAAGCTCCCATGGGTAAATGATTTCCTCCCTATCCATCATTTCCATCTTCAATCTTGTGTCAAGTTCCTATACCCAAAGCACATCTACCTTAGTGAGAGGTATGTAAAGAAACCGAATATTTGCGTCAACATAACAAAAAGTACCTTTGCTAAACCCGGCAACTATATCTCTAGGATAATCGCCATCATGTCAACTTCAACTACTAAGTCTACCGCTATTTTATGCGAAGTAACAGTTACGAAGTCTGACGAAACGACGCCTGAAGATACGCCCCCGGAATCACCTTCTGCCATTATTATCTTCACAGCAACAAACACACCTCCAACGCAAAAGGATGATGAAGAGACTCGCACGAGCTCGCAAAAATCAGACAATGTTAATGGGCAAACACCAAACGGCAAACCCAACAAAGGCTCCAAGGCACCTGCCAACGGGGGACAGGAACCCTCCGGGGGGGATGCTGAATCGTCGGAACCCACCGAGCAAATTAGAGCAGGCCAATTCGTAAACTCCAACACTGGCCACCAGTATAACACGACTGGAGGTATCCAGCACAATGCAACGGATACTGCAACACAATTTTCTGGGGCTGTATTTTCAGGAACTGTGACTTTCCATAAGCCTCAAGCCTAGGGAACATTGGCTATCGAGCTTTACTGTCAAGCACGCAGCAAGGTTGAGAGACGGTGATGATGGTATAACTAGGCTCCTGCGTATCGGTGCAGATACCTGAAAGACTCAATTTGCTAGCGTTTACATGAATGAAAGCACAGCCATTTTGAACATTGTCTTCAAACTAGAAGTGTACAGTTCCACTAAAAGTTGCCCCAGTGAAGTGCTTGCCATTGCCAGTCGCATTATACTGGATCCCGCCTGTCGCGTTGAATTGATCACCCGAACCCTCATTTTGAAACGCAAACGTAGGCACATTGCGACTCTCCTTGACCAGGGAAGACAGCATAGAATCAATGTCCGCTGCCAACTTTTCTGCATTGCCATTCAGCTCCTCTAGGGCTGCTCTCATTGGCACATCCTTGATTAGTTTGTAATCTTTGCTGAACAACTTTTCCGACTCTTGGATTCTAGCCATCATGCCCTTCCAGTCTTCGTGTCCAACCGCGTCCTCTGCCAGTCTCTCAAGACGTGTTAGATAGACACGTCGAACGGTCCTGATCTGGAAATCAATGATTAGCTGATACAGTGCCAAGAGACTGTCCTCAAGCTCGACATGTATGCCAGAATCGTGCAGCGTCTTGCTCTTCAGCAGCAGAGTCTCCAGCTTGACATAGAAGCGTATGCGAGAGGTGACGTATATGTAACCATCACGACTGGCCTCTTCTGCGGCGCTGGGGTTCATGAAGATGGGAAGAATGACGCAGATGCCAGCCCATGCTAGAGAGGCTTCAGGGGATACCCTAACGGCATCGTCAATGACATCCTTGATGGTTTGGATGAGCCGAGTAGCCTGTGTCAATTGGTCACGCAATATGAACTCCTGGCCAAATATATTGTATTTGGCCCTCTTCTTATCCAACTGCTGCAGTCCGTTGCGGGTGATTTTATGCAACTGGCCTCGACGATTGAGATTGTCGCTGTCAATCTGGTTCTCATTTTTTATGTATTTTTCATCGACATTGTCATGTACAGCAGGTGAAGAAACCTGTCGAGTATCGTCGAAATGTGTGCCACTCTTTGTATTGGTACTTGTTGGCAACTCTCTGGATAGTAGACGCTCGTATACGTCGATTAGCTTCCTATCCTTCTCCCTAAGGCCGTCATATGCGCGGTCCCAAAGCGATGTCTCGACTATCTTCGACTGACTTAGATTTGATGTCTCGGGTATAACAGGGGCCGCGTCGGATGTGTTCGTTGGTAAAGTGATCGTTTGTGCAGTAGGAGCTGCCGCCCAGGACTCAGCCTCCAGAGCTTTCGAAACTGTCTCAGGCTCCGTTTGAGACTGTGGCTCCATTGGTTGTTGCTTTTTGCACTTGAAAATCTTCCCAAGCTTTGATAAGACTTTCTTAATTTTAGATAGTCGTTTTGAGGCCATGTCTGTGATTGACTCGGGAGCAGTGTGTTATTCATAGCAATCAGCAGTATCAGTCAAAATGTCTCGGGACGAAGGAGCGAAATCTGAGACACACTTGGACTTGGGCGTGGATGAGGGGGAAGAGATAAGGCATCAACCAACAAGGCCGACTTACACGAGCACATCAACTGAGTTTGTGTTACCTTGGACGTACACCGTCGTACGAGTACATGCATGGCGTTGGGCAGTGGCCGCATGAAATGGTTGGTGATTTTAAGTGGGTAAACTCTACGGAGGTTCTGTCTGTAAAATCAGTACTGACAAGAAAGAGAAAACATCGCACGCTCCTCTACATGAAAATGATCTCTAGCTATGTGACGGCCGTGGTGGCCAGATCAAATGATTCCCTGACGGGTGCTCGCTCCGTGGTCTCTATAGCCGTCAGTAGGATAAGCTGGCTAGCGATGTGTATAAGATGTGGCGTCTGCGCCGGTCTGCAATGAATCCCTTGCTCTTGACAAACTATGTGATATGCATGGATAATAAAGGTCAGATTTGACTGATTGGTGAAAGTAAACAGGCTCATGCAAAAGAAACTTACTAAGGAAATGAGAGCCGACAATACATGGCATCCCCCAATCACAAAACAAAATACATATGTAAGTGCGGACTAGTTTCCTCTTACGGCAAGCAAGCAGAAATAAGCAATTTCACATATGTAGGCAAGCAGGTATCAAAAAAATAGAGACCGCAAAATGAATATCCACATACAAGGCAATTACATGAGCACCATGAGCATGGGCTGGTCTTAGCCTTTATGTGTGTGTATAGTTATTGCTTTGTGTGTTCAAAATTACCTCAGTCTCTCTCCTCTTTTTTTGATACTTGCTTGCCAGGACAGTAGGAACAATCATGTCATCTGTTTTCTTTCCATTTTTCATTTTTTATTTTTCAATTAAATATTCCTTCCTCCACCATTCTCCTCCCAAATCTCCAGCCCTAAAAAAAGACATAGAAGAAGAAAATAACCAACATATAAAAAAAAAGAGATGTGCAATGTGTATACATATGTAGTACAAATAGAAAAAAGACAAAAAAGGGCGTAATTCGAAGAAATTAGCTAGTTAAACAGCACAAAAATAGTCTGTGTAACAACAAAAAAGGTGCCAGAATAGAATAAATAAAAAAGCGACAAAAAGGATTTTTCTGTGGAGTGGTATCATGTGAGTGTGTAGTTTCTTCTTCCTTTCCTTGAGGAAAAAAAAAATATAGATGAGATGTAAACAAGGGAAATTTTGGTGCTCGTCGAGGTGTGTATGCGTATGCTATAGGTAGTGTAGAGAAGAGGTAGAAACGGAAGGGGAAAAAAGAAATAAGGATGTACAAGTATAATATACACCCTTAGAAACCACACACCCCCTTTTTTAGAGAGTGCATCTTTCGCTTGTGGGTGTAAAAATCCATCCTCTAACGAATAGTTTGTTGCTCAAAGTTCAAATCACCACCCGTTCCCGCTCTAAAACCCCCTTTTCCTGTCCCAACCTTCTATGTCTAGTAGGTATGTTAAGCGTAAATTTTAGGTAAAAAGAAAGGGAGGGGAGAGAAAAGGATTAGGATATGGAAAGAAGAGGGAAATAGAGTTGAGTTCAAAGGTGCCGTAAGAAGATATTCCGACATCGTGCAGGCATGAGGGGGCATGATAAGTCCTCTCAAAGCAGAGGATTTCGCCTTTCCAACGGTCTTGTTTCAATAGGGTGACTAAAGTTCGCTGCTTATCGGCTATAGTTAGCATGAGCAGCTTGCAAAACTAATCATCCAGTTAGCAAAATCCTTCACAAACACACTCATACAATAGGAGCAGCCATACCATGCAGCACATTGAGCTGTCCCGTCCTATCCTCACACGCCAACTGGATCGCCGTGCCCTCAACAAAATCCAACACCACACTGTTAGGCAGCTCCTGCACCTCCACGTCCGGCGTGTATGGCTGTCGAAACTCGCCCAAGAAGTACCGCTTAGGCCCGACGACGGCGCGGCCGCTCTGCGTTCCCGCGGCCAGGATGATGAACCCCTGGGAGTCGAGGCACAGGTTTCGTCGCTTCCACAGGAGACTATCCGGGAACTGGACGTTGACGTCGCCAAGGTCCGACACGATGGACGCATCGCCAGAGGTGGCGGGGGGGGCCGGCTTGCGGGTCTGCGTAGGAGCAGCAGCAGCGCTAGTAGTGGTGGTGATGCTGGTGGCGGTGGTGTTGATGCTGTCTTCTACCGAAGAAGTCTTGCTCTTAGACGACCCGGTGGAGAAGTTGGAGAGCTTGCGCATGAAGCGCCCGGCGCGCGACGTCTTCTTGTCCCTCTCATCGCCAGAATATGAATCCTCCGTCACACTAGAGTTAGCTAGGTTGTCGCGATCAAGAGTGATTGAGCGCCGGCTGCTGGGCGACTGTGTTGTTGTCCTAGATACTATCGTTTGGCGCATGTTAGTCGAGACAGTCACCGACTTCCGAGGGTCTTTAAAGAACCCTTTAACCGTATTTAGCGAGGATCGCCTACCCATGTCATCCTCGCCGTCGCGCTCAAGAGACCTAGACTTCCGCCCTGAGTCCTCATAGTCACCCGTGAGCTGCTGCTGCTGCCTCAGATCCGGATAGCTGTACTCAGAGGCATCTTGCCTGGACGCTAGGCTTGCGTCCCGTAAGGTTCTCGGCGTCACGGCTATCGATTCTGGTCGTCCTCGCGACTGAGGTCCCGGTGCTAGGCTGTTTGCGCTGGAGGGTGCGCCGAGGGGCTCAAACATGGAAACCCGACTGACGACTGACCCCGATCTCTGCAGGCGCACTCTGCCTGTGTCTAGCGGTAGCGGAAACTCATCTTGCGATGGCGTTGGCGATGCGGCCCTCCCCTTGAGGGATTTCGTTCTGTCCACCACGGACGGCGGGCGGGACGTGTCCCTCTTCTGGACGGCGAAAAAGGTCGACTGAGGGCGCTCTCGACTCACCGGACGAGCCTGATCACCTGATGTCGCTGACAGCTTCTCGAGCGCCTTGATGCGCTGCGAAATGCTCGACCCGACGGTGGGCTTCATGGTGGCGAGGCTGGCCGACTGCTGCTGCGTGATTTTGTGTAGGAAAGCTGCGCCGGAGCTCAGAGAACGCGCCGTAGACTGAGTTACATCTGTCGGAGCGATGTAGTTGCCACGGACAGGATTAGAGACTGTCCGAACAGTGTGCGCCTGTGGAGCTCTTGCGCCTAGCGGGCCATTCGCAATTGTAGCACTGGGGAAGACAGGGGTGAGCGGAGATTTGGTGGCACTCATTGGCTTATTATCATTCTGCACCGTTGCGTCGTCGCGCTGAGTCGTCGCCTCCTTGCTGGCGTGCGCAGCTGCAGCTGCAGCGGCATCGTCATCGCCAGCGATTTCCGCGGGAGCTGCTGACTGCTGCTTTGGCTCCGTCAGATCTGTCTGGATCGGTGGTGGACTGCTAACCGAGTGTTTGGAACCTTCTTTGGGAGTGGCCGCCGTCTCATTAGCCGTCTCTACTGCTGGCATCGATTCCTGCGCCGCCGACAATGGGTCCTCCGGCTGGAGATCCATCGAAGGTGTCGTCGCTACGGTGGTTTTGGCGGCCGAATCTGCAGCGTCGACCAAATCTTGCGTTGAGCGTTTAGGCCCAGAAGGCAGTGGAGCAGATTTTACTGGCGGTAATTCCCCTTTGTTTGTTGCCTGCGCAACATCGCCGGGGGTGTCGCTGAGTGGAATCTCGGCTGCACCAGATCCCATGCCTTTTAATGATGCAGCTGGTGGGGCATTTGACGTCGGAATATTCGCCGAGAAGTTTGAAATTGGCTCTGCAATCCCTTTTTTCTCCTTTTCATTTTCGGGCTTAGCCGATCCCTTATTAGCGGCCCCGGCAGCCTCCTCAGCTGCTATAGCTCTGGTGGATTCCAATGCGACTGGATTGGCATTATCTTTTGTTGGAACCGCACTCGGTTTATTTTCTTCTGGTGATGCAGCAGCAGCAGCAGCAGCAGTAGATGACGATGATGGTGACGATGTTGACGACTTTTCAACCTGTGCGGTTTTGCTTTCCTCTTCCTGCGGCTTTTCCTTCAACGCAGCAGCCGCCGCATTTTGAATATCAACAGCCTCAGACTTTGACGCGGTGACAGCGCTATGGACAGTCTCATCTGTGGAACCCGAAAGCGAAGATGCAGCAGTCGACTCATCATGCTCTGAAGAGGCAACCGTTGGGCTTTGCGCACGAGACTCTGATCGAGCTGTCTCCTCAGAGACTTCGTCAATTTGGGAGAGCGGGGACAACGACGAGAGACTATTCAAAACGACGCCAGAGTCCGCATGGCTAATCGATGCTATCCGATCTTCAATTTCTTTGCTCTTCTCGGTTTCACCCTCCGCTTCATCTTCGTCGTCGTCGTCGTCGTCTTCATCATCGTCATTATCAATATGCGCAGAGTGCTCAAAGTCTTGATCCTCTCCTCCCCTCAACACCATAACCTTTTCCTCGGCGCCAGGTGTTCCCACTTCTGCAGACTGTTGCTTCAAGAGCTCCTGCTGCTTCTTTCTCTTTTCTCTGAGTTTCATGGCCTTCATAAGCCTAGCCTTCTCAGGTGTAATGGTAGGTTTGGCCGGCGCCGCTGGTACAGACAGCGACTCGGCGCCAGTGCTTGTGGACGGTCGCGCATCGCCGCTGATTCCTAATGCATCTTCTGACGCTCGGGCAGCATCGGTAGGTGGCTCCATCTCTGGAATCTCTTCATGGATCAAAGACGCAGAGTCTGTATCCTTGCTCTTGCTCTTCTTTCCGCCCTTTCCAAACAACTTGTATCCAACCGGAAGCGACGAAACGGGCCTAAAGTTTCCGGCGGCTTGGGGTCTAATCGTAATGTCGGCCTTGGGCCGAGGAGCGAGCTTCACTTTCGGTTTACCTGTAGGATAATAGCTATAGATATCTGACCGGCTGTCGGTAGTGTCGATCGATCTCGTGGGTGAACTTGGTCTATCGTGGATGCCCGTAAATTTGGGCACCTCAGAGGTGTTTGAGGCTGAAAATTTGCTATGCTCTGGGGAAGCTGCCAGTTCAGAGTTTAATTTGACCTCGTCTGTGGTTGTAGATTTGCCGCCAGGTGTTTGCGGCCGCTCGCCATCGGGTTCCGATCCTATGGACTGCCGCTTCGACGAGCGTTGTTCCTCTACCTCCTCCTCTTCGGCGATTTCCATTAACCGTCGTCTTCGGGAGCTCGTGGAAGATGCTGTGGATCCAGATGCGGCATGCAGCGAACAGGCAGCAGAAAGCTTTGTATCTTTTAACTCGGCAGCGGTGGAAATCTCGTAAATGGCATCGTAGGGGGAGAATCGTTCGCAGACGGCAGTGAAGTGTACAGCAACTCGAGCTGGTTTGCGACAAGTTAGTACCCATGATTTGCATCTCGTCGCATCGCATCGCATGACATCGCAGATCGCCGCCGATCGCAGAATGGGGGATGTAAAGAGCATATAAAGAAGAGTCTAACCTTGTATAAGTCGAGAACAGTCCTCCGGCAGGTATTTGACAATGACGTTCCTTCGCCGGTACCGCAGGAAGCCATACAATGGGCTTTCCTCGTCAAAGCCCTCGACGGCGTTTCGGATTTCGGTGATGCCTCCATTTCCCTTGTCCAGCAGCTCAACTTCGTCGCGACTCGAATACTTGATCAGAAACCTATAGATTGCACAGCAAAAAAGCAGGAAAGTCTCAGCAAAATCGAATCCTACATAGCACGCTTAAAAGTCCGAAGAGTTGAATCATGCATACCATCCTCCAGGCTCAGCAACGCCAGCCTCGTGCGCCTCTACAATCTTGGGATCGTCTAAGCCGTTTAGCGACATATTCTCTGCGACATACGACCCGGATATCTATGATTCGATCGTTTGCGCCCACCAGCCCAGCCAAGCCCAGCTCAATGCAGCTGGATATCGAAAGAGGGAACAAGATAAAAAGAATGGAGGATGTGAATAGCGAGAGACAAGGGTGTTGAGCAATGAAACGAGCGAAGAATAACAACAGCAAATAACGAAGGGCTGAGAGATGCTCGACGCGCTGCGCCGGCTGTCTGTCTGTCTGTCTGTCTTACCACCAATGCTCAGGGGCAAGTTGCGACGACGTCGACATGGAGACGAGCAAAATCGCGACGTGGGGAAGGCGGGATATGCAGAATGCAAGGCAAGCCTCAGCCCTTTTGGATGCTTCTCCTACGGCTCGGTTCGGGTCAAAGATGGCGAGACGCAGGGAGGAGTGAGTGGTTGCCCGCCGGAACGGAATTACATGCAGCTGCACTCTGACACACGCTTTTTTCTCGCCCTCTCTGTCACTTGGTATGCTCTCTCTTACGACGCCTGTTGGCTGCGGCACAAAACACACGAGGTTCCGTGACAGATCGAACGGGACCTGGCCTAAAGCGAGTCCACCTGCGTGCTAAGCGCCGCGCCGCAGATGCATGGAGGGAGGCAAGGGGCGCGCCAGAAGCCCATGCAATGCACGCCTTGGTGCCACCCACACGGCAGAACCAGAGCCAGATCAAGGCTGTGTCTGCTTCGCGGCGCCGTGTTACTGGCTGGAGCCGCGCAGTCAGCTGAGAAACAGACGGGCAAAAACGAGCTGTCCACACAAGCAACCCTTGCCCAGCCAAACACGAGTGCCAGACAGGCCGCGAGATCCACGAGCAGCGAGCAGAAAATCTCCCAATCAGCCAGCCAAGACATGGTCAACAGCCGGGCTTCCATTCCACGTCTCTGGCTAGGCAAGCTTAAGGGGGTTTAGCTGGCCATTTTGTCTGTCCCCCTGTCAAAAGTCGTCTCCATCTGCAAACAGGGGTCCTAGGCCCGCCAGCCAACGAGAATTCCGCTGCCACTGAGGACCGCAGTGCCCTCGTGTGTGTCTTCACCAGCGGTCCGCCATTGGGGGGGAGTCCCCATCTCGTCTCGCTAGTTTCGTCGAAATTGAAGCTTGGGCCGCCCCTTAGCTTTATTGCTTCCCCTCCAATAATCGCGGCGGTAGTGCGAAACGCCAGGCACAGCGTCGCAATGGCTATCGGATAGCGTGCTTCACCAGCAGCAGCGATTGGGAGCTGCGCATCGCCCGTTGGCTTCCCGCAAGATTGCTTTGGTCGCTGTGCGGTGTGCCCTGCTGTGCTCTGCTGTTATACGCGACAGAGACTCCAATATACGCGACAGAGACTCCAGCTCCATGCCGCGGCCATCTCGTTATATGGCTGCTGCTGTTGCTTCCACTGCGGCCGCACCGGTTCGTCCCAACATGCAGCCCAAATGCCGTGGCTAGCCCTGAAACGCACGTCGTGCAGCAGCTGTCTGCACAGGGGCCCCATCGTTACCCATATTAGCAGGTTAGCAGCTACAAGTATATGTCCTGGTGGAGGCCGGCCAAGTTTCCGGATGGTTAATGCAGCGGGCGCTGTGGCTATTTATTGGCGACTGATGTGCAGATCGAGCGTAGCAAGGGACAGATTCGCGGTCAAGTTGATGCTTGATTTATGATTTACTACGCCTGCTACAGGCCCATACTCTATGCCAAAAGTTTATCTGATTCTTTAGTCATCCCACTAAATTCCTCGTCGCATCCGGGAAGCCACATCTGTCGGCGCCGTCTGCTTGTACTCCACCTGTAAGGAGTGCCCGAGTAGAATGACATGCTCCTCTTGTGTCTTATTGTCATTTCAATCAAACGCAAATTATTAAACATTTGGGCTTTCAGATTAGTAGTTCATACATGTCCCAAATCATAGATGTATGGTAAGCCTCTTGATTGACAGAACAGCTCACATGCTATTGCTATACTGGCGAACCACAGCCAAGGAAGAACAGATGGCAGCTTGCATCTCAAAAATCTTGCATTGAAAAATTGCCCACGTACATATACATACAGATAGCATAGCGTACAAAACAGAAACTTTGCCAACGTCGTCTTAGTCCAACCATGCGCCCCAATGCCCGATCCCTCGGTGAGGCACCAGCCTCATCGCCTTGCTTCTGTCTCTTCTGTAGTATGATGCGATATACTTGAACCTAGGATAAGCATCACCAAGGTTCTTCCTCGCATAACATGCCCACACCGACGTATACTCTAATCATGCCATGCCTCTCATTTCCCCGTCCTTGCCTGATCTAGCTGGCCAGCTCGTCTGGGCGACTCTCGCCGTCACTGAATTAAAGTTAGACGGCTTTTAGCTGGATGACAAGGGTTCCTAAGTCCTAGACGTCTGCCAACTCTTTTGACTCATCTTTTGACTCTTGTGCAGCAGCGGCAGCTGGCTTGTCAATGGAAGTGTCGAGCGAAACCAGCTCGGGACTGTCGCTCTCCCCAATGGCAATAGGCTCCTCAACAAGCGCATCGCTCAACGTCGTAGGCACAAACTCCCCTTCGTTCGTGGAAGCATTGTCGTATCCGCGTCCAGAGTTACTAGCTGACACGCCCACCGCGGGAGTTGAGCCGTCGGCAATCTTCTGCTTTGTATCCATGACGATCTTGTCTGCCTCGCTCACCTTGGAGGCGGCACCGTGGTTTGCTTCGGGCTCAGCATCCTGGCTGGTCTGGCGTTGTACAAGAGCCTCCTTATCTAGCCGTACAATCATACATGACAGGTTGTCGGTGCTGAATCGATTGAGGGCATGGTCGACCAATAGCTTTGCTCCTTCGCCCGGGTCGTGAATTTCTCGGACAAGATCAACAGCCTCCTGGTCGCTGCAAACATCCCACAACTAATGAGTTGCTTGTTAGCATGGTATTCTCCCACTTTGACAACAAACGTAAATTTGCTAAGTATTACTTACCCCGTCACAAGCAATAATGATGAATTCGTCAAGGTCATGTTGTATGACTGTTTCTGTGGTGTATGGGTGGCCAGTCACGAGATCCTTCATATAGGTATCTCCAAGTGCTCTGGTAACAGCTAGCACTCCATTGACACGATTATTGAGGATGAGACCGCCAGCGTTGGCGATTCGTTTTCCTTCGTTTTCGTCACTGCCTTTATGGTCATAAGACAGGCGCAAGGCTTTGCCGTTACGACACAGAATGATGCGAGCATCCCCCACGTTGGCGGTATACAAGACGCGCTGTCGACTGGAGAGTCCCTTGAGTTTCGTAGCAATTGACTCGTTGGAACTGGTTTGCGGTGCTTCTGAAGACCCATCCTTGTCTTTTTCTGATTCTTGCGCTTTGGCCATCGCCTTCGCGGCAGCGGCGGTTGCGGCGGCCGGGGCAATGGCGAGAGAGCCGGTGATGGACCGGTCACTGGGCACACGGTCTTCCCAGCGAAGAACCGCAATAGCAGCCGTACAGCCGCTGTTCTTTAACGGGAGCTTCTCGAGCTGAGTGTCAACAGCCGTAAATGTCATATCCAGGAGCTCCGGAATCGGCATATTAGGGTGCTTTCGTATCATCTCCTCCAGAATAATGTGAAGCTTCTTTCCACACCAATCCGCAGCAAATGTGCCGGCATGGCCGTCAAAGATGGCGAAGTAGCCATTGTCAGACTCGGAAACAGCGGCGTCCTTGTCGTCTTTACTTGACTTGTCCTTTCCGCCAGATCCATCAGCCGACGGCGCCGGAGTGTCTAGAAAGTTGTATAGAAAGGCATGGGTGTCTTCCATCGTCCGGCGGCATTTCTTGTTCCTATCTTCCCAAACGCCGACACGGAAGGTGGACTTGGGCCCGGGAACCGATTCGCCGGCCGAGTTGTTGTGTTGGCCCTGCGGCACGACGAGGGCAGGGTCATGCTTCCCGAGCTTCTGCAGCGGTGTCTGAGCGCCGGAATCCGACCCGGAGCGGGTGACCTGAGAGAAGTTGAGCGAGTTCCTGGCCGAGGCTAGCAGGCTGCTGGCCTTGCTGCTGACACCACTACTCCTGCGCTTCTTCTCGCCGACGTCCTGTCGAGTGGGCGGGCTGCCATTGCCGCTGCGTTTCTCGCCGCTGGCCGCCTGGTCCGCGTTCTTGATGGGCACGGCGGACGCAGCAGTGGGGCTTGGCTCGGGAGAAGGCGACTTGTCGTCGCTCTTGGAATCGTTCTCAGGCTTGGAAGCTCCGCCGAACATTCTATTAAGCAGACTTCCTCCGTGAGAGGAGAGACTGCGGCGCTTGCTTCCTGCCAGTTTTGTGGAGTGCGAAAGGGGCCGGTCGGGAAATAAGGTGACACGCCTCGAGATGGGCCGATGGGATGATGGATAGCTGGTCGATATCGCAGCTGAAGGGTCGTCGCGGGGGTTGCGATGGCTATCGCGCTCTCGTCAAGGAGACGCTGTGTGATTGGACGCTGTAGGCGCCGACTGACCACGGAGCAGATGGAAAGGCTGCTGCGCTGGCGTGGCAAGGCGACAGACGCAATGCGAGCTTCGGGGATGTCTGGCGATTCGGACGAGGCGGGAAATGCTGCACCGGTCAATGAGCTTATGGTACAGCTGGTGGCTTGCAAATGGACAAGCTGGAGATCAAACGGGCTGGTGTTTGGGCAATAGAGAGGGGGGCCGGTATAGAAAAGGATGACATCGGCGGGGACAGCAGCGGGATAGCGGGGAGGACTCAGGCGGCTTGGCGCTTGTTTGCTTCTGGCAGCTTCGGGTGAGGCGCTGCCTGCAATGCTGCGTGCCACTGGGCCGGTGCCTGGCGAGGGACTGAAGCCGGCTTGTATTCCGCATGTGCTGTGGGTAGCAGCGGATTGAGCCTCGTTCACGACGGGCAAGCGGCAATACGAGCAGAGCAGTGAATTGGCACCAATCCTCCTTGTCCTCGCCCTCCTATCCTGCTGACGGGCGCTGGCTAAAAGACGTATTGTGACGGCGGAAACTGGGGACAGTTCTGTCCTCTGATGATCAGGGCACAGTACGGGGAGAGCGGACAAACAGCAGGAATCCAGGGCATTTACAAAGAATGCCGGAGAGGCTGATTACATACCACAACGGAAAAGACGGCACTACAATATTCGGGCTGGAGCGTGCGTCTCGCAGGAAGAGACGATCAGGCAGTCGGCGTTTGCAGTGAGAAAGGGAGAAGAAGAACAGACGGGCAGCGTAGATATACGTATGTAGATGACGAACAGTGCTGTGGATGGCTGAGTAGCTGCGACTGCAAGGCGCGAATTAGCGTCTCGGCCCAGCGTAGCGACCCGGGGCACAGCAGTGCTATAAGTAAGCTGCTAATGCTAATGCTAATGCTACTGTGCAAGGGAAAGGGCCCTGCCAGGTAATACCTAGCTCCCCGGCCTGATATTCTCACGTCACCACTGAAACGAAACAAACATGAATCCTTCATCAATCATGTGCTCGCTAAATCAACTGCTAATCTCATGTAAGGGCATCCAGCCCAAGAATACTACGTCGCCATCTATATTTAGGCCTCCTCGACCAAGCGAAACAAAAGTCGGGGGTGACGGAACGGGGCATTATTAGGCTCCAGATCCAAGATGACGGTCTCGGCGCTGTTTAGTGGACGCGGGGGTTTCTAGCGGCCCCCATCGATGCTATTCTTACCTGTCCACTTGATCTCGATCTCCAATGTTACCTTGGAAACTTTCTTCTGATCGATGGTGCTCCCGTCCTCCAGACTGCGATTGTTGGACATCAGAATCTGCGAGGGGATGGAAAGTAAAAATAGAAGTGTATATTCTTGTTTAAACAAGACTGTTGGCCTGAAACATACAGTCGCTATAAATATCCAGTGTGTCCAAACAGGACAGACAAAAAGCCATGGCGCCGCAGTCATGCTCTCTATTCCTGATGCCTGTTGGAATAGAGCAGCATCTCTTGCATATTAGCATAATAATTAGAATATGAATGCATAAATATGTCTGCTTGTGTATTCGTAAATCATATTCGCCATCAACACCTCTTGCGCCGAACAAGAAAACGGACATGGCTCACTCCCCGTCTAAGCCCCCGCATACATGTATAAATAACATCCTCAGACTTTACGATCCTCTGTAGAGGCCGTCATCTTTTGAATGTTTCTCTTGCATCATAACGGGATGCAGTTCCTCAGCAAGAGACATTCTCGAGAGACATCCTTTTTAACTTGGCAGGCTCCATTCAAAGACGGTTCTATCAATAGACCCCTTCCTTGGTTATTCTGTTCGTGACTGGGTCGTGAAGTTGTTCACTTTCGAAGACTGTCGAGTCGGGCTTGGAGGTCGTCGTCAACTGGGTCACCGCTTCCGCCTCCACCTCCAGCGCCAACGGCCTGCGCAATCTTGCCCTCAGACACAGCAGAATTGCCCAAGGCGGTTGGGGTCTCCCCAAGCTATTATCCAACAGTCAGTCAAGGTTTTTTTGCGTCAAGATTCTTACCGGGGGAAAGTGCAGTCTTACAGCCTGGTTTAGATCTATTCCAATCTCTTCCAACACTTGCTCAACAACCTCGTCGCCTTCTTCTTCGATTCCAACGTCCATGGCATCATCAACGGCGTCATCCATCATCTCTTGCCTCTGTTCCATGATGTCGTTTTCTCGCTCGAATTCCATGGCAATCCGCTGGAGCTGTGGCAGGTTCATGGATTTGTTCATGCTACCCAATGCCATCGTAGCACCCTTCATGGCCTGCATCATCTGCTCGTTCGTCCGGTAGGTCTAATCGTCATCCGCTTGTTAGCCGGTATCGGGGTAGTTGCCAACACAGGACAATGACATACCTGCAGCCGCAGAGAAATCTTTTGTAGTTGACTGCGCATGCCGTAAAACTTTTCAATGTACCGCCGTGTGCGCACCAGATCTTTGGCCTGGATCTTGCAAGCGCCCATCTGTCCGTTCTTGGCGCTCGTCTTGATTTGCTGTATCAGCGTCTTCTCCTGCTTCTCCAGCTTGACACGCGTCTGGTCGAGTTCTCGAATGGCCTTATCCAGCATGCGCTGGTTCTTGCGCAAGCGCTCGGCCGGCGTCATGCGCTTGCCAAACGCCCATTCTAGGATCTGCATTTGCACGTCTGGTTAGGTGCCGTTGCCCTTGGGTGGGGGGAGAAGGCTGCGATGCCAGTGCAGTGCCTCACATTCATGATGATTCAGGGTTCGTCCTGTGGAAAGGAAGCAGTCGCAGTGCGGTGCGGTGCTGTAGATGCGGCAGTGAGGAAGAACTGCGTGGTGAATGGATTGTCGCGAGATGATAACGAGGAAGAATGACATCTGCCTAGCGGAGTGCCCGAAGAGCGACGTACGTCGGTCGTCCTCACTGCAGCGCCGTGCTTGCGTCGCTAAAAAGCGTTACGTCGTTGCCAAAAAGCTGGGCAATGTACCCCCACCACCGCGCAGAGGTGCCAAGGTACTTGCAGGATACCTGTTTCGGCTGGCCCAATTTTCGGGACCAACGATAAGATAGCTGCAGGCCTGCCGAGCTTATGCCGACGAGCTAGGCCAATCAAGGGAGCTTCGTGACCGCCGGGGAGGCAATTTGCTTAAACATCATGCAACCTTTTTACTTGACGAACCCCGTTCTACGCCTGACCCTCCTCCTACATACCCAACCTTTGCAGCTCTACCGCACCGGCATTTCTGCTCCCTCATCCCGTAGCTCGACAATGCTGTGGGCAGGCACGCCTTCACCAGCATGAGCCAGGAATATTTCAACGACAAGGGCAAATCGCCCGCGGGGCACGACTCTGACGATGCTCACCTGGACCCGAACATGGCAGGCCAGGCGGGTGCATCCGGAGTGCGGCCCAACTACATGACGGTTGGCAACGGCACGACCTCCGAGCACGCCGCACGCCTGCAGAGCATGCTCGAAGCTGATTCAGGATATGGAGGCAGCATCATGGGCGACGAACCAGGCATGTTGGACATCTCAACACATGGCGACCGTCGACAGTCCCATGCTATCCACCAGATGTGGTACAACTCCCAGAGGGCCACGCTGGGCCGGTCAATCAACAAGGTGCTGGACCTCCTGCATAGTCTTCGAGAGATGAATGCTACGTGGCCTGCGCATTACCCTTCTGTTCAACGAGCGGAGAAAATGGAAGCGGATGTGCCTCGTCCTGGACTCTTACACTCATCCACCATGGAGGATATCGCGGCCAGGTCCAGCCAAGCGCCGCCACCCATGCTTAGGAGAGCCATGACCAGCCTCGAAGATGCGTCGGCAGAGTCTAGCCAAGCGGCTGAGGCTCGACCCGCGGCGGAGCCTCGACTTGTCTCACCTCAGATCGCTCAGGAATTTTCAATTTTAAAGCTCGACCTGAAGCTAGGAGCTCTCCACCAGACCGAGCTGGTACACTCTTTGGAAAAGGGCTCTATTGCATCACTCCTTGATGGCAAAATCGGCTCCAGCATCAAGCATCTTGTGTCGCTCCGTGAACGTATCGAGGATACATCAAGCAAGGTCCTTATTACCGGTGATTTGAATGCCGGCAAATCGACCTTTTGCAATGCCCTGCTGCGCCGGAAAGTTTTACCTGAGGATCAGCAGCCTTGCACCGCCATCTTTTGTGAGGTTTTGGACGCACGGGAAAACGCAGGCATCGAAGAAGTCCACGCCGTCCACAAGGAGATGATTTACAACCGAAACGACGAATCGACATATGATGCTTACTCTCTTCAGGAGCTCGAGAAAATTGTCATTGACAATGAAAAGTACATCCAGTGCAAGGTCTATGTTAAGGATGTCCGAACGATTGATGAATCTCTACTCAGCAACGGCGTTGTGGATATTGCCCTGATCGATGCTCCAGGTCTCAATTCAGATACAACCAAGACGACGGCCATTTTTGCTCGGCAAGAGGAGATTGACGTAGTTGTGTTTGTTGTTTCCGCGGCGAATCACTTTACGCAGTCTGCCAAGGAATTCATCTGGGCCGCCGCTGCGGAGAAGGCGTACATTTTCATCGTTGTCAACGGCTATGACTTCATTCGAGACAAGGAGCGATGCCAGAAGATGATCTTGGACCAAGTTGCCGGGCTCAGTCCGCGAACTCACAAAGAAGCGTCTGAACTTGTCCATTTCGTCTCCAGCAATGTTATCCCCATGGCACCTTCACCCCCTGGCGGACCAAGCGGAGGCGGCAGTGGGAGTGGCAGCGGGGGTGGAGACGACCCCGACGACAACGGCAAGGGCAAGGACCTGGACAAGGTTCGTGACTTTGAGAAGCTCGAACAGTCGCTGCGGAGATTTGTTCTGGAAAAGCGTGCAAGATCGAAGCTTGCTCCCGCAAGGACGTATCTGTTGAATATCCTCAATGACGTTAATACCTTGGCTACCGTCAACCATGAGGTGGCCCAATCTGAGTTTGACCGTGTCACCCAGGAGCTCAAGGAGCTTGAGCCGCAGATTTTGGCCAGCAAGAAGGCCCGATCCGAAGTTGATGAGCAGGTTGTCCATAACATCGAAGAGACCTGCAAGACCGTCTACGACCATACTCGAAATCAGCTTAACGCTGCCATCACTTACGCCGGAAGCACCAAGTACGATATCCCGTACCCCGGACTCTTTGGTGCTTTTGGATATGCCGACGATCTCAAGGATGCTATTCTATCCCACATTGCGGACGCCGTCAGCACCTGCGAGGACTACGCCCGTGGCCAGACCGTCAGGGGCGTCAATGCTATCAAGCAGCTCGGCCTGCTGCATGTGGGCGACGAATTCCAAAACCTCCACTTCCGACCAGACGTCATGTTCCGACGAAAGAAGGATGCCTTTGCCCGCCAGGTGGATGTCCCTACTGATTTTGCCGACTTTGTGGACTTTTCAACTCTGCTGCACAGCCAAGAGAAGTTTGCCGGCACAGGTATGGCCCTGACAATTGCTGGTGCAGTCGTGCCTCGCATGCTGGGAATGAACTCCTGGATGGACCATGCCATTACCGCGACGAAAATCCTTGGCAATGACAACCTTCGCAAGCTCATCCTTCCTGGAATTGTGATTGCCGGTATGTAGCCCTTTTTTCCAATACTGACCTTGGATCTTTACTGACTAATCTTCTTAGCCATTGCCGCCTCGGCATATGTCCTTCAGCAGATTCCCACCTCTCTTCCCCATCGGCTGGCCCGAAAGATTGAGGTACAGCTGTCTGAGATTGATTATGTGCATACCAATGCCTCCCGCATTTCAGGAGCAGTGCGCACCGTCTTGCGCATGCCCGCCGACAACCTGCGAGTTGGCCTCGACCACAGCGTCAAGGATCTCAACAAGAAGCGCGACGAGACAGTCAAGGTCAAGGGCGAGAGCGAAAAGGCCTCCAAGTTCTTCCGCAAACTGGTTGGCGAAACTCAGGTCCAGAAGAACATGGTTGAGGGAGTGGACCTCGATACCCCTCCGCAAGCTTTGCACTGAAAGAAAGAAAAACAAAGATAAAATAACAAAAAAAAATTGAATCCAGTGCTCCATAACGTGTTGATGACAAAAAATAGATTGGGACTCCTGAGACTTTTGAGATTCTTTTTTTCTTCTTCTGGCGTTTAATATATAAATCCGCTACAAAGTTGCAAGATATTTGATTTCGGCCGTGGCCGTGACGGGAACAGGGGGAAAGGGGGGTGGAATTAAAAGGGGTGGAAAACAAAAAATACAGTGATTGGGAAATTATGGATGGAGATTCTCTACTCCTCTCGCTTGTTGTAGCTGGTTTCTTGTTCTAGCATATATATATATAGCCTGATTCAAAGTAGCGTTATGACAATATTGCGCAATGGTGTTGTTACTGAAGAGAGCAACGGAAGCAAAAATAAAATAAAAAAACAGTATGCTCATCTTTAATTTTACTCTTTGCTCTATTATTCTCTAAGTGTTTGCTGATGTGGTTTATAATGCGGTTGTATGGTCATCCCACATGATCCGTCGTAGCCTCTCCTTTTCCTCTTCGCCTCCAAAGATGAAGTCGATGCTTTCTCTAGCCAAAGCACAGATCTGCCGGTTATCGAGATGGAAATGTTGTGCAGCGAGGCGGTACTCGTTGGATAGCGGGCTGCCAAAGATGCCCACATCGTCTGTCTATTTTAACACAGTGAGCATATATTCTGCCTTGCCCTCTTTATACCACCACACTTGTGTATAACTTCAAACAAACGGGGTAAAATGAAGAAGAAGAAGAAAACTCACCGCAAGTGACACTTTCACCCCTTCAACACGTCTCCACTCCCCAAAATGGTGGCTCTCGAACCCACCTTCCACCATGCCCGCGTGAACATTACAGCTCAGACACAGCTCCAGACACAGCTCGTCTTTCCGCCTCGCAATCTCCTTCTTCGTCTCTGCGTCTTCCCAGATGACGTGGCCCAGCCGCCGGGGCCCCCACGACAGCAAGGTCTCGAGCTCTGCCTTTGAGGCGCTGGCTTGGATCTCTGCAAAGTGCAGCGTTAAGCCGAGGCCTGCGGCGCGGGCTTTTTGGAAGACGGGCGTGAAGAGGGATATTTCTCCTGCAGGACGGGCGGAGGGGTCGCCGCAGAGGTCCAGACCTACTATCATTGCGTGCTTTCTGGCAGAGATGATGCCTTCTGGTGAGGTGTTGATGGCGAGATCAAGCACAGAAGAGGCCATGTCAAAATCATGACGCCTATCCACCGAGAGGATAAGCCGCGTGTGAAGCTGAGGATGGAGCTCTTCAAATTCGGATATTGTCGAGAGCAGGATGTCGACGTATTGCGCCGCGGAGAGATGCGGTGTTGGACGAGGAGTGGTGCGCAGCTCGAGGTAGACGACGCCGTCTTGGAGAAAGGATTGCAGGACGGCGGTTGTGGCGTGGCGGATGGAGGGTTCGTCGGTGAGGAGGGCGTAGATGTATTTGCTGAAGAGGGGGAAGAAGCTTTATTTTTTTCAAGATGTATTTTGTGAGAGGAGGCTTTATATATATATAGGTATATGGCCAATATGTGTGTAGGAGTGTGTTTGCTTTGGGCATATGTGCGTTCTTTTATCTCACATACGTTATGAGGTTATAGTCGTGTTTGCCTTCTGGTATGACAGCAAGTGGATCTTCCAAATCGGTTTGCCCGGCGGCTTTCTTGGTGAGCCATACTTCGTGAAGGGTCTGGCGGGAAATGCTGCCCGTGAGGTGGGCGTGAAGCTGTGCAGAAGCCTCAGGTTAGATGAGATGCATCAGGGATAGATAATGGGATTGGTGAGAAGAGGGGGCACAGATAAACCTCAATCTTTGGGAGGGCTATAAAGTCCATGTTAAAGTTTTCGGTGAATGACTTTAGCGTCGCTAGAGCTTTTTTGAGAAAACCTTTTGAGAAAGGGGTGGAAGCTGTCAAGAGTCTAAATGTTGACGATGGGCGAGCAGTTGAAGGTTGAAAAGTGCCCCGCAGTTGGAGAGCACATGCAAATACCAGTCTTATACGTTCTGCCACGCCTTTGACAGGTGCACAGCGCAAACTATAATCACGGCTCTATTACAAGCACAGAGTGTGAATCTCTCATCTTCGTTTCTTCTTCATGCAATGTCTTTACACCTTCACATAAACATCTTTCATCAACAGTTCCGGCCAAACGGCTGAATAAAAAATATACACAAGTATGTGTGAATGCTACCACGTTCCAGAGATGAGATGGCCGTCAATCATACAAGCTTCCCTTTGCCCTTCTCTTCCTTCTTGCATCCCAAGCTGTAATAGAAAAAAGGAAGATCCCAGCTAATAGTTAGCCGTCCAAAAAAAAACATCCTTTCCCTTGCTTAAAGGTATTGTACACGAATGGAGGGGAGACTACAATGCTCTTTGTAGGGCCCCCTTAACCACATATATCGTCCCATCTTCCTCCTCCGTCGTTTGTCATTGTAAGCCAGTCATTACATTAGAACCAATCGTTGTTTTCCAGTTCCAAGCGCCTACATTTGCACCATGAGCGCCTCAGGTCTCATTTCCCTTTTTTTGTTACATCTTGAGTTTGAATTTGCCTGTTTAGTCCCTTTGTTATCCTCTTCACAGCGCAGCCTTGGTCTGCTCAGGGCCCAGAGCAGCTCCGACCTGGTCCGCTGTGCTTCCCTCTGTTCCTGCGGTAAGCAGCTCGCTGCCAGTCTGTCGCATGTTGTACTCCTGCTCCATGGCGGTCAGCTGCTGGTCCTCGGCAAAGGACAGCGCAAACGGAACACCGAGGAAGAGCGCAGAGGTGGTGATAACCCAGGCACCCTTGCCGCCAAAGGACAGGACGCTCCAGGCGGCGCTGGTGACGGCGTTGACGCGGCTGGAGACCCAGCCTCGGGTGGTGGGGGGGATTATATCGCGGAGAGCATATAGCCGTTCGGCGAGGGTCTCTTCTGAGGGGTCAAAGTCGGACTCGTTGGAGATTTCGGATTCTGAAAAGAGTGGCCTTGATTAGAACTGGATGCGCCTGGAGGTGGTGGTGGTGATGGATGGAAACAGAAGCATACCGGTATCAGTGAAGTCGTCATCCTCCATCTCGGCCCCGAGGTGGGCGTGCTGGAAGTGCTCATCCTCGACTTCTGTGAGAGTAACCATTTTGACGGATTATTTGTGAATCAAGCGTATGCGATGCTCCGGTGGGCAAAGAATGCAAGTTGCGCAAGCAAATTGGATATGAAAAGCCGATATCAAAAGTGGCGATACAGAAAGCTTTCCGTTTGCGGGGGAGGGACAGAACTCCAAAAATTCGAGTGCCGGTTATTTTAAACTTGCGTTCGGAACACAGGGTCGGAGAAGAGGGACAAGACGTGAAAAGACGAATCCTTGTTTAGAGGATTCTTTGCGAGGACGAGATGCGATTTAGTCGCTCAATTGCTGCAGTCACAAATCTACAGTGGTTCAAATTTTTTGGCCTCTATGCTCGCCGAAGCCGATTTACGGGTCGTCTTTTCTGGCGGTTTAGCCGAAGATATCGCAAGAGTCACGTGCCTTATCTACGACGCTCTGATGCCATGTAGGCTACATAGCGTATACTGTAGTATGAGGTTGCTAATAGAAACTCTGAATGAAAGTTGTACTGGGCAAGGCTGGAGCATTCTCACAATTAGAAAAATTGAAGAGAAAATGCCCAAAAGATGAATCTGCCCCGGAACTGCTGCAGAGACGCCATTGCAAGGAGTGTCACACAATTTCAGCTGCTGACTTACACGGGCTCCAGCAGCGGATGAGCTACTGCGAGAAAAAGGCACCAAAAAAAATTCACTGCAGCAAGTGGCCACAAGCTGCGCCTTAGGCAAGTTTTTTAAGCCATCTAATCACATCATTGCTTCCTCCAATGCCGAAGTGAAGCAATTTCTTCCCATTGATGATGTCATTGCACGCCCTCGTCACCAGACTCAAAAGTCGCAGAGTAGGTACTAATCTATTCAAACAAGTCAAAAAATACGCGCATGTGCCACTGTCATTTTTTTCGGTGCAACAGCGGCAAAAATAAAAGAATTTGTTTTGTCATCCCTTTTCTTGTAGAATTTTATTCAGTAAAAGTAAATCCTTCGCTTTCGCATATTCGCGGCTCTCTCTGGTTTAGGGAAAAAAAAGTTCGTGTTCTAAATTTGATGGACACTAACTTTTTTGGATATTATCAGCCGCAGCACATCATCTGCTAACCTAAAATCGGCCCCCATTGGTGCACCGTATATGTTATAAAAAACGAAACGGAGGATGAATATTTTGATAAATTAATTTAGAGAAAAATTAAGGGAGTTGTTATCAACACCCCGGTTTCGTTATCCAGCATCCCAACTGCGACGTAGCAAAGTAATTATTTAACGCACATGAATATTTTGGAACATATAGCTCTTAAGAAAGTGAAAGTAGTGGCAACAGTTGAGACAGAAGAGACAGCAGAACGAATAAAAAAAAAAAAAAAAAAAAAAAAAGGCAGGTTGTAAATTCATAACTTTTGCTACGGCTGGGCCATTGAATAACAATTCCCCAAATTAACTAATCAAATGCTAGCCGTAAATATTTGCGTATGTTGTCACGCAGATGCCATTCGCAGCTAGTATTTCCTCCCGCCAAATGCCGCCGCCAAAAAAATTCCACCACATGGCGGCCTCCCAGTCCTATCCTGGAATGTAAAAATAGATGAAGACACCTACCCTGCACTTTTGGCAAACATACCTTACTATATAGGCAACACATCCTTTATACATTGCCGTATGCGTAAGAAAATGAGGAGAAAAAAGTATTTTTTCATAACATAATGCGAATTCCATTGCATAATGCATTCTTAACAGGCTGAATTATTTCCCCGTCATTTCTCCTCTCCTGACAGTAGAGGAAGAAGCAGGTTTTTTTTTCTTGTCGCGCTGATCAGCCAGTTGTCCTGAGACTCATGGTCTCTGATTATCACATAATAGTCCCGCACGTGTTGAATTCCATATTACATGTCATCTCGATCTACAATTCGACCTCACCTCCTTCGCTCATCAGTGCAATTAGAGTTCCCTGTCCAAACAAACGGTCAGGCTGAGCAAGGGCAAGGGTCTAAGCAAAAGTCATGGCTGCTTGGCCGTTGACCACCCGTATCATATAATCTTTCTTTCAATAGCTGGTCAACCAATGCGCACGCACACCTGATCATCCCGTAGATTGAATCAAGTCAAAATCCCCCAATGCTACACGGCCTCTTTTTTTTTTTTTTATTTTTTTTTTTATTTTCGTCTCCAGCTTTACATGCATACCCCTTAAAATTCAACGGCCATCACAATGTATTACAGCAAAACATCAAACACACCATGATCCACCAAAACCAATCCACGAGGCCATCCGCACCCCTTTCCTCTTCACCGTAACCCCAAAAGTAAAACACATTTACCTAAAAAGTATTTAGGATTGTCCCGATCCTTTCTTCTCTCAACGAATCCCCAAGATCGAGCATCTGCCCTTACACCGCCCGGTCACTGAAGATTGCCATGAAGCCTTTCCTAATAGAAGTGTCTTGTGATCGACCTGCGCTCACCCTTTTTATTCCCGCCAACAACTCTAAATAAGGGGGTTTGCAAAGGAAGATGGCCGGGGGTGGAAACAGAGGAGGCCATTTACAGCAGGTCTCGGATTCGGAAGTCGGATCCGTAAATAACAACTTCCGGGGAACAAGAAAAAAACGCACTGCAATTGTCAATGTAAGACAAGAAAGTATCCTCTCGTATCTTATTCCCTTGATCTACATCATAACGAGAGAAAAAAAAAGGGTTTTCTCCAGGAAATCGTGACCAAAAAGAGTCATGTCTCAGCGCTAGATGGGCTCCGGAAGCCGGAACTATGAAAGACACTACCGATCCAGTCGAACCCGCAACGTAGCTACATCATGACCGCCAAGATGGAGCAGTACCATTAGCCCGGAGTAATATGGACAAGTCTGCGGCCAAAAACCCGGGGTCGGGCAAAGCCGAGCATGTACCAAGCAGTAGCACAAAAAAAAGCGAGCGAGAAGAGGCCACATGACACAGCGAGAGCCTCTCGGTACGAGCTACCGAGACCGATCCCCAGCTTTTCTTATTCTTTTTTTTTTCTCCTGTTACTCCGTTATAGTGGCGGTGCGAGTGAGTTAAAAAAAGATCAGGGGATCCAGCGCCACAGGAAGACCATATCAATGTGCCAGATGACAGCTTTTTGCTGGTTTGATTGTAATTTTATTTCTTCACAACTCTACTTCTGTTGTGTGTACTCCCAAGAGATCTTCATCCGGACTGTATTCGTACTGTCATTCCTAAAATAGCCATAATCCGGCCAGTGGGAAACAAATGATCTACAGGAACGCCAATTCCTCGGAAGAGAAGGAAGCCAAGCGGGAAGTTGAAAACTAAAAAAAAAAAAAAAATAGAACAAATAAAGAAGGAAACGGAAAAAGAAGAAAACCAACGAGAAATTGCCGGCGGTGGCGTTCAAGCACGCAATTGAGGCCACTGTAGTTTTGTACGTAAGACGGGAGTGAGAAAGGAGAGAATTAACAGCAAACGAAAAACTACCTACGTGTACTCAAGGTACCACCATCGTGACTCGTCAAAATAATAGTAATGGAAATAATGGAAAAAGAAACTAAACAAAAAATTAAAATAAATAGATAAATACATAATTACATTAAATCCCTAGTACGGAGTACGTCGTTCTCATTTTTACGGGGAAACACATCAAAAAGGTACATAGTTACCTCACTCCAATGCAAGATGCTGAAGCAATTTTTTTCGTTTCTAATTTTTGCGGTCCTCGTGATGGTACAGTGCCGACGCCTAGATGGGTCTTTTTGGCCCCCCTGACTAAGGGGTGTCTGTCTGGCAGGGCAACCAAAGAAGAGAAAAAGAAAAAAAAAGAACAAAATAAGCGGGGTGTGGAACAAGAGACGAATTGTTGCCCAGGACCCACGATTTACTAACAGGTGGCCACAGCGTTTTTCTCCGCCGCCAGACCCCAGAGCGAGAAAAAAAAAAAAAAAAAAAAAAAAAAGAGTAGCGGCTCTCGTCCCGGCCACACATACAATAGTCCATACTAGATTGATTTGCGCGGACGGCTTCCCCCAGATTTCTCTAGCCGCGACTATTACTCCAGGTCTTGATGCTACCCTCCTGTTTACCGCCCAAGACTTGCCGCTCCCGCCCATCTAGCTTGTTTTCGCTGTTCTCTATTTCCTGGGGAAAGCCGTGGCAGGGAGATGAGACGAGTGTAGATGAAGTTGTCCCGGAAGACGATGCATGAATCAATGAGCTAATGGATCAATGAAGCTGCCGCATTTCTGCCGCATATTTTTCATCCTGAGACGATCGATCCATCCGCACTGTGCTGGAGAAGTTTTGGTTTCATCACCTGGGCTGGCAATTTAATACTACTACTTAGGTGCTCCATAGAAGTATGTATGTACTCGCAGGTAACTACTTACCTCTACAGGCAATAGCATAGGCACTTGGATTAAATCATAAGGTAGGCATATTCCTGCAAGGCGTCAAAGATCGGCGTCCTGTGAGGTAAATGCGAGGCAGCCACCCCGTCGAGTTCGCTGCGGTTTACGCCATTGCCAGGCCTAAAGACACAAAACGGGCATGTTCCTGCAGCCAAAACACCTCAGTCAGCAAAAGCACAGTTAGCCTGCGCTAGCCCTCGCCCACTGCACGCTCATCAGGTAAACTGGGGGTAATAGAAACCCGCGATGGGAAAACCTGGGGGTAATGGAAATCCTAATGCAGAGACAGTCTTGTGGCGCGGTGGTGCCGGGTCTGGGGCCATCGGCTTGTCTCTTGGCCCTTTGTGGGGTTCAGAGCCCGATGAGGCGGAGACAAAGACCGGGTGTGGGGACGTTTTCTCCAGGCCGTGCCGAATATATTGGGGAGAGGCGTCGTGCTGCCATTGTGTTTGGCTGCTGGCCATGTCCAGGCTCCATCACCCTATTTGCTGCAAGCGGGCAACTGTCGAGTTTCAATTTGGACCAATGCACCCGCAAGGAACACGCATCTATGTACACGGATTGGTACAGGTACCTTCGTTTTGCGTTTTGTCGTTGATGGAATGCATTCAGGGGGCTGAAAATTTTTCTCCCGTAGCAGCACGACCATAGGGGCCGCCACGCAATCTCGTCGCCGTCGCAGATTGGACCATCGTGATGTGCCTCGTGGCCAGCTAGACAGGGCCATTGGCCCGCTACCCGCTTCCGCCAGGCAATAGTATTTGATGGAGAAGACGAAGGACAGCATCCCCGCGGCTGGCCGCTGGGTCTGGCCAGCGGGAAGCTTAGCTGGAATATACCGGGGACGGACCCGTAGCCAGATCGCAACTGTGCATGCAAGGTGTCAGGTATATACGAGCCCCTGCTTGCATAGTGCATTTATGCCCTTTTTGTTGGGAAAAGCCAGACAAACGAGATGCTTATACCCCGGATCTACCTGGTTTAGATATCAGAAAAGCGTGCATTCTGCGAGTGAATTACAAGTAGAAGTGCGGTACAATGTGAAAGAAGCGGTATGCAGAACGGCCACCTGCATCGTGACCATGTAGTCCATGTAGTCCATGTACAGTAGCATTCGGAGAAAAAAAAATAGGGAAGAAAAAGAAGAAATTAGACTAGGCCCTGCGCGTTGTGGAGGCGCTTGTCAGGTGGTCTTTTTCGTTTTTCTTTCCCCTTTGGAGGCGAAATTTGCTGACTACCTATGACAAACAGCTCGTTACGGGCAGGTCTAGATGCTGTCTTAGCCAACCTTGCATTGTCACGATGGCATTTTCGAAACCGACGACGACATTGACAAGCCCAGGATTTGAATTCCTCGGACTGTGAGGCGCTGGGATTTGAGTAACCTTGTACGAGTAGTAATTCTTTTGGAATCTTGATGGAAATTGTGTAATTTGCGAACACTTGTACTTTGTATATAGGCACTTGTAAGTGGATGTCTGTATACTTTGGCTGCTGCATGCAGGTACATACAGCATATAGTAACACGGCGCATTCGAATAACACATCGGGCCTGGTGTTGATATACGCAGAGTGGCCCAAATGGACTTGCGTTGCCTCTCACAAATCGGATAAGCGGCCAAGAATAGACGTTGAGGCAGGCTACAATGTTGCGCAGCGCAGATGCGTCGCACGTCAGCATGGCATCACATTTGCAATTGCTTGAAGGACCCGGGAGGCCGATGATCAATGCAAAGCCGGAGCTGCATCATGCAGCAGACAGAAAACACTGTTCCGAACTCTCTCCCACATCCCTTGTCGCAGGCTGACACGTCTGTCTTGTGGTTATACCTGTAACGTACGCAGAACGAGTATTACTGGCTGGCTGACTGCTGGCCCATGGCCGCGTCTATCCTGCGAGTCATCACCAGACAGCCAGACTCTGCGCTGGCCAAGACGGGGAGCCACCACTTGAGGCTTAGTCCTCGTCTCGATCCCTCGTGTGGAGAGCGCAGCGAGAGGGGAAAGCTCAGGGACGTCTGGAGAAGCTCTGGGACGACGGCGAACGAAGCAAATCCAAAAAACTGGACTGCTTAGCGCAGAGCCTCGAATAGCCGGCTGCCAGAGCAGAGGTACGTACCGATGGTACGCCGTCGTCGCAATTGGGGTACATGCCCGTCCGCGCGTCGACAGAGCCACTGTGCTGGTACCGTCGGCCTTGTGTGGGTGTCACCGGCCCGGAGGATTGGCGGAATTTGTGACCAGGTGCCGCATTGCAGCGCCTGCGCCTGCCCTGCAGCCCCGGTGCTGGTTCCTGATTGCTGAACGGTCAGGTACCGGACGCCCGGACCAGCGATACTGCCCCTTGGGGTCTAGCCGCGAGTTGCTATTTGGTAATACTTACCTACTCGCACCGCCTACAGTGCCTGGAGAGAAGCTGCAGCGTGCCAGGCGCTGGCGTGAGGTCATATCGCCATCAAGCATGTATTGTTCGCAACTTGCGCGCTGTTCCTCTTGGGGTCTTTTGAGCGTTTCTCTGCCCTCATTGGGGGCCGGACATGCTTGCATGTACAAAGCATGTACAAAGTGCAAAGTCGAAGTGCGTGCAGCACAGTGTTGATACGACATATCGCACACCGTGCATGGTTTTCTCATTCTCATTCTCGTTCCCCCTTTCGTCTGGACTCGTACTCGGCCCCCCAGGCAATACTGTACAGCACACGCCCGTTTGTTTGGAATAGGGACTTTGTCGCCCCCCCGGCCGCATTGAGATGAGAGCCAGAGTCATCTGACATCGTGCCAACGGTCTAGCCGGAGGCAAAGCGAGAAGCCCAGCAACAGCCAACGTGATGCTGCTAGCGGCCAGGCCCCCTAAAACACAGGCGCTGGGGGAAGCGGCAAGGCCCTGAAGCAGGTCATAGGGCGACGCAAAAAGCGAGCTCGACCGGCCCGGATCACCGGCTGGCACTGTGCCGGGCTAACGAGACGAAAAAAAAGATTCGAGAAGCAGCTTAAGCGGGCCAGGCGTGCCGGAGGGACACAATGTACTCGCTGTACCGGACGTACATGTACAGTGCTACAGCGCTCTAGCGGCACTCGGCCAGCGCAGGGGGGGCTCCAGTTCTGGGCCTGGCTGGCCCACCCGGGGAGGGGCAACGAGGTCACCAGCGCCAAGTACCGTGGCGTACCGTGACGATGGCAAGAGTCACGAAGCGTCGACGAGCTCACCAGAGCCAGAATCGCCAGAGTACTTAAGAGCCAGCGCCGCCGGGTGCGTTTGGTGCAGATGAGTAGCTTCAGCTTCACTTGTTGTCCTTGAATCATCCCGTCAGGCCTGTCACCAGCGCCAATTGGCTCCTCAATCCCTCTGAGCCGTCAACTATACGCCACTACCTATACTCTTTCTCTGCCATCTGCATCTTTTCTACCAGCATCCCCCTCGCCCAACACCATCCTCAGGGGATAAACAAAAGAACCAAACAAAAAAAAAGAGAAAACATTATTAGACAAAAGTCCCAAAACGGTGAGTCCAGCTCCAACACAGCCCAACAAAAGGGTCCCAGGCGATCCAATGATCACCAGCAGCGGCACCTCGGCACTGCCGAAGCTGTCAGCTCCTTCTGATCCGCTTTGGAAAAAAAGAGGAATCTGGCTGCAAACAGCAACGGAGTTGCTAACAGATGGCCGTTCTGTGGCTTCTAGACGCAGCGCTTAAAATAGAAACTCTCTCGCAGAATTTCTTCTCTTATCTCTCGTCCACGCACCGACCTCATAAATACGAAGCCCGTCTCACCGATCTTGGGTCTTCTTATCTTCCTCCTGTCGCCATCCAGACCGCAGGAGCACCACTATCAGCTGAAGCCCCCTGCCCCGCCACAGCCTCAGCCTTTAGCTTTTTTAACTGCTGTTTGAATAGCGTTATCTGGTACGTCTGATTGATGGATCTGACAAACAATCTCTCCTTTTTTTCCGAAAGCAGCTGTTGGCTGACTGCTTTTTTCAATTGCTCTAGGATTGACACGAGATCCGCTGCTATTCTTACCATTTCGCCCTTCCCTGTCTTGATATTAGGTACGTGGTGATAGCTAGCCTTGCGATTGGGCTGTTAGTGGCTGTTTTTCTTTTTCTGTGCCCCTCGTCGCCCTCCGCCGCTCCCGTCGAATCAATACGGCAGACTAGTTTGCAGAAAACCGCCCAAGGGGCTGTGGCATCATGACGTGCCTGAGCTTTGGCCTGCGGCGGTGAGCACGAATCGTGTTTTACATTCAACCGTGGCCTTTGCCCAGCCAAGCTTGGGCGAGCACTCGCATTCCTTGCCCCTGGCAACTGCGATATCTCGCGGTATCAACACCACGAGTGTGGCGCTGCCATCTGATCTCTCCTTGCGTCTCTGGCGTGTCTTACCTGGGGCTTGATAGCTACCCTTGCCTGGATCGCCTATGTCATTTGATTCATGCGCCGGGTTGCCTGTCATTGGCAAACCAATGCAAAAGAAATCCTTATCTTTTCACGCTACAGCTTGGGAGCATCGTGGCTTGAAAGTATATATAAGATATACGTCTTAGCAACGGCTTTCCTTGCACGCCAGCGTTCTCTCCTTCCCGTTTTCATACCAACTTTTAATTTCTTCCAAATTTCGTGTATTCATTGTTTCTTGTTTAATACTTTTTTTCTCTGCTGCTTGATACCTTCACCATGGCTTTGGCACTCCAAACTAACTTTTCCCACTTGGACAGCTTCCCTGAATACAAGGACCCTTTAGACCTATCCTCCACAATGTCTTCCGCAGCTCCCCCCAGGCCCAAGGCTTTGGCTCAGATTCAGACTTCTGAATCAGAATCAAGTCGTGGTCCCTCACCTCAGCCCACTCACGTCAGCGTCCCCCAGGTTCCTCTTAGCGTGAGGAATGGACACCGAGTTCTGCGCTCTGCCACAGTCGGCTACGTCGCCCCCCAGTTTGAGGGCAAGACGGAGCAGATCAAGTCTGTCAAGGCCATCATCCAGCAGGGTGGCTGGCTCCCTGATGCCTTGATTGACGAGCAGATTGAGTGGTTCTACGAGAAGCTGGGCATCGACGATGTCTACTTCCACATCGAGACCCCCGATGTCATTGCCAACCAGATCACCTCTCTCTACGCCGCCAAGGTTGCTGCCCACTCAAGAGAGGACAAGCAGGAGGAGATCCGCCTGGACATGGAGGCCCATGACCACGCCATCTACATCGACACGAGCGAGCCTGGCAAGGCCCACGTTGCCGGCCCTAGGTACGAGTCTCGTCTCGAGTCCAAGTATTTGGATCACCAGGGCAAGAGCAAGTACCGTGTCGAGACCTTCCGATCGCCTGCCGCTATTGGCGCCAGCCCGAGCTCAAAGGCCACTCTCCGCTGCTACTTTGTGTACCAGTGCCACTTCAAGCAGAGCCCCGAGTCTACCGACCCCAAGGAGACCAGAATCGAGGTCATCTCCGACGTTGGTTTCTGGCAAAAGGCCACCGCCAACACCAAGCAGATCTACCAGGAGATCATCGAGCTTGCCGTCAACCGAGCTGGCCCCGTCATTGAGGTCTTCGACATTGAGGGCTCGGCCGAGAGACGTCTGGTTGTTGCTTTCCGCAGCCGCACTGCCCGCGGCATCTTCTCGACCCTCAGTGACCTGTACCACTACTATGGAGTCACCTCCTCGCGAAAGTATGTGGAGCAGTTCTCCAACGGCATCACCGTCATGTCTGTCTACCTCCGCCCCGCCGCCAACCTGGAGGGCTACTTCCCCTCGATCGATGCCTCAATCCACCAGATCACCAAGGAAATCTCCCTGCTCTACTGCCTGCCCCAGAACAAGTTCCACCACCTATTTGCCACTGGTGAGCTGAGCCTGCAGGAGTCCGTCTACGCCCACAGCGCCTGGGTGTTTGTCCAGCACTTCCTGAACCGTCTCGGCCCCGAGTACGCCTCTCTCTCCGAGATCCTGGACCCCAAGCAGAACGCTCATGCGGCTCTGCTGTCCAAGCTCAAGCGACGTCTCCGTACCGAGACCTTTACCCCCGACTACATTGTCGAGATTATCCAGACATACCCCGAGCTGGTCCGCCTGCTCTATGCTGCCTTTGCCAACGTGCACTTCCCCGCGCCTCTGCAGCAGGAGAACGGCGCAGTCCTGGCCACCCCTGCCGTCGAGGTCATGTCTGATGACAAGCTCCGAGACAGGATCTCCAAGACGGTCGCCAACGAGCACGACGAGATGGTCATGACTGCCTTCCGCGTGTTCAACAACGCCATCCTCAAGACCAACTACTTCACCCCCACCAAGGTCGCTCTGAGCTTCCGCTTGGATCCCTCTTTCCTGCCAGAGGCTGAGTACCCCAAGCCCCTGTATGGTATGTTCTTGGTCATTGGCGCTGAGTCTCGTGGCTTCCACCTCCGTTTCCGAGACATTTCTCGAGGTGGTATCCGTATCGTCAAGTCCCGCAGCAAGGAGGCCTATGGCATCAACGCGCGTAACCTCTTTGACGAGAACTACGGCCTTGCCAGCACCCAGCAGCGCAAGAACAAGGACATTCCCGAGGGTGGATCCAAGGGTGTCATTCTCCTGGACCCCAAGCAGCAGGACAAGGCCACCGAGGCGTTTGAGAAGTACATTGATAGTATCCTCGATCTTCTCCTCCCCGCAGAGACCCCTGGAATCAAGAACCCCATTGTTGATCTATATGGAAAGGAGGAGATCCTGTTCATGGGTCCCGATGAGAACACCGCTGACCTGGTCAACTGGGCCACCGAGCACGCCAAGGCTCGTGGAGCTCCCTGGTGGAAGTCTTTCTTCACCGGCAAGTCCCCCAAGCTGGGTGGTATCCCCCACGACAAGTACGGAATGACTACCCTGTCTGTGCGCGAGTATGTCAAGGGCATCTACCGCAAGCTCGACCTCGACCCCTCTCAGGTCCGAAAGATGCAGACCGGTGGTCCCGACGGCGACTTGGGCAGCAACGAAATCCTTCTCAGCAACGAAAAGTACACTGCTGTCGTCGACGGCTCTGGTGTGCTGGCGGACCCCAACGGCCTGGACAAGGACGAGCTGATTCGCCTGGCCAAGAAGCGTGCCATGATTATCGAGTACGACATGTCCAAGCTGTCCAAGGACGGATACCGCGTTCTCTGCGACGAGAACAACGTCACTCTGCCTAGCGGAGAGGTCGTCAACAACGGCACATCTTTCCGCAACACTTACCACCTGCGCGAGACCGATATGACGGACAGCTTTGTTCCCTGCGGTGGCCGACCCGAATCCATTGACCTCATCTCGGTCAACCGCCTCATCAAGGACGGCAAGAGCATCATCCCCTACATTGTTGAGGGTGCCAACCTGTTCATCACCCAGGACGCTAAGCTGCGCCTGGAGGCTGCCGGCTGCATTCTCTACAAGGATGCTTCTGCCAACAAGGGAGGTGTCACCTCATCATCTCTGGAAGTCCTGGCCTCTCTGTCCTTTGACACTGACGGCTTCATCGAGCACATGTGCGTCGATGCCAAGACCGGAAAGGCACCCCAGTTCTACAACGACTACGTACGAGAGGTTCAGACCAAGATCCAGGAGAATGCCCGACTTGAGTTCGAGGCCATCTGGCGTGAGCACGAGCAGACTGGCATTCCCCGATCTGTTCTGTCCGACAAGCTGTCGGTGGCCATTACCGACCTCGACGAGAAGCTGCAGCACTCTGACCTGTGGGAGAACGAGAACATCCGCAAGGGTGTTTTGAAGAACGCTCTCCCCAAGCTGCTGCTGGAGAAGATTGGCCTCGACACCATCATCTCCCGCGTGCCGGAGAATTACCTGCGCGCCATCTTTGGCAGCTACCTGGCCAGCCGATTCGTTTACGAGTTTGGTAGCCAGCCCAGCCAGTTTGCCTTCTTTGATTTGTAAGTTTTATTTACCCCAACTTAATATATTTGACGAATAGCTGCTAACATTTACTTTAATAGCATGACAAAGAAGTTGGCCGAGATGGCTGCTCAGGGCAACCCTACTGAGCAGGTTCGACGCATGTCTATCCACCAGTAGAGGGAGAATGGAGGAGATTTTGCATTAATTAATACCTTGCTTTTTTTTGCTTTTGCCTTTGGAGCGTGTTTTACTTGCAATATTTTATATGATGCATTGAATAGAGGACAACCAAAAAAAAGTGTCTCTCAGTTTGGGTCAAACGAAGAATGGAGGAAAATGAAAAAACAGGTTAAATGGCCCTCAAGTGCTGCCTTATCAACAAGGGAGTAACTTTATAAGAAATAGATTTATAGGATTATTGATAGGGTTCTTATGGGATTAAAGGACTGAATAAAAAAAGGATGATTTTGATGAATTACATGATTTATCTTGTGAACTATGATGATGTCTTTACACTAATGACGCTGATGGACTTATGAATGCTACCATGTCTTTGTTTCTGAAAATAGAATGATGCTAATTAGATGCTAGGGTGTGTTACTGTATTATCTAATACGAGCGAGTCCAAAAAAAAAAAAAAAAAAAAAAAAAAAAGAAAGCTACGAATAGAGAGATTGTGTAAGGGAAGCGCGATTGCCCACACACACTTTGATAAAAAAAATGCAAGCCGGGAATGATCATGTTTCGGATCCAGGGGTAGAAGCACCAGAGAGAGCCAGTGAGATTGCGTGAAGGGTGCGTGGGGTTGTTTCAGCTTTGGGTACCTTGGCCTGTACTTGTAGTATGTAGTATTTTCTTTCCTTTCTTTTTAAAACCTGGGTTGAAGCGGGATTCGCTAGGAGAGTCCGTTTGGTTATGCGGGTATGGGATTGGGATGGGGATGTTTATGCGGCGTCATGCTGTGTTTATGCGGCGGTGTTTTGGAGGATGGTGGTGTGTTATGCGTGTGGTGATGTTTTTGAAGATGGGGATGGAAGTACAGCGGATGAGGTATAGAGAGCGAGGGATACATGGGAGCTGCAGCGGGTGGATATTGGAGGTGGAAAGATATGTGGGTACCGTTAGCTGGACTGGACCTACGAGCATGTAGGAACCCGGCGGGTGCATCTCAGCTGCATCTGCACCTGCATGGAGTGGACACGGTGCATGAGATCAAAATTGAAGATGCTGGACAAGGTCTGCTGCGTGTGTTGATTTTGACTTGAAGAAATTCAATGCTGCTTTATTGCATGCTTGTGCGAGAGTGGGTGAGATTTTTGTTTGTTTGGTAGAAAAAGAGGGGTAGCAGTAGGCAGTGTTGGAGAAGCGGGTATATTGGAGGAATGTTTTGGTGTTGACATGTTATTAGCATGTGTGCGTGTGTGCGTGTGTTTGTGTGTGTGGGCTGGAGGACGTGCGTCGGGAGAAACATTTTGGCGCGCGTGCTGGGCAAGTAAATGTAGGTACCTGCGATGGCACCGTGGACGGGCTGCATCTGCTGATTCTCGTGCACGCTGCGTTTTACAGTTGGACGATGAGAGGAAACATGGCTCGCTGGCCCTTTTTATAAACATGCGCAGAGCAGAGTCCTTGACATGTGCTAGAAATAGAAAGGCAATGGGAGGACAAGACAAGAGCAGCCGTGTCCGCGTCTTCTTGTCTGGCGCATGTTTCACTCGTTCATCTCTTGTCGTCACCTGTTTCTCGACCCCGTCGCCTACCGACGCTCCGTCAAACCTTTTTACTTCCATCTCCCCTCACCTTAGTTTTGTCTTTTTTCTCTCTCTTTATTTTTGCAGTGTCAAGTGTCATCAGCTTTTTTGCTTTGCTGCAATTCTTATCTTACTGCATCCAGCTGCACGCGCCACAATACAGCAGCACAGCACAGTCAGCCAACAACAACAACAACAACAACAACAGACCACGCGATCCTATTCTTGCTGCAATTCATAGAAACAAGCACGGCCGCCAACACGCAGCAGATAAGAAAGATAGGCTTGGAGTGACGAGCGTGTTCCCACAGAGTTAGCGAAGCAAGCAAAAGCCAATTGCTTAGTGACGTGGAGATCGCCAGCTAGCCGGAAAACCCGCTCAAAGCCAGCGAGAGGGATTTTTTTTTAAAAACACATTTCACAAAAATTGAGAAGGAGGAGGAAAAACCTCTGTGGTTCCTCTGTTCCTGGATCGATCGATCTCGCTCGACGCTGGGCGGAAACATACAGTACGTGAGAATAAAGAGACCAAGAGCCAGGTCCAGCTGACGGGCTGCGATCCATTCGCCATGACGAGGCCGTCCATCATCAGAGCGGGTGCGTATTCCAGTTACAGCGTGCTGTTATCCTGATTCATGTATTCGAGGCTCCATCTTTTATCCTTTGCCTCTTCCCGCGTGTCCTGCAAACAAGCGATCGTCCCAGCCCGGCCCCTGTATTTCTCATGCCTTTATGCTGTCCCTCCATATCGAATCACCACCACTGCTGCGTCGACTTTTCTGGTTGGTGCCCTCCCGCCTCTGACCTCCCACCTCTACCCTCCCACCTCCTCCACCTTATATTCCCCTCCCCCCTGCTAGACTTTGGGCCCTGGCCCGGGACTTGGTGCCTGTCACTGGCTCCAGAAAAAAAAAGGGACGGGAATAGCACCAGAGCGCGCCACCCCCGTTTTGCTGTGATTAGCCTTGCATTGCATTTGCACGTTGCGACAGCGAGAGACGAGCGACGAGAGCGAGACGACCACAAGAGCGTGCCTAAAGCTCGACCAGGGGTGTCTTTTTTGCCAGACCTCTTCTTCGCCAATCCGGCATCGTTCTGATCTTGCATCTGCCAGAGCTCGCTGCTGCTGCATTTCCGTGTGCACATCCAGCTGTCTCCATCTTCTCTTCTCCCTTGCATTCTCCTTCTCTTCTCTCGCTCGTTCGACCGCGCTCCCTGCGCTCTTTCTTTTCTGCCTTTTTGCAACTTGCCGGCCCTCACTCGCTCTCTTTGACGCTCCTTCTGCTTCTGCTTCTGCTTCTGCTTCTTCTTCTTCTTCTCAATTTCCATCGCCATTTCCTCTTCTATTTCCGAGTCCGCGCCGCGAGACACGTGAGCATTGACTGCTCGAGGCTGACGAGCATTTACTCCCTTTTCCTTTGCTTCGACATACAGACACCATCGATCTTCAGGACCATCACGCTCCCTCGGCTCAGGATCAATCCGCCCACCGAGATCGACGCCCAGCCGCCCGCGCTCCGCATCAGGCCGAGACCCTTCGCGACGTCGCCCACAAGACCGCCCAGGAGCAATCGCGCAGTCCCCGGGCTGCCCTTTCCGCCAGATACAACGGCCCGCCATACACCGATACCGACACCGATACAGACTCAGACTCGGACACAGACACCGCCAACATGGACGTCTACCAGCAGCATCAGCACCAGCAGGACCCGCTGGCCGTGGCCCAGAATGGCGGCATGGCCGATGACGACGACATCGAGGACGACGGCGACTTGGATGACGACATGATGGATCGCATCTCGAGCTCGCCCTCAATCGAAGATGGTGCGTGCAGCAACTCTGTTACCGTCACTCCCGTGGCCTGGCCGCGGCGAGTGTCTTCCCTGACCTCCATCCCTCGGACCCCCTGGGCATCACTGCACCTGCACCCAAACACTCCATCTCCTCCAATCCCTAGCACTAGAGACACAGATTTCCTGCAGCAGATTCGAATTGGGCATCATCATCTTCTTTCGGGTGAGTATGCCGAATGTAGCGACCAATACGAAAACGAAGATGACGGCGACGATGACGATTTTGATAATGACGGCGGCTGTGATGTTGAAGAGGCAGTGGAACACGTCTTGAAAACCGAGGGATAGGATCCCGTGGTGGACGAGAATGGAGACTGGGCAATATCACAAGATCTAGCTCATCGGACATTCGGCGCTATCGAAGATGGGAAGACGTATGATTATGCTATAAGACATGATTGTGGCTGTGGCTGTGGCTGTATCCATCAAGACGCCTTCATATACGAGACCCAAGCCGACATCGAAGAGGCCGATACATCGCTCACGATACCATACAACCAATCCTTTGAAGAAGATGATGATTCTGATTTCTCCCTCCCCAACGACCCCCGCTTCATTGACTATGGTTGGGCAGCAGAGTGCTTACATGAACCAGAGGATATCGATTTCGATTTCGTCTATGCCCTTCACACCTTTGTGGCCACCGTCGAGGGCCAGGCCAACGCGACCAAGGGTGACACCATGGTTCTGCTCGACGATAGCAACAGCTACTGGTGGCTGGTAAGAGTAGTCAAGGATAGTAGCATTGGTATGTGAACTTGTTTTGCCTTGCTTTCTCAGCTTCTATCAGCAGTTGGCTAATATATCAGTATGTAGGCTACTTGCCAGCCGAGCACATCGAGACGCCCACCGAAAGATTAGCGCGACTGAACAAACACAGGAATATTGATGTGTGTATAAGTCTCACAAATTGAAGGCATCTTTTTGTTACTAATGCTCAATAGCTTTCCTCAACCATGTTGACCGATACACAAGCCGATGGAAAACCAAAGACTGGCTTCTCCATCGGCATCAAAAAGAAAGCCACTGTCGCTTTTGCAGAGCCCACCTACCACAACTACAACCCTGATTATTCTTCGGATGAGGAAGATCTCGATGAGTTGCTAGAGGGAACTCAAGAGAAAAAGGCGGCGCTGTCAGAAGACGACGACGCTGCAGACGATACTGCCAAGGTGGAACCACTCAAAACCAAATCTTCCAAGGCCGCCAAGCAACCTGAGCCAACCAAGGATGATTCATCAGACGATGAAGATCGGGGCAGCCTCGATATTGTGGAGAAGAACGGCCCCAGCATATCTCGTAACGGTAATATCAGGAACACCGACTCTTTCTTTAAGGACGATACAGCCGAGACCAAAAAGATTACCCTTACGCCCAATCTGTTGCGGGATGATGCTCCTCCTCGAGAGTCATCTGATTCCATCGGATCCAAGTCTCGCACAAGCTTAGACAAGCTCGAAAAGGAGCTCATGTCGGACAAGGACAGGAAAAAGAACAAGGATAAGGATAAGGACAAGAAATCCGGTGGTCTCCGAGGATTCTTCTCAAGGAAAGACAAGAAAAGGTCGCCTAATGACGATGGGCCGGACGGCGAGCCCCGCGAGAGCGAGGAGCGCCAGTCTGAGGAGCATTCGTCTCCGGAGAAGGCCAGGCAGCCAGCCAAGCTACAGAAGCCCCAAGCCCGGGTCGAACCATCCATCAACGACAAGACTGCCAATTCCACCGTGGAGCTTGCCTCTTATCTGGCCGAAAGCCGCATCAACGATGTTTCCAATGTTCCTCCACCTTCGATGCGCATCGTCAACCCCGAGACAAACGAGACACACGAGGTTCCATCGCACCAGCCCCCTCGTGGCCGCCCATCTTTGGAACAGCCAATGTCTCCTACTGCACGTCGTGGCGAGGTAGTTCCCAGCCCGAGAGCCGCTGCTGCACCGCGGTCCCCATACGCCCATTTGGATCTATCCGATTCGGACGATTCGGACGACGGCGAAGCCATCTTGGATCAGATGCCCAAGCCAAAGTCATCATCCACACTTGCGGCTACCAATGCTGTCCAAGAGGAAGAACAAGAAGAGCCTATTATTCCTCGCTCCTTCCCGGAGAGCCACACTCCGTCTACTGGTGACAAAACTCCCGCTTCCCAGCAACAGACCTCAGCCGGGTCTAGACCCCGCTCGCCTTCAGAGGCATCTCCCGAGTCACCGATTGCTCCATCGGATCCTCCTGCTCTTATGGTTGATACTTCGTCGCCAGAGGATCGATCGCCCACTGTTTCGCCCTCTCCTGAGCTAACGCAGCCCGCTGAGGGTAGATCCAAGAGCAGCTCCTCTTCTACTGGCAGCAAAGAGCAGACTTGGGACGACATGAAGCTGCGTGCGTTTTTCGACGAGCCCGAGCATATTCGTGACCTCTTGGTAGTGGTATACGACAAGACCGATGTGGTGCCCGCAAGTAGCGATCACCCCGTAGTAGGTGGTCTCTTCCGAGAGCAGAATGCCAAGCTGGCTGAAATAACAACTGTAAGTGTTGATATATTTACTCTTGTATCACAATTACGACAGATTACTAACAATCGTTACAGCAACTTGATAACATGCTTGGGGACTGGCTGGCAAGAAAACAGCGAACTCGTGGATCCCTCTGAGCCAACGTAGTTTGTTCGAAACCGGCTTTTCCTACGATTTTTTACATAATGTTTGTTAAGAGAGCCTCTTGGGGTTCCAATTTTTCTTCTTCTCTATATCCGCACGTTGATCGCCGTTTTTGAAAGAAAATTTCAGCTGCTGGATTCACGCTCATCCCATCACGCAGCGCATGGCTTGTCGTTTTCCATTTACATGAAACTTTTGTCGTCTTTTATTGCCGGAACAAGCCAACCATTAAGGGCGTTGCGGAAATCCAGTGGGGAGAACAAAAAAAAAGGTTTTCTTTTTCGGGCATGACGAACGAGTTGAATGCGATGACGCATATCATATGCTTCTTGTTCTTGTAACCCAACTCTTGTTCTCTTATCTTCGTTTAAGCTCGAAGCTGAGGCCTCCTCTTTCATTTGTCATGTCACGTTCATGATGAGATATATACATCATTCTTGCCGTACAGTTATTGGCTGGCAAAGGCACTGCAGAGGCGTGGTTGCTTTTTTTTTCGGGAGATTTGGAAGGGATGGAATGGGTTTTATTCTCCTTTACTTTTTTTTTCTCTTTTGCTTTGCCTGGTCAGGTATTCCACTTTTATTTATGTCTTCTCTTTTATCTCCCCCGATTTCTATTCCCCCTTTTTTCAGCCGTATGGATTGGCTGCTGAAGTCGTTGACAATTTTTGTCTGCTCACTTTGTTATTTCCTTTTCTTCTCTTTCACTTTTTTTTTTTTTTTTTTTTTTTGGTTTGGCTGAGTGAGATGGAGAGGAAATGGAGTATAAACCGACATATTTGATGTACTAGACCCTGGTGGTTTACTTTTTCTTTTCAATTGTTCGGTGTCCTTTTTATGGAGATATATTCCACAAAGGAAGATTTTCTATTTTCACCCTCCCTCTTTCATTTTTAACCTCATTCGTCTGTATGTTCTTGGTGCTGTGTGGTTTAGTGAAGTTGAAAGGATAAAGGATAAAGAGAGGATAGATAGAGGAGGAGAGGAGGAAGATGTGTGTGTGTGTGTGTGTGAAGGGTCGGTGAGATACCCATTTTAGCCTTTTATTATTTAAAGAGATGATGTTGCGATTTATGTTTTGTATATTTCCTTTGCCTTTGGCCCCTGCTTTTATTTGTGGGGGAGTGGTGAATGATGAGAGGATTTTGAGAGGTGATGTCTTGGTTTTTGAGAAAGTGAGTGAAGTGAAATGAAGTGAGTCGCTGTGTGCTAAAGTGGTAAGTAAGGGTGGCTGAAATGGGCATTTTAAATGCTGCCCAAGTCAATACATAGTTGCAAGAGGTCATTATCCAGATGTAGCAGGGTAACATTGGATGTCATTCAATGAAGTTTGCTTTTGAACTTTAGGACTCAGGTGAGATGTTTGGTCCTCGAAATTAAAGGAACCAACACTCTCTGCTGAGCTTTTCAGGACCTGCGTATGACAGAGAGTTTACCAATAAGATATAGGTGTGTTCTCAAATACACAGAGAGCGACTCGACCCGTGGTGTTGTAGAAGACTTACAATCCGATAGGTGTAGGCTAAGAAACTGACAAATATATCTACTTTTCTTTATGTGGAAGACATCTTCCCGATTGCTAATTAGCCTATAAATATTGACCATACTATAAGATTACTCCATTGTCAGATAGGTTCCACGGCGCCGTTATAAAAAAGTAAGTGAGCCATCATAGAATATATTTTTATACCTTTGTCCATTCTAATAAAGCATTGCAGCCCTGTCTAACAGTCATCTCGTTTTCTCTGATTTTTCTGAAATATATGTCTATTCATTTCTTAAGCAAAGATATTCGTCCAACCTTTTGAGCTTTTTTGTCAACGCCAGCAAAATTTTCTCTAGCAAGATGGATGGATTTGTCGCTGTTCTTCTGCCAATATGTCCTTAAAAAATGCGCTTTTATAATCTTTGGACCTTGAGTTTGGTAGTCTGGTTTCTACCAGTTTTCCCAGGTTGTTGACGTCAATGCATGCATTTCTTGATATCCTTGCCCCTCGTAGTTGCAAACCACATTTTGTTTTTTCCATGGGGTTTCATTGTTTTGTTTTGTTTGCAAAGTCCTCCATGGTGCCCACGCAATGCGTCAATGCGGAAATTAACCAGATACGGCTCTGCAGTTGGTCGCGACAAGAGGACCGTGACCTAGAATTCTTGAGTGACGCCTGCATTCATTCTCGATCTTATTCTGCTCAAGAGACCATGTGACGCCGTTACGATTTTGAGAACCACTAGCGTCACCTCTTGCCCATGCACAGACTTCCCATTATCAATAGTTGTCTCTTCCCATCCGTCCACCCAAAGCAGCCTTTCTACTGTTATGGCATATCCCAATTTTTGGTGTCATACGACTTGAGAGAGCCTTATTTAACGGTGTCTGGATGATTCTCTATGTAGCAGAGATCCAAAGTAAGAGTCGTCCAAGCTCGTATAGTCTTCCGGATCCATGTTGTATGGGAATGTGTGTTGGCTTCGGATGATGACAGTTTGCTTTTTAGGAGGAACGGACGTTTGCTACTTCGCTTAGGAACAGGGCCACGTATTTATCCTGCCTAGGCATACACGAGCTCACCTTGGTGCAACAAGCGTAACCTTGCGCAGAGAGGACACCAGTTAGAACCTACCACGCCGAGCTCGTGTAACAATCCCCGTCAATACAACATACTGCACTGCTTCTGAGTGCTACCATGTCTGGATGGTTCTAGTTGCCCACATGTGGGGGCTCTGGCCACATGTTCTGGTTATTCTATCGTAAATTGCATGTGCAATGGCAGAGCTGATGTAATATTCTGTACAGGATACTTCGTCTTCATTCTATTGACCGTCAACTACACTTTTGGCCATCAAGTTCTTCTCCAGCTATTCAATTTACCCATCTTGTTCGGATATCGAATCATAGCCTTCTTCTACGGCATTAGTCATGTCTCATTGGTACTGTCACTATTGGATTTTGAGAGTCCAATATTGATATGTATCATTACACACGGTAACTTGCAATGGAGCATGGGCACCCTACGGCCCCTACGGCCTCTTCGCTCGAGAGCCGAGGCGGAGCCATGATATTCTGGAAAGCCAAAGCAAGAGCGCTACATGACGTCTCAGTTATGCCTACGGAGTACAAATCTCAATAATAAACGCCGGAGACAACCTCCAAACCCCACCTGGAGCAGCCAATACAATAAAACCAGTGGTGATCAGACCGCATGCGGCGTTGGGCAATCGCAAATAGTACTTGCTGCTTGTCGTGCCCAAGGCATTCATTCTATAAAACCGTCAATCACTACCAAAAAAAGAATCGGGTAGGCTCAGAAACGAACCAAAAGCAGTTCAAAAAGGGGCCTGGATCCGAAATGACGACGCTGAGAATTTTGGCGAAATCTTCCGAATCACCAGCATCCAATCTCCGGAACAAGGCATGGGATGAGATTGCACACCAAGATGGTGTGGAAACACTGCTGAATAACCTTTCCGCAGTAGATCGACAACAGCATCATCGAGGTCTACATAGTGAGAAGGGAAAGATCCTAATACCGGTATACGAACAGCTCTACCAATGGATATCCTCATTATCCGAGTACAAGGCATTCGATGGGGATTTGATCCGCATACTATGGATTATTGGTACTCTAGGAACTGGCAAATCGATCTATATGTCAGCTATCATGTGGGCACACTCTCGACAAAACAATAAGCGCTTTCTTCCATTACACTTATCGCTTTCGCGGGATGGCAACGGACAACAGAAGCCAGAAAATGCTGCATCCGCGATTAAGAGTCTCATTCACGCAATATTGATGAAACAAAGCTGTTTGGTCGATATTATAGCGGATGAGCTCAAGTCCATAGGCAGAAAGCATCTCTCTTATGCGAGCGACTTTTATGCTCTGTCTCTGATTCTCAATAGAATGGTGCAGGACGAAAGATTCCAGCCTACTTTGGTTCTAATCGATGGCGTGGATGAAATCAGAGGAGGGGGCAATGATTTCAATCGCTTCTTGAAGCTGATAAGGACTACTATTAGTATTTCATCTAGGATCAAATGGTTACTATCAGCTGATAGCTTGCCATCGCTAAACGAAATAAATATGGCTGAACAAATAAGCCTCAATGAAGATTACACAAACAATTTGGCAATCTTCAACGATTATTATATTCCTTCTAAGATCGAAGAGCTCACACTCTATGGAAATTATTACGACGGAGAGTTGCGACATCAAATAACGGAATTGCTACAAAATGTATCATCCGGGGACTTCTTCTGGGCGGATATGGCATGCGAAGTTATTAAGCGGGCGGATTCATGGCATGTTCAGTATATTCTAAAACAATTACTGGATTACCGAAATTCCTCTGACCCAAAGTCTAACCCATATTCTCTTATGATGGACAACATCAATCAGCTACCCTTTGGAGACAACGACTATTGCTTGAAAATACTTGGAGCAATAGCTGAGGCCTATCAGCCTATCAATCTCGCAGAGCTTAGGGTGCTCGTGAATCTATCACCAGTGGTTGACATTGAAACTCTGATTATAAAGCACTGCTTTACCTTTCTGGACCTTTGTTGTGACTCAGTATGCTTCACACATCACTCAGCCAGAGAATTTTACATTGATCATATGACTGAGTTGTCGACGCAACGTCATCGATGGATAGCCCAGAACTGTTTGACTTTTCTTACGAAATTCTTTAAATCGCCTGCAGATGATTATTCGAATGAAGAGCGAGGCAGACATTTGACGACGTCCACCTATTATCCTACAGTATATTGGATCCAACATCTCTATCATGTGATTGATGATAAAGAAGTAACTGGGCAGGCGGTCGATTTTATGACTAAATATTTGTTGAAATGGTCAGATCTGCTCGTCTCGTTAGGCGGACTATCTCAAGCTTGCTACCTGATGCTAGACTTGGAGACGCTCCTCAAGGTATGCTTCTCTCATTAGTTTCCAGCGTCTTGCTGCTAATTTTCCCAAAGAAAGATTTAGAAGCTAAGATTAAGTCTGACAAATATTGCATCAATGCCACCTACCTCCGGACCTTTATTAGCCATGTTCACGAAGCGCAGAAGTTTCTTGATTTCCACAAGTCCATGGAAAATCCAGCCAAACTCGGAGCCAGAAACACTCTTCTTTTCGGTCCTCTCAATAGCAGAATACGACAAGAATTGTTACATAAAGAGATGCCACAATTGGAAGTCTCGCCGATTCTAGATCACGATTGGAATCCCGCCGTCCGTGTTCTCCAAGGGCATACCGACCATGTTCGCTGCTGTGCCTATTCCAGCGATGGACAATATGTAGCTTCTGGGTCTGATGGCGGTTCCGTGAGTATTTGGGATGCAAAAATGTGCAAAATCCAACACACGCTCCGAGGGCTTTCCCGCCGTGTATACCATTTGGCCTTCTCTTCTCTAGGAGTTATCGCCGCCTCCGATCAACATCGCATTGCGATCTGGAATGTTAGCGACGGAAAACGTCATAAATCAACAACCAACCAGTATTTTGATCCCGGTCATACGGGGGTTGTGAGCTGTTTCACCTTTTCGAATGACGGACGCAAGTTAGCTGCGGCGGTAGGTAAAGACATCAAGATCTGGGACATGTCAACCTACTCTCTTCTTGCACTGCGGGATGCATCCCAACAAGGATCCTGGATTATGGGATTGAACTTCTCCAACGATGACGCCTTGCTTGCGTCGACATCAGGAAACTGTGTGTTCATCTGGAGGGTGGATACAGATAAGCCTCCCTTTAAGAAAATTTTGAAATTACAAAAATCAAGACAGCTTCTTCTACCAAAGAATCATGAGTGGGCTTCTAATGTAGCATTTTCACACAACTCCAAGTACGTGGCTACTGGAACTGGCAACGACGTCTGCATATGGGACTTACAAGCCGACGGAGAACCAATAATTATCTCTGGACACAAAGACGTCGTCAACGCAATCGCGTTCTCTCCTGACGGCTCTTACCTGGCATCAGCGTCAGCGGATATGACGGTCAGGATTTGGGAGGCCCCGTGGGATGGCGAGCATAAACAAGCTCGATTGCTGTTGCGCGGGCACTCGAGGATGGTGTACGGCTTATCCTTTTCTCCATTGGAGTCTAAGAAACGCATCATCAGCTGTTCAGCGGACGGAACACTTCGCATTTGGGACTATAGCCATGACCTGATAAAACCAACTGCGGAAACACCCGTTGAGGTTGGCGCAGAGACTGATCCACAAGCTTCAGCTCATACATGGGCCATATCATGTATAGCCTTTTCGAGCAATAACAAGCTCATTGCTTCGGCCTCGGAGTCGAGTGACGGTGTAATCTGCCTCTGGGATGGAGAGTCAGGGAGTTTCCAAAGACAATTACGTGCGCATGGCAACGAGGTCCTGTCGCTTGACTTCTCACGCAACTCCCGATATCTCCTTTCGTCATCTGGAGATCACACCGTCAAAATCTGGGACATGGAGAGTGAAAATGGTTCACAGCAGCTCTCACTTCAGCATGCTGACTGGATAGGGTGTGCCGTCTTCTCACAAGATGGTAAATCTGTAGCATCGGGGTGCGATGACAATATGGTGCGCGTGTGGGACATTCAGCGTCTGATTGATGGGAGGAACTCTTCAAAGGCCGACGATAGCGTTGATTGTTGCAAGTATATACTCGAGGGTCATGACGAGCGTGTCACATCGGTTGTGTTTTCCGAAAACGGGAGATTTGTGGCGGCTGGCGGTGACTACAACGGAGTTCTTTACTGGGATCTCAGGCCGCAGGATCCTAAAAGCGTGGCCCAGCCAGCAAAGGTTCTCATGCAACGAGGACCGGATACGATCGTCTCATTGGTGTTCAATTCCGATGCAAGCAGCCTCATTGCTTGCTCTTCGCACCAGATCTGGATATGGGACACTGCGTCAAGCCAGTGCGTCACGGCAAAGTGCAGCGTTTCGCTTTCCGCCTTGCAGCTCAATCCTGCATATCCAGAGTATATAGTGACGGGAACCGGTCCAATCCTGATAGAGGACATTCTGGGGTGTGACGAGGTGCGTATAACGCCCACGGAATGGTGTCCGTGTAGTTTCACCAGCTTTGATGAGGATTCTGCGGGGAGCATCACTTGGCAGGGCAAGGAGATGATATTCTTGCCAAAGGAGGAACGCGATATTCTTTTGGAAAAGTTATCGTCTTGCAAAAGGGTCATGCGAGTGCGGGACCGTAGAGTTGTGGTTGGGCGTGCATCAGGTCGGGTGCTGTTCTTTAGATTCAGGGAGGTGGCGAAGTTCGACGATTCGTCGTAGATGGTGTTGACGTTGTATTTTGGAATGGCTTGATTTATCATGCCGATAGTAAACTAAATAATTGTGAGTTTTTGATGGTTTGCTCTAATATTGCTCGGTGTTATTTGTGTGTAAGTGAGTGAATCTCTTCAGATACAGGTGGAGGAGATGCGTGGACGTTGTTTCATATGAATGCCTAAAGAACCCCCGTCTCTTTGCCATTATTCAAAAAAAAAAAGTCGTGCGCATGCAAACAAGCTTGCGGCTGGTCAAACGCATATATACACATGTACATATATGAAGGTTCAGCCAGCCACTAGACAAGACGCATATGATCTTCGGCTTCATGTGTATTACCATCACGTACTACTAGCACTAAGAAAATCAACCCCGAGTCCCGTTGGTGTCTCCACAGGGAACTGGGTCGAATCGGAATGATTTTCATCAGAGCCTTAACTGCTGACTCGCAAGCCTCTTATCGCCGCCGAGTATTATAAAAAAAGCGGTGGTGTAGCTCAGATATGCTCAGTCTTGTGCTAATTAGAGACAGCTTATACCAGCTCAATTGCTCGTGTGCTTTCCTGACCAGATGGCAAAACACACAATCTCATTTCAAAGGTAGTAGTCACGGCACTCAATCTTCAGGTATCAAATCGTCATTCGTCAACGGTGCGTCATATTTCCCTAGCAATCGACAATACATGGAAATGCCCGAGGCCGTCTTCTCTCTCCAGCCGTATGCAGCATTGCACGCACGCATGGCCAAAAAAGCAAACCGTAGCACCTCTTTCGAAAAAAATAAAGACAGCAGCCCCAAAAGACCGCAGGCGCCCCCTTTCCCTTTCCAGAGATATGATAAACCGATAAACCCGGAGAGACTTTTTTTAAAAAAATTGCGCTTCTTGTAGACTTTGTTCAATTTTTTTTGTTCTCCATTGTTGTGTGTGCTTTAAATGCTTTATTTTTGTTCTATCGTCCCATCCACACACCCGATGATCCGAAGAAAAAACCCGACTTCCTCTCGCACATCCCCGTACACAAACTTTATTCCATTTAGACCTCGGTGGTGACCTTGGCCTTGGCGTTTGTGACCTTGACGCCAATCTGCTTGGCGCGGGAGATGATGTCGATTCGCTTTCGGGATGAGACGGAGCTGGCGATCCTGTAGGAAATTATTAGTTTGAGGGGGGACGTTTCCGGTGTATGGTCTTTTAGGGAATGACGTACTCGGCAGCGTGGGTTCGGTTGTGCATCAGCAGCAGCTCAAGGTCCTTGACGTTGTTGACGAGGAAAGCCTTGTGGCCGGAGGGGGTCAAGAAACGGGTCTTCTTGTTGGAGCCGTAGCCGATCTAAAACAAATTCACATCGCATCAGCACACTTTGTTCCTTGGTCAATTTTTCTTTCGAGGCAAGAGTTCCACATACCTTGGGCATACGGATGGTACCGCGGAAACGTCTGCGGACACGGCCATCGATACCCTTGGGCTTTCTCCAGCTGGCACCGACACGATCGAACCGGTCACTCTGGTGACGGTTGAAAGAAGTCTTGTCTGCACACACATCTCCAGTTAATTATGCGTCCAACATGCTCGTTCCAGCATCAAGAATTAAAGAGAGAGTTCGATTCGGTCGCCTGCTCCAATTTGCCCTTGATTCTACCAATTTTCCAACTGCGCTTCGAACTTGTCCTTGTCCACAAACATTTCATTCGTCGGGTGCGTTGTTTTCGAAGGCAGTCGGAAATTGAGAATTGAGGTGCAAAAAGAGGAGCGGCGACCGTATCTCGGGAGAGGAGAGCTCTTATTCTATATTCGGATCAAAGACGTACGCTTCTTGACGATGGGGACGTGCTTCTTGGCGGCGACCATCTTGAACAGAGATTTCTTGTTAGATTCGGTAACCGTTGGAGGACTCGCGACTGAGATTGGATCGACGGCAAAAACGTACCTTGACGGTTACTCTGGCTGTGGTTAGTTTGTCCGGCGTGATGCTTCACTCGATGCGAAATTTTGGCGGGATGCCACAATTGGAACACTAGGCAAAGGGCTTAGGGCACGCATCACGTGGATCCGCTCTTTTTTTTTTCGCTCTCTTTTGCGTGCTGTTTGGGCATGCGCACCACAAGACAGCGACCCCACTACCCTCCCGCTATGCCGTAACCAGCTAGCCCCGTCCTCTTCTCCAGAGCAGAGCGCAGAAAAGATTTGCGGCAGAACCTCGCTCGTGCGGCCAAAAGCGGAATAGCGCACATTAAGGGCACAAACCCTCTCATTCTCTTCGCCGGCCAAGAGACGTGCCCGGGACGCAAAAAAATCCGTCTAGGCGAAAAAGGGACCCGAAGTCCATCACGACGACAAGCGAAGCGAGACCGCCAGCAACAAACCCGCTCTCTCACCCTCCTTCACATACCACCAGCAACCATGTCGTCGACTCAGAGCGTGCAATGCTTCGGCAAGAAGAAGACGGCCACCGCCGTCGCCCACTGCAAGGTTAGTGGACGGATTCATGATGGATGGGAAGATGGGAGTGTCGTCGGCGGGATATTGAGAGAGAAAGAGATGGGAATCGAGGCTGGGAAATCGATGTGGGGGATGTTTTTTTTTGGACTTGGAGTCATGCAAAAATTCTCTTTGACTTGGGACAAGGAGAAAAAAACACTACGATTTCATAAAGACATGCAGAAATGCTGACGTTTGGTTTCCATCATCTAGGCTGGCCGTGGTCTCGTCAAGGTCAACGGCCGTCCCCTGTCTCTGGTCCAGCCTGAGATCCTCCGCTTCAAGGTACGCATCCTTTTTTCCCCTTCCGAATCGACTCGAAAACGCTTTTTGTAGCCTCTCTCCAATTCGCTTTTCTGGAGAACGAAATACTCGTCAACCGCGAACGTTGGAGGGGGTTCAACTTCGAGAAGAAAAAAATTGGAGATGGCTACAAATTGTGTCTTAAGAGGTCACTGCATTAAAACCAGATTTACCCCCCAAATACTAAGACTTTTCGCCCGTCTCTTTAGGTCTACGAGCCTCTCCTGGTTGTCGGCCTCGACAAGTTCGCCAACGTCGACATCCGCGTCCGCGTCACTGGTGGTGGTCACACCTCCCAGATCTACGCCATCCGTCAGGCCATCGCCAAGTCCCTCATCGCCTACTACCAGAAGTTCGTCGACGAGCACTCCAAGAACCTGCTGAAGCAGGCCCTCGTCCAGTTCGACCGCACCCTGCTGGTCGCTGACAACCGTCGCTGCGAGCCCAAGAAGTTCGGTGGTCCCGGCGCCCGTGCCAGGTACCAGAAGTCTTACCGATAAAGGGTTTGCGACAACTGGGTTTTGGGGAGAGGCGTTTACTTTTTTTTGTGGCGCTGGCGGGGGAAGAGACAAATCTGCAGAGGAAGAAGAAGAAACTGGTCGAAAACAAAGCGTCTTGTGGCTGCTGGAGAGGATGGCGCTGCTGCCACGTCTGGGCGGCGGTCCTTTGCGGCATCAGGATGTGGAATACAAAAGGGGCCGGAGTCGCATATCCCTTGGCATGGGGATAGGTTTCCCATTGGCACTTGCATGGCCTTGCTTTGGGCGGATTGTAACGGGTCTGGCAGGCTAATGAAATCTTCAAACGTTTACGAAACGCATCACTGTGCATGTGTGTGTGTGTGTGTGTGTGTGTGTGTGTGTGAGTGTGTGTGTGTGTTGTGAATGACAATGTTTAAACTGCGATGGCATGCCGTAAGATGATTCAGTAAAAAAGCATGGTTTTTACCTCGTTTCGTTTTATAAAGAGGGCTATATATACATGGTGCACTGACAACCACCAGTAACCGTTACCACTTGTAATAATACAATCCTCAAAGTAACCTCGAGTAGCCAAATACATATGTCCAAACACCAGTAATGATACTTTTTCTGCCGTATACCTCCATGTATCCATCCAGTCCTTAAAACACCAAGACAATGAAAATTAATGAGGCTCAGAATCAAGGCTACTCGGACAAAATCATGCGCCTCTTCGCTTTCTTCAACACGCTCATCTTCCTCCTCGTCATCAGCTTCATAGCCCCTCCAAAGACTGTCCTCCCAGAAGATGGCCATGATGACGGTTCGTCTTCTCGACCGTTTGATGAAATAGTTGTCTCTACCAGCTTTAGACCGCCCATGCCCGCCGTCTAGTCGTTCCACGAAACCAAGTCTAGCTGGCGGCCTTGCTCGTCGAGCTGCACGACTTCTGGTGCCCACTCGCCGCGCTCATCCTCAGCCTGCAGCTCGGCCATTTCCAGCTCCACTTCCTCGCCGTCTTCCATCATTACTTTTCCCTTTCGGAGATAATCGCCGTATAGGTCCCATCCAAGGTCCGCCACCTCTGCCTCGACCTTGGCAAACGAGTTGCCGACTTTGATCTGGTCGATTGTAGCTTCATTGCCGAGACTTTGGAGGACTTCTTCGAGTCGCCGCTTGTAGATGATGAGAGCAAGCCTCAGGTCATGACTATTTGAGCCACCATAGTCCAAAATAGACTCGCCCAGCCACTCAGAACTGTACTGGATCTGTGAAGCAATGACCTGTAGCAGCCTGGAGGCGAGGACTGGATATTGCTCTGGCAAAAGGTAGGCCTTTAGAATGAGCTTGAGCACCATATGCCACCACTGCTGGATGCAAGCATCATTTCCAAGGTGCACGCCAACAATAAAGGCGAACTGTAGTTCGCCAACGACATCATCGTCAGTCAACTCCTTGCCAGGAGCAGTCATGACAGATATCATATAAGGTGTCGCATCTGTAGCTGCTAGAGTCCGATCAGCCCCTAGAGAGTCAGCGGTATACGTTTTGGAATGCTGCGAGAAACTAAAGTTGAGTTCTCTGGACTGAAGCAGATGGTTTGAAAATCGTCGTTCTAGCTCCATCTCTGCTGCCAAAAGCACAGCCCCTCTGACGCGATCTGTTGTGTCGACATGCCAGCTGTTAGTCCGCTGTCCAGTAACACGGCCAAGTACCCCTTCCGTGACACATCCAGTCAGTCGCTTCCACATTCTCAGTTTCTCTTTTGAATCGTGGTCAAGAGAACTCTCCATCTTTATCGGCTCTGAGTTGACGGATGATGGGTCATGGTAGGGTATTAGCTTATCGTGGAAGCTCTCAAGATTATCAGCTTGGATTCGAGCCTCTGCCCGTGACGGCTCAAGAATGGTTTCGGTGAATTTGTCCCATTGCAAGACGTGGACTTGGTCGATGCCAGATGATACGATCCAGAAGCCGGCCCGAACGGAGCCACTATCGGGATGTGTTACCCAGAAGAAGTGCGGCCCTACTGGGATATCCCTGATGCCGCCAAAGTGTTTGGCGGTAAACGAGATGGCATCGTACCCCACAAGATACACCTCGGGCAGATCTAAAATGAGCAACACGTCTCCTCCACCCATGGAATGAGTAATGACTTGATGAGTCTCATGCGTGGCAGAAAGACTTGACTGGCTGCTCAAGATCTCTGGTGGAACAGCACTAAACATGACTTGCTTTCTTCCGGGACTCAAGGGAGGATCCAGCGGGGGCGGCGGGCTGTCTTCTCGTTCCTCTACATTGCTGTCTTGGTGAGGTGGTAACTCGTCAGGCTGATGAAGGTGGAGTGAGCCGTAGGGATGTGCGCCCAGGACTGATACAGAGTCGTGAGACTTTACCGAGTGGGCGCCGGTAGAGCCTGTAGAGTTGGATTTTTTAAGCTCATCCGGAGCCGAAGGCGTTGAAGAGGATGAATTTTCGACGTCCATGCTGTATAAATCGATGATGCTTGCTCTTTGTGATGGGCTGCGAGCTTTGCCCTGCTATTGATGAGGTGCTTCTCAGCTATGGCTGCAGGAGCTCGAAGCAGACCGAATAGTAGGTTGAGAGTGAAAACTTTTATCGCGAAAAAAGCTGCTAACAGAGTTTTTAACAAGTAAGCTGAATGCCGTCTGCTTAGGAATTAACTGAAAGCGATAGATACGAGAAGGCGATGCTCGAGTTGTATGTTGAGGTTGAAGTGAAAGAAAGCCTCAAGAGTGCAAGGTTGAAGATGACGTGCAGTTCAGATGCTGCGGTTGCTGTGGCGCTAATCGCTCTATATCCGTGTTAGGCCCGACGTGCAGAGCGAGGTTATCGATATGAGCATAAACAAAAACAAATAAAGTACTCGAGGTGATGCAAAGAGGGTGTGCAAGTATACAGGAGTGGTCGAATCTGAACAAAGACAAGGTAGAATAGGAATTCAAATTCTTGATGCAGTCATCATAGAGAGAAAGAGGGAGACGCAGCTAATGCCACCAGCTTGGATAGAGGCGCCAGACGAGAGGTCAAACCCCGTGATTTCCATCACATCCAATGCTTTTTCAACTTCGACAGCCCAAATTAGCTGCCGCAGCCTTGGGTTCGCACCATCACGCACTTATCCAAGAAACTCTGTTGCATGCACTAAATTAATCGGGCTCGACCAACGCTTTCGCACTACGACTTAGCACCGGATGGGATTAAAAAAAAAAGTAGAGACACAAAAAAAAAAAAAAAAGACAAGCTCCATCTGTCGACCTAAAGTTAGTGAAAACTTGGATGGACGGACACCCCCCAGCACTAAGAGTCGTGGACTAAGTTTAGCTTTGCTGCTATCAAGTAGACTCGTTTTATGTGCCATGCCACGAGGCTGTGGCTACTAAACACGACGACTATTTTCTTCCTTTTGATATTCTAGAATGGTTGACGAGATGCTTGGGAGAGAGAGGTGTAGAAGAGACATATGCAGTATTACAACTCCGCTGCAGTTTGACGGTCATGGCATGCAAGTGATACGGGTGATACGGGTGATGCGGGTGATTCACGACATCGTCGGCTCGCTCCTCAAACGACGTCCATCACGTTTCTTGGGAGAGTATAAAAAAAAATTCATTATTTAACAAAGCAACTTATTTGCTAATATCATGCTACAGACGATGACGACTCGATTCGATACCGCATAGGCACCCCAACACGATGGATCCACTCGTCTTACTCGCCGTCTCTACACAGCAAAAGGTTATTGCAAGATTTCGTCATGTCAGCACTTTCTCTCTTTACCAAGGTCATTTAAGCAACCAAGTCGGCAAATGCCTATTCTCCCCCGGGGGCCCCATGTGTCGGTCGACTTGTCCGTTTGGCCATGCGCCGGTCGCCGGATGGAGCGGCATTGACTCCATAAAGCATCAAACTGACTAAACAGCATGTCGTGCGCAAAAAGGGGGGGGTTACGCATCACCCTGCTGTTGGTCCGCAGTGCAAACGCAGCTTGGGCATCACATCGAATCCTGTACGCTTTCTACGCAATAAGTTGGGCAGTAAAATGCGAAGAAAAATAGATTTCAGCCTGGCCCCGTGGTATCTGAGTTGAGAGTCGCAACCACCAAGCTCCAGCTCCAACCCCCCCTGACCGTTACTACAGAATCATCGACTGTGCAACATGACATCAATTTCGCAGATGCAGCATACCTAATCAACGCCTCTTCCTCCTGATCCAGATCCTCGGGATCGCACTAAGATCAAACTGCAACTCACATCCTCCTCGTCTTTGCCTGGTCCCCCGATCATTGCACACAGTGCAAGGCGCTAAGCAAGGGGTGCACAAAAGGCACGAATCAACGATTTTAGGATGCTTCAAAAAAAAAGAGAGAGGCTAATACTAGCATCTATCATCTTACATACTGCTAGTACTAGACAGAAAATCGCATGGGTGCTGGATGGCCTGGTGTGCCGGTTCCCACCGCGCTTGAACCTGCCGAGGACGGCCCCTCCAGTCCCGTCGCCGCTGTCACATCTGGCCTCCCGTCCTCGTCCAGAGTGGGTAATGCTCCAAGTGTTGATGTACCCTATAGGGGGAGGGTGTGTGCGTTACTAGGCAACTAGGGAAAGGCAGATCCAAGCTTGGTAGCATCTGTTGCCGCTAGCATCGTCGATATAGCCTTGTCTTTTGCCTGGAGGGATGGAGTTGTTTAAGCGAGAGCATGACTCGGGGTTGGTTGCTGTTTATATGAACGACAACTCGGCAATAAGACATGTTGGTAATACAGGCAATCTTTTGGTTACTCTACGACAGATGGTATCTCTCATTGTCAACGCCAGGCAAACGACTCCGCCAAGTGAAATCTCAACTGATAATTGATCGTTAGCTAGGCAGCATATAGACACCACTACCACTACTACCTACTCCTGCTATTCCTACAAATGGACCACTTTCTTTCCCTTTACAACATCGCCCCGCCCTTTCTACCATATAAGCTAGCATAGCACAGCACGGCATGACATAACATGGCATGTTTTTTTTTCTCCGTACCTTAGTAGTATAGTTTCTAGACTATCTTTTTTGAAACCACACACCCACTAAAAAACAAGCCGGACAAGCCAACAACGAACCGTGTCTAAAATAATAAAGTACGAAATCTAAAACAGATTAAAATAGAATAAACTAACACCGGCTTTTCTGCGATTTCGCGGCTTGTCGTTTAGCTCCCGCTACGCGCCGTCCTTTGCTCTAAAGGAACTCTTGCTTTTCTCCCAGCCGTGACATCAAAGACAAGCAATATCAAAATGTACAACAAGGCCTTCTTCAAATCTTCCACAACCACATCATCAAACCCCCCCACCTCGCAAACACTTTCCTCTTCTCAAACCAAAAACAACGACCCAACGTCGTAAGCAGAGCAGGTATACCTAGTAGGTAGCATTCCGCCATCCCGTCGTCCCGCTAGCGCCATCTCAGACACACATACACACACACAGAAAAAAAAAAAAAGTGCCGGGCCCCCCCCTCTATTTCGAGCGGTTCCAAAAGTCCGGTCTCCTTCCATCCCCTGGTCGCTTTAGGCGCAACTAAGAAAGGGAAAAAAAAAAAATACAAGAACTTTTACACCAACCAGAACATTTTTAGAAAAAAAGGTTAAAAACGGTTGGTACAAAAGTATTTACTTTAATTTTTTATTTTTCTTAGCTGCACACGCCCTCTTTAGTATAAATCTTCCATGTGCCCTTGTCTGTATATCTTAACGTGTTGATTTTTATTTTTATTTTTATTTTTTTCTCTTTCAATTGATTGTGTATTTTCTTTCTTCTTTCTTTCTTTTTTTTTTTTCTGTTATTGCCTTTTTCGGCTGCCGCAACCCAATCGCAACCCAATCGCAGCGCATCGTCCCGCAAGCCATTCCCGCGTGGATCTCCTTTTACACCCTTCTAGAACGAATGCAGCTGTTCAACTCCCGCCTTGAACTCATCTTTTTTTTTTTTCTATCGGTATTTGCTTTAACCGCTGTTAATTTTCAAAAGGTCCGCGTCGCACAATAGAAAGCACTCCAGCGCTACTCTTTACAAGTTCCCTGCCCCAATTTACAACACAGTAGAAATCGTAGGCTTTAAGTATAGTAGTATCCCACAGTGGCACACAGACAAAAACCTCCTCCGTCACCACTCATCCCAATCGTGTCTCACTCTCGCGTGGCCATCTTTTCGTACTAAACTAAATCAACCCTCTTTTTTCATTTTTTTTAAACTATTTTCTTTTTTTTTTATCCCCCCATGCTCCTTTTTTTAAACTGCAAATCTCACCTCGCCCATGCCATATCCAGGAAGTGGCTAGCTTCACGTCACCATGCCATGTGGCTCCCCACGTCTCAAACTAACCAACTTGTACGCCTCTCGTCGAGAAAAAAAGAACACCAGGCGATCAATCAAAATCACCCAAGACAGATTTAAACACCAGCATTAGCGCCGATAAGTGCATCTCTTCCTAGTACGTACATCTATACTATCAAGTACCCGTACTTTGCGGGTAGGTACCGTCCCATAGGCATGTAAACAAATCCCCCACGCTAAAAAAAAAAAAAAAAAAAAAAAAAAAGTTACAAACACCACCACCACCTCCATCACCATCAACCCCATGTCTCTCGTGTAACACTGCCCAAAAAGAAATCGCACCGTGTTCATGTCCCCGTCACACCCCGAACGGAGCCCTATACGCCGCTTCTTTTTTTTTTTATTTTATGTATTTTTTTTAAAACCCTTAGTCTTGGACACTAAGGCAATCGTCATCTAGGGGGTCCCCTTATTTGTTTTCTTGCTCTTGGCGCGACGCTTGTTCTGTCCCGACAGCATGGCAACAAGGTTAGTCTGTTTCTCATCCCATGCGAAGCTAAAAAAAAAAAAAAAAAAAAAAAAGAGACAACATTAGAAGNTTACTGTTGCATAATTCCTGCTAGACGTGCGTAGGGTCCTGGCGTTGCATCTTCGTAGCCTTGCCTCTGCTTATATGGGTCAAACTTTGTTGGTGTTGCGGGCGTCGGCTTCACAACTCCATTACAATGCATGGCGCTCAATCTTTATTTTAGCTCATAATACACTTATTATAACCCGTAATGACTGTCAAGGTGGTTTGCTACTAATCGTATACAGTCTCTCTCTTCTGTCTCACACACAAAAATAAGAAGAGGAGAGTAAGTAAAAAGTAAGTAGAAAAGAAATTCGTTGCAAAAAAAAAAAAAGGCGTTACACAAAGCGTTCTTCTCGCCGCGATATCTTAGCGCACGTAAAACAAAGTTTCATTCCGAACCCAATATTTTTTTTCCTCCTTCATTTTCCTTTGACACGTTTTTTTTTCTCTTTTTTCCAAAAGCTTTCTTCTTCCTCCTTAGATTGCTTCAGCCCTGCTTGACACTTTACAAGTGAAGAAGACAAAAAACAAAGTCCAAGTCAGTTCGTCTTTATGCTCCCATTTCCAGCGCTCTGATCGTTCCCTTCACTTGACAAAGTCGTATCGCGTTTTTTTCGCCTTGCGGCGATACAGAAGCAGCTTCTTTTCCCCAGACCAAGCTACCTGGGAAACCCCATGGTGCTTTCACCCGCCGTGGTTTCAGTACTCCGTATCCTCTGCGCCGAACCGCCCCTGAAAATTGCATCACGCCATGAAAGAGCCGACCATCCCCGGAGTGCCTCTGCCAATGCAAACCCCCCCGTAACCG